CTTGTTTGGATTCCTGATAATATCCATTTACTATTCAAGTTCTCATGGGCTATATGTTAATTACACCAATAAAGAATGCCATATAAACATATAACAGAAGTTCATCTATCCCTTACAATCGATGAATTGATTACTCAGATCAAATAAAATAAGATGAAAATTTCATAAAAATCAAAGTTGAAAAAGAATTAGACAAATTAAAAAGAGAACTGATTGAACCTTAAAGCAAAAAAGCAATCCTTGAGCCGAGACAACTGAATGAATGAGATTTTGAGTTTAATTTTGTCTCTTGGTTTCTGGATTTAGGCAAATAATAATAATAATTATGTAGAAAGTTCAAAAAATATTCAATAATTATCAAAAGAGTTCTCAAACCTTATTGAAATTTTATGAAGAATTCAAACTACACGATAAATGATCAATTGTATCCATTTTTAATCCAGCCAAGATGAAAATTTTAAAGTTTCTTTATCATATTAACATTTTTAACGTAAATAATGTTCGAAATATTTTCAAATACAATCATAGCAAAAGTTCCAACATTCTACCTCATAACTAAAATAATAACTATTTAACTCCAAACTCTACTGTTCTTTTGATTATCTTTAAATCTTCGCTACCCTCATCATAAAATTTTTGTAAACAAATTTAAAAGACCAAATTATAAAATAATATTGTGACTTCTTTTGGTTCTTCTTATTTTTTTAAGAGTCCTTACTCCTTTTTTATTAAGCCTTTTGGGATTTTTTTAAATATTTATTTTATTCGTGAACTCGGAATATTTATTGTAAAAAAGAATCGATATTAATTAATCTTCTTGTTTTATAAATCTACCTTTTCTTTGATTAATGTCATGCCTTAGACTTTTTATGTTGCATTTTCAAAAATTATCTTCCCAAAAATGTTTCAAATTTTGTGTGTTAATTATTTCTCATAACCTTTGAGGTTGATATTCATCATGCATTATTTTGCTTACAACAATAAAATTTGGGGAACGTTTAAAATTAATACTTATTGAGAGTTCTTGTTTTGATTTTCATTCTCAATCAGGTTCAATTTATAATTTTGAAGGAGTATTTATTTACTTAATTTAAAGTTATATTTCAAACTATTGCAAAGTCTTCAACCATCACAAGACCTTGATACACTTTTATAATTTTCAAGTCATGATCATTTTAGCATTTGATTTAAAATTTTGTAAGGAATAAAATATAACTAAAATTTGTGGGTTTAAACTTGAGCAAAAAAACTTATAACTATGATTTAGTAAGTAATTTATATTTTTGAAGCCATTTAACATTAAGTCGACACCAAAATGACAAAAAACATTGATGAAGCTTCAAATATCATCTGAGGTAATAGATCCTTCCCCTGTACTCCATTGTCTTTTAAGTATTGCTTTCTTTAATTAATTCTTCTTGAATCTTCCTTAGATCCTTGAGTTCAGTTTCTTTCTGACTTTTCTACTTAATGACCGCTGGTCCTTGGTAATCGATCATTAATATGTAGGATTAATGTTGATTTCAATAAGAATCTGGATCGAAGTTAATTATATTCTATGCTTGTCTATCCTTTATCCGAGTCTTATCTTAGCCTTCTAACTATTTAAATCTCTCCTACTACCTTTTTCTGAAGAGATACTCTTATGATAAAATGTGATAAAATGAGATCTGGACCTCCTTGAATATATGTCTGGTTAAATGACTCTAAAGGTTTAATATGTTGTATTATTTTTGGTCATTATTCAGGTATAGAGAGCAATTTAAAGTTATAAACTGGATAAAGATCTAGTTTGCTCGCTCTGGTCTGCTGTAGAATGAAAACTTCAAAACTCAGTAGTACTGATATAAATCAAAAGTGGTACCAACTATAAAAGCAAGACTTTTAATAAAATCAATTTCATTTTACACTATATTTAAGAATTTGGAAGAGTTCTCATTTAAATAGATTCCATAAAATATATCACCGCTGTGTTGATTGATGTTCTCGAATAGAAATATTTCGAATGAAGGGAGTATTAATAAGTGTTCTTACTTCTTGATCGCTCTGATTCGCAAGCCATAGTTGTAAAATCTAAGTCTTTCTTTGAGATTTGCTCATAATGCTTTATGATGTCGATTTGGTCATAACTTCAAGTAATTTCCTTTTATTTGATCATTTATGCAATTTTATCTCTGATTTTGTTACCCTAAATAATAATTAACTACTGTATTCTGAACTGAAACTATTTAACCATTTACATAAATATTATGAAAAGACTACACTTTATATTGCTTCATTCGGTTTCTTAATGACATTATTGTTTGTGTTAGTTTCTCTAAACTGTTAATAAGAAAATTGCTTATCAGATAAATGATTAAGATTGTAACCAAGTAGGCTATATGTAAATATTTTGTGCAAACATTTCTGATGACTATAAACTAAGAAATTTTCCTGTAGCTACTTCATGAAGATAGAATTAGTAATACAGCTCGATTAATCAACTGGAGAATAAAATCCTGTGATAACTAAAGCTATATAGAATGCTTTAAGCTCACCAATCGTTTCATTTACTTCTACCAAAGAATACTAACCTTTCTAAATAGAGCATTAATACAGATGTTTATATCATGTGTTTGTAAAAATTTTTTGCATAATTCTTCATTGATCTACTTCCATACAAACATAATTAAATTACCATTAAGCACTAAGGAGCTGTGATGAAAGATAACATCAAATTCAAGGAACTAAAAACAAAAGATCAGCTGATTTACTAAATTCACACTTTCAATAAACCCTAACTTAGCTTTTGATAGAGACCTTAATGTTTATTCAGAAAATCTTAGACAGCTTTACATTCATATGGTTTATTACTTTTGAACTCTATTGTAGAATCAATAATATTATTATAATCGTTTAATTAAATTATTTTAATAGTTTTTGAGATATTTAGATTTTAATTTGGTACTAAATTTCAACAAAATTTGAAAGCATCTTCTATCAAACTGAAAATGAGGGACTGTGGATTGAGACCAGATTACAACAAGTAGGCTATGTACAATCTTATGGGGGCTTCTGAGTTATCAATCCAAAAATTTTGTAACAAGGGAGAAAGAATTTTTGAAAAACTTTCAATCTAAAGATTGATAAATCCGAAGGATAAGTTAATTATACATAAATGAAACATCTGACCTTAAGCCTATTATGATTAATCCTGGATAGTAAATATGTCAAACCATTTCCTAATTAATGACAGAGACAGACTACATCATATGTATCTACATAGAAGTCAAAGAGAGTTATTGGACCTATACTAAAGTGAAAGGAATCAAGATGGTAAGTCATTGTTTAAGACTGGTAGAGAATGTGAGTGGGAAAAGATAAATTATAACGGTCAAAGCGAGATTCTCCATCAAAAAAAAGCAAGAAAGTCCCAAAATCGCTGAGGAAGCGCTATACTAGCATTATTATCCCTTGATTGCCCATTGATAATTTAAAACTAAATCTTGATATTTAGAAAAATAAGAAAAATCGTATATAGATTGTCAGAATGCTATAAATCAATATTTTTCATCTTAAAATCTAATCATTTTTCTATTATTTTTATTTTTTTTTTCAATAATGAAAAGAGCTGTTAGTATTCATCTTTGACATTATAAAATTTGGCTGATCAAACACATAGTTAACTTATATGATGGTCTCTAATATAATTGTGAATTTAAAATTTGTTCAAACAATTACTTATGAAAGTGAAGAAATAATTGATTTTGCATAAATGAGTTTATGCTTAACTAATCTCATACAGATCATTTGGAGGATTACACTCGATATTTGAAAATTTATATATCTTTACAATAAATATAGGAGATAATTCAAACGAATTATATAATTAATTAAATTTAAGGATTCTCATGAATAGATTTTTTAAAATAGATTAAGAAATAAAATAATAAAATATGAACTAATAATTATGTAGAATGGATATTATTTTGATTGAAGACAAAAATAAATTTAATCAAAACAAATTAAACAAAAGAAAAAGAATAGAGAATTTGTCCTCATATAATAGAAAAAGGATATTTTAAGTAATGATAATAAGTTGTAGTTAATTTAATTGAATATTGCATTTAAACAATTAAAAATATAGAACCAAAAGAGGATGAATATGAATAGAAGCAATATGAGAAGTTAGTAAATTACTGAAGTAATTAACTATATATTATAGTTAATTGTGAGGTTATGGATATTTTATTTAGGGCAAGAAAAATTAAAAAAATTGTAATTGAAATGCCTAATATATATATTTAATAAGGATGAATGAACTAAAGAGTTGTATAAGGTTTATAAATATACAATATTAAGGAATACATAATTTATTCGCTCATTTGCTAAGAAATAAAAATAGCAATTAAGTTTTATGATAAAGCAATTTTAATTGACCTCGATAGTGATGATGCCAACTAAAGTTAAACTTCTCTAAAATTAAGTGTTATCTACCTTATCCGCTACTTATTAGATAATTTATAAAAATATTAGATTACATCATTTATTAGAATGAATCCATTTATACAGATGAATCCCCTTTTCTATTTTAGTGATTTCTCATATTTTTAAACCTGATCTCAAATATATTAGTAGGAAAGTATCCAAGGCTGATAATCATATTTAGCTGCTTAGCAAGTAAATTAGAAAATAAAATCTCTCCTTAGGTTTTAGCCGAATACGTTTAAATATCTAAAGACAGAGCATAGCATCTGTAAAGAATAATTGAGTATTCCGATTATAAAGAATTAACAGATAATTTGAACTTCCTACTTAACATTCTCAATGGCCTTTCTGAGTTTGTAGTGTAAGCTAACTTATAATAATTATATAATAGTGTATTCCATTTTAAGAGATTCAAAGAGAAATTTGAAAAAAATTACAACTTGTTTTAACTTTATTAATTTAATAATGAATGAAATCTTGAAATATCTATATGTACATATCAACAAGTCGAGTAAATTTTAGGTCATAAAAAAATGTGACATTAGATAAGTATATTATAGTTTGTGAAAAAATAACTTAATATTTAATAAAAATGTTGCATTGATTTGTATTGATGAAGCAAACTTTGGAAAAAATTTAAAAGCTCCAAAATATTGGCATAAGAAAAATAATCATTAATTCCGATCTTAACTTTTAAGTTCCAATAAACTTAAAACTGTTATTGTAAAATTAATGAAGAAGTTTTCTGGCCTTTAAATGTGTGATAGGATGTCTTATGAATTTTTATTTTGTGGAATTTATAAATGAGTTATTAAATTTACTCCATCATATTTGATTAGAAAAAGATTAATGTCTTCTTTCAGGCAACACTGCAATTAATAAAGCAGAGAGAATCTAAAAAATATTACACGTCTGCAATCATTGATTTCTACCACCTGATAGTTCATCGTTGATTGCATAAAAAGGCTTTGGCTTCGGTCAAGCTCTAGTTGAGTAGAAAATAAAGTTCATTAATTTGAATTTAAAAAACACTTTAATTTTAAAAAATAAATCTGCTGGCTTTGGGTTCAACATAAAATTCCAAAAATAGAATTATTGTTATTTTATACTGTTAACTTATTAAAAAACACTAAATATAGTATATTGATCTCATATTGTATAAAGCATGAAACAATAAGTCAATAACTTAAGATAAATAGCTACATTTGTTTTGGGATTATATTAGTTCTACTAAGCTAATAAAATTTCATAGTTTGTGAATTAACATAAAAAATTAAATATTAATATTCTAATAGAATTTAGTGCAAATCAATCTAACAGAATTGGCTGGCTTAATACAGATTTATTTAGTTTAGAGCTTTGAAATCATGTTTGTTCATATATTTATTATTCTTAAGAAGAATTATGATAATCAAAATAATTCAAATTTTAATCATAATCAGGAGTTTATTTTAAAAAGATAAATTTATGGAATAGATTTAATTTTACTTTTAATCAAATTGAATAATTATTTTGAAAACATTTGCTATATTTTTAATATGATAGATCATTCTATTTAAAGAGGCCACACTATCTAGATCACCTATTGACCTGATCTTTGTAATTATTCAAATATCCCTCGAAGTTTGTGACTAGCGAATATTAAAAACAACAAAGATTGATAAATTCTCATCCTAATAAAGTTATTAGAAAATAGAGTAAATGATATATTATAATCACATAAATTATATCTGCATATATTCAAAGTTATAAATTTCTTATTGTTTGTTAGCTTTACTGCAGGTAAAACTGTAAAAATGAATGTAGAAGAATATTCAAAACTGGTAATATCTAATCTTCAATTTAACGATTTATACTACCAGTCATTAAATCTTGTTTAACCTAAATATATTAATACTATCCATTTTCTTTCATCCAAGAGTTTGACTTGTCATAAATAATGCTCTTATTCAGAATGTTTCATATCAGTTCAGATTATGGTTCGCTCAAATTATTTTTTTTAATCTTTATTGATGATCTACTTTCCAATTCCTGTAAGTATATTATTTTAGGAATAATTCACCTTTAGAAAAATTATCTATGCTCTCAGGTTACATATGGAGCTTAAAGGATTTACTCACTATTTATTTAAATCATATATTTTCCTTCCCATTAATAATTTCTAGTCATTTCCTCCTTTATATAGTTAAAACTCTTGTTTCAATCCGGCTATCTCCATTCTTATTATGCTAATTTTAAATTGATACATACTATTTATAATCAAATAGGAGCATTTAAAATTACTATTATTCTAGCTTTTAAAGTTTCATTCGATAGATCCAAATATTCAATTTTTAAAGCATCTTGGTTTAGAGCCTTTATTTAGAATTATATAGAATTTGTTTAGTTATTTAAATTTTCTCTCAACATCTTATTAAATAAATAGTTCATTTGAATAAATTTGAGATCTTTCTACCAACTCATTTTACTTAGTTTTCCAACTTTCTACAATTTTTTTTCAAGCTAATTAATTGAACACTTGAATATTTTTAATACTTTTAAATTATTGCTTGACTTTAAGATTTTTAATTCTTAAAATTTTTGATGCACCATTAAATAAGTATCAGCAATAACAAAAAATTTCAGGTCTAACTATCTTACTTTCTTTAATGGGTTTTAGTTTACGCTTATCCATTAAATGAGAAAAGTTCATCCTCTCATTATGATCTAAATATTTCTCTGAGTTAATAAAAGCAAATCACAAAATAATTTTAGGATTCTGCAATCCTAATACAATTTTCTTGAATCCATGATTGATATCCAGTAGGGTTAAATGTTTCCTTTATCATTTTTTCAATTAAGTATTCTTTTTAAAGTTGGGATTTCAACAAGCTGTTCTGCATGTGACCCTAAAATTTAATCAAGAGTACTTTTTGATTCTTAAAAACTTACTTTCCTAAGTAAAAAGAACTTATGCTGTGGTCTCCTCTACTAAACTTCTAAAATATTCATTTGGTATTAAGGTTTTGGATAAGAGTTGCCAATTAGGAATCTCAAGCCTTAAGAATTCTCATAACTTAGATATCAAAATAATTTATCTTTCATTCTAATTTAAGCAGGTAGTTTATTTACTATACATATTAAGAGGATCCCTAATAAACTATGATAGCTTTGCTGAATTGTACTACATTCAAATTGCCATCTCAATAAAGTTATAAAATTATTGCTTCAAGCTTAATTTAATTTTAGGGTCTACAACAGATTAGCAAAAACAGTGATAGTCCATTTTTAAATAAAACTGGAATGGTACTTCAAATCAATTTACCCCCAATCAAGACAACATGCCATAGAATCTATCAAACTAAGAAAATTTAATATAAAACTCATCACTATTTTGTTCCTCTTTCTAGAACATCCTTTACAATAATGTAATGGTCTTATTCTAATTTGCTTTGCCCTATTTAATAAATAATTAGATTAAGTATCAGAAGTTTCATTTGCATATAAAAGTTTGATTCATGCTAAAATTTCTTATATGCTTTACTTCAAACCTAAAAGAGAGGATAATATGAAATAACTAATAAATAATTGAAAGAATTTATAATTAAAACTGATTATTATACTAATTTAGGCTATTCAACCTAAAATAATTTTTTTTTAATTCTCTTCTATCTCCCTCCAAACTTCTGACTCTTTTTAATTTACTTCTAATTGGAAAAAATATGTAAAGAATTTATTATTAGAAGTCCTCCTCTGCCATTCTGTAAGTATCTTAATTTTCACTATTGCTCTAAATTTAATATTCATAAGAAACAGTTGTTGAATCATAACCTAATCAAAATCTATTTATTTCAGGAGAGGGACAGCACAAACCAAACCAAAACCCTTAGTCTTCACAAATTTTACCTTTACTAAAATTATTGATGAAATTTGGAAACAAACTGGTCTAAAACCAATCGCACTTATGTAATCCACTAATAAACGATTGAAATAATTATTCTCTTTAAAATAATCAATAATGTGGGGAATCTGGGGGCAAAGGGAAAAAAGATTCAATGACTGAGGGCGGAAATAAGAGAAGAGAACAAATTTATTATTGAGAAACATAGTTACCCTCTAACTTCTTTCAAAAAATGAATACTTTTGTTAATAATTCATTATGAAAAATTTACTTTACTTATTTATTAGAATTTCTTTAGAAATTATCTAAAATGAATATTAGTAGTTGAAATTCCCAAAAGAATTTTCTACATAATTTTACTTAACAAGATTAAACTTTGAATATTATTGCACTAATAAAGTAAACAACTACTACTTTTTAGAATATACCTTAATTTGAAATTTAGTAAATGAATAAGAGAATCTTAATTAAATAATTAGCAAAGATATCTCTTAAATTTTAGATGAAATTATTCAAAAGACCAAAATCGTAGTTTCAAATTTTTCAAAGACCATTTCATTTTTGAAAAATTGAAAGAAAAGATGTTTGACTGTAAAGTTTAACGAATTAATATCCCAACTCTTCCATTTAGTAATGTTACAAATATTAACTGATTACCTCATTAAAATCTCTTCGTTTTATTCTGAGTTCATTATCCTAGGCACTTACTTAAGTAAGAAAATTAACTTTTTTTATATAATAGTCTTTTTTTTCTTTCAAACATAGACGAAATTGTGGTTAAGGTAATCGATAGAGATTTGACCATATGGATGTTCATAATTCATTATCATTTGAGTAATGTACTGAATTTATTGAGGAAACATTTACAGTAAAAAAACTGAAACTTCATTTGTCATCGATATTAATTCAAACATTTGAATGATCACTAATTCTTAAAGGAAACGACAACTCATAGAATTCCAATTAAAGATTAATGAATATTATAAATTTATATATTATATAAATATCTTTTAGAGTTTATGGATAATCGAATATAGTTTATTATCAATCAAGATATAGATTGATATTTACATGACTTCTTTTTGATAATTCTTACCATCAAATATGATGATAGAATTATATTTTGCTTAGGTTTTGGTTTTTTATGAAAAATACTAAGAAAAATAGTGAAATGAAGTGATGTAACATTGGATGATTTCTTATGCATTTTTGTAATAATCAATTTTATTGTAATTCAATTTAGCTTTCTAAAATGCAACCTCCTTTAGATTTTATTAATGACTTTAGATCTACACCACAATGGTTTACAAATTCTCCTTTTAAGATTAATGCTCCTTAAGTATCGAAATTTGGATTTTAAGAAATTAGTAGAGTCGTAATTCCAGTGGTAGCTAAAGTATAATGAACTATAAATACCATTTTCTTAAAGTAAGTTATTTGTCAATACAGATTTTACATCCCATAAACGAATCAAACTATCTCCACAAGATGCTAATTTAGTACCATCAGGAGAGAATTTGACTGAAAAGACTTTTGAACAATGACCATCTAATTTGGCTTTTTATTATCCTTTCTTAACATCCCATAAACGGATAGAGTTATCATCACTACCAGATGCTAATGTGGTACCATCAGGAGAGTAACAAATTGAATTAACTTATGATGAATGACCATCTAATTTGGCTTTTTATTATCCTGTCCTAATATCCCATAAACGGATAGACTTATCTTCGCTACCAGATGCTATTGTTGTACCATCGGGAGAGAAGTTGACTGAATAAATTGTTCCTGAATGACCATCAAATTTGGCTTTTAATTTTCCAGTCTAAACATTCCATAACAGTATAGATTTATCTCCACCACCAGATGCTAACGTCGAACTATCAAGAGAAAAACATAGTGATTAGACATAACTAGTATGACCGACTAATTTGGCCTTTTATTATCTTGTTTTAACATCCTCCAAACTAATATACTTATCTGCACTACCATATGCTAATAACATACCATAAGGAGAGAAACAGATTGATCTAAAATTATTATTTAGATCGCCTAATTTAGCTTTTTAATTTTTGGTTTTAACATCCCACAAACAGATGGAGTAATATTCACAACCAGATGCTAATGTAGTACCATCTGAAGAGAAACAGACTGTGTTGACTTAAAAACCACTATCTATTTTTGTTTTTTATTTTCCTGTATTAACATCCCATAAACGGATAGTCTTATCATAACTACCAGATGCTAATGTAGTACCATCAGGAGAGAAACAAATTGATTTAACAACCCTTTGGTGACCATCTAATCGTACTTTTTATTATCCCATCTTAGCATCCCATAAACAGACAGTCTAATCTAGGCTACCAGATGCTAATGTAGTACCATCAGGAGAGAAACAAACTGAATTAACCCAATCAATGTGACCAATTTATTTGGCTATTTATTATCCTGTCTTAATATCCCATAGACAGACAGAGTTATCTCCGCTACCAGATGCTAATGTAGTACCGTCAGGAGAGAAACAGACTGATATAACTATACTCTGATGACCATTTAATCGTGCCTTTTGTTATCCCGTCTAAACATCCCATAAACGAATTAAATAATCATCACTACCAGATGCTAATGTAGTACCATCAGGAGAGAAGCAGACTGTGTTGACAGAGTAATTAACATATATTTTGACTTGTTATAATCCTGTATTAACATCCCATAAAAGAATATAATTGTCTGAACCACCGGATGCTAATATCTTACCATCAGGAGAAAAGCATACTGATTTAACATAACCATAATGACTATCTAATTTGCATTTTTATTATCCTGTCACAACATCCCATAATTTGATAGTATGAGCTGAATCACCAGATGCTAATGTAGTACTATCAGGAGAGAAACACACCGATTTAACATAATTAGTATGACCATCAAATTTCTATACTTATTTCCCTATTTTCAAATTCCACAAATACACAAATTTGTAACTGGAATAAGCTAATGTCTGACTATTTGGTGAGAAGCACACACATTATGCTTCCCTCTTACACTTAAAAATAAACTTTATATTTCCAGTTCTAACATCCCAACAAAGTATAGAATTATCACCGCTGCAAGAAACTAATATCTAACCATCTAAAGAAAAGCAAACATTATTTACTCTACCTCTATTACATTTTAACTTCATCACCTCATTTATTATTAAATTCCTCCATTTACAATTAATTAATTTTGCTTCACTCAAATTCATTCCACTAATATTGATATTGTCAAATTCTGATCCACTCAAGTTGCATCTCACTAAGTTAGCTCCCACCAGTGAAGTATTTCTAATTCTTATATTTTCAAATGATTATTTTTTTAAATCCTCCTTCATTTCAACTAATAAATGAAAAGCATTTGATCCACACTATATGTATTTGTCATCTAAAGATGTAAGATGAACAAAAAATTTTAATAGTTCTATGATCTTCTTATCCTAAGTTATTTTTATGATAATATGTTATCTCATTCCTTCGTATTCATCTAAGGAATAATTCTGCTTATTAAAATCATGATTTTTCATTTTTTTGAGAATATAAGTCATTTTCATGCATTCCTACTTTCTTTCTTCAAAAATTGCATCTTTCTTTTGATTCATCCTTTCTGAAAGAAATTCTAGAGAATCTTCAACCTTTTCTAATTTCAACCTTTCAAACAAAAGGCTGAAGAATTCTACATCCATATGTTTTAATGAAGCGAAAACCTTATAAAAATCATTTTTGCTTTACAATTATTCTATATTTTACTTGATAATTGGATTTCCCATAAGAAAATCAAGTTAATATTTAATTTTTAATACATTATTTGAGGTTTTACTATAAAGACTTTGGTTTGAATTTAATTGAAATTATAAGAGGAATAACTGTGATTCATTTCATGATTAGAAAAATATGCAATGATTATTGAAAACGAAAGGTTTCTTCTTTACAGTGTTCAAAAAAATACAACTTAATAAACCATTTTATTATCACCTAATTGCTATCAATAATAATTGTATTGATTAAAGTATGTTTAATTAATTTAAGAGAAATATTGATCTATAAGATATTGATTATTATTTCTCAATGGCAATGAGATTTATTTTGTTTACTTCCTTCATCAAATTTATTGAATAATATAATTAGCAACTTGATGCATTAGAAAGATTTTGTATTCGGAATAAACATCTACCGAACATCAGTAATTTTTTAAATTTTGCATATCCTTTAAGCATATAAAATAACTGTGTATTTGCAAGTTCAAGCGCCGCAAAAGTAAGTAATATATAAAATGTCTTATAAAATAACAATCAAATTACTGAATTTTCATCTCGCATAAAATATGCTCTAGCTCTAAAATTCTCAAATCTAACTCAAATCAAACTTCTAAATACCATCAGAAGATTAAGATAGAAATCCCTCCATAATTAAGATAAATTTTTTAATGATTATCTTCTATCTAAAACCATTTTAATTTATCAACAATTAGAATACGGGAAAATCCCTTTTTTACTATTCTGAATTTGCCTTTTTCTCTTTATTGGATATGGAAATTATTTTTCTAAAAAATTGCTTCATTGATAAATACTTGTAACTTCAACGATCCTCCATGTCAACGCTACATCAAATTTTTTGTTGATACTTTGATAAAATTAGAGTAACACTCTTTCTTGAATAACTCTTTTGATTAATGCTGTCTTTTATTAATCACTTATAGAATCACAACTCATGAAGATGGATTTAACAGTATAAAGAATTCAGATAGAAATGCTCAAAGAAAGATTTCTTTGTTGATATTAACATTAGGGCTTATATTACATTTATGGCTTTATAAATATGATCTTCAACGCTATATTTTGGGTCTTGTGTCTTTGGTACAATTTTTATAATATAACTCAGTGCCAGTCTACTGTAAATTATGTCTTAACAATAAAATCAAATTTCAGTATATCTAAGTTGTTCCTTTCTTGACAATAATAATGCACGGGTAATTAATGTACTTTAATAATAATTTCCATAATAAGATTCATGTACCTTGACTAGTGTTTTGAATCCAGCAAAGTTTGCATATTATCTGCAATAAGGCCAGTAACGTCGAAATTCAGCCACTCAATTTACGGATTGTTGTGATGCTTATTTGTTTTGGTTAACGGCAAGCAAGTTCAGCTCAATACTGAAACTCATATTTAAATTTCAGTTCTTGTACTACTTATACCTTTAACTTCTAGCATCCTTCGTCTCCGCTATTACCTTAAGCTTAAGATATTCAGGTAAGTTTATAATTTGAACTGATGACAACACTTCTTGTGATTAATGAACTAGTCACTGTTCTTCTTCTACTTTTCCGAATAGAACTTATATCTTGCAGTCTCAGATTGCCCAAATTAATAATCAAATCCAGGAATAACTCTTTGATTCTCACAACATGCATTTGCAGATGTAATTATGCAAATTACGATGAAAACTCTAATTCAGAATTAAAAAAGTAGATAATTTATGATGGCTAACTTAAGCTAATTAATTTTTTTCTTTTGAATAGTTTACTTAAGAACATAGCCAATTGCAATACTGGAGACTAGTTACCTTTTGTTCCAAACTGTATATTATATACTGATACTGGATCTTATAATGTTTTGCTTGTTTTCTAGGATTAATTTATTTGAATCACCTCCAAGACCACTTGAAATACTTCTAATTAGGCACTTTCTGATGGATTCTACTAATGCTGCAAGTAGTTGTTCAAATTTTGGATTTCTCTCCCTTTGATACCTCAGGTTGATCCTTGCTTACTATAGTTTAGAATGTATAAATGGATACACTTATTAAGCTACTATTAATTTTGGAACAAAACAAGTCACAGCAGTAAAATGTCAGAAATGATTAATTTATAAAGCTAAGGCTATACAAACAGCAAGTATGATACTGCCAACTGAACATTAATGCTTCGAAATGTAATTCTCAAATTTGAGTATAGGTAATCAGTAAAATGCCTTGTTGAAAGTTATAAAGAAGCAATTATATACTATGATAAGGTTCTTTAAATCGATCACTGTGCTGAATTAAATCACAATCACAATATTATGTTTATTATTTTATAGAAATAGCTAAAAATGAAAAAAACTTAATAACTTTAAAAATGAAAAAAATTAGTGAACTCCTACCTTATCTTGTATTATACCAGAGGTAGTATCAATAAGAAAGCATTTTATCAAATCCAAGCATTCTTGGTCTGTAAATGAATAATTTATTTTTTATTATTATTAAAATTGACTTCTTTCATATTAACAATTGTAAAAGATATTCTGTTAAGTAAAAAATAAATAATCAGTATCGACTTAATATCTCGAGATCACTTATGAACTTTAAACAGAATTGACTCTTAATTTAATTAACTTCTAATCTATTCATTTAAGATATTATCTGTCCCTCTTTCGAAATCTTATCGAAAATCTCAATCCAGCATCAGAAGGAACTAAAATGCATTTATAGGTGAGATGTCTAATTGTTGCTTAAATTCTCAATTTTCCCCCATCACCGAACATTTTTAATTTTCCCAATCCATTACAAAAATTTGATTGGTGATGCTGATAAGTTAGGTTGGTATATAGATGATATATATATGCTGTTATAAACCAAACCCAGTAAAAGAGAAAGAAATTTATCTGAGATTATTATACAATAATAACTGTTATCTTCAGTGTGTAACTTCATCTCTAGAATGAAATTGATGATAAATTATAATTATAATTTAATATCTTTATATTCAATTCATATGAATAAAGGATGTCTAGCACATTATGGCTTTTTTCTTTTGTATAATTTTTTCCATGCTTAATATTAATCTTTGATGATAAAAATTGTTTCTACAATAATACCTGCAGATAAAATAATTATATGAATCCATCCCAATATTATTTTTCTCTCTTCATTAAAATATTCATTACATTCTTTGATGTATAAGAATGAACTAAGCATAAAAGTCAATACTGATATCTCAACCACCATTTAAACAATATAATTCTTTGTGTTTTGAATCTGCCTATAACTAAATAACAAACTAATCTAAAGCACATTTGTCATGAAGAGTAATCCTAATTATAATATTTGGGAATTTTAAAAATTAATCAAGTAGAATAAAAAGAAAAATTATCTACCATAACTTAAAATTTCAAACCTTTTCATCTTTGATAGTTTTTATTTACATTTGAAACTATCAAGCAATATTGTAAAATAAAGAGTAAGAAGTACGCAAGTCATAATAATTTGCACAATATCTAAGTAATTACTAGTTGAAAAGGTTCGTGTATACAATAGTATTTTAAACGTCATATCCCAACCATTTAGAATTAAAGCTTTTTATAATCCTTAAAAAGACATATATTTTTCCAAATTAAGTAATTTTAGGCAAATTTTATAAAAGGATTTCTAACAATTAAAAACCATTTTTGGATTTACATACATAGATAAAGTTGAAGCATAGTAAAAGTTCCTTTAACAAAATATCCATTTGAACATCACTTTTTTTATCAAATTACACAACAAAATAAGAAATAAAAATGTTAAGCATTATAATATTTGGAATGAAAGATTGATGATTAAGCTTGGGTTTTATTAGTAAACAGCAAACTTTCCTTCAGAATATGGTTATTAGTTTTACTGAAGCTCAAATAAAGAAAATATGTATTAAAAATCTAAAAAATCTAATAGAGGTTGAATTGTTAACAAGTCATTAACAGAAAAATAAATCTCTAAATTTTATGGAAATTAAAGGTTAATGTATCTCAAATATTATTGGGATTAAAGGATTGCCAATATTTCGATAAATAAATTTCCACTTCCTAATATTAGATGTGCACAGGTAATACCAGACAAACCATAGATCAAATACATATTTAAATTTTTCAACTTGTAAGCATACTCTTTCTAAGTTTCTTCAAGATATTATGGATATTGTAAAGTTATTGATTTTGTAAAGTCATCCAAAACAGAATTATCCATATTAGCAACAGTTTGATTAACTTCAATTGTTAAGATAGGTCGAAATTCAAGTAATTGATGGATTTCAATTTCTATGACATATTCTCCAAAACTTACATATGATCCCACATCCTCAATGACATATAAGCTGCTATTCCAACTCTTCTTATTTAAATTTGATAATTTAAAATTTATTGTTTCTGATAAAGGTTAGGTTGAGTAAATTTTTACTTATTAGTTAAACTAGACTCTTATGTATTATAAATTTGAAGTCATGTTGAGATAAGTCATTACTATTTTTGGTGCTTAGATAAATGCGCACTAGCTAGGAGAATCTCTTATCATTGCGGTGCATATCCAATTTTATTCAATCAAGCAATCCCTGCATCCATCAAGTACTTCCAAATTTCCATCATCGCATTCCTCTTGTTACTAAAGAAATCCATCTCCACATTATAATTATAATTATAATTAGAATTTGCATTAATTTGAAATTAGCAATTCATAGTAATCATTGCACTTTAAACAAATACCTGAATAGCATTCACGGCAATTTTCTGGACACGAATAAGAATATTTGCAATCAAAGCATCCATCAAATTAGATTGTATTGCCATCATCACAATCTTCTTCTTTTGTGACAATTTAATCGCCACAAACAGAAAGACACCTATTATTAACAAATCTATATCCATCTTCACATTTTAAAATGCATTACCCTAGGTAACATATGTTGCAATCTTCAGCACATTGAAATTTACATTCAAAGCAACCATCATAAGGTTGTAAATTTCCATCATCACATTCTTCGTATTATTAGAGAACAAATTTATCTCCGCAATGAGGAAAACATTGATTATCTAAAAGTTAATATCCATGCTCACACACTAAGCACATTGAAAGTAGTTGGCGTCTACAATTAGCTATAAATACAAATCTACAATCCTAACAATGATCCCATTCTCCAGAATCTGTTAAATCGCATTATTCAGCCGAATAAGGAACAACATTACCATCTCCACACAAAGAAACACAATTAAAATCAGAATTAAGATCAAATCCAAAAACACATTCAAAACAAATTCCAAACACACAAGTTTTACAAAAGTTTATGCATGAATATTTGCATTAATAACAAGAATCGTTAGATATTAAATTAGCGTCATCGCATTGTTCTTAACCTTGGATAATCCCATCACCACAAATTGGATGACAATTTTCAAGAAACTTATCTTTAACCCAACCTTCTTTGCAAATCAGACNGATGTGCACAGGTAATACCAGACAAACCATAGATCAAATACATATTTAAATTTTTCAACTTGTAAGCATACTCTTTCTAAGTTTCTTCAAGATATTATGGATATTGTAAAGTTATTGATTTTGTAAAGTCATCCAAAACAGAATTATCCATATTAGCAACAGTTTGATTAACTTCAATTGTTAAGATAGGTCGAAATTCAAGTAATTGATGGATTTCAATTTCTATGACATATTCTCCAAAACTTACATATGATCCCACATCCTCAATGACATATAAGCTGCTATTCCAACTCTTCTTATTTAAATTTGATAATTTAAAATTTATTGTTTCTGATAAAGGTTAGGTTGAGTAAATTTTTACTTATTAGTTAAACTAGACTCTTATGTATTATAAATTTGAAGTCATGTTGAGATAAGTCATTACTATTTTTGGTGCTTAGATAAATGCGCACTAGCTAGGAGAATCTCTTATCATTGCGGTGCATATCCAATTTTATTCAATCAAGCAATCCCTGCATCCATCAAGTACTTCCAAATTTCCATCATCGCATTCCTCTTGTTACTAAAGAAATCCATCTCCACATTATAATTATAATTATAATTAGAATTTGCATTAATTTGAAATTAGCAATTCATAGTAATCATTGCACTTTAAACAAATACCTGAATAGCATTCACGGCAATTTTCTGGACACGAATAAGAATATTTGCAATCAAAGCATCCATCAAATTAGATTGTATTGCCATCATCACAATCTTCTTCTTTTGTGACAATTTAATCGCCACAAACAGAAAGACACCTATTATTAACAAATCTATATCCATCTTCACATTTTAAAATGCATTACCCTAGGTAACATATGTTGCAATCTTCAGCACATTGAAATTTACATTCAAAGCAACCATCATAAGGTTGTAAATTTCCATCATCACATTCTTCGTATTATTAGAGAACAAATTTATCTCCGCAATGAGGAAAACATTGATTATCTAAAAGTTAATATCCATGCTCACACACTAAGCACATTGAAAGTAGTTGGCGTCTACAATTAGCTATAAATACAAATCTACAATCCTAACAATGATCCCATTCTCCAGAATCTGTTAAATCGCATTATTCAGCCGAATAAGGAACAACATTACCATCTCCACACAAAGAAACACAATTAAAATCAGAATTAAGATCAAATCCAAAAACACATTCAAAACAAATTCCAAACACACAAGTTTTACAAAAGTTTATGCATGAATATTTGCATTAATAACAAGAATCGTTAGATATTAAATTAGCGTCATCGCATTGTTCTTAACCTTGGATAATCCCATCACCACAAATTGGATGACAATTTTCAAGAAACTTATCTTTAACCCAACCTTCTTTGCAAATCAGACATGTATTATCAATTTACTCTTAACAACCTTCAATCTATTTGCTTACTATTATTTCTGATTATTGCTAAATTACTCTTAAAGAGCAATATTTATCTTAAATAGTTCCAACAGGACATATTGGATGACAAGTTTCAAGATATTTATATTAAATCCAACCTTCTTAGCAAATCAAGCATTTATCCTCAATTTAAGCTAAACACCCTTAATTCAAATAATTAACAATTATTTATTCTGGCTAAGTGTAAAATACGTCAAAATCTCTTATTTACCCATAGTCACTAATTGGTTGGGTTTAAATCTTGAGTGTTAATATAGTATCATAATGATTTTCTATTAATATTTCTACTTGCTAATAGTAGGAACTTATAGTTTTTATGCCTTATATATAGTCTACAATAATAGTATATCCATCAGCTTTAAAAAACCTTATTAATACATCTTTATGTAGAGGAAGTTTAGTAGAATATTGAATTTATTAATATAACAAATATTGGCAATATCCACAATAGTAATGATCAGAATACTATGGTACATATGTCCATCCATCAAAATTTGTCAGTGATATTTAGATAAATGAATATTAATGCAGTTTCCATTTTAAGCAAAATATTTTTTAATTCTCTATGCAACCATCACAATTATACTAACATTTTATGGTACTTAATTTTAATGATATTAATCCCCCTCCATTAAAGGTTTCAACAAACATCCAAACAGTTCGTCTATTATGCTAAATTATCAAAGTTGTAGACTAAATGTATTCTTAAAGTGAATTTCCACAAAGTTGATTTTAAGACAAAAAAGTTGACTCAAAATTAGGCCTTCTTCTATAGTCTACTTCAAATACAGGAACAGAAGTGTCTCCATCAATACTTCACAAATTAATAATATTGTTACTTTAATATTTTACAATCTACTTAAATATGGGAATGATCTTCAGGAACGTTAAATAATTTGCTATTAACAACAAGGCCACCATAAGCCGACCCAAAATAGTGGATCCCTCCACAAGAAGTGAAAATAGTATCACCTCCCAAATCCTGCCATCCTAAAATATAAATTATAAGAAATTACCATCTCTGTTATAGGAATTAGCATTAAACTAATAAATCAAAGTTTGATAAGTTGTATAAATTAAACTAATCAATAATCTCATAATAATTAATGTCAATTGTAGAATTTTATAATTTCATTTATATAAAATGATAGAATTATATAATTAGTTTGTATGGAATGAAATAAAAAATTAATGAGCATAATTAAATTAATATAAAGACTTTAGGATAATATTACTATGTAACCTGTAATGGAGAAGTATTTCCATTATTCTTGTAATTTTTTTTGGGAAATCCTTAATTTTTTGTATTTGATCTAATCAAATTTCGATTGAAAAACACTCACCTTCCTAGAATTCAATTAACAAATATTATATGGATTTTAATTAGAATTTTAGTTGAATACTTCTTATAAGAGACAGTTTTTCCCAAATAATTTCAAAATTTAAACTTTCCTTTTTTTATCTCTATAAACTTAAATCATTAAATCTTAGGGACAAAAGATTGAGAATTGCTGAGATTAATCTAAGAATTAATAAATGGTGGTAGCAGATTCAAAAAGTAAGCCATAAGGTTTATAAAGGAATTTCTGATCTAAGGTTTTTGATGCTAACGTAAAGTTCAGTTAGTGGAGGAAATCTAGCAGAAAAATTAAGTATCAATAAAATCGTAGCTTGGATCACATTTGTAAAGGGGATAAATATTAAAACTTTTTGTTGGCTTAAGCAAATCATTTTAGGGGTTGCAACTATGAGAATGATGGTTTTAGTAAAGCATAATTAGGATTTTATATAAATATATTTGAAAATTTCTAGAAATTGATATCTTAATTAATTCATTTTCCCTTAATTGTTTTCTAGGGGGTGATCTACATTCTTGAGTTATTATTTAACTTTTGATTTATTTAGATTTCCAAGTTTGCATTTTTCCTTAAACGTATATTTATATTGATAAATACAATTTGATATTCATCCTTATATTATTTAAAAAAAAAACTTAAGCCAAGAATCTTAACTTTGATATAAGTAATCCGATGCTTAGCAAGAAGATAGAGATTAATGATGACCAACATCATAAATAGCGAAATGAAACAGAAATACATTAAACTATAACCAATCATTGAGATCAGCCTAGATTTCAAAGTAGTATTTGAAGAACTAGGATGCATGCAAGTAAGTTCTCAAAAACCAACTCTCATATTTTAAAATCAATTATTCAAAAAAAAAGTAAGCTTAGATTATATATAGAAGTGAAGTATATTTTATTAAAAGTTATCTTTTCTCAACTAAATACATAATCAAATCCAAATCTTCTCCTCTTTTGAATCTTTTTTCATTATTATAATATTAATTTATTTTATAATATATACTATACCCATTTTGTTTAACAATTTCGTTAAACTAAATGTCAAATAATCATCTAATTAATAAAATATAGAGTAGATAATCAAAAAGGTATTCAAGGGTAATCAAAATAAAAGGGAATAAAATTTAATTAATAAGAATTAAAAATATTTTATATGTCAAATGTCAATTTGTGCAAAAAACATTCTTAAATGACTATCATTCAGACAAATTTAGAGGAAGTTTCAGATGATCAGAAGTATTGTATTTAATGCCTAATAACTGGCAAAAAGAATTTAATTTTAATCGATAATGCATAAGAATAATTAATAAAACATAAGACATTGCTTATCAATGAAAAAACAGAAGAAGGGTAGAGTAATCTTGACTAATTGAAAACACTCAAAGAAAATCTACTATTATTAAAATAACAGATTTCTACATCAATTGATAATTATATTGATTTTATTTCTTAATAAATCAGAATCTAGCAGGATTTCTAAACAAAGTCTATTAATGAAATTTAATGTCTTTAAACAAAAGATGTTAATTAATATATAAAATAATATTTGGATATCCAAAAATCTTAAATTAATTTTAAAGAAAATAGATAGTTCCTTTTAAAAAACTTAAGCCGCATTTCAAATGATTAAATTTCCGTTAAAAAATACTAAGAACTTTTAGAAAGAATCAGAATTGGATTTCAGAATTATGCAAATAAATAAATAAATGAATTAAAGTCTATGGATTCTCACATCTAAAGCTAATAAAGAATTAATCTAACATGCTAGGATCATATTGGTTCATAAATTATTATGGTTGATATAAATGAAAATAAAAAAGCAAAAAGTAGATTGAATTGCGTTGATTGTATTGCATAATATCCCACAAATTATATTACCATGAATTAATTTGAATAAAGTCTATTTACATTCTAGATGTAATTGTTGAATTATTATAATGAATATAAACTCAAAATTTTTCATAAAAAATAAGAAATTAATCAACTAAGTTTAGATTTCAAATAAAAATCTATTAATTTTCTTAATTTTAAGAATTGCCAAATAGATAAAAGCACTGAGATATTTTATCATAGGATATCTTATTAAACTAGATTAAAATAATTTAATTGGCTTGCATTATCAATAGCAGAAGTTAATTAAATCGCAGAAGATATTAGTAACTCTAATTTTATGACTAAATATTAAGAATTAATGAGAATAGAATTTGAAAACTGGAAGGTAGCATTCAATGCAGAATACTAAGAATTATTGATTAAAAATAATGAACTTGATTAAATGATTCAGCAAATTGATTAAAAAAGCAATAAAATTCCAAAAAAGTAATATCGTTAATTAGAAATTTCAAATGGCTAGATTTAGATATAGTTAATAATTTAAAGATAATAAAAAGAGTAACAAAATAATTAATCATATTTTATATATTCTAAATTAGATGAACTTTCTATTTAATAAAATGAATATTGTTATGCAATTGCAATTAATTCTGATTGCTCATTAATTGCAACTGGATCCAATTCATTGATTAGAGTCTTTGCAATAGAAGGAAAAACAATCAGATTATTGTAAAACTTAGATGAGCATAAGAATGCTATATTCACTTTAAATTTTATGAAAATTTCTAATTCAATTATTTCAGGAAGCTGTGATTAATCAATTAAAATATGGAATAGAAATTAATAATCATAATGGCATTGTTAATAAACACTCCAAGGTCACACAAGTTTTATATATTGTTTGATATTGAATTAAACCTAAGATTTAATTATATCAGGTAGCGATGATAAAACTATTAAATTCTGGGCAAATTAAAATGGATGGAATTAATCATAAACAATAGCAGTTCACACTAGTAATGTATCAGGATTGAGTTTGAATTGTACAGAAAAGCAATTAATTACATGCGGTGATGATAAATTAATTTTAATCATAGAGAATTCAGACACATTTTAAAGCAAATGGAATGTAGTATAACAAATAAAATTGGAATAATCTGGATATAGATTATGCTTTATAAATGATAATATCTTTGCATTTTAGCCAAATTCCTCAACATTTATGGAAATATATTAATCAGATAATCATACTAGAATGTATACTAAAATCAAGATTGTAGGAGTGGAAAATGGAAATAATTGTAATTACCTATTTCCTTAATAATTTATTAAAAAAAAATAAATCCTTATAAACAAAAACGGAAATAAGATTAATTTTTTGCATGTCTCACCAAACAACGAAATTAATCTAGTATCATTTTTAGACTTTGGTACTAAAAGTATTTTTGGTTAAATTAGTGAAACTGGAGAATTTCTAGTTACTTGGGATGACAAGTCTAAAGAAATACAGATTAGGAAGTTAAGTTCATTACAATGAAATCAACATATACATGTTTAATTAGATAATAAGCTTGGATTGAATTAAAGTATTAAAAATATTATGACATTATTATTATTAACTTTTCCCATCAAGTTCTACAATTCCCTAGAATATTTATTCTATATTGGGGATCCAATATCAAAAGTTTTAAAGAAAATAGAAATTTTTATATCCAGAGAATGATATCAGAATTAAGTTTACAATAAAAAGGTTGTGAACAAGGAAAGCAAATATTTAATAAACTAGTTTATTGATTATAATTTTTCTTAAAGTTGAGTTAATAAATTCATATTTTTACTCCAAAAGCAATGGAAAATTTTCAATGACTATATTTAAAATAATTGAAGGCTTCGTTTCAATATTTTCTAAAAGTATGAAAATGTTATGTGTTGATTTCCTTATCACTTCTTAAGTAAACATACGATAAATTGATATAAATCATAGCACTTGAATGCATTTGATTCATAATCTGACTGGCTCATGGATTTAAACGATCATAACATGTTGTAATCTAAATTAAATATGTCTTCTTTAATCTAAATATAGTAGCTGTCGCGATTGAGAGTATTAAATATTTTCAAATTCAATAACTTAAAAACTTAATAATAATAGTTCTGAAGATGAAAAACCTTTTAACATAAAATGTAAGTTTTTTTTAAATTGAATTTATTAATAATAAAAATTGTTTAATTGTATTCATCATTCCTAATAGATAACCTTTGGAAACTAAATTTGATTTATTAAATGAATACTTGATAAGCGTCCAAACAAGGTTATGAAGAAGTGAACTCTTAAGTTACTCCTCCAAAGTAATTGGGGCTTTTCAATTTTACAATTATGGCAGGACCCATAAGAATTGATTTGATTTCAATAGGAATTTGATTTTGCAATTTGGATTGTTCGCCTTAACATATTTAAAATAATGTTCCAGTATAATTGCATTCACTATAAAAATTAACACATGGGACAGCAAGTCTTAAAATAAAGTCTCTGAATCCCCAAGATTCTAGAATTCATTCAAAAAATTATACCATCCAAAAGATCTTCAGTCCAAGAATCAGTTTGTAAGTTGTCTTTTAACTTTATTGTTAAATCCGTTCCTGTAATTTACAATCTGAATGAAAGAGGCTAAAATAAGTCTTCCCAAACCTCATTTCGACAGATCATTGTACCATCATGAAAGCTCAATTTTAAATTTTCTATTTAAACATCATTTGCATAAATCTCAAATCCTTCACTATCCCAAGAGTCTAATTTCCAAATACCAACTTGAAATTCAATTAAGTTGTTTGGGGGTACATTCGTAAATGTCTTGGACACTATGGTTTAAAATCCATAAGGTCCCATGAATAGGTTTTTAGGTTGGGAGCCACACCGTTCTAATGTTGCAGAACTTAATCCAATAATTGAAAAATCTGAATATATACAATCAGATGCATTGTCAGTTATACAATTTTCATAAACTATCGATTTCAGAAATAATATCTTCAAAAATGAAATCATCATTTTGTGCTACTTGAAATTATATTAAATTTAAGATTAAAAGATAATTTAAAGATAGATAAAAAAAAAAGCTACTTGGTGATAAATATTTACTTAAAAGAAATAAAAAATTAAGCTTACTAGTTATATATAATTGATATCTTGATTATTTAGAGGATATTAAAATGCTTTAATTTTCATTAATGTTTTAATAATAAGTAAAGCTATAAATGGGATTTTTTTATAGATGATTTTGGATTTTGAAATTAGTTTTACTTTACTGTTTAAATAAAATAATGAATTTTATTTTCCAACATTCTTTTTGTAAAATAATATATATATTTTGAATGAGATTAATTATTTGTATTATTAATCAATTTAACATTAATTTTAATTAGAATGTTTAAGATAGTTAATCCTATAAATTTCATCTTTATTTAGTCTCTGTGATCTTAGAAGGTTGCTTAACTTAGCAAAGCCTACAGCTAAAAGGATCAGTTTAATTGTGTTTGAATTGAAATTTTTGAGTTTTGTGATGGCTTTTTGCAAAAAGTACCTTTGAAAAGTATATTTTATTTATAGTCATCTGGAAATGAATTTATAAAATAGAGAATTAAAGAGTTATCTTACTTTTCAAATATTATCAGGTTTCATTCCAAACTATCCCACTTGAATATCTTTTGGTATATTTAAACATTAAACTTTAAGAACTAAAATGGAATATTTTTGGTGTTTGATTCTGACTGTTGATATTTTTAAATACACCCTACATTTTTTCATTCTAGGTAGTTGAGATTAACTTCAGAAAAATAACTTTTTGTGAAGAACCCTCTTCTAAAACTAAGCTTAACATAGAAAGTAACTTCACTTAAATTATTAATCTTTAAAATTTTATAATTTAACAATCGAAATAATAGATTAGGATTAGATTACTTATATGTGGATTCTTAGTCATTCAAATTATGCATAATACGATCTATATTTTAATTTTATCTGAAGTTAGCTAGCCTTAATGTATTTAAAATAAAACATTTTTTATATCCTTTTCTATTTAGTGATTTTTATTCAATATTATTCTTGAATAATTTACATAGGTAAAATAATAAAGGGATTGTATGACAACAACCGGGTTCTAATTAAATAACAACATTATTATATATTGGATACTTAAATGTTAGGGAAGTAATTACAGTTAAATAATAATATCATTTTATTTTTATGGGTAACTCTTATAGGAAGTCTGACTATGGAGATATTGCTATAAGAACAGAACAACCGTTTTACTTTGCAGGTGACTTGGCTAGAGGCATATAATTAATATAATTTTAGGTAATATATATTTGAACATTTGCAAAACAGGTTAGAAAGGAAGTGTCATTGAATTTTCAATTGTAGGAAAAGAGAAGGCTGAATGGGATGAGGGAAGTGGTGACGAATAAATAACATATAGAGGGAAAAATAAATTCTATTCTTAATCAATTCCCATTTACACATTCTAAAATTAAATACCCGAAATTGGGTAATATGTTTTTCCTTTTCAATTTTAACTACATCCTTAAATTCCAGGATCATTTGAGTATAAAGGTCTTCATGAAAGTGGCTTTATTACCTACAAAGTTAAAGCAAAATTTACATCATCAGATCAAAATAAACCAAACATTAGAAACAAATAGGAATTCCTAGTTAGAGAACCAATTAAATAATTGGTGATTGGATAGCAGTAAGAAAGAATGAATAATCTTTATGTTTGCTGTTGTATTAATAAAGGGGTATTTTTAAGAGCATAATATTTATAAAGACTTCGAGAGTCAAGGGTGCTTGTGATAAGAATCATTACCTGCAAGGAGATACTGCTAAATTGACTCTTGAGATTGATAATTCGAATTGCTATTTGAATATTAGATATTTTGATATTGAATTGTTAAAAGAGTTGATATTAAAAGCTAATGCTAATTCACATAAAAGTATATAAACGGTACTAGCTTAAAGAATTCCAGGAATTTAAGCTCGGTCTAAGCAAGTTGGCTCTGAAAGCAGAATTATTGAAATAAAATTGATGAATCAAAAAAGACCACAACTTGTATTAACTCCGACAACTAATGGCAAAATTGTGAATCAATAATATTATCTAAAGATTACTCCTAAATTTTAAGGTTTCTTTCATTGATATATATAAGGTTGTATTTGTTGTTCAGCAAAACCTGTTATATAGTTCTAGATAGTAATGTTGTATCTAATTCCTTCTGATTACATTTAACCACTTCAGTAACCCTCTGATTGGAATCCTTAAACATTTGAACCTGTTTTGATAAAATTTGATCAGTAGCATTAGATGAACATTGCAAATAATATGCAATAAAATGGTCCTTTTTAGGATAAATAGTGATTCTAATTTAAAATAAATAATATATACGATAAAAATAGTTTATACTCATTAGTTTAAATTTGATTAATAATTACTTTACATTCAGCAAGTCTAAAATTAACTTTAAGCCCGAAATTTATTTTAGAATTTAAAGAATTAAATAAAAGAGGAGGAAGATTGTGCAGGATATTTGAAAGGGACTAATAAAGAAATTTAAAATATCAATTCTAAAACTGCTTTAAACTCTCTAAACAGAAGCAATAATAATTGCCACAATATAGAAAGATGAATTGGTAAAGTGATATGCTTTTAAGAATGGATAGCAATCAACTTTAGTTCTGAAAATTGAGATATTATTAACTTAAATTTATTTATAATCGCTTTATATGAGAATATTAGAATTAATTAAAATAAAATAATTAAATTTTAAATGATTATTAATGAGAATTCAATTTCAAGTAGAGTATTGTTTTCTTTAGTTGACAAATCTATCTATGTCAAAAATCAACCCCCTTAGTAGATTGCAATAACTAAGGATTCATCCATTTTAGCATTAGGGGTTAAAGACTAGATGTTAAAATTTTATTAAATGAAAAACTTGAAAATGATCTCATAACATAATATTCAATCAACTTGGATTTATCAATTGGATGTAGCTAAACAATCTAATTAATTCATAGCAACATTAGAGAAAAATAGAAAAGATATCATCTAATTCTATTCAATAGTTAATTTGAGCTGTTGTAAGCGACTCTATGAAATTCGAATAAATTTGCTTTATTCAATAAAACTAAGTTATGATGAAAATTTAATCATAATTGGAGGATCTGATTCAATTGTTTTATTTAAAAAAAAATTAACAATTTGGTAAAAGATTTAATCAATAGAATTGCCAAATTGTTATGCAAAGGATTTAGATATAAATAAAGAATCCTCTATTTTAATAACTCTATCTGAGGAATCAAAAAAACTATTTATACTTAATCAGTCAGACTTAAAATGGGAAATAGCTTAGGAAATAAAAAATAAGGAATTTGGGAAAAAACTGTGTTTTATTACTAATGAATCATTCATTGTGACTTTACAATGGAGTGATATTCTTGTTTATAAATTCAACACAATAGAATTAAAGTTTTAGATGACTAAATAAATCTTAATTTAGAAGTATGAATTATTGGAATGCAAATTCTTACAGTTTATTCAATCAAAATATTTACTCGTTCATTAACATGGTTATTATTCGAACTTAATTCAATTTAAAGACCAAGAATTAAATACAGTGGAATAGAAATGCAATATCGAATAGGGATCTATTAGATTAGTTTAAATCAGCGATGATGGGAATTATTTAGTTACAGTTAATCGGGATAATCAACTTGATTTAAGAAGATAAATTCATCCCAGTTTCAATTTTAATCTTGTTCATTCTTATCCTTAAATTAATTAACCAACAGGGATGATAACTAATTATGATGCATCAATATTGGTAATAACATATGAAGGATAGTTTCAAGTATTAAAGAAGGATTGTTAATAATTTAATGTAATTCAAACAACAAATATGTAAGGTTTAAATTGTTCTAGCTTATATTTTATGAAAAACTCTGATCAATTTATAATGGGTAGCATAGATGATGAAATAACAATTTGGCTTTGGAATTCAATCGAATAGCATTACTCACAATAAACCAGAATAATTGGCCCATCATTCTAAATCATTATGAATCAGACCGAGGATTTATTAATTTTTGCAAAAGATCGGTATTTAACTTTTTGGGAAAAGATGTAGGATGGATTTAGCAAATTTTAGACATTAAGGAAATCTGAATATCTATTTTCTTAGTTAAGTATAAATGAATCTGGAACAAAACTATGTGCAGTTTAATATGATTTCTCTATTGTTATTATTATTTAAGAAGTTGATTAGAAATCGAAAAGAAAATGGAGGTTTCATTCTAAAATTAAAATAGAGGCTATTGGAATCTAATCTTCATTTCTTACAGAGACAAAACTCTTGATAAAATAAAAGAACGTATCAATTTTAGATCTATATGAACTTAACAATCATAATAATTAGCTTATTAAAATTAAATAAACTTAATTAATTTAGAATAATCATGTAAGTTAGACTTATGATAATTTTCAGAAAATATAATTGCAGTTTAACAAGTTAAAATCTATTTTAGTAATTTAAAATAATAATGAAATTTACCTTGCTGAATATGATCAAAGTAGTAATATAATAATAAACTATATTATTCAACAAGTGGATTATTATAGTTTATGCGACAATGGGAATTTTTTGGTTACATTTAACAAAGAAAACAACCATTTAAATGTTTTTTAAATTCTTACTAAATGAAATGAATAAATTTTATATAAATTAAATATATATTTAATGTTAATAATTGCACTTATAATTCATCCATCAGCAAAAAATATTTCAGATTTTACCAAGAATGTTGGCTAATTGGCTTTTAAGAAATACATTATTTCAAAATTAAATTAACTAAGCATGAAATCAGCACAATATATTATATTTTTTAAACACATGCAGCGCAGTAATCAAGGAATAAAAAATTTCTGTTTTTTAGAAATCAAAAATTCCTCAACTTTCTTGTATATTCCACTTCATCTATAAATCGCATTTTCTAATTTTCATATTTGCTCAAGATTTACTTGAAGCAATATCCCAAATAACATGTCTTTCCAGGATTTTTACCCTCACATTTATAAGTCACATATAACTTATTGATTTATGTTCTAAAGGATGTGAATTTTATAAGAATTAAGAATCATAAATGATATAGCGTTACGAAATGCATTTGAGCCTTATCATGGCGAATCATTCTGTTTTCGATCATTTTCCTGATTGTAGAATCTATTTATATTTCTTGAAATTTTCTTAAATTAGTGCTGCTTATCAGAATTAAAAAAAAAATCATAGGTAAATAGTAATGGTTTCTAACGATTTAAAGGACAGTAAGATAATGAATAATTGACTCAAATACTTAATTCAAATATCTCCATAATTTAATTAAAAAATGAATAATAAAAATTTGATAAATATTAAAATCAAATATCTATTAATATATTTCTTGAAGTTAAATAATTATAAATTATTACCAATTTTACAAGCTACTAATATGAACTTCTTTTTATTTAAGTACATAATCATTATAGAACTATGATTCTACTTACTAAATAAAGATTTTTGATTAGTTGATTATTCATATTCGATTAAATTAATAATCTTTAAGAGTGAATTAGTTTAGAAATTTTCATAAAAACGATATCAAATTTACAAATTATTTTATTTACTATCATTGAATTTGTCATTTATCTTTGAGAAATTACTACCATAAATTAATAAAAGTATTAAATTGAATCATAAGTATATTAAAGGAATATTCAAATTGATTCTTAAATTAATTCACTATTTTTTATATTAAAAACATTGAATAGACATTAATGCTTATAAACATTTTTGACTTAATGCTTTTCATCTTTTTATTTTAGTAAGCACATTATACATATTATAGATGTGTACATAATTATTGCTAATTTTCAACATTCATGCCTCTCTTAAGTAAAAGCAATAACTAATTTTCTATCGAAGAAGTCTTACCTTAAGATATTATTTAAGGCAAGACAAATACAGGATTTGGAGTTTGGATGAATTATTAACCATTGACATAAATAAGTGAGCTATGTAAAGACATAATTTATCGTATTCTAGCTAATAGGGTCTCCTAGGATTTCAGTAGATTGAGCGAATAAATTATTATAGAAGGAGGCCAATTTATTTATTCAATTGAGCAAAGCAATGATAAATTTACATGGTTGGTTGTTTCTGCTGATATTGACTCAAATAAATAAATAATTAGCCACAAAGTATTTTACTCTTTCAAGACTTCAATTAATACTTTATCGTTTGAATTTGATAATTTTTTATATGAAGGGTAATGGATATTGTTTTATTGCTATTTTGACAATATTTAAAAATAAACTGTAATAGGATTTTACAATTCTAGAGAAGCTTTATCTATAAAGGTTATAAAAGATTTGCCAGAATACGTTTAAAAGTTAAACCACAAGGTGGGAAATGTTTATTCATATAGGAATTAAGATGGTAATTTGATATTATTAAGCCAATTCAAAGGCCCTCTCACTAGTACTTTTTCTGCTGATTCATAGAACGTTTTCTTAGATATAGACTCTTGTGCTTCAAGTCTTTATGAATATGCAGATTGTTATGGGCTGAGTTATTAAATAGGTGAAAATAATCAATAAATGGATGGAAGTCATTATCTTAAAATATCGACTCAAGAAAATGATACACCAAAATATGTTTTTAAAGGTTGGATTATGCTAGCATAAAGCATATAAACCTTTTTGGAGACTACAATTTTTAGAATAACTGTGAATTCAGATTATGGCGATGATGTTAAGATTGGAGATAGAGATCTACTACTAAAGTATTATTAGAGTAATGTACCTGCTGAGAATGGATTTGAAATATCAACTTATTCATATCAGTTTCCTATAAAAAAGAGATACAAGACAAATGAAGATGATCAAATTCAATAATTTGGAGACGAATATTCAGTGTTGTTTATACAATGGCATTATTTTGTATATGAAATAGGAACAGTAAATAATAATGAGTAGCCAATCTTTTCTATCTTTTTTCCTTCAATCAATTAAGTTCGCACATTTACTTGGAGTAAAACAATACGACATTTCTCTGGAACTAAATTTTATGTTTACTTAGGAGGTGATGATTACAATACAAATTATTTAAACGGATTTATTAGTGACGTTTCCTTAGATCTATTATGTGATCCATATGTTGATGTCAGTACATCTACATGTCATTATTCTTGTTTGACATGTGATGGACCAACTAAATATAACTGTCTAACCTGTCCTGAGCAAAGTTTTAGACAACTTTCCCAAAAAGAAAAAACTTGTGCTTGCTAATAAAGATATGTAGATAAAGATAAGGTTTAAGAATGCTAATCCGTTACTAAAGCATTTCCTCAGATATAGATTTAAGAAGTAGAACTAAGTTGTTAGCAAATAGGCTATAGCAGATGCAATTAGGATGATATTGAATGCAAATTTGGTTACTTTTAATATTAAAATACTTGCGTATACTGGTATTATATAATTACTATTAAGCCCCTTTAATTATGAAACCAATTAAGGCACATAAATGACTTGTCTAGATTGTTTGGTTGCACCAAAATAATTTAGCATTACATTAACGTGTAAGATGATGGCAATAACATATAAATAAAATTAAGACTATGTGTTTTAAATAAAGTAAAGAAACCAAAATGACTATCTATTTTATAACATGGTAACAAATGTAGATGGAATTCGCCAGCTTAAATTGTGTCAAGGTTGCATTAGTTATGAAACATGCAAAGATGGCTACTATCTTAAAGATTAAGAATGCAAGCCATGTATGATTGGATGTAGCACTTGTTAGAATTCATTTGAATGTGAAGATTGCTTTTCAAATTATTATAAAGGTAAAAACAAAATATGTCTTTAATGTGGTAATTGCTTAACTTGCTATACTTATAATGACGCGTCTTATTTTTGTACTAGTTGTTTAGATAACTCAATTAGAATTAACAATCAATGCAGTTCTTGTGGGGATTTTTGTTAGTAGTGTGATTAATCCAGATTCTGTAATTATTGCAAAGGATCACCTTCGTAATATTATTTATCGATGGATGGGTAGAATTGCAGTTAATGTAATATAGAAAATTGCATACATTGCTTTGATTATATTCTTAATGGTGGTCTATTACAAACAACTTTAGATATCAATTTTAAAGTATATAATTACAACTAAAGTTAAGTAAAGGTGGGTTGTGCCTTATGTAAAGAGAATTATCATTATAATTAAAATAATCAAAAGTGCGAATTAAAACAAGAAGATGACGATTGTTAAAATGCCATCATCTAAAATGAGGACTTAAAGAAAACTTGCCTAATTAGTAAAATCAGTCAGGATGCCATTTAAGTATCGAATTGCATAACAATTCCAAATTGTGTTTCATGTATTCACAATTACTTTGATAGTGACTCATTTTGCATAGTATGCTAGGACGGATACTATTCGGCACTTCTTACAGGTTAATGCATTTAATGTGGTTAAAGCTGCAAAACTTGCATTTAATAGAATAGCAAGTATAGAGATTATTGGAAATGGAGCATTAAGGCATTTTATAAATTTGTAATTAATCATAATAATGATCATCCATTTGAAAATTATGCTTCAACAAATTCTGAATCAGATTTGAATTTAGTTTGCAAATCATGTCACTATGGATACATTTTATATGAATAACAATGTATAAAAGATTGCGATTAAACTTGTAATAAATGTGAAATTATTAATGGTAAAGCAACCTGTATTTAATGTTTGGAAACTATATCTGGGTTTATGAAAAGTTAGAATGAAAATGGGATTTGCCTGCAATGCCCGGCTAATTGTAGAGCATGTATGGATAGAAGTGAATCAGAGATCTAACAAGTTAACCCTTACTTTCTTTTAACAGAATAAAATAAATATTTGACTAGAATATGTTATGAAAAATCATAAGTTAATAATGCACAAGAAAAATATTACTAAGATTCATTAACTTAAACCATTGTAGTTTGTAACAAATATGAACAATGTTATAATAAAATTGTTATTCGTTAAAACATTCATTGCGATCCTAAGTATTATAATGAATAAAGATATGAATCAGGTGATTAATACTTTGAGAGCAAGAATATTCTTATTTTCAGATTTTTTGATTTTAGATATTTAAAAGAATAAGAGTCCATTTAACTTTTTGATTATCTTAATGATATTTCAGCAAGACAAATTTAATTTGAATATACTATAATCTAATCTGTAGATGAACCTTGCTAATTTCGAGATTATATAGAGATTTTGTCTTCATTAGCTTAATAAGTTTTCTCAGTGCAATAAATTGACATTAAATTTAAGGGAAAATCAATTTTATCAACCAATCCAATAAATCTCTTGGTACCTCCTCAACTAATTATAAGCAACTTTACAATCATAAGTTTTGAAAATATCAACTTTTAATTTAAGAACAATCAAAATGCATAAACCAAGAATTACGCCTTTTCTCTAAATAATTTAAAAAACAAAATGACTTTGAATCTTAAAGACTGTAAATTTGAAAGTATAGGTGCTACAAAATCTGGATAGATTTTTAAATTTTAGTCTAATATTCCTTATTCTCTTTACATAACAAACCTTGTAATTAACAATATTAATCTGGAATAATCAGATATTTTTACTTTTATTTCCCCAAACACTCTTTCTTAAAATCAGATTCAAATATCGAATATGACAATTGTAAATTCTATATTTACTTATTCAACTATTTTCAAATTCTTAGCCAATAATAATAACCTCCAATATAAATCCAGCCTAAACAATATTAGCATAATTGATACTACTTTCATATTATCTAACTTTTTCATTTGCAATGGTGTATTGGATTATACGATAGGCACTTTAAAAATTCATTAAATGTCTTTCTAAAATGTTTAGATTTTGAATAATTCAAATATTTTCTTCATTCCGATTATGGAATCAGTTCTTGTTTCTAAGTTGATTTTATCAAATTCTCAGCTAAAAGGAAACTCACAATTATATTCAAGCAATGTGATCAATCTATAAGATTGTCTTGTAGATCAAACGCTTATAGAATCAAGTAGTCTAATACATAATAAAGTTGATTATACTAAATCTTAAGTGGCCTTAAGTTACTCAAAGAAAATCCTCATTAAAAACTTACAGGTGTTACACTCTAATTATTCTAATAAATAGCAAATCATAACCATTGTCAAGTATGCTGAAATAGATAAGTTGATGTTTAATTTAACCAATTTCATAATGTAAGATTGTACATCTAGCACGAAATTATAGAATACTTAGGTTTCTTTTGATTAAGTAATGATATATATTGAATGTCAACTATGTTATTTGGAGGAAATTTAAATACAGAGAGGATATGGATTCCCTGAAATGACCATCCTTAATTCAGAGACTTTAGAAATAAGAAATTTTTAATTCTCCTAAAATCAAAAACATTTTTCAAAAGTCTTGCATTCATCTATAGATTGTGTATCATAATTCGCTATTATGGAACTATATTTCTTTCTTTATGTCGGTCAATATCAAAGTATTGCTATTCATAATTTAAATGTACTCAACAGTTTAAGTTTCAATTCCCCCTTGATTATTTTTAAAGGTTATGATTTAATGTAAAAAATAGTGGAAGAAACAATTAACGTGTAGGAATCTTAGTTCAGTTCAAATGTACTAATAATTTCAACCCCTAATAAAAACACAGCCATAATTTCCCTAGAATCAAAATAAAAAGGGCTCATAACCTTTATCAATACACACTTTTTCAACAACCATCTAAATTAATATTATTCAGCCTTGTCTTAGATTTCTTCCACCACTTTATTGTTACTTCTAAAATTTGGAAGTGTTATCTTACAAGGTTGTTAGTTTTATTAGAACTTAGTAACAAACTCTACTGATTCAATTCTACACATTGATTCAGAAAAGATTTATGTTTAGGATTCCAATTTTAAAAGCAACAACATTATGAACTACACATTACTGAGTAGATATACTTTGTTATCAAGCACTTAAGATACATCTGCAATTAACCTTCAATTGATATTTCCAATTAAATCAAGTAGCGGCAATGGTATGATAGTTTCAAATTTAATAGAGATTGACAATATAAAAGTAGATTCCTCTTTTTCTATTTATGGAGGAGGCTTTTATCTAATTACATCTGGAATTAGCACTATTAATATTAAAAATTCAGAATTTTCAAATACCAAAACAACTCTATCCTCCTTGTATTTTTCAAAAGGTGGCTGTTTTTACATCGATGCAGGTTAATCAGCTTTAACTCTCAAGATTAAGAATGTTACATTTGATACCTCATTAAGCAGATACGATGGTGGTGCAATATATATAAATCCGTCTGAATCTTCCAATATAATTGAGTTTGATTAATTATTTGTAAAGGATTGCTTTTCCATTTCAAATTAATTTTTCTCATATGTTCTCTCCAAAAAAGATACTGTTTATTCTTAAATAGTTTTTAAAAATATAGAATTCCTTTCGACAAAAGAAGGACTCGAAAATTATTATTCATAAATAGATAGTATCACTGATGACGATGTTTACAACATTATCCAATCAAATCCTTTGATTTTTGTCCAATTTGGAAATTTTAGCTTATATAATTGTAAATTCAAATCCATTTATATGTAATTTTTACTTAAAATTGTACAAGCTTAAAACATATTGTTGTCAAATATATTGATTACTAATTGCACAGTTGGATTGTCGCCGCTCTTTTAATTGAACTTAAGATAATGTAATAATATATTTAATATTCATAGAATAGGCTGGAAAATTATAAATATACGATCTGTAAATAACTTAAGTTGAGCAATCATCAATGACAGAGAAAAGAGAATGCTTACAAATGAATTAAGTATTTCTTTAGCAATTAGATTGTCCAGCAAATATGACTCAATTAAATGCTCAAATTACAGATCATATTAATAATTAATAACATTTAAATCAATTAATTTGTAATTAAGCTAAAATTTTAAAAGATCCCTCCTTTACATTTAGTTTAATCGAAATAGAATAAATTAGTGTTGTACACAAATTAAAGATTGAGAAAATTGATATTAAAGGTGCTTAATGTACAAAATGTTAGTTTGGTTTGATTAGAATTGTTGATATCGAACAATTAGAGACAGAGAATATTAAGCTTTCTTAAATTTTGATTAAAAATTGTAACTGCGGAAAGACTGGTTGTCTTTCAATATCTAAAAATAAAAATGATCTCCTTATTTAAGACCCTGCTCTTAATTATCGGATGTTGTAATAAAACAATTACGAAAAACTGTTAAATACAATGAAATATTAGTTGATTATTAAATAAAGTTAATTTCTCAATAACTCTGCATCCTATGGAGGTCCACTTTTAATAATTAGAATTCATGCTATAATAAAAGATTGCATTTTTAAAAATAATGTTGCAGGTTTTGGAGGTGCAATTTATTATTCGTCTGAAAAAGAAGAACTATATATTATGGATTCAAAAATCATTGAAAATAAAGCAGAAATTGCAGGAGGTATTTATCTAAGTTCCTAATCACTCCAGTTAACTAAGTAGTTAGATTTATAATTGGATTCTAACAATTCGACCTTATATGGATCCAATGCTTTGGAGAAACCAAGATCATTAATATTAGCAATTATTGAAGGAATATTACTTGAGAAGAAAGAAATTACTAATACTGATAAAGAGATTATTGAACAAATAATTATTAATCCATATAAGATTTTAGGTTCCTCTTCGCAAAAGTATCAATTAATACTACCTTCTGGAATAGCAATAACCAGTTACAGATACTTTGATCCCATCAAATCGGAGTTTATTCCATATAATCTAACATTCAGGATCATTGCTTTAGATAAGTTTAAGGAATAAATTATGGGTTTGCCAGGTTCTTATTGTACTTTATAACCAAAGGCTTTTAATTTAAGTTCTTAACGAGAATAATATAATATTTAATATAGTCTATCTTAATATGATGTTGTATTTAATGAGACTACAGGGGATTATAATTTGGATAATCTAATCATTTACTTTAATCCTACTTATGCTTAGGATATTGTTCTTCGATTATCAATTTAGTGCAATAGCGTTTCTGTTCCTTAATATAAAGAAAGTCCTCCTTTTTAAATTTATAATTATGTCACAAATTATCGATTATTTGTTGATATTCGAACATTTCCTTGCTAATTAGGGGAATTCTTAAATTAGACTTCTGGTGGATGTGTTCTCTGCGATAGTTTTCAGAATTAATACTAAGTAACTTGGGCAGCGTAAAATTGCAGTTATAAAGATGATTCAAAAATTAAATCATTAGAATCTAGTATGATAGAACTAAGGGAGCATTATTGGAGAGCATACTATTATAGTCAAACCATTGAACATTGTTATCATTTGGTGGAAAATTGCAAAGGCGGTTGGAGACCGGGAGATGAATCATGCATATTAGGACACATTGGAGCATTATGCGAATAGTGTGATTTATATGATTCTAGAGGAAGTGGATTCTACTCTGTAAGTTCGGCTTATTCATGTGGAAGTTGTGATTAAATAGCTTACAATGTAATAACAATAGTATTTGTGAGCCTTTGGACTTTAATTTCAACATTGATGTCAGTGAGTAGCACCATAGAAATGATTGAAGAATTTGTAAAAGGTTTAAGCTTGAAAGCCTTTGGAGTTAGAGTAGCAATAAAAGAAGCTTAAACGGCTATTCTAATCAAAGTATTCACAAATTATCTTCAGATTATTTCAACTATTTCTACTTTTTAATTACAAGTTCCAATTGGAATAGCTTCAGTTGTCAATACTGTTGGCAATCCTATTGAATCACTTGCTTATTCATTAGATTGCTTTTTAGCTACCATCACAGATATTTTGATAATATACTTCAGAATTATTTGGAGCTTGATAATGACTTCTACTTATATAACAGTTATTTTTAGTTTATTTGGAATCGCAATAATTATAAAGCAAATAAAATTCAACTTTTCTTTTATTTCTACATCTTTGATATACTTATTCATATTTTTGTAGCCAAATTTGGTAGGAGGAATCGTTTCTTTATTATCTTACAGAAAGATATCAGATGAATATTGGATTTAAGGCAATGTAGCTTACAGATATGACACAATTTAACATGCTAAATGGGTGATCACATTTTGCTTACCCTTATTATTCACCTTTGGAATTATACTTCCTTGCTTTTTGTGGTATGGTGTCTATAAAAATAAACACCATTTAGATTTTTCTTCTGTAAGAAAGACATGGGGGTATTTGTATAATGAATATCGGATTCACGCTTATTTTTGGGAAACTTTAAAGATAATGCAAAAAGAAATCATTATTATTGTGTTGGCCTATTATGATGATCATGTCCCAATAAAAGCATCCTTAGTATTTCTTGTTTTATTTGGTTACACTTTTATAGCAATTAAACAGAAACCATATATGACTGGATAATTAAATTTAATAGATACGTAATCAACAGTAATCTGTGCAGTATCCATTATTTTAGCTAGTTCTATTTATACAGCACAATAATAAGAGCTGTATGAAATTGTATGGCCTTTTTATCTCATAATTGGCTTTCTTAATGGCTTTTATATTCTTCGAATGCTAATATAGATTCTATTTGCTTATTTCAATAAGCTTAATGATAAAATAGATATTTTAAAAGAAGTAGTATAAAATTACTTCCCTAACATTGTGAAGTATCATCCATTCTTGAAAAACTTCTTTGAGACCCACAAAAATAAACAATCTAGAATTAGGCTAAAATTTTCAAAATTAAGAGAGTATTTAATACCATAGGCTCGTCTGATATTAGAGTTTAAAAAGTATAATTCATTATTTATTAAGATTGAAACGATTAGAGTTATCTTCCAAAAACACAGTTTCAAAAATGATGGATAAAGAAAAACAGGAAACTGAATAATTATTTTCTGCAGAAATATTTAGTGTCAATAATCTTATCCATTTGAACACGTTACAACAAAGTCAAATAAAAAAAAACGAATCCTCATTTCCCAATACGAAATTAGAATAAACCTCATTTGCCCTTTAATCCTAAAGAGATTATGTTAAATAAAACTAAAACCCAGAGAAGGCACAATTAAATTATGAACAAAAACATGTTTGATGTAAAATATATTCACAAATATTATATAGAAATATACTTCTTATATGTAATTAATTATCTCATCTAATTTATTCAATATTATTTTCATATATATCCTTCATGTTCTCTTTTTGGGATTTATTAAATATTTCGTTTTGTGTTGTAATTTATTTACTTCTCTTTTTATACTTATTGGAATGTAACTTGATAATAATAATATATTTTGTTCAATGAAATTAATTTTCAATTTCTTCATCAACCCTCAAAAAATTTTTGTAGGAAAAATTAAGCTGGCAGGCTGATATGTATCTTCAAATTCTAGATAAGTAAATTCAAAGATAAATTCCAATAATATCTGCTGTATTCTTTAATTAATTAACAACATTTTCCTGCTTAATTAAAAGAAATTCTTATAATTTTCAAAATAAATCCTCTCCTAAAAATGTTCTTTAAAAAACATTTTCTTATAAATAAATTTCAATATTAACAAATACATCACGAGCTCATTAGAATGGAGTATAAGCATAAATGATCAACTATGAAAGTTAAACTTTAATATAGTACACTAATAAGAGGACCCAAAAATTATGACTTAAAGCAGCCCTTCAAAATGATATAAACAGAACCGTCACCTATTGAGAATAAACGTCATATTAAAAGTAATATATTTGTCAATACTCCTCTAAAGAATTTGCATTTCAAAATCTAGATCTTATTTTAAGTACCTACTCAAACCTATTGCAAAAAACTTTTAAATAGGGTTTCTAAATGACTTTCAATTTTTTGATCTACAATAAATTACTCAATCTTATATATTATTTATCCCAATATTAGGTTCCTATTATTTAATTATTTTTGTATAAGTTAAAGAAGGGCATAACATGAGTTGAATTAGCTTACTCTCTACTTGTTTAAAACACTTTTTGAAAAGATAAATGAATTTTTAGTTCTTAAATCATCAATAATTTAATTAGATTTATCTTTTTATAAATGAATATTGTTCATTAATCATATTAAATCTCATAGACTTTGAATTTGGGCTTTGGTTGTCCAATCCATGTCACTAAATAATTTCCATTCCTAGAGATATTAAAAACTTTTGTATTTTATTTGCAAAATATAGAATTCTTTAATTATAGGCTAAATTGTGTAATAAAAAATATCTTTTAAGGATTTTTAATAATGAATAATTACCTCATTTAATTGTAAACCAATTCAAAAGGGCTATTACAAATATTCTAGAGGCTGTTAATCTCAAAACCTTAGTTCTCGCTTTAAAAATGTTCATTATTGTTTTTGATGTATTCTTATATTTTTCCTTTAGATGAAAAAGTAATTATTTTATCATCAGATTAAAAAAAAGCACTTAAAATCCTCTTGCCTTAAGCTTCAATAGACTATTTGAATTTCCATAATCCTCTCTGCTCTTTTGTCCAAATTATAATTTGGTCGCCTTCATCACATGATACCATAGTATCATACTATTTACTTAAGCCTACACAATTTACTTATTTATTGTGTTTTCTTAAATTTTATATCTCTTAAACTATATTTTCTTGCTTAATTATTTTGCAGACCCCTATTGATCCTGTTGATCGACAACAAATCAATTCGTCCTCTGCCTCATTCATAATTAGACATGTAATCTTGCTTGAATTTAATTTTTTTGTTAATTTCTGCTACCAACTTTAATTGTCCTCTCTTAAGTTCCAACATATTAAAAAAGAGTCATCACTTTCAGATACTAAATAATTACGCTTGTTGCTTACAACTAAACTTCTTATATCTTGCTCATGTCCTCTAAGTACAATATTATTATCGATAATCTTATCCTATTGGAAATCCCATACTTTTAAATTTTAACCTTGGCTAGCAATTACTTTAGAATTATCAAAATTAAAAGTTAAAGCTTAACATAATTCTTGTTATTCACATTCATATAATAATTTATGATTAATCTCTTGATACATTGGAGGGATATCTAAGCTTTCATTCAACTTCTAAATTAGATTTTAGAATTTTTAGTTTTCCTATTTAAGTTTCATTTAAAGCTATTTAACAAATTAAGTCCTTTTCTTTTGCATTTCTTGTATTTCCAATTCAATCAAGTAATTCTCATCTACATTCATATAATCAACCTCTTATAATAGACTAAAATTGTTTGGTTATTCTTTTAAATTCTTCACTATTTCTTCATCCTTACTGAGATCTAATGTTAATTGATGAAAGAAAGGTTTGAAATTATCGATTGCTTTTTTTACATTTACAATTATTGATTAATAATAGTCTAATTATGATAAAGAAGTCTCATTTTAGTCTCTAACTTTCACTTTTCTCTTCTAAATTTATTCCTTTACAAACTCCAATTTTTCACAAACGATTTTATCCTTTTCATTTAGACATTGTTCGCATCCGAATTTGTCTTAACCTTTCAACTATTCATCGCAAAATACATAAATTGCTTATACTTTATGCTTTAAGCATTTGATCTCTTTTTCTATCATTTAAATTTATCGTTTATCGAAACCAATATTTTAGACATTAGATATATGAGATAAAACAGGGGATGCAATGAATCTATTTTCATTTGTTTCAATTTGCAGATTTTTTATGGATTCTTAAAATTAAATAGAATCTTAAGTAAGTTATTGTTAATAAGATTCGTCATTTTTATAAAATTATTCAACTTGTATTGCTATCATATTCTATTTTTGGTTGATTATAGTTTGTTGTAGCAATTTATTTTGTTCTTCATCTTGGACTTAATTGATTTAAAAATCGCCTAATTGTTTCCAATCCTTTTCAATCTCATTAATGCATTATTCGTTTTTCTTTCTAAGTAATTTAAGATCCTCTAAATTCAAGCAAGTGCTATTTTCTTATTTCCTTTCTGGTATCAGCAATTAAGAAATATTTCCAATAGAATTAAACTTCTAACTCTCACTCATTTGCACTATCAATTACTTGGATCCTTTTATTCCTTGCCTAAATATTCTAGCAAACCCTAATTCTTCTAATCTACTACTTTAAGGTAAAAATGACATGATCACATGTATCCTTCCATTCCGTTCTAACTGTGCATTTATTTTAGTAGTTATTTATAAAATCGTTTGATATGTTGTAAGTATTTTAGTATTAAGCCCAATTTCAATTTCAGAGATTTTATCATTTTCTGTATATTTGATGACTTTTTAAGATTTAGATATTTCTCTATCTATTTTATTCATTTCCCCTTCATCTTATGCAATGATCAACACAGCTCTATTATTTAATTTTTCTTGAGCTGCTTTAGTAATACTCTTAAGCCAGGCATGTTCAGATTCCATTGTTAATCCTTGTACTTCATCTATGGGATTTTGAGAATGAGCAGAAATTAATACACAGTCAAGATTGTACTTCTTTGCTAAAAAAGTTTACTCTTCTGATCCTAAATATCCTGTTAATCCCAACAACCTTTCTTAATATAATAAAATATTTTATTAAAACTTAGTTTTAATTTGAATATCTTAATCCATTGAAATGCCCACAGCTAATAAAGAATCTATCTCATCATTCAAAATAATATAGCATTACACTCCATATCCATGACTCTTTTAATGGCTCAAAACATCTCCATAAATTACTTAATTTTAATAGCAAGAGCTCACTTATTCAGAATGCTCAATTTAGTCATTGATATTATAGGAAACCGAAACTTTACATAAATTATAAAATTATGTTGATTTTTTGGATTTTTGAGTAGCCAAAGAATTTGAGCTGATTATGATATGGACATTCTTTAGCTTTTTCTTTACTAATAGTATTGCTAGGAGGACTGTAATTAAAGTTTTCCCTTCTCCAGGAGAAATTTCTGCTATTCTTCCTTTCGATCCATGGTCAAATAGTTCTAGGACAACTAATAATTAAGAAGGCTGAAGAACTTATTGAAATTGTTTTTTAACCAACTTACAGAGAAGGATTGTGTCTTCAAGCTCAATAGAGGAAGATGAAGAGAAATTCTATGCTTCATTAAATTACTCATCTTGTGATAGATTTAAATAAGTCTTTTTAATCAAGTCGATTGAATTTTCATTTTTACTTGTTTTCAGAGATTCCAACTTGTTTAAACAGACATCATAAGTTCTCTTCTATTGGTCTTTATCTTAATTCTCTAGGACATCGGTTAACTCTAAAAATTCTCCATAATTGTTAAACCCAATTCCTAAGGCATATGAAATAATTGAAGAGAGGTGTTGATTTTCTTCAATGTACTAAATAATCCATTGTGATTCATCCTAATTGATTTTTTTTTCTTTTGTCAAATTTTTCACAAAATTAATTTGCTCTATTTATGTTAAAACTTTGTTTTACTCCTTTTGTAAGAAATTTTACTGCATATCTGCTTATGATAAATAATTGAGTTTTTTGTTAATTATTAATTTATACCAAAATAAATGATAGAATTTGTTGTTACTATAAATTTTGTCTTTGATATGATTATAAATTATAATCTCATGATAATTTAGGAAATTCCTACTCATTATTAACATCCACCTTCTGTTATTGTTACTTGACTTCTTTGTTTGCAGCACCCTTTTGAACAAACTCAGTATCAGGTGCATTTTCATAAAACGATCTTCTGTCTTTAATCAATTCAAGAGTAGAATCAATTTAAGCTGAAGAAAATGGAACGGCCACTTTAATCTGATCGAAATATTGGAAAGTTGTTAAATCATGTTACAGGAAATATTCCTAAATAATAAAATCATTATAATTACTCCTTCCTTCTTTTCAAACTTTGTGAAGTAAGCAATCAAACTATCACACAACTCTAAAATAATTAATACAATAGTTTACTTATTAGGTGTTCTCTTACTGTTTCATTGATTCCTTCGTAACCTGACTACTCATATATTTGATCCTCTTCATCTTCAATCTCTTGAGAATTATTAAGGTCATTGTCAATTTTAATTCTATTGAAATGTTTTTCAATCTTCTTGTTATGCTTCTCCTCCGTCTTTCTGATCTTTTCAATCTTTTACAGGATGTAATCTCTGTGTTTTTATAAAATTTCTTAATCCTCAAATTGATCCTTCATTTTAATATAAGCTTAGATAAGGATCAAAACTCTTTAAGAAATTCCAAATTAGAAGTGGATCTTCTCTCTTTCTTCTTTAATTTATAATTTAAAATCTTTTTGATCTTATGTTATGTTCAATTTTGTTTGATTCAATTCTATTTTTTTTTGACTGTATTTGGAGTAAAATTCAGAGAATTTTGCTATCATTTCTTTCAGGGCATGCAGTTTCTAAGCAGCAAATTCATAGTCATTGTGAAGTAGTTTAATATTGCCTAAACCCATTTGAATTTAAGACACTGAAGCTTCATAGAACATCGAATCTACTTCTTGCTAATGAAATTGATGTAATATTTACTAAGGACTGTTCAAATTGATCAATTTCCTTTTGTATGGCAGCCATCCATTACTTGTTTTTTAGGTGATAAAGAGTCTAGTTTGGATGAATTTCAGGATGTGCCAATGCTGGTTTTGAGGATTTCGTTTGCTTTTGACTTTACTTTGAAGGTTGGTTAATATGATTCATAAATAAATTATTAGATATGTAAATGACAATCAACGCATTATTATATTGAATTTATTAATCTTTTATTTTATAATGTCTGTCCAATCAATTTCAATTTATATTGCTTTGCAATTCTCAAAATTCTGTTGTTACATCTGATAACATCTAATTATAATTTGAATCTATAAATGATGTTTAATCGAGACAATTAATATGCCTCTCTTAAAGTTGCAGCAAATAAATTATATATTTATTTGCAGTGACTTATAGAGCTCTCATTTAATCATTTTCCTTAAATTTGAATTTAGAATGTCGTCTTTTCAGAACCCCTTGTTGTTTTAACATTCACTCTAAAAGAATCTCTTAGTGAATTTATTCAAATTTACTATTGTTCACCAAAAATCAGCAAAAATTTCAATTCTTGCCATTCTATAAAATAACTGCTTTACTTTCCTTATTAATCAATTTGCCTATAGATTAGCGATATTTCATTTTGAATTATCCGTTTCAATTTGATAAAGTTTGAACATAATTATTATATATTTTATTAAATTATTGTAAAAACCCAATTTATAAAATAAGTTGAATATTCTTGTAGGCATCACCAATAAAGTGGAAACACTATATTCGCAAATTTAATCACAAAGATAATTCACATATTAAATCAAATGTTTCGAAACAATTAAAAATGACTTTCAATATTAACTCGTTTATTCTTTATGAAGTAAAGTAAAATAATAATTAAATAAAGAATTAGAAGCTAATATGGGAGTCTAGTATATTTTCAATTTCATAGATAATTATGATTATTATAGAATTGAGATGATATAAAACTCAATCTTCTGATATAGAGTTCAATTAAACCCTAGAAACAACAAGATTAATCCATATGATAAAATTAATAACATCTATTTTTTACAAATTTCGCATTTTTCGCTATCTGGATTCCAAGCATATGAATAAAGAGTGTATGACAAGCACTAATTTTATTTTAAATTATCTATATTTAAATTAGTACATTAGTTTTCTTTCCAAGTACACAATGTAATATTTTTAGAATCAAAGGAGTAATAATATTAGCAACCCTCTTCTGATAATTTAGAACAATCCAAAGATTTACATGTACCGTCCCAATAACAAGTACTCTTATCGCAAGTACTTTTTAAGCTATAATCAGCACAATTATTTATTTGTTTTGTTTCGCAAGTTTTTTTTTCCAAATTTCTGACACATATTTCATCATTATCAGTTACAAGCCATTTGCAGCTTTCATAAGGAATTTTATGGCAATTGACAACACTCTTTGCAGAATCATTACTTCTGTCCATACATTTGACAGTTTTAGATCTAGGATCTAATGAATCAAGATCAACCTAGCAGTTTATTAAATCATAACATCTATCCCCCCAAGAAGATGAAAAACTAAAATCAGAACAAGCTTTGAAATCTTCGCATTTAGCAGTTTTGTAATTCCAAACGCAATTAAATGGATCTGGAACGGCTTGGCAATCACCTTTAGAAAATTCTTTGCATTCTTTATTTTAGCATACATCATTTACAAAATCCCAATTACAAAAATCTTGAATACAATCTAAGGGCGTTTTTAAGTTTTCACAGGAGCATTAATAAAATTCAGAAATTTTCAAAGTAGTGATTGACTACCCATTAACTAATAATAGAAATCCAATTAAATAGTAGTAGATCATAAAGTTATTTTTGGTTTGATTAAGAAAAATTATAACCAAAAATATTATATGAATAAAATATTAATAGTCTTAATGATAAAAAATATTCTATTTGATTTTGGACTATAGAGAATCTAATTTCCGATTATTTTCATTTTAATATAAACTGAGATTAGGAAAAATAATAGAAATTACAATTTTTTAATTTCAATTTGAAACATTTTCATATAAACTTCAAATTTACCTTTAAAATAGCTATGATTTATTACTTATATTAAAGAATATCCTTAATATAGGGAATAAGAGAGGGAAGGAATAATTTTAGGCAGCCATTGCAATTTAAAATGATAATTTAAATTATGTATTTGAATTGAAATTTCCCTTTACTCATTCAATAATCGAGTTATTTTAATCAATTATTAATGATGATTAAAGGTAAAAAAATAAAATTCAATTAAAATCTATCAATCTGCTATAAAAAAAATTAAATACATATTATACTTCACTCATAAATGATACTTCCTAACTTGTATCTCTTTTTATTTTTCATCCCAAGTAATTAAATATTCACCATCATTACTTAATGTACCATACAGCCTTTTGCAATTAAAATCAATAGAAAAATCCAGGGTTAATTCTGAATTAGGATTAACACTTATAAAATTCAAATTTGATCCATTTTTACTTACTAACAACTATTTTTATTTAATGAATTATTAAGGAAAAAGAGATTCACAATCCTCTCCATTTAAAACTTACACTTCTTTGGTCTTAGTGTATTATCCATTATTCAAAACATATATATCTAATTTATTAAGATTTCTTGGTTAGAAACAAAATGCACCATTATTTATGAAACATATTCTCAATCCAAAGTCGTCATTCGTAATTGTTTGACAAACACTCCAAATATCATTTTCCAATTTAATCACCAATATTTTATTATCCCTCCCTGTTGAAACTAATATATTTGAAGATTCATTTAGACTTAAGCCATAAACAGTATTGGTATGATCTTTAATAACTTGTTTACGCATCCATTATTTATCTAGTCCCCAGAATATAATAGTATTATCTGCACTTCCAGATATTATAAGATCTTCTTTTCTTGAGTATATCAGACAAAATATACTACTTGTATGCAAATCTAAATTTTATTAGCAGGTCCATTAAAGAGTTCTGGTTTTTCTTTCCCAAATTTTAATAGATTAATCATAACTCCCAGAAAGAAAAGAATTAGATTTTTTAAAAAAAGTTAAACAATAAACATCGCCTGTATGTTAATTATGGATTGTTTGAATAATTATTAATTATCCATTATTCAATTAGAATATCAATATTCTCTTCCTACATGCAGCAATTACTAGTGAGGAATCTTTATTAATTGAAAGTGCATAACAAATCTCAACTTGTTTAATTGAGCATTATTACAATAGCTAATATTTAACAACCTTTTTTTATTCTTAACTTTGAATTACTTATTATTGTCTTACTTATTATGTTAGTACTTATTATTTTAGTACTGATTATGTTTCTCTCCTACTAATTTCAGCTTTCTCTTCATTTTTGTTAATTATTTCTTATTCCAATATTTAACCACCAGATTTCAATTTTCTTAAAATACCTTAACAATTTTAGATGAAACAATTCAAATTAATAATCTAAATTTCCTCCAAGCTTTTCAAGTCCTCTTTTAATTAATCATCGAATTATTCTATATAATTTGGTTAACTAAGTATGTTTACAATTATGGTCATCCCTTCGAAGTTTTCAGCTGACCATGTTTCTTAAGTTTTTTTTTTTTTTTATTTAATATACTATAAGTAGTTGTTGAATTCCTCGTTCTACTCTCTTTTGTACTTTTAAATTAATTATGAGATTGTATTTTCTAAATCTTCTAGTGATTTATTTTAGGCTTCTTATTATTGAATAATCTATTCAATTTTCATATCAAAGTTATTTACTAGATTTTAATAGTATATTGACTTTAACTCAAGAACTCTTTCAATTCTTATAAATTTGATTTAATGTTGTTCCACACAGGACAAGCAAACCAATCTATTTTGTACTGTACTCTTCTCATTTAAGTCTGCCATAACAATGCTGCTTCTATGTGTTTGACATTATAAATTGTAAATATCTTTTTTTTCAAAATTCGATTAGTCTAACTTTGGCTGTACGATATTTTAATCCTAACTTAATTTATTTATTTTTNATTAAGATTTCTTGGTTAGAAACAAAATGCACCATTATTTATGAAACATATTCTCAATCCAAAGTCGTCATTCGTAATTGTTTGACAAACACTCCAAATATCATTTTCCAATTTAATCACCAATATTTTATTATCCCTCCCTGTTGAAACTAATATATTTGAAGATTCATTTAGACTTAAGCCATAAACAGTATTGGTATGATCTTTAATAACTTGTTTACGCATCCATTATTTATCTAGTCCCCAGAATATAATAGTATTATCTGCACTTCCAGATATTATAAGATCTTCTTTTCTTGAGTATATCAGACAAAATATACTACTTGTATGCAAATCTAAATTTTATTAGCAGGTCCATTAAAGAGTTCTGGTTTTTCTTTCCCAAATTTTAATAGATTAATCATAACTCCCAGAAAGAAAAGAATTAGATTTTTTAAAAAAAGTTAAACAATAAACATCGCCTGTATGTTAATTATGGATTGTTTGAATAATTATTAATTATCCATTATTCAATTAGAATATCAATATTCTCTTCCTACATGCAGCAATTACTAGTGAGGAATCTTTATTAATTGAAAGTGCATAACAAATCTCAACTTGTTTAATTGAGCATTATTACAATAGCTAATATTTAACAACCTTTTTTTATTCTTAACTTTGAATTACTTATTATTGTCTTACTTATTATGTTAGTACTTATTATTTTAGTACTGATTATGTTTCTCTCCTACTAATTTCAGCTTTCTCTTCATTTTTGTTAATTATTTCTTATTCCAATATTTAACCACCAGATTTCAATTTTCTTAAAATACCTTAACAATTTTAGATGAAACAATTCAAATTAATAATCTAAATTTCCTCCAAGCTTTTCAAGTCCTCTTTTAATTAATCATCGAATTATTCTATATAATTTGGTTAACTAAGTATGTTTACAATTATGGTCATCCCTTCGAAGTTTTCAGCTGACCATGTTTCTTAAGTTTTTTTTTTTTTTTATTTAATATACTATAAGTAGTTGTTGAATTCCTCGTTCTACTCTCTTTTGTACTTTTAAATTAATTATGAGATTGTATTTTCTAAATCTTCTAGTGATTTATTTTAGGCTTCTTATTATTGAATAATCTATTCAATTTTCATATCAAAGTTATTTACTAGATTTTAATAGTATATTGACTTTAACTCAAGAACTCTTTCAATTCTTATAAATTTGATTTAATGTTGTTCCACACAGGACAAGCAAACCAATCTATTTTGTACTGTACTCTTCTCATTTAAGTCTGCCATAACAATGCTGCTTCTATGTGTTTGACATTATAAATTGTAAATATCTTTTTTTTCAAAATTCGATTAGTCTAACTTTGGCTGTACGATATTTTAATCCTAACTTAATTTATTTATTTTTTCTTGTAATTTGTTCAAGAATTATTATGAGTTTAGTTTACTAAGGTTGGTCTAGAGACTCTTTTTTATTTCTGAAAGGTTAGGAGTATCCTTTAATAGTTCTTTACATGAACTACTAAATAATTGAGAGTCAGCCACAGAAAGTTTCTTTATTGTATTCGAAAACTTGGTCATTTAGGTTTTGAATAACCCCCCGTATTGATCAATAGAATCTATGTATTTGTTAAACGAAATCTTAAATTATTATTCAAAAAATAAAAGGTCTTATTTTATCTCTTCTAAAATTGACATGCTGTTTTAGTATTCTAGCTCTTTTTCCTCCTAGATTTCAGTTTTTTGTCTCCTTAATTCTTATTGCCTGTCCTCTATTAATTTCAAATTATTGTCCATTTGAACTATGCAGATTTTACAAAGATTTCTTGAGTTTGATTTTGGATCAGGTTAATTTGGTCTCTAGAATATAATTGACTCATTGTGAATTGGACATCTCAATCTCTCCATTGAAATATTATTTAAAATAAAATATAAAATTCCTATAATTTAAAAACATTTCTATTGCAATTACTTATACCTTTTCTTTCATATTGAATTACGAACCAAAATATTGAGCATCAACTAAAATAATTGAATTTATAGAATTTTATTTGAATGAAAGAAAATAATTTAAAATTTTTCTAATTAATAGCCCAAAATGAATGAATTTAGGTTATATTGTTTATAATCATCATCTACAAACATAAATTTCAATTTATTTAATATATTTTAAATGATTTAGTTTCTAAACTCCAAATCACTAAATAATTGCCATCATTGGTGATTGTTCCATAATTAAATCTTGAATGAATATTAATTGGATCTCCATACATTCTTAAAGTGTTTCCCTAATCACACTTTAGAATATATACAAAATTTTCATGCTTTTGAATTAANAATTTGGTTAACTAAGTATGTTTACAATTATGGTCATCCCTTCGAAGTTTTCAGCTGACCATGTTTCTTAAGTTTTTTTTTTTTTTTATTTAATATACTATAAGTAGTTGTTGAATTCCTCGTTCTACTCTCTTTTGTACTTTTAAATTAATTATGAGATTGTATTTTCTAAATCTTCTAGTGATTTATTTTAGGCTTCTTATTATTGAATAATCTATTCAATTTTCATATCAAAGTTATTTACTAGATTTTAATAGTATATTGACTTTAACTCAAGAACTCTTTCAATTCTTATAAATTTGATTTAATGTTGTTCCACACAGGACAAGCAAACCAATCTATTTTGTACTGTACTCTTCTCATTTAAGTCTGCCATAACAATGCTGCTTCTATGTGTTTGACATTATAAATTGTAAATATCTTTTTTTTCAAAATTCGATTAGTCTAACTTTGGCTGTACGATATTTTAATCCTAACTTAATTTATTTATTTTTTCTTGTAATTTGTTCAAGAATTATTATGAGTTTAGTTTACTAAGGTTGGTCTAGAGACTCTTTTTTATTTCTGAAAGGTTAGGAGTATCCTTTAATAGTTCTTTACATGAACTACTAAATAATTGAGAGTCAGCCACAGAAAGTTTCTTTATTGTATTCGAAAACTTGGTCATTTAGGTTTTGAATAACCCCCCGTATTGATCAATAGAATCTATGTATTTGTTAAACGAAATCTTAAATTATTATTCAAAAAATAAAAGGTCTTATTTTATCTCTTCTAAAATTGACATGCTGTTTTAGTATTCTAGCTCTTTTTCCTCCTAGATTTCAGTTTTTTGTCTCCTTAATTCTTATTGCCTGTCCTCTATTAATTTCAAATTATTGTCCATTTGAACTATGCAGATTTTACAAAGATTTCTTGAGTTTGATTTTGGATCAGGTTAATTTGGTCTCTAGAATATAATTGACTCATTGTGAATTGGACATCTCAATCTCTCCATTGAAATATTATTTAAAATAAAATATAAAATTCCTATAATTTAAAAACATTTCTATTGCAATTACTTATACCTTTTCTTTCATATTGAATTACGAACCAAAATATTGAGCATCAACTAAAATAATTGAATTTATAGAATTTTATTTGAATGAAAGAAAATAATTTAAAATTTTTCTAATTAATAGCCCAAAATGAATGAATTTAGGTTATATTGTTTATAATCATCATCTACAAACATAAATTTCAATTTATTTAATATATTTTAAATGATTTAGTTTCTAAACTCCAAATCACTAAATAATTGCCATCATTGGTGATTGTTCCATAATTAAATCTTGAATGAATATTAATTGGATCTCCATACATTCTTAAAGTGTTTCCCTAATCACACTTTAGAATATATACAAAATTTTCATGCTTTTGAATTAATATATTTTTTTTGTTATTGAATATAGATGGAAACAGTTTAGTTCCATCTTATACTCGTTCTGATTGCAAAATCACTTTAAGTTCAGGAGCTTCAATCAATCCTCCATTGTTAATCTTATAAATATATAGAATTCCTTAGTTATCTGATTAATAAGTAAAAGTGGTATTTGAGATGAAGCAAACTCTGTTCCCACAATCTTTCTAAATTCTATCAATTGTACACTAATAGGACCAATCGTTAGGAGATTACTTTGACCAAAGAATAATTTTATTATCTAAAGCATTTGAGATTAGAAAGGTGGAATCCTCATTAACACAAATGAATTTAACAGTCGATCGGTGCATCTCTAATGATTATTTGAATGATATAGTGTTTTGTTCAATGTTAAGGTTCCATATCTTGATTTTTGAATTTTGAGTTGATATAATTTGATCTTCAGCTGGTGTTAAGATTAAGTACTATATATCTCCTATACCTGATTATAGCACTTAATTCTTTTGCCATGTATTTACATTAACTTGATTCCAACATATAATCTTTTGATCCAACCCCCCTGAGACTAACCAATTACACCTTTTGCTGAACGTCAAACATTAAACAAAATCACTATGTCCTTCTAATAAAATCCCAGAATCAATTAATTTCTTGTCTTAAAAATCCCATATTTTGATGTTCTCTCCACATCCAGCTGCCATAATTGAATCCGAATAATTAAATGCAATGGCCCAACAAGATTGCTATTGGTTGATTTCTGAAACCTACATCCAAAAATCATTCTATTTTTTATAATTATTAATTTATGTTGAAATTTGGTTGAACATTTCATCAAACTCACTTTATACACTCCAATCTTTTATTGTTGATTACAATGTCTAGCTTACTTTGTTGATTTTTTATAAATAAGAACGATTTATTTGTTAAATCTTATTAGAATCGCTTAGAAACTATTCTTATAAAATGGAATCAGGAGATTCATCGAGAAATTAGAGTTCTTTGGATAAATCTTAACTATTATATTATTCTACTAATTGATCCAATTCCTCTTAAAATAAATCGTATTTTTATTTTAAGGAGGTAAATTACTCATAGACTTTAGATTGTAGACAATCAGTTTTTTCTTTCAGTTTTGCTAGCATCTCTTTCACTACATTAACTAAATTATAGATCTATTATTATTATTAGCTCTTTAAATCTTCCACCATCTCACTTGCTTCTAAAACTGACATTACATGGAGAATCCCCCTCGAATTCTAAATGCATTCTTAGCACATCAATCTTTCTCTTCCTTGGCATTCCTTTTTAATATTCACTTGTATGATCTGATTTCCAGAATGCTGATTGCAGAAAGAATTAGACATACAAACATTAATTTTGGATTAGATCATTTTAAATTAAATATTTCTATAAATGAAGAAAAATATTCTAATTTATTACGCATTTAGGTAAAATCGATTTAAACTTAAAACATATTCAAACTATCAAAAATATTGTTAGAAACACAGATATGATCATGGCTATTTTCGTTGCACCTGGATTTAAGGGTGTGGTTCCCTAAAAGCAGGCTTCACATTGATTTGTATTAGAATTCCAAGTGTGTGTGTAGACTGACTTGATGAAGCATGCTTAGGATTCTGAAATAGTCTTAGGATCACTGGTTTCACAGTTTCCATTTTTAAACAAACAGATCGTATATTTAGTACCATCAAAATTTGGTACTGGGTTACAGTTTAATCCATTTGAAAAGGTTTGGCAAGTTTAATCAAGGCATGTATTTTAATTCCAATAACAAGATGGATTGGTATTGCATGTAAACTCATCCTATTCTGCATCTGCACATTGAGAGAATGTTGTACAAGAACCTATTTAAGAGTTCTTTTCCTTTGGTTTGAATGCACAAATGGTTGCTTTATCACCTTCAATACCCCCTCCTTAACAAGCTGTAAGAGTATTGTAAGTGCTGCACTATGCTTTTGGAATACAATGGGTACCATTTGAAACACATTGTTTACCAGGTATGAGTTTCAAGCAGTTTTGATTACTTTATTCATGATGAATATCCTGACATTCTTTGATTCTACAAGATTACTCTGTACTATTACCCTTGATTGGGAGACCAAAAATGCATGGACCATCAGTTCCTTAGTAACAAGTAGATTAGCCATAGGAAGAGCAAGTTGATTATTATATGCAAGTAGTTCCATCAGTAGTACATAAATTATTAGCTTTGTAACATTCTTAATGGGTTAAATATTTGTAATCTTCACAAACTTTAGATTAGCAAATATTAGCTGTTTGATTCCAAGTACAAGGGCCTTCTTTGGAAGCATTCAAACATTCATTGGATGTTTTATACATCGAACATTTTTAAGCTTCTTCGATGCATTGAGACCCGTCAGACACACAGTCTTAATGATACAATCTACAAATATCATTATCACTAGATCTTAAATCAGAACAGGCCTTGAAGGATTAGCATTTTTCATTCCATCCACATTATTTGTCTAATCCGTAGACACAGGAATCAGGTTTCTCATATAGAGCACAAAAAGTAATTGGTATACAATTTGATCCATTGGTTGTACAATATTTTGATATGTTTTGGCATTCTTAAAAGGTTTTGAGTTTGGCATCTTCACATCTAGAGTAATTGATGCATGAATTCTAAACCCATAAACAGGGTCCTCTTTTTGAGTGAATACAGGAATCTTAGCTATCATATTCATCGCATGAGTCTCCAGAGATACATTTAATACCATTGGATATACATCCACTCAATTATTACTCACACTCAGCTTCTGTTTTACCTTAAAAATCAGTACATTTGATGTCTCTACAACCTTTTTCGTAGTAATCCCAAATACATTTTCTTTCGCCATAAGCATTAAGGCAAATCGAAATGATTCTATAGGTAGAACATTAGCCAAAAGTAATACAGCCTATTCCACTGGTTGTGCATTTCGGATTTAATTAATGACATATACTGTGAGATGAAATATCATGAGGTAAATCCTCACAATTTTAAGAACGACATTGAGTAGAGTTATCAGTTAATGTGCAGATTTAATTTGTTACCTTTGAGTTGAAACAACTAGTTTAGCTAATCTCTTTAATTTAATCACAGCTTTCATATTATTAGTTACAAAAATGTGACCATGAACAAGATATATTTTCCTCGCAAGCAGTTTGAGTAATAATATTATCGCACTTTTTAATAGATGAACATCCGTATCCAGTAGTGTAGCATGATGGGTGATATAACTAACATTCTATATCAGTTTTCAATGTGTTAGGTGCATCATTGCAGACTCTTTTAGTGCAACTACTAATTTTGAAGTCATCCATAACTGTTGCTTTGCATGGTCCATCAGTAGCCATAAAATTGGCACAACTTATATGATTACCCTAAAATTAAGAACATTGCAATCCATAATTAACACACTTTGATCCATCAAATATACAAGTGATTGAGTCAAATCTATAATTACAAGATTAGTTATCTACACCATTAATATCACTGCATTCTAATTTTCTACAGGACGTGTTCACTCCACTACTAAAGCAAAAGTCCTTGCCATAATTCCCTTTAAATTTTTAACAAGCATCATAATTTCCTTGATATTGAGTGCATGATGCTGATTCTTCAATGCATCCTACTCCTTTTGTTCGGCATCCTTTTAGATATTCTGAACACTCTTAATCTGAAGTTGCAGTAGTGTTGTCTGAACAAATTCTCACTTTACATTTGGTATTTGATTGATTTGTTAATAATCCAGAACAATACACAAATTCCTTATTTATCAACTATTTGAATTACTCACATTAGATTTTTGTACCTCTATATGAAGTACAAGGTTCAGTATTTGGAATACATCCAAATCCTCTGGTTACACACCCTTACATGAACTTATTGCATTCAGTGTCCGATTAGGCACTTATATTATCATAACAAGTTCGATGATCACATTATCCAATGTTTTAAGTTGGTTCTTTAGATATACATTTGTCAATTCCATTTGTTTCCAAGAAATTTCCACATAATTGCTTAGTTGTTCTAATTTAATTACAATCCTGACTCACATCAATACATTTAGTTCCATCAGTTTTACAATTAGATAGGTACTATTGACAATAGAAATCTGTGTAATATTAAACATCACTGCAACTTCTATTTGAACATCTAGTTCCGTTCCATTTACAAAATGCTCCACTTATATTCTGTACATTTTCACACCATATCTACTATTGCTCAGAGTTAACTCCTATTGGCTAATAGTCGGAGCATTGTTTTTTTTAAATGCATTTTTAGTTGTAATAAAAGCACCCCTTAATATCATTTAAACAATCATTTATTAACAAAATATCTTCGCATACATATGGTCTGCATTTCCTGAATTTGGTTTCATCTTTTGCACAACGAATATTGTTTAATGATGTAACTAATGAGCATTATGCCTCTTCTAGACCTTATTATGGGCCCGTTTTGTTATTCACATTACCATCGTATTCTGCACAACTTTTTTGCGTTACACAATTATTGCCCCAAAGATAGGTGCAGCTCTAAAGTGAATTATCTTATAATTGATTGCAAATTTCCAATTTATTTATCACATTTTCGACATTAATCTCTTCACAAGTATTTAGCTTGACACAATAATCACCTCCAACATATGTGCATGGGAAATGCTAATTTCTAATTTAACTACAATAGTATATCGGGTTTTCCTTGGGAACAGGTATTTGGCTACAAGTATTCTAGTAGTTATAACAAGTTCCTAACAAATATTTGCACGTAGTTTGGAATACCATAGTGTTACAATCTAATTGAGATTGTGGATTCACAGCGTCTGAGCATTTGGAATCCCGACAATAATTTTCAGTTCCATTATATTTACATTAAAATCCTTAGACATTCTTCTTAATTTGGCAAAAATAATATTTATCCACAATTTCCATTGGAACTCTGTAATTAATACAAGATGTTTGAAGAGATATACAACTATTTTATGTGTTATTTAATTAATCAAATGTGCATTTGATGCTTTTATTCTTACTTCTAAACAATTCACAATAACTAATTTTTTCACTTATGGATAATCCAATTACCTGCTGGGAAAATGGAACCTTAGAGACATTACTACAGTCATCAGAAGTAGTTATGATGCCAACTGTTATACATTTTCCAAGTAAAAATATACAGCCTTTGATGTGATTATCACAATCACCTTGAGAGTGAGGTGATGGTATATGTTCACAAGTTCCTGCTCGGCATTTATTTCCAAAATCTCGAATGCATTGAATAGTTTTTGATTTATCAGTATGAGCTAAGCAAAACGTATCAATATTAGCAGGTTGTTAATCCCAAAATTCTGGAAAGGGTCCAATCTAAGAGCATTCATTGAAAGAACTGGCTACACATCCAGTCTTATCTGAATTGAGAACGCAGTGGTTTTACTCAACTGGAGACTGAATCCTCATGCTGTTACAAAAGAGAGATTTCAAAGAGTCAGTAGTTAATTGAGTTGTGAAGAGTACTTCATTACATGAAGAAACTGAATTATAGCATCTGTTATTGAAGTAGCCACACTAAAAACCATATATCTCACAATCTATATGAGATTTAGGATTTTAAATATCTGAACATTAAATGATTTCTGAACAGGTTACTCCCTCTGTATATGTACAGGGTATATAAGGAGTACCTGACTTATTTGATAAATCCATTACTTTCAAACTAAGACAGAAATCCAATTTTTGAGTATAGGTTTAAAGAGGAGGTATTGAGTAACTAAAGCAACCATAAGCAGTAGTATAGCAACGAGAGTTCTTAGCCTTTTAGCATTGGCCTCCTTTCCATCCCAAGAAGTCATTGCATTATTTAGAATCTTTGAAATTGATTAAACTTTCACAGGAGTCTTAATAACTACAAATGCCAGAAAAAGTACTGTTGTAAGTACATTATATTCCTTTAGTATTTTTGAGCAATATACAGTAATTCCACTTCTCTTCAAAGGTTAGTAGATTCATTGGAACGAAATAAGCAAAGCATTCCATAGCGGGAGCCAAACAAGATGAACCAGCCAGAATGCAAAAGTCACTTCCGGTGGTTTTACCTTTCTGAATGAATGAGGAGCACTCAGAAATTTTCCCATTTACGATTTGTTGGCATGCCCTTATGGAGCAAAATTACCCTAAGTCCCAGCCGCAATACAATCCCATTCGATCTTTAATACTAGTGCAAAACTGGAATCTTTTTTGATCTGTGTTAGCAGAGTCGGGGATTTGATAATAAGTACAATCATTAGCCATAATGCAAGGTTAACCTTTTAGAGAAAATCTGCAAGTTGATTTATAGTTTGTACATTCTTCAGGAGTGTTAGGACTAGCTATGTCTTAACATTGCCTTTATTGACTATATACTTTTCTGATACATTAAACCTAAGACCATTCTTTATATATTTGAATTCCTCCATAATAAAGCGGACAAGTTTCCTCGGTCCCAGATTAGTCTTAACATGTTACACTAGTTTAATCGACACATCTTGAATTCTTTAATAGGCAGTCTTAGCGAAATAGATTACAATCTGAGTTCTTTTGTGCAACAGATTTATGATAACATTCTCTCTTCACACACTATCCTTTCGTTGATGTTCCGAAACAATATTGTTTTGAGTTTTGCCCAACTATGGCTTGTTCACAAAATAGATCATTTCCATAATATGACTCACAAGTAGCCTAATTAGGATCTACACATCCTCCTTTGCCATCATAAACACAACCATTTAAAAACTCTTAGCATTGCTAATCATTTTCCATTTCTTCAGCCACAGCACAAGTTTTTATCATGCAAAATGTTAATAAATTTGCATTTTTCCTATTGTAACACTGGATGGTTGTGAAATTCTACGGTGATCCATTTAAGTACCCAAAGAATTGACTACACATGATTTAATCACCTTGCATTTGAGAACACACAGTTCCATATTTAACACAAACTCTTCCATTAGTAATACACCCCGGCAAGAAATCATTGCATTCTTGATTAGTTGTCAACTCAACATTATCTTAGCATTGTCTAGTAATGCAAGGGGAGTTATCATCTGCACTTTCAATATTCGTACAATATCCTAGATATCCAAAGCATGTCTATTTATTCCCATAGAGTTTGGAACAATCATATTTATTAATGCATGAGTTTTTCATATCACTAATACAAGTTGACATTTCATTTTAACAATTTCTATCATCATTATATTGTGATCCTATTAATTCATCACAAGTTAACTCCCTGCATCCATTTGTTGTCCAAGTGCATTTTATTGACTCTAGTCTTCCATTTAATACTTTCTTAGCCTTAGTAAATCTACACACAGTCTCACTCTTAAACTAAGAACAATCAGAACCATCAGTGCAAACAGACTACCAAAAACAACCTTCAGTGCCCTCACAACTTGTTTAGTTAATGGTTTTTTGACACTATGTCTTCATTATACATTCATTCCCACTACTCACACAACTCTACTTCCATTCATTACACTTCTAATTAGCCGGAGCTGACTGACAATCTCTTGCTGTACAGAAATTTCCACTTACCCACATACAATTACCATCAGAACCCACAAGCCTCAAACATCTTTCAGAATCTCCTTCATAAGTCGCACAAGATTTCCTGTCAATCCTATTTATGCATCCAAATCCAGTTGTTACACAATTTATCTAATATCCATTACACTCCTCATCTGTACTATAATTAGTTGGTGCTTCATTACAAACTCTGAGCATGCATTACTGCCCATTCTCCTTATCTTTCTCATTCCCTTTGCAATTACCATCTCTCCCTTTATAAGAAAGACATTATTTAATATTTCCTTTATAATTACTACAAAAGTCTAAATACTAAACGCATCCCACTCCATTAGTTATACATTGAGGCTAATATTCTCTACACAGTTAATCAGTATTATAATTGGGAGAGTCCTCACACCTTCTGACTCTGCAATTAGTTCCACCTTGAGTCCCTTCACATTGTCCATCTGATCCAATATATCTTTGACAACTTGAATTATCGCCGAAATAGGCTGAGCACAAAGGCTTAGCAGACCCAATTATGCATCCCTTTCCATTTGTAATACAACCCTTCTAATATCTCCTACAATCAGAATCAGTATAATATTCTAGTGGAGCGTTTTTGCATAGTTTGGCTTAACACATTTCGTCTTAGCCTTATTCACAAAATCCATCCGAACCAATATATTAATCACATTTCTTTTCATTGCCCCTGTAACTTGAACACGGAGGTAATGGGGATTCCCAACAACCAGTCCCTCTTGTTATGCATCCTTTTAGCCATTAATCGCATTAATCGTCAGTTATTAGTTTCTCATCACTGTCAGAACACTTATAATCTCTACAAATATTTTCTATAAAATCCCACTTACATATTCTTCTACCGGATAAACTTGGTGAAACATTACATATGTCTGAAGGATAATCCTTACATTCTTTAAAGTTAATACAAGAATATCCGTCACTTATGCATTGATATGAGACTGCTTAGCAATCGTCTGTCCTCTAATACCCATAGGCCGAACAACCAGCAAAGATTACACATTTCTTATCAATGTAAGCACAACCATCTATTAAGTGACAGCTAGTTTCTTATTATGTTATCAATTCACAATATGACTTAAATGTAACAGGATTATCCTAAGTCAGTTTCTTTTAGCACTTTCCTCCTTTAGTGGTTGAATCCTTAACCCACTCACAATTTTATTGATCTTGTTTCCCGATTTCGCAATCGATTTACGACTTTAATTGGTTACATTCATTGCATTTATCACTTTTATTCACTTAATAACATGATGCTATCACTAATAAGCAAACTAATGCACAAGATTTCATAAAATTAAATTTTATATTTTTTATTTAATAGAAGCAATAATAGTCTCTATCAACCAAATCTATTTGGATTTTAAAATTTAATATTCTTTTTAAATCCTGTCTCAAATATCCTCATCATACATGCACTTTTAAGATTCCCATTAAATGTACGTTAATAGAAGATAAAAATTCAAAATTAATATCAATACTCATTTTTTAATTAGCTTAAAATTGATTTACTATTTTGAGAATTACTTAAACGCACCTCAATAATTGCTTTCTTTAATTATTTCTACTCCTGTAAGGTTTGAACTTAAATTTAATTTATTATTTAAACCTAATTTCGATGAAAATTCTTTCTTATATGCGCTATAACTATTATTGACACCTTATTGCCAACACTCAATAACTTATTCGTAATTATTTTATTTTTATAAAGCGTTTACTTAACTATTTAAATATTAGTACTTTTTTATTGGTAAAAAATTATTGTACCCTTATTATTTTTAATTCCTAAATCCAAAACCTCCATTATCTCTTTCTCCTTCATCTTTCTATTGCTTCCTAATAAGTATTTTTCTAAATCTCAAAAATAATTGATACATATCTCTTTGTAATAAATCTCTTGATTTTTGTTATTGTTTATTCCGCTCATCCAACATTCAAGCACTTCATCTGATCTTCCTAACTCATCTAAAACCCTAGCTAATAAATGTTATCAAATAAACCTACCTTTCTTTCTGTAATAATAATCGTCATATATATTATTTTTAATCCCTTAGTCCCACAAAGATATTAATTCATTTATTCTTCCCAATTTATTTAAAATAATTGCTAACAATATATTTTCTATTACCTTTTTCTTTGTAATAATACTTTTTCTGGGTATTATTCTTAATTCCTTAATCCCAACACTTTAAAGCAGACTCAAAGTCTTTTACCCATAGTAAAGTTTAAGCTTGAATAATCATCAAGTATTCATACCTTTTTTTGAATAAAAATACTAATTATTCTTATTGTTCTCTATCCCCTTATTCAGGCAATTTATAATTTATAAATATTTGCCTTATGTTTCTAACAGATCCACTAAACAACTAATTTATCCTTTTACCTTTCTCTAAATAAAATTGTTCTGAGGTTAAATTACGATTTATCCCTTTATCCCATAAATCAATTGCCTCTTCTACTCTCCCTAGATTTAGTATTAAATGTGCTATTCATTTTTAGAATGTTTAAATACTTGCACAAGTTTTATAAAATTTGAAATTATTTTCATTATTATTGATAGCTTGATACCAACAATTAATCAACTCGTCCCATTTTCCAATTCTTTCTAAGAAAATTGCTAAATTAATTGAATCATTTTCATACATAATTAATCATAGTAAGAGACACACCATTTATTATACAAGATAGCTTAATTCCAACATTCTATAATTTCGTTGGTTTTACCTTACTTCTCTAATGCATTTGCTAAAATTTTATTCTAAAATACCTTTTTAAGTATAGAACTTTTCATCATTAGCATTGGATTAGATTCCAGTGTCCCAACATTCAATAATTTCCTTAAATCTCCCCAAACTCTCTAAAACCGAAGCTATAAATAATTGTATTTTCATTTACTTTTTTGTACATAGAACCATAAATTTTTTATGTTGTTNGGTTTGAACTTAAATTTAATTTATTATTTAAACCTAATTTCGATGAAAATTCTTTCTTATATGCGCTATAACTATTATTGACACCTTATTGCCAACACTCAATAACTTATTCGTAATTATTTTATTTTTATAAAGCGTTTACTTAACTATTTAAATATTAGTACTTTTTTATTGGTAAAAAATTATTGTACCCTTATTATTTTTAATTCCTAAATCCAAAACCTCCATTATCTCTTTCTCCTTCATCTTTCTATTGCTTCCTAATAAGTATTTTTCTAAATCTCAAAAATAATTGATACATATCTCTTTGTAATAAATCTCTTGATTTTTGTTATTGTTTATTCCGCTCATCCAACATTCAAGCACTTCATCTGATCTTCCTAACTCATCTAAAACCCTAGCTAATAAATGTTATCAAATAAACCTACCTTTCTTTCTGTAATAATAATCGTCATATATATTATTTTTAATCCCTTAGTCCCACAAAGATATTAATTCATTTATTCTTCCCAATTTATTTAAAATAATTGCTAACAATATATTTTCTATTACCTTTTTCTTTGTAATAATACTTTTTCTGGGTATTATTCTTAATTCCTTAATCCCAACACTTTAAAGCAGACTCAAAGTCTTTTACCCATAGTAAAGTTTAAGCTTGAATAATCATCAAGTATTCATACCTTTTTTTGAATAAAAATACTAATTATTCTTATTGTTCTCTATCCCCTTATTCAGGCAATTTATAATTTATAAATATTTGCCTTATGTTTCTAACAGATCCACTAAACAACTAATTTATCCTTTTACCTTTCTCTAAATAAAATTGTTCTGAGGTTAAATTACGATTTATCCCTTTATCCCATAAATCAATTGCCTCTTCTACTCTCCCTAGATTTAGTATTAAATGTGCTATTCATTTTTAGAATGTTTAAATACTTGCACAAGTTTTATAAAATTTGAAATTATTTTCATTATTATTGATAGCTTGATACCAACAATTAATCAACTCGTCCCATTTTCCAATTCTTTCTAAGAAAATTGCTAAATTAATTGAATCATTTTCATACATAATTAATCATAGTAAGAGACACACCATTTATTATACAAGATAGCTTAATTCCAACATTCTATAATTTCGTTGGTTTTACCTTACTTCTCTAATGCATTTGCTAAAATTTTATTCTAAAATACCTTTTTAAGTATAGAACTTTTCATCATTAGCATTGGATTAGATTCCAGTGTCCCAACATTCAATAATTTCCTTAAATCTCCCCAAACTCTCTAAAACCGAAGCTATAAATAATTGTATTTTCATTTACTTTTTTGTACATAGAACCATAAATTTTTTATGTTGTTCTTTATTCCAAAATCCCAACAATCTAATGCTTCTTCAATTCTCTCTTATTTTATTAGTGCATTAGCTATAGAAATAATATAAATTTGAACATTTTTATATGTAAAATTCTATGTTTTGTTAATTTTTTACAATTCCTTGATGCCAACATTCTATAACTTCTTAGAGACGATTAAATTTATTTAATGCTTAGGCTGAAATTATTAGTATAAATATCTACCCTTTTTATCATAAAAATGGATGGCTTGCTTATTATTTTAAATTGCTTAATCCCAGCATTCTATAACTTAATCTTATCTTCCAAGTCTTTCTAGAATATTTGCTAATAAATAACTCCAATGAAATTTTACATTTCTTCTCATAAATGGATTTATTCCTATTATCCACTTGAATAGCTTTATCCCAACAACTTATTGCCTCGTCAAATTTATCTAGTTTCTCTAATGCAAAGGCTAATTAATTAATATATTTAGTCACAACATAGTTACTCAATTAAATATGATATTATATTGGCATATTCATTTTTTTATCGGTAGTATTCAAAAGTTCCTTGGCCCCTCACAGAAGTTGGTAGTGATTCATCTACAAATTTTATTGTTTTTTTTACCAAATTATTTTTCGTTCTTTTTCAATGCTGCTTCACAGTAACATATAATTTCTTGGAACTTCATCTAGTCTTTTAGAGCCTATACTAAATTATAAGTCTTGAATAATAACTTTCTTCCTCCATACGAACAACCTTTGGTTGAGATTTTTAATTCATTAGTATAAGGTTTAATTATTAAGTAAACATTTTGGTTAGTATTTTATATAAACATAAAAAAGTAAAGGAATATTTAATAATTAAGATAACTATTGGATTACAGGTACCATAAATAATAAAAAATTATATAATAGATTGGTATAGTAAATATCTTTTCAATATTTGATGTCCTTAATTGATTTAATTTATTTAGTATTATATTTTCCTACTAAATTCGAAACAAGAATTATGGTTTTTTCACTTCCATCATTTTTGTGATCTAAAAGTATTTCATCAAAATTATCGTAATTTGATAATTTTTAAATATCTGAATCTTCTTGATAACTTTGAGTAGGAGTGCAAAGCGACCACTGTTAATCTAGTTTCAATTAAATAATTTAAGTATTGGATGCTTAGATCATGTGCTTAAACACTTCTCGAATGTACGAATAATTTGGTATTTGATTATAGTGTAATTAATGTATATAGGACATAAATACGGAGAAGTGATTAGAGGGTTTACATTGCAAAATGAGGGTTTTAAAAAAGGATTACTTTGATTGTTTAATGAGTTCAAAATCCAAATTAGAAAAAGTGTAATATTATTAATGAGACCATGGTAAAGTCACTATATTATAAAATAAATAAATTACAATCTTTTAAATAAAATAATACATATAATAAACTTTCTAAATCGTCCTTATACCCAAGAGGCGAACCATCATGAGAAGACCTGCTTGCAAAGTTTAACGATCCGATAAAAACATCTTACAAAGCTTCTGAGTTCTCTTCGTATAATTGTGATAAACCAAAATCGATCAATTAGATGAATCCATCTTTTTCAATATCGGATTCCTTCTCAAATGCTTGGGATATCATAATATTTTCTGGTTTTATGTCAAGATGTAAGATGTTTTTTTTGTGTACTTGCTCCAAAATTTCTATTACTCTCAAGCCTATTCTCATAATGATGCTTAAAGTAACTTGTCTGCCCTTCACTAACTCTAGCAAATTACTATGTAATAGAGGAAGAACAAGAAAACACCTTAATTTGATTTTTAACCATAAATTACTTATTCTCTTTTGTTACTCCAATTTATTTTATTTTAGGAATTCCTTCAATTCCTTTTAATTTCTAAAGGATTTCGATTTCCCTCTCTAATTGGCCTAGATGAGGATTTTTCTCTATTTTAATGGCAAATGATTCCGAATTAGATTTTTCCTTTGCCGAATATACCTGATGTTAGGATCCACATCCAATTTTCGATAAGACTGTGTATTCTGAGAATTGTATCTGCATAAATATACCAATTTTTATTATGGAAAGTTTGAGGAAAAATTAATTGGCTATTAAAAAGTGAAGTAAAAAGGGGGTTGAATATGTGGTTTTAATTTATTTTATAATCGAATGCTTAAATTCACTATTAAAATTATCCAGTGAGCATGCATTTCTATAAATTATAAGTCTTGTAATTATTTCTATTATCCATAATTTAAGATGGCTTACTTTTTATTTTAAGAATATAATATATAATTAAGTAATGTAAATTAATGTATAAATACACAATTATGGAAAATGAAAAATTAGAAAATTCTAAATTCAATTAGACCATCATTATTTATTGCTCCTCTCGTTATTTGTATAGTTAACATTGTATAAATAGGTACTTAATTTTCATTTTTATTTTTAAAAATAATAGTAATTATTGATTAAAAATCGATAATACTAATCTCAAAAAACTAGTTAATTTTCTGATTATTTCAACGTTATATAAACTTAAATTAATTAGATTTATTAATGAAATAGAAAGGAAAATAAGGGAGAGAGGACTTGTTGGAATAACTAAAATCTAATCTAAACATTATGGGTCATAAAATGAGTATTTTAATACAAGGTGCAGACGGTTAAGTATATTTGAAGGAACATTTGTCAGCTAAAGGGCATCAACCTTATGATGATCAAACCACCATTCATATCGCTTCTGGATGTAAATGGATTGCCATGACTGTAATAATGAAATTAGTTGAATTAGGGTTACTAAGTCTTGATACTAAAGTGATTGATATATACCCAGAATTTAAGAATTCAAATCCTAATTTATTGTTATAGCATTTAATGACTCACACTTCAGGGTATGTCTTAGCAGATGAATGGATATTTGATTTGGATATCTCTTTATAGGAATCTGTCATTGGAATAGCATAAGGAGGAAAGTATCCAGCCAGTAAAGTTTGTTTTCAGGGAGGTACTAAGGTTGGCTATAGCGATATTGGAATGTAAATAGCAGGGGGAATGGCAGAAAAAGTAACAGGAAAATCATTTCATTAATTATTTGATGAATTCTTAGCTTAACCTCTAGGAATGAAGAATGCTCAGTTTACAGCTTTTGATGGAGAGAAAGGTTAAAATATTGCAATTGCTGATGGTTTTTTAGTGAGGATGATTGACTATGGTAATTTTTTATGAATGCTTCTCAATTATGGTTCTTTTAATGGCAAACAAATACTGAAAGCATCGACTGTTAAATCAATGTTATAAGATTACACAGATGATTTGCCTGTATCAGTTAAGGTCATGAAAGAAGTGGTAGGAGATGTATCAGATTCTTATGGTTTTGCAATTGGCTCTTGGATTTACGATACCAATGATAAGGATGAACCTGTGATCTTTTCAAGTTCTGGTGTGCATGGATTTGAAAATTGGATTGACATTGAAAATGGATATTTGTGCATATTCTTCCTAAGAGCAGATGTTGAAAAAGAACCATAAATTTCAGAACTTAGTGAATCCATGAGACCTGAAATTTTGGAATTCTACTTGAATGAGAGTAAATAAAAAAAGAATTGATATCATTATATAATCCTAAGTGTTCTTTATTGTTATTTTATAATTTTAATATAGTTTTTTCAGTTCTATTTTATATTACATAGCAACTAAAACTATGGACAGAATTACAAATTATAACCAGAATAAGTACACTGTGATTTAAATAGTAGCTTAAATCAGCTATTGACTTCTTTTTTAATTATCATTAATTATTAATTACTTAAAGAAAGAATTAGATAGGATTAATTGTTATTTACAAAAGAATATATATATATAATTTAAAAATTATTTATTTTTAAAGCGCTTGCTGGAACTACATATGCTAGAGTATACGAATACATGATAATCTTCTCGCTGTTTGGCTTATAATTTTTGTGTATTTTTAAAATATATAGTTAGAGAATTTATATTTAGGTTTTATTATTTAAAACCTATATAATAAATTCTATAACTATATTTTTGAAATACCTAGGTCATTTAATTTGTAAGATTTCTCAATTAGTATATGTGTTAATTCATTCCTAATCATAAAGTATAAAAAATAGTAAGAAATATCTTCAAATTTGTATTATATATATCGAGTAATTTAAAGATTCTCTAAAATTAATATTATAAATTATTAATCTAAATCAAAATGTTTGATTTAAATTTATTTGTTTATTAGGTTTTTATATTATTGATTTGTGTGAATAGCTAGTGTACAGGAATAACAAATCAACAAGAATGCAATTCAAATGATAAATGCGAATGGGATTATTGGAAACCCTCCTTATGTCAGAGCATTTGCAGTTAATTAACTAATTAATAAAGTTGTAATGAAGCGCCAGATTGCAAATGGCTTGCAGATTCATCTTCTTGCTTTATTAAAAAGTGCTAAGAAGAAAACTCTGAAGACGTCTGCAATCTAATTGTAATATGGCTAATTAATTAAGGTTGCTTGCTATTGGTACGACGGCGAATGTTGGGATTCCTCATGTATTTAATTATAGGCCGAAGAAAGGGGAAAGTGTCCGGTTGCTTATTGCATATGGGAGGAAAAAAGGAAGTTGTGCTATGATAAGAAATGCTCAGATTATACGAGTGAATATGATTGCTAACAAATGTCATTTTGTTCTTGGTTTAAATACAAATGCATAGATAATGGTTAGAAGAAACTTGATTTTTGATATAACTTTGTAAAACCTTAAATTACGTCTTAGTATAATAATGAAAAGAAGTAAGGATCTCTAATTTTCGTTCTATATGAATAAATTTTTAAATATCTTGCAGACAATTATTTTTCTTGTAAATAAGAGAATAAGAAATTTACACTATAATAGTTCAAACATAATGATAAAGTTTTAAATATGAACTTTAAAGCTCATCTTAATTTACATTTTTCAAAGCATCTCTATTTATATAATATTGGATAGCCTTAATAATATTATCAGTTGTTGAATTAATTATTTTCGTTATTTTTAAATGATTAGATTATTTCAATCAGAATTTTGTAGTTAATATACATCAATTAAATATTCCAGACATATTTTTATGAAGGATTTATGTTTGGTTTATAAACTTATTTATAGAAGATTGTAAAAATATTAATTTAAATGAATTTTAATTAAAAGGTCAATTAAACTCCTTTATTAATTTTATTAGTTTAAATAAAAATTATGATCACAGTCCTTTGAGTTGTCATTATTGTTTTGCATCAGAAACTTCTATTATCTTGCNTAAATTCTATAACTATATTTTTGAAATACCTAGGTCATTTAATTTGTAAGATTTCTCAATTAGTATATGTGTTAATTCATTCCTAATCATAAAGTATAAAAAATAGTAAGAAATATCTTCAAATTTGTATTATATATATCGAGTAATTTAAAGATTCTCTAAAATTAATATTATAAATTATTAATCTAAATCAAAATGTTTGATTTAAATTTATTTGTTTATTAGGTTTTTATATTATTGATTTGTGTGAATAGCTAGTGTACAGGAATAACAAATCAACAAGAATGCAATTCAAATGATAAATGCGAATGGGATTATTGGAAACCCTCCTTATGTCAGAGCATTTGCAGTTAATTAACTAATTAATAAAGTTGTAATGAAGCGCCAGATTGCAAATGGCTTGCAGATTCATCTTCTTGCTTTATTAAAAAGTGCTAAGAAGAAAACTCTGAAGACGTCTGCAATCTAATTGTAATATGGCTAATTAATTAAGGTTGCTTGCTATTGGTACGACGGCGAATGTTGGGATTCCTCATGTATTTAATTATAGGCCGAAGAAAGGGGAAAGTGTCCGGTTGCTTATTGCATATGGGAGGAAAAAAGGAAGTTGTGCTATGATAAGAAATGCTCAGATTATACGAGTGAATATGATTGCTAACAAATGTCATTTTGTTCTTGGTTTAAATACAAATGCATAGATAATGGTTAGAAGAAACTTGATTTTTGATATAACTTTGTAAAACCTTAAATTACGTCTTAGTATAATAATGAAAAGAAGTAAGGATCTCTAATTTTCGTTCTATATGAATAAATTTTTAAATATCTTGCAGACAATTATTTTTCTTGTAAATAAGAGAATAAGAAATTTACACTATAATAGTTCAAACATAATGATAAAGTTTTAAATATGAACTTTAAAGCTCATCTTAATTTACATTTTTCAAAGCATCTCTATTTATATAATATTGGATAGCCTTAATAATATTATCAGTTGTTGAATTAATTATTTTCGTTATTTTTAAATGATTAGATTATTTCAATCAGAATTTTGTAGTTAATATACATCAATTAAATATTCCAGACATATTTTTATGAAGGATTTATGTTTGGTTTATAAACTTATTTATAGAAGATTGTAAAAATATTAATTTAAATGAATTTTAATTAAAAGGTCAATTAAACTCCTTTATTAATTTTATTAGTTTAAATAAAAATTATGATCACAGTCCTTTGAGTTGTCATTATTGTTTTGCATCAGAAACTTCTATTATCTTGCTTAAGATTTAGGAATCCCACATAATTAATAAATTAAAAGTAAAATGAATTGAGCCAGTTTAAATTGACTGAATAGGAGTAATAAGAAGTAGTTTTTGGAATACCTGAAGCAAGACATTTGACCTGAATTTATGGAGTTTCCCAATTTTTAGCATAAAAATAAAAGAATTATCTATCCCCTTAGTATATTGAGTATATCAATAAATATGAAATAATACAAAAAGTCAAGCACTTTGTTTGTATTATTTATTTTTTTGGTAGTTCCAAGTTATATTATGCAATAAGCAAGATTTAATCTTTAAAATCTAAATTTTGAAAGTGAGAAAATAATATTATAAAATATATAATAAAACATCAACAGAATTCATTAACTATATCCTTAGAATTGAAATAATTTTTCTAACACTACTTTCAATTCAATTGGATTAACAGGTTTTGGAAGAAATGTATTGATTCCCAATTTAGAACCTTTAATATAATTCTCTTATGTATCATAAGCAGAACAAATAACTATTGTAGATTAGTTTTATGTTAGTTTTAGAATCTAGATAAATTGAATAAGTTTACTTATTTGCTTGCTTAGAATCCATCCATTCCAGGCATTTCAATATCCATAAAAATTATTTGGTATGTTTAACAATGCTGCTGCATTTTTTGTTTAACTTTCTCAATTGCCTAAAATCCATCAAAAACTGAATCAGCTTCAATATTATAATGCTTAAGCATCATTTTTAAAGCAATTTAATTAAATGGTATATCATCTACAACTAAAACATGAGAGCACTTTTGGCAAATTAATTTTTATTTTTTAATATTAGAGTGTTCTAAATCAATTTCTTAAAAATCTTTACAAGAAGAAATAAATTTATGAGGAAAATATTCGTGACTGACAGGTAAGAGGATTTCTTATTGGATTTCGAAATCATTCAACCTGGAAGTAGCTTTATAGGTTTCTGAATTTTATTCTAAGTTATCTTGATCATCTTAAATTTAAGTAAATGTGTTATTTATCTTATTCGAAATCTTATCATCAATCTTTATTTTATTGAATGTATAAAATATTTCGGATTAATTAAACTTTCCTGTTTATTGAGTAAATAAGTTCGAGGATTATTGATACGAATTTTAGTTAATTTACAAATTTTCAACTTGAAACGAAACTGAAGTTCCTTAATTTTATAAAGAATTAATAACTAATTTATTATCTTGGGCCTAAGTTAAACCTTGTACAAGTTTTGCTACAATGCTCAATCCTAAGCCTTTTTTCTTAATTTCAGCATTTTATTTTAGAATAGCACCAAATTCGCTGGTATCATATAAACTACTTCTAATTAAATTCAACTATTCTTCAGCAATTCCAATCCCATTATCTTTAACTTCAATATTTATGCAAAAATATTCCTTTTCTGTAATGTTTAAATGAATGCAACCTCCTTCTTTAGTAAATTTAATTGAGTTATTTAATAAATTAATTAATATTTATAATATTCTCTACTTGTCGTTACGCATCATTATATCTTTTAAACTCTTTGAAATTAGAATCTTAAATTTGATTTTTTTTAATTTCATTTAACATTTATACAGTTCCTCTATTTCATTTATAATCAAATTTAATGGGAATTGAGTAATGTGATAAGAAAATTAATAAGATTATATGGCAGCATAATCTAAAATATCGTTGATTTAATGAATCAATAATTGTATCGAATTCTAGGCTATTCCAAGACAAGTCTTAAAGTCTTCTTCACTCTAAAATTGCTAGATTAGATTTAACATATTCTAACAACTATTCAAAGGAGTTCTCAGTTCATGAGAAAATGATTTGATAAGACTGTGATGAATAATTTGTTCATCTCTTATCTATTAGAATTTATGCTTATGAGTGATATTTTTAATTATTATGAGAAGTACAGGATTATCAAAGTCAGTTGTTGGTTGAAAAATAACTTTACTGCTACATTGAATTTATGATTGAGATTAAAAGTATTCTTATTATTGAACTGTCATCGAAGTTGGGATAATTATTAATTTCAGTTTTTTTTAAGATTTAGAAAAATTAAAGCCAGGTTTGATAAACCATTCATATATAAAAACTTATGACATAAAACTTAAGTAATTGTCTCCAAAGCTTGATCCTAGAATGTTTGAATATTTTTATGGCTATATCATAATATCCAATACATCAACTGCAATGTTTCTATTTGATAAAATACTTATTATTTATTTTAAAATATGATAATGTATTTATTTTTGATGTTGTTTTGCTTGAAAACTATTCAAATCATCTATTTAATAGTGTTGCATTTTTGCATTATTCACACAAGTCTTTATTTTTTCTAATACTTTTTCTGCTCCCTAACACTCTAACAGTTTTTCACATTTATTGTTCATATAACTAACTTATTAGGAGGAATTTAAAATCAAAATTCCTTAAGGAAAAATGTTAAGCAGGTTTTAATAAAATGAACACATGGACTAGTCTGATTTGTCGAAACTTTTATTTAATTTCTGACAATTCGTCAAATTAGAATATTGAATCAATTTTATATCACTAGGAAGATCTCGTAAAATTATGCTCATGTTATGTTAAGGGGTAAGGTTGAGCGATACCTTACTTTACTATTGTATTTAAGGAAATATCTATTCATTTTAAGGCAGAGGCGTAGAATCTCTATCCTCTTTAATCGCCAATTGATATTTAGGAAGCTTCTCTTAAAAATTATTCTTAAATGAATTATAAAGCTCAGTCGTGTATTTTATGAATAATATACCTAATATCACCAAGCTTTCTAGCTGATAGATTTTAAAATCAATAATTACTGCACATAGCACTCTAATGATTAGATAAAATGCAATCCCCAATTTGCAAATCAAACTTTATTTACACATTGCTATTTTCAAGTAATCAATATAAGTAAAAATAATCAATAAACAATTAGAGAGTGATTATAAGTTGTGATTCATTTCCATGTGTAAAAAGGATTCAAAATATATTACGTAATATATCAAGGATACTACATGAATAACAAAATTAAGTCCATATTCTTTTGAAATTAAAATTTGTTAGAGGCATCTCAAAAAAACACAAGACAATTGCAGTATTAATACTAAATAATTGATTGGCTATTTTAACCATATAGTGTTAGAAGCCCACCAAATGCCTTATACGAAATTTGCAATAAAAATCGAGTTAAACCATAACATTTCCAAGAATTTTCTAACATTAATTTACAGGTTCATATTGCTGTATTAAATTAAATTAAATAATATGCATAAAACACAAGTACATTACATTTTATTTCTTAAATACATCAAAATCATGTCCTATTTTTGGCATAGTTCTTTCATTCCCCAATTCCTAAACAGATTTTCAAATATAAAAAATTAATTCAAGAAAAAACAAAATTAGAGTCAAAAATAGAAACTACGATAGTGTCAATACTTTATCAAAATCTTTAAAAGCAAAAACCGGCTAAATTACAAAATCTTATTTAAAATATCAATATTCTATTGATTTCTTTTTTAGAAGTGCATTTGCGACAAAGATGAAATACATAATTACATATGTAAATTAATTTAAATACTAGGTATATAAATTTAAAAATAAAATATCAATATTTTTTATTATTGCATTTACTTTTCTATGTCTGCTAATCATCACCTAATTATGAAAATCAATAAATTTCTCCAATGAAATTCTCTATAAGATATATTTTAAGCCATAATATTATTTCATATTACAAAAAAAAAAAAAAGTTAATTTTAAAGGCTATTTTAAAATGCTAACATGTATTCTAACATATGAAATGAAGGATAATTAGAACTTATGATAAAAATTTGAGAAATATTTTATCATAAACTATTGAGAAAAAATGAGAAGTAATAGCTTAAAAATAATATTTGATGATGCGTTAAATTTATATTGAACAACTTATAATAATTATAATAATTTTACCATTCATATCATAATTCATACTATATTTAGAAAATATTTTTTAATTTAATAACAATAATATTTTATAAATATAATTAATTATTATACTATATAAATTATTATATAAATATAATTAATACTTAGGGTATGCATATTGATTCTAAATTCTTGCATATACTATATATATTGGTTAATTACCATAAGATGACTTTATAAATAAATAATAATCTTATTTTCAGTGTAAAAATTTGTTGAGAAAAATTTATCCCTATTATTTGAATCTTTAAACAATAAAAATTTATGATTAGAATAGTATTAATTTTTCACATTTAACAAACAATACATTAATATGATTTATAAAAATCTGAAAGTATATTATTTCATGATATAAATTCAAGTTTTTCTTTGTTAGAATAGTTTAATATTTTTATGTTCTATTGGATCTTCATTAATATTTCCTTCAATCTATTTGATCGGCATGTATTCACTATCTAAATTTAAATCTGATTAAGATTTTTGCTTTTGAGCAACTTGAATTTTTTTGATTATTTTTTGTTCTTTTTCTTTTTCCTCCACATTTTCAAAGTTCATCTTAAGTTATTTCTCCTCTCTAACTTTATCCTTCCCTTTAAAATTTGCAATTCTCATTCTTTCCTCTGTTTTTGTTTCTACAAATTGAGTTATTCCCTTCTTTTATTTAATTTGTAATTGCTATTAATCTGATTCAATTCCTATTTTTTCTCTTCTTCTCTAATCTAAAAATTGCCTAACAAAATATATTGCTAAAATAATCAATAATAATGCTGTGATTGACCCTGTAAATAGTAGACCATATAAATAATTTGAAGTAAACAATATCAAGATGGCACCAATGTAAACCTAAATTTAATATAAAAAATTACAGAGAAAACTATAATGAATAAAAACAGTTCAATAATATTGAACCAATCAATAAGGCATGGTTTCATCCTCAAATAAAAGATAATAATGAAAAGCATTATGCAGGAAGCAAAAATTAATTAAAACGTAAAGGAATTAGAGTCAAAATTGGCAAACAAAGAGCTTAATCCAAGTATTAATAGTTTGCATTAAACGTAAACAACTAAGTAAGTGGATCTATATTTTAAATCTAATGAATGGTCATTAAACTAAAAAATAGGTTGCATATAGGTAGTTAATGGATAATAGATGCTTACTCCTAAAAATGCTAGTCCCATATAGATATAATGTTATTCACTTAAACATTCCACAGAATTGTCTCTCACTAAGACATAAGTAACTGAGCCAACAACATCATAGTCACACACAAAAGCATCAATAAAGGATTTCATTATTCTTAGGAACAAGCCATTCAGAATTTATATGGCTTTTGTCAAATACCATTATGGATGAGTGTAACTGGCTGGTAACCCATTTAAAGTATTTTGGCCAAAAGTATTTTATTTTACATGATGTACAGCTATTCTTCCTAAAATTCCGTACAAAACAGAGGCAAAAAGGGAAGCATAAAAGTAAAATGAATATGAATCATAAAATGCAGCTCCATCAACGACATCTTGCCCCTATACTTCTGAAGAAGAATCTGAACCAAACCAAGAAACATTGCTGTTAAAGGTCAAAGCTGCTAATCCATATACATCAAAAAGTCTTGTAGAAATAGCTATGATATTACTTAATGTAGGTCTGAACTATTTTACAACTAGCTTTTTTTTTTATTGTTCTTCATAATTATTGATTTATCTAAAGAGTTCTTCGATGGCACCTTTTGCCACTTGCTTCCAATCTCTCATCTCTAATCTAGCTTCATTTACTCTTTAAGCCCAACCCTTTCTAACAGGCTTTTTTTTCTAATCCTCAAAACCTCCTAGAATAGTTTTCCAGCATGCTCCTAATATTTAACAAAATACTAAGTTCAGACATCTAAGGAAACTATAACAACACTTTTTGCAACAAGATAATTTGTTATCATATTTATGTTCTACCTCTTAAACTTTCTCTGCATATTCGAAGTTAAGTTGCTTTCTTGATTTCTTTGGGAATTTTATACTGTTAGCTCTTTTAATCTGATTATTTTGTGGGTTTTATCCATCATTAATTTGAAGTAACAACATACTTTATTCATCCTACATTTCTTACTTAGTTTGTTTTCTTCCATCAAAGTTTTCTTAACAAAAAGGATATAATTTTGGGTCAAGCGCATTATTCAGAAATAACCTATTGGTTTCTTTTAAATTACTATATAGTGATTTTATTGATTTAATCAACCCAGGGTAAATATTACTTAATGTTAATTACTTTAATTATTAATATTTATCAACAGAGTTGTTTGGCAAAGCAGATTTGAGTAAATTTGCAAAGTCAAATTCACTTAAACTATATGTTTAATGTAACCATATTTATTTAGCATGAGTTGTAAATTCTATGATTCCAAAATTTAAGTCTGTTAATCTACAAAATTCCTTGAAATCATTATAACAAATTGATGGAGGAAGTCCTTCTTCTTAATTACTAAATTCCATAAAAACTTCATGCATAAATTAGGGAAATAAATTATTATCCTGTTGTAGTGATTAATAATAATCAGTTGATGTTATTTTGCTTATTGCTTTACTTGATATATCTTTTCTTTCCAAATTTCTAAATTTTTCTGTTTTTGAGGATACTAATTATTCAACATCAATATGTTATTTTTTTTAGGCTAAAATTTGAGCGGTTGGTTCTAATTCAAAGTTTAGGAGTAATCCTGTTTTTTCATTATCATCCATCAACTTGTAGACACTTGAAAATTCTGGAATCAATTATTCCATAATTTAACCTTATTCTTCATCCATTTTATAGATGTCTCTTAGTAAAATAATTTCATTCTCCTTATCCTTTTCTAATTATTCCATTTCTTCTAATCCACACTTACATTGGATACATTCCCAAAACATCATTAAACATTAATTTTGTTTTTTCTCCTACTCTTCAATCTTTTTCTATTCTATTGCTTTTACAAATTTGTCATAATTAAGCTTTGAAACTAACTATTTATTACATTCCAAATCTTCTCCTAAATATTCTATAGGACCTACAGGTTTATATTCTTCAATTAAATCTTTAATTAAAATTTGTTTAATTTCTTATTTTTGATTGATCTCCTTATTATTTTTATCTTAGAGCCCAGGTTTCTGTTATTTCTTGGCTCTCCTTTCCACAACATTACCAATAATCAAATATCTCATATAGATTAAAGAACATACAGCCATGTCGCTATAAACATGTTCCTTATAGAAATAGGCTATCAATCCTTCAACAACAAATCTTTTTTTCCTCTCAAACTCTTCTTTATTGAGTAAAATAGAGAAGAAGAGAGAAGTACCAGTCACTCCAAAAATGCAGATAAATAAACCACTTGCAACTGCAATTTAGGCAAAGGTTTGAAAGTTTTCTGAAGTGTTAACAAATTCAATTGATAGCATAGGCACAATGACTCCGAATGGAAAAATGATGCAACACCATAACAACGAGCTTACAAAGGCTGAGAAAAAGTTTTCATAGGCTTCTGATTGATTCTTAATATAGGTTAACACTTTATAAAGTAGAAATATGAGTGGCAATCCAAAAGCCAATGCCATAAAGAAGGTTGAAAATATTTCATTTCCAATTATTGCACCAAATGGTATAAAGACTACTATCGGACATATCAAACCAGCTAACACAGTATAATTCTATATTTTGAGGGCTTTCATTTTCTTTTCATTTTCTATTTATTCTATTTTCTCCATATCTAGATTTGTAATTTCGAAATCATTTTTAATTTACAATGATCTTCCCGATAAGGCCAAATTGGTTAAGAAGAATAAAATCGGATGCATGACTAATAAACTAAAAATAGTTCCAATTTCTACGTCTGTTGGCTGATATTCTTTATCAAATTCTTAGGAGAACCAAAAGAATTCTCCTAAGAAAAATATCGATAAAAGAAAGAATGCAGCATTAATCCATAATCCATAAGGAGTTAGATTGTAATAGGCATATTCTCCAAAGTTGGGAAAGTCATCTTCAGATATTTGTTTGACTCTCCATACAGCTGATATAGATAGTTTGATAAAATAAGCAAATATCACAATCATTATGATGGCTCCTATTCCTACTAAGACATAACTAGTATATAATAAGGATCCATCATCTGATTCATAATAAAGTGGAATCAGCACTCCTAAAGGAAAGGCCAAAAAGAAACATAAGAATCCTAATGAATACATTTGTAATTTTCGTTTTTCAATACCAATCATACTAATGGTCAACCAAATAGTAAATAAAAATAATGGTCCATAATAAATAGCATCTCCTATAGATAGAACTATGTCTTAAGTAGTAGATTGTGAATCCAAATAAAAGTACAATTTCAAAAATGAAAATATGATTGGAGCTCCTAAAAATAATGGGATGTATAACAGTGTTTTTGATAAATCTCTGTTAGTGATTGAAATAAAAACACCTAAAAATAAATAAATAGGAACAATGGTAACTTCAAAAGCTAAAGTCATAATTTCACTGTAGTTGGAATACTGATTTTGAAGTATTGTTGATAGTTTTAAAAATAGCCAAATCTCAACAATAAAATAAAATATTCCAATCATATATGAGATTATTCTAACCTTGTTCCTTTATATCCAACCTAAAGTTTATTACTGCGTTGTTTATGATCGAATGTATTGTTTTTCAAGCATATACCTGAGTCTATCAATTGCTGTCTATATTACATCTTCTGGCCAATCAAATAATCTAGCCTTAATAATAAACCATGAAAAGACTAAAATTAAAAGCAATGGTATATAAAGTTAAGACAGAACATAAGTTATCAAATCTGAAAATACTATTTAAGATGTAACAATAACATATTCTAGTATATAGTACCCAACTAAGAACACACAGAATAGACACCAAAAGTTAACTACCATAGCTGCAAAGAACTCTTTCATAAAGCTTTTCAACCAAATATATAATTAGGAAACTATAAGTCCGTTCAGTACAATTAACACAATGAAAGCTAGTATAAAAATCATAGAAAAATCGTAGTTCGCTGATGAATTCAAATTCAGCAACTAAATTCATTAATAAATCTTACGTTTAGATAATTATTACTAAGGAACCACAATGGCAGTAGCACACCTAAAAAAGTAATTATAGACACTATCCAAGTTTGTTTAATCATTATTATTCTACAACTTAAATATATTATTACATTAATGTATATATCGTAAATAATGCTCCTAATCCTGCTAGATTATACACAATACTCTATTTATTAGCATTTGCTTGTACCTCAGAGGAACTTTATAAATCCTGAAATAAATTATAAAAATTACTAAAGTTTGGATTATGTACACGACATAAATAATCAAATAGAAACACCAAATTAACACATGATAATGGGTTATCTCAAAACCTCCATCAAAAAATCTACATTTAGCAGAAAACCACTATTCTAACTAATTATTGATTGTTATTATTTTATTGATCCAAATAAATTTAGGATTGCTTTCTCTTTCCTCTACAAGCTGGAATAAATCTTATATGTAAGGATGATCAGGTCCTACATATGAATATTCTTTCCCCCCTATAGTAAATTTTTTAGTTATTTTTGGTATTGGCTAAAAAGTGCTTGAATATATTATAGTAATGTACTTTGATCTAGCTAAGGAAGGTTTTGAAGAAATATCATCTCGTAAATTTTAATCCTCATTTTATTATATAGGATTGGGTGATTACATTAATAGTAAAAATTGGGAGTAATTAATATTAATAAATAATCACAATCTTTTATTATAAATCACAGAGCTAATTTCTAATAGTATATTTTATTTAGCTTGAGCTCTTAAGATCAAATCTTCGAATTCACTTCTGCCCTAATTTGTATTCTCGAAGTAGTTTTTTATTTCTCACCATTAGTAATACAGATTTTATTTTGTAAACTAAGGTCCTAAAAGATAGTAATTAAGGCCATAATGTAAAGAGTTCGGTTCTAAATTTTGGCATTCTATAATTTTTAATATATTTTGGATTAAAATAATTCATCATCACATTTCATGATCTGATTCAGAACTCTAGCTTAAGTTTAACACATTTTCATAAGGAACAAGTTTCTTATATATTTTATCCATATCATAGGAGTTACCCAATATTTTTGTATAAGACTCAGGTCCTTCGCTTTCAATTATTTTCTGTTTTCTTACTTTTAAGGCATTTAGTAACTTGATATTATTTAATTATACTTATTGGTCGCCTTTACTAGAAAATTTAGTATACAAGGAGTCATAAGAGGAATGGCATTTAACTTTGAAGTCTCTCAGTTTTCTTAGATAATCTGCCTAAACTTAGATGTTATTCTCTTGTTATTCGACATTTTCTGATGATATTAATAATAAGATTACAATTTTCAGTGACTTCTATATTAGACAAACTCTAAGATTTGTTCATTTAATATGCATTTTAAAATGTTAATAATTCTTCTTCTAATTTAACTTTCTTTTGTCTAGCAGCTTCCAAATTCTATTATTACTCTGATAACTAGATTTCTAATTCACTTTTTTTTTCAATATTTGCCATGAAATCAATGAAATTAGTAGAATGACTATAATTTTATTCTTTGATATCGAATATCCCTTTAATTTAAGCATACTTTTTCTCAAATTGTTCGAGTTTCTCATGAATAGTCTTAGTATTTTTCTCTTACTACTATTTCAATTTCTTATTTTATTATAGATCGTTTTGTTTTGCCTAATTTCTTCTTAAGTTTTGAACTGACTCTAAAGCTGAATCCTAAATGTAAGCATCGGCTAATAGATAAAAGAGTGCAAATACCTGCTTAGAAAAGATGATCTAGGTTTGTCTTCTCTAATAAGGAATTCCTTATTTAATTGATTAAATTTCCTTGATGCTTCTTCTTCTGATTATAGGTAATCAAAAAGTCATCTATTGTTCTATAAAGTATTTTGATCTGTTATTTATTTTTTTAGATCTCTACTTCTTCAAATCTTATAAGTTTCTTAAAATTATTAATCAACTATTACAAGTGCTTAAGTAATATTATAATATAATTACTCTAATATATTCTTCATTCTATTGTTTATTATCCTTACATATTTTTAAGATGGTGATAACTCTTACTTTTTAGATACTGCTTGTTTTATAAGATTATTCAGCCTCTTATAATTATTTTTCGAGTTCAATTTTAGTTTCCTTCAACTCTTCTAAATTAGATAACTCCTTCTTTATGTAACCCTTATTAAAATCGATGATTTTTTATTATTTAAGTATCTTTGCCAATTTTAAATTCTCATAAGTCAAAGTATCTAATTTCTTTCTCATTTGCTTTGCTTATTATTCTAACAAATGCAACTGCTTTTGAGAATGTTTTTGGATATCTGTCTTAAGGATTGGGAAGATTTCAGTTTATTAATATGCATTCAAAGATAGCGAAGATGATTAAAATGACTTTAATCTACCTTTTTGAGATTTAAATTTATCCAACAATTTTACAGTATTCTATCCATCATTTGGTCTATTTTCTATAGTGATTTTAATCCCTTTGGATTCTTAATTGAGAGTATCTAAATCTGTGAAATCCTATGTGATAAACATAGTTCGTTCATATTTTTCTTAGGACATATTTAGAGACGAAGCATTGATACTATCAATTCTTGGGAGAATAGCTTTGCTTCTATCAAACCTGCTGGCTTAAGAATTGTCAAAGGTGTATTCTAGTTTGACTGGCTAAGGCTGATTCAAAACACTGGCTTAAGGAATCAAGATGATGGACTATTATTGTTCTTCTGGTTCAGTTTCATACATCAATTTCTTCTTCAACTTAGCTTCAATGGCAATTTTTAAAGCAGCTAAATATTATTATCTGTATTTTACAGTTTGTATAAGCATGTTCTTCTTCAACACTCATGTAATCGGTGGCAGAAGAGAAACAGTGCTTGATAGTTTTGGAATAATCACATTTTTTACTAATACTCAAACATGCCCAAGGGAATTGGATCCAAATCCATCTCTTATAATAGTAGTCTGATGACACTCTATCTCCAGTGATCTCTTCCTCACCAGACAACAATTCTCTTTTTTCTGTTAACAACTTTTACAGTATCTTTTACATTAAATATTTGTATTCATCAATGTCTAAAGTCTAAATAGTTTCCTATTCATCAGGTTCTGTTTCACTAGATTTTATCATTTATTTTAAATAGTGATTTCTGACTTCATATCTATTTTATTGTATTTCTACATTTTGAGACTCCATTTTAGTTAGAGCAGGTGTTTTGATTGCCTTGGCCACTCTTTTTAAATGTTTTGCAGGATCAAATTACTTTAATTCTGGATCTTTGTTAAAGTATAAATCTAATTTCAAGATTTCTTATAGCAATCCTATGTCATATAAATCTTATAAGACTCCAATAATGGGAGGGTGTCTAAAAACAGGAGTGTTTTTGGTTTCAAAGTCTCCAAATTCTTTGAGAAATCTCGAGACTTAAATAATGATTCTAAAGAGATCCTCTGCACTTGGATGATAATGGATTTGGAAACCTTCTACTGCCTTGTTATATTCTAAGACAGGATCGAACCCATTTTCTTCTAATTTTTGCCAATATCTACAGAGATCATATTTATTATTAGGGTTGAATAATAATAAGAAGTTCTCAATAATGCTGATGACTTCTTTTAATCTAAAATAATTTTTGGCTGAAAATAAATGGAATGTTTCTTCTTCTAATTTTCTAATTGAATTGTTGGTGTATTTATTGATTGTTTCTGCAATTTTATCATGCAATTATAATGTTTTTTCATTGTGATAACAATTGATAACGCATTTTTTGAAAATTTCATTATGAATAATCCATAATTCTCTATGTTTCATTAGGAATATCTTAAAGAAAAGTAGGAATAACTTCCATTGTTTATCTTCAAATTCACAAACTGATTAGATTTCTTTAAAAGTCAACCCTTTTTATGTAATTGCAAGAACAGTGATAAGTTGAATGAATTTTGGATCTTATTTCAATTCTGGAGTTTTGGGAGTAAAAATAAAGCTCTCACTAAAGAATTTTAATTGGAATGTGAATAATTCTTCAACAGTTCTGAAATGTTTGATCTGCTGTAAATTTAATTCTTTCAAGATGTTTTCAACAACATCAATATCGATATCCTTTAATTCTACTAGGCCATCTGTTGGATAAGGTAAAAATACTGTCATGAAACTCCTTACAAAGAGTGGTTAATTTCTGACTTTGTAATGCAATTGGATAAATAACTCTTGGATAGTTTACACTCTTTAATCGGACTAAGGGAATAAGTTTAAAGAATACAAGAAATGATTGCTTTCCAAAATGGCCATTGACCATGATTTTGATTACTTTGGGATCACAAGTTATGGGAATCACATGACAGGAAGGTTTGAGTATTCGCATAGAATTAGAATTTTTTTCAGCAGTTACAATAACTTTAATGTTTTTTGGGAAGTATTTAGGCAACCAGAAGGAGACGTTGGCTTCTCTATGAACATCTAGCATGTCTCTGAAATTATCTATTCCTTCGAATATCAATATGACCTAGAGTGATTTAGACATACAAACATACTTTATCATAAATGACTTTGGCTCCATTTAAGAATTGCTATTCCAATTCTCGACTGCATATTTCCAACCAATAATGGAAGTATCTACGGAGTTTCTCTTCCACCAATTCGACTTTCTATTTGATGTTGAGGGTCTCTCTTAATTTAATTAGTATTCGGTAGATCGCAAAAAAGTAATTGCTGTTCTTGCCTGATTGGGTAGCGAAATGAGGGATGATATAATCTTAATAACGCTATGATTAGGTGTATTGTTACTCCTTTTTTGTTTTTGGCATGATATTCCATCCATTTGACTAACAGAGTTTTCTTTCCAATTCCATCATCTGCTTCCAATACCAAGGGAGTGTTTTAATGCAATGATTTCTCTTCATCCAGCCAATCCTCGATCTCCAAAAAGTAACGATCCAAACCAGAAGCAGTTCTAAAATCAATTGTATAAGTTACTAATTTTTGTAATATTCGACGACTACATCGGATGAACTTGAATATGAATGAATATGTACTCTATGTAATTCATGTTCTCATGTCTCATCGATTCTATAGTCGTTTTCTTATCTTTTGGAGAAGTTGGTCGATTTGAATAAGCGTCGTCCATTTTATATTTAAATTAATGATTGACGAAAGTTTTCTTCTAAATGAAAATGAAGAATTTGGAGAATAACTCCTGGAAGATTTCACAATCCTTCAAAAATTGGGAACAGGTGCCTTCAGCAAAGTCTACAAGGTCTAGTACCAGGATCAAATCTATGCCCTGAAAGTATAGTTCAAATTGTTCTAGGTTGTTGATAAATAATTGGCTACTGGAAATAATATTGTAGAAAAGCTCAATCAAGAAGCATACATTCTCAACACTCTGGAGCATCCAAACATCGTTTAATATTACAAGACAATCGAATCCAAGCGGAAACTTTATTTTCTTATTGAATACATTGATGGGAAATCTCTCCAGGAATATCTTGATAAATCATTGAACGAATCTCAAATAAGATCAATTTTACAATAAATCATATATGCAATTGCATATATTCATAAAAAAGGTATAATCCATAGAGATCTAAAACCTGGTATGAACATCATTATATATAGATAACATCTTGGTTGACAAAGAATGGAATGTGAAAATCATTGATTTTGGCTTGAGTTTCTAAACAATAAAGTCAACTACTCACGAAACCTGTGGCACCTTAATTTATATGGCCCCAGAAGCATTGATGAAAAAGGAATACTTCAAATCAGTGGATATCTGGAGTCTTGGAATTATACAGTATATGATGTTTGCCAATTGTCATCCCTTTTGGACTGAAGATACACGAGAGACATTCTTAAGGAAAATGAAAACTCCTTAGTAGGCATGTTATCCTTAAAATATGAGCAAGTTCAAAATTGGCATAATCATAGAATAGAGCGGCCATATCATTTTTTGAAAAAACTGCTGCGTGGGAACCCGAAGCTAGACTTACAGCTGAGTAAGCCCTGATTCATCCGTGGATAAGCGGTGTGAATGGTCAAATGCCAATGTCATCGAAAGATATCATCCAAACATTTAAATGCTAAAATGAATTCCATCAAGTATTCTCATGTTTGAGTATCATTTAAGTTGATAAAATTGTTGATGATCCTGAGATTGATATAGAAAGTGAGTTAAAAACGTGACGTCTTACAAACACAATAGTATAGAGCGCACTCCTAGTTTCAAAATAATTTACAACCTTTGATTATCAGTTCAAGGAATCCTAGTTCTCAATAAAAATTGAAGACCGAATCCTAATAACTCCAACCACCATTGTCTGCTCACAGAACTACCATATCGAGAATGCAGAACAACTCTTCTTTTCTTAGTTTTTAAGATGTATTCTTATTTTACAAGTAGTAACCAAGAGAGGATGTGCGATTGAAATAGATGAAGAACAAATAGCAGTAATTTAAGTTGCCTCCCATTAATACCAAGTCTGCTAACAATTCACCCTACAATAGTAAATCTACTTAAATGTTTACCTTCAGTCCTTATAAGAAAGCACAACCCAATGGAGAGGTTAAGAAGTCATAATTTAAATTATGAAATATAATATTTTATATGTCTTTTTTAAAGAAATTATTCTCAAAGCCAACAAAGGAGAAAGAAACCCAACAGGTGCAACGTAATATCAATCAAATCTATAACACGCAACCATTCCAAAGGAAATCAAATCCAATCTATAATTACAATTGTATTTACAGGATCGAATAATTCGAAATCATTCTTGAGCAATAAATCATAGACCTTGAACAACTAAAACAATTGACTTGGAGAGGGGCTCCTTAAGGTAATTTATAATATAACCAAAGTTTACAGAGCAAAAGTGTGGAAACTCATACTGAAATACATTCCACCCAATCATATGAGTCAAACCAGTGTTATTCAAAAGAAAAGACAAGACTACTTTCAATACATAAAAAACTATTACGAACAAATTCATGAGAGAGACGATAGCGAAGAAAAAATAATTAAAATTATATCAAATGATGTATTACGAACCCAGCCTGATTATCAATTGTTTAGAGACCCCAAGATCTAGAACCTATTCAAAAGATTGCTATTCATTTGGAGTCAAAGACATCCAATGAGCGGGTACTCTCTATCTTAAAGTAGTTACGTATAAGGAATTAATGATATTGCATCTCCATTGATAGCGGTGTTTCTGAATGAGTATGTCAGGGTGGATTTCAATAAATTCGATTTGCCCTCTGATTTTCATAAACTTCCAGATGACATCCTTCTAGACATTGAAGCTGACATTTATTGGTGTCTCTGCAAAATCATTGAAAACATTCAAGACTATTTCATCCAAAATCAACCTGGTGTGTCATTGGCATATGAAAAAATCAAAAATATTCTGAGCACTGTAAATCACATAAACTTATTGTTAGATCGATCCAACAATTTTATCCTATTTTCAATAACAATAAATAGACTTCAATCATTTTGCCTTCAGATGGGTGATCTGTCTACTTGTTCGAGAATTCCCTCTCTACTTGGCGATCAGATTAATGGACACCTACCTTTCTGAAGGGGATAACATGGCCAATCTCCACATATACACGGTTTCCAATTTGATCCTCAAATGCGGACCTGAGGTAGTCTCTTCATAACAACATAGATCAAAAACAAAAACATGGGCGAGGCTGTCATCTTTTTATAGAACCTTCCTACTAAAGATTGGACAGAATTGGATATTGAAATGCTACTACAAGAAGCCTATGTCTTTAAAGAGTACATGTCAAACAAACAAAATTTGAATCAATCCATGACTCCCACTTAATCAAATCGAATTGCCAATAAATGAAGATAAATTCTCTTTATTAATTTTAATTAACGAAAATTATATCTATGCAACCATTGTATTGCCAATCTCCCAAATAACCCATCAAGAAAGACTCTTGTTTGCATCAATTCCAAAAATTACTCTCTGAATCCCTCAATCGCAAATAAGCTATATAAAATAAAGAAAATACCAGAAGTAGTTTTCAAATGAGAAGCTACAGCAAATTGTTGTCACCTCCCCATCGTTCTATCCCAATCAACAATTAACTCAACCAAGACCTCAAAAAAACACTCAATAGAGTCAAATCTATGCTCGACAAAGCCTACCAAGAAAACTTAGCATTGAAAACAGAAAAAAAAGAATTACTACAATTACTGCAAGAGAAAAACTAATTGATTGAAAAATTACAATAGAAAAAATCAATAAGCCAACATTCTTGAATTATGCAATTACATTTGTACTATATATATATAAATATATATAATGAATAAATCAAATACTAAATCGCCTCCTCCCGGGATATAGCAATAGAGCTTATCAGCAGAACCCAAGGAAACCAAGAAACTTAGAACAACTTTAGATTACTCATTTAAAGAAATCAAGAAACTTGAAGGTATACTTATATATTGTAACTATCCAAGAATTAAAAAATAAAGAAGTTAAACCTAGAGAAGGTGAACAGTGGATATTTAAGGAATAAAAGAAGTAGGAAAACCAAGAAGTAAAGAATGATACTCCAAAAGAATAAGTGCTCAAGTAGTAATAATCTCTGCCTGAAGAAACAGAGCCAGTTTAACCACAACAACAATAGCCCTAAAAATAACAAGACAACAAGAAAGGCAATGCTCCATAACCACCTCCTCCTTAATTGATTCCATAAACCAATGTTGCAACACAATTAATCACATTATAAAATATACCATTAAATGGAAAAATAGTTGGTGGCAAATTACAAGAGAATAAAAATCAAAGTCAGCAATCTAAGTTCAAACCAGAATTGTGTTGTTAATCGTTAATCTTATGTCAAAATAAATTAACTAGTCTCAGTGGATTTTATCAGATCATGCAAACTGTTATGCCCAATGTTGAATTACTTAGATGGATTGATTTATCATATAATCAATTGATCACTCTAGATTATAATTTTAAGGAACTACCGCATTTGTAATCATTATATCTGAACTTCAATCAGATAAAGGATATCAATGAATTAAAATAAGTATTTACATACTCATATACACATAGTTGTCACACTTACAAGAACTAAGATCTCTAAAAATCTATGGAAATCCAATCGAATAGATCATCAATTTCAGATTATACATAATTGATGTGCTTCCATAATTGAAAAGGATAGATTCTGTCCTAATCAGTAAAAAAGTATGTACTATGTGTATTCCCTTTCTAGGAAAGAGACAATTCATCAATGATTGTAAAGGTGTTTGATTTCAAACCTCAAATGAAAGCCTAGGGGGATAAGGAGAAATTGCTGTTATAATAAACCTAAATTACACAATAAAAGTCAAAGTCTTAACCAAAAAAGAAAAAGTGATAATTTAATATATTCTAATATATTGATATTTATATAAAAGGGAAATGAGTAATCAATAATTTTATTTAAGACTTTTTCTTTTTAATTGCTGTTCCATCTTAAAATTATCCTACTTAACAACTTTAATCTAGATATACATGATAATATCTTACTCTTGCTTTAATGTCCTATAAGTCTTGGTCAGTGTATTCGGAGTCATTGATAACCTATTGCAATCTCTCGTTTTCTTCAACCAATAGTTGAATCTTCTCATTTAAATCAGCATATATATTTTCTGCCATTTTCTGTTCATAAACCTATTCAACCTATTAATAAGTAAGTTTTAAATGTTCCTCATCCCTTTTTAATTATTATTATTGCTTATTCAGATTGTCAATTTCATTCTTCAACCTAGAGATATCAGAAATCATTTGTAGATTAGAATTTGATGATAATTATTGATTCAATCTATCATTTTCAGCAATCAAATTTTAAACCTTATTTTCCAATTCATTAACTAAATCCTTGATTTAAGAATCATCACTTTGATCTAATTTATTTTGTAATTCATCACATTTCAATTGGTATTACTATTATTCAGATTTGATACTCTAAAGTTATTATGATGTTTGTTTACGAATTTACTAAGATTTTTCTAAATTCTCCTTCATTCGTGCAACATCAGTTTATTCAATAAGAGACTAATTTTCAAATTGCAATTTGTCATTTAACTATTTTAATAAATTAATTTTTTATTCTAATTCCTAAATAAATTATGAAGATTATCCTCTCTGAACTTCACTTTCCATTTATTGAATAGTTTGTTACAATAAGTTATTAGAATCTTGCAATTGTTTAAACTCATTCAACAGATTGGGATTGTTGTAATTCATTGGTTTGAGTTATGATTGTGATCCTTTATTATTATTATAATAAATGGGAGTATTAATTAAATTATAAGGTTGAGGGGATTGTATAATTGTTGGTTATTGTGTTTATTTGGGAGATTGAAAAATGATGGAGTTATCGCGATTTTGAGCTGGACTCATGCAAACAAATTGTTTGGTTGGATTAACGAATTAAGATAATTGAGTTTCATTAATTGAATCGTTTTTTTTATCATTTTTACCTCCAACCTTAAATTAGATTGAGTAATCATGTGATTGGTTGGGATTTAAATTAGATTTTGAATTGCTGTATTATAGAGACTACAAAATAAAATAAGTAAATTACAGGAGGTTTATCCTGATGACTCGAATTAGATGCTCTTTTCAGATATTAATTGTAATATGGATTGGTTGAAATGGATGTGGTTTTATTGATAGTATCGATGTCCGTGCTTGCTTTGTGATGAAATTTAGTAGGTGGCATTTATGCATTTTAGGTATTTTCAATGCTCTAAAAAGGTGATCGCGATTGATATTGATTGTATTTTAACGATTACTATTGTGGTTCTAATTTGTTAAGGTTTAAATATACATGAGGGGTTCCTTCTTCCAACTTAATATTGTTACATGCTAACAGCCAAAATTTTAATTATTATTATTTATGAAATTAAGAAAATTAGGATTATCAATATTATTATGCAGTGCTGGATCATACAGTCTTTATTGCAACGAGAAGACAAAAGCATATATTTGGGGTAATGGAGTATATTAGGCACTTCCTGGACAGGGTTTGAGTTTTAATAATTTCACTCCCAAATAATTGATAGATTTCGATGATAAGAATTTATAGAAATTATTCCTTTCTGAATAATTCGAAAGTGGTATAACAGGAAACGGAGATGGATATATATGGAGTGCTCACAAGTTAAGCAGTTCAGAGGATAAAAATATAATAGATGGAAAAAGATAAAATATTACTAAAATCAATGTACCTAAGGGCAAGATCTAATAAATCAAATATACCAAATAATTTGTATGGGCATTGACCAATAATGGAGAGGTCTTTCAATATTAGGTTAAGGATGGAGAATTTGTTAACAATCCAAAAAAAATCAATAGTTTATAAAACATCAAATAAATAGAATGTGGAGAAGATCATTTTGTGGCACTTACTAATGATGGTTCTATTTTAACTATGGGTGATGATACTTATGGTCAATGTGGATTAGGATCCAATAACAGAAGCACAGCACCTCCATTTTATGAATCAAGAATTAGGAATCCAACCAAAATAGAAAATTTACCAAAAATAAATAAAATTATATGTGGATCCAATCACACATTGTGTATAAGTGCAGAAGGATCAGTTTTTGGATGGGGATCTAATTCTTAAATGCAGTTATCTCATTCAGAAGAATTTTCAAGAGTTGGAGAACCCTTGATCGCTGTTTATAACCCATTAAGAATATCTGCATTAATGGACAGCAATAACTAGGTCTTGGATCTGGCTGCTGGAAATGAATTTAGTGTATTTGTCACAAAGAACAAATAAAACTCAGAAACCGAAGTGTTTGCTTGTGGCCATAATATCAGAGGACAATTAGGTTGTGGGTTTGTTAGACATATTAGTGATATTGTTAAACTTGAAGGACTATCAAATTTCAAAATTAATATCAATGGTAAATAGGAAAATGTGGAAGTCAAATAGATTGAATGTGGATACAATCATTGTTTAGCATTAACAAATGTAGGTGCTATATTAGAATGGGGGGATAATGAATATGGACAATTAGGAAATAAAAAAAGGTATAACATCTCAAATTATTGTTAGATCATTCACAGACAAACCTATAGTAGTATCATAATTTGTGTAAAATAGAGTTGCATCCATATCATGTGGTAGTAATAGCAGTGGAGTAATTATTTAATAATGATAGAGTATATAACATCAATTCATTAATTTTAAATAAATATTAATATAAAAGTGATATCATCTACAACTGAGTCATCATCTATCGTCCACATTCTATATGCAACTCTCATTAATTCTTCACTAGCTCCTTCAATGTTATTTTATTAGTAGTATTTCCCAACAATATCAACAACGAGTTAATTATCCAAGAATTCCCATACTCCATCTGATGCAATGATGATAAATTTATCATTCAATCCCAACTGATAGTCAACAATATCCGGAATGCTACTAACTCCAATCGATTAGGCTACTTAATCTCCTAGACTTCTACTCATAGCTAAACCTGGATATTGGGTTCCATTTACCCAAACTCGCAAAGGTCCAATCGGATTGCCTGGAATATTAAAAATAATGTACCATTTTAATCATAGAATGTATCAATCTTGCCTCCTGATGAGATTACTCGGTATTACTCTTTTTTGATGGTTAATTTATGGTCGATTGACAATTAATAAGGTTTAAATTTGGTACCATATCCTGTTAATTTGCCAATGACTGTTCTGCTATCACCAACATTAAATGAGTGAATTCTACCATTTTCCTACAATATTATGCCATTCAATGTAGAACCACTGAAGTTAGTATCAAAGGGTTATTTGTTTACATTGACAGATAAATTTTAGATAGCTTTTTGAAGTGTTTCTTTTATTTAGTGAGATTACAATAATGATTTATCTTTTTGAATAGTAGTTGGTAAATGAGTCTGAATGAAATTGGATACGAGATGTCCATTTTAGCCATGACCATCACAGACAAAAAATAAATGCAGATTTTCTACGAAATTGGTTTAACAATAAAAAATGTCTTAGTTTACTTTGCTTGGGTTATTGGCTATTTAACCTTATCTTGTTTTATGACTATATTTTAGATTAAATTGGAATGTATCTTGAGATTCAAGACCACATAAAGAAGAAGTTGATCTATTTTTATTATAGGATTCTTCTGTCTTCAAGATGTTTATCTAGCTTTGAACTCTTCTCTCAGGAACTAAAGATTCAGGGTTAACCTTTTGTGTTTAAGTGAGATATTTACTTACATAATTATGCCACAATTACTTTCTATTTCTCACAGGCACTCTACTCATCTCCTTGGATTTACTTAACTTCAAGAACGAGTCTAAAAAGGTATTGTATTTAGTGTGAGCACGGTTCAATTATTATTATTATTGTCTAGTTTGTTGTGAATAACTATTAACAATCAATCCTTTGGTTATAAGTTTATATACTCTTTTGTGTAATTTATGACTGATTCTCACTATAATCTCTCTTGCCCAATCCAAATTTGCCATTTATGAACGAGTTTGTCTTGCTTTAGTTATCATCTATTGATAATGAAGATAACTACTTTTGTTTTCTCTTTTCTGTTAGCAATAATTGCCTTCAGTTTTGAAAACCCTTGGACTTTTTAAACGTCTTGATGCAGTTTTGGTTTTATCAAAAACCCTTAAATTCATATTATTTATAATAAAGAAATGGATGAAAGTGGAATAATAGGATAAATGATACTCGAAAGTAGTGGCAGAATCAAAAAGGTTATTAATTGAATCAATATTTAGAGCAGCGGCACTTTAGATAATCCTAAGTTAATTCCCTTCATAACTACTATCGTCTCATCTACAGCTAAGATTTTAGATAAACAATCACTCAACAGAGTAACACGTAAAATTACAATTATATCATAGTAAGTTATTAAGAATCAGATATCATAATATATATAGATTAAAATGACATCGTAGTTTTGGAAAGAAAAAAATGATGTAAATAAATATATTAAAATATATATACATTTATTGTGCATACTTAAATTTTATAATAATTTTTTTCTAGAGGCATCAAATCTTATTATCTCCTTTTGTCCAGATTCTCCTTTTATTCATTAAATATGATCTAGTTATGCTTCACTTTTTATAAAAGCTAGCTAAGAGCATTCTATAGATCATAAAGAAATTTTAATTTAAAAATAGTGTTTATTCTCTACATTATGGTGATGAATTTCGATGAACATCATAGGGTGATAATCAGGGATTTGTGTTTTTGATAGATTAAATAAAGTAGATCAATTTTGAGGTATAGTTTTATTTAATTATTGTAAGGATCATATTAAATTTAAATGTAAGTCCTCAATTGTTTTTGGTTGATAGGAAGATCCATGATAATAGAGTTAAATGTGTACATATTGTATGCAGAAATTAATCAACAAATTCAATTAAATCTATAAGCTACCCAGAAATAAACTTTAATCTTAATTATTTTTAAATGATGAATTTGAAATTAATGTGGATAATGGTGCAATGTGTGATTGGAATTACAAAAGTTATATCAACCTCATTCACTTAAACCACAGCATTCACAGATCATGAAGGTAAAAAATTGAAATATTTCAAGGTTGGACAATATCAAACACATATAATTTAGGCCATTCATCGTGTGGTGGTGTCTAATTGTTTGGGGGTAGTAATGAATTTGATCAATCAACTGGCATTGTGAAACTGTTTACACTTCCACCTCACTACAAGCTATATCTATCTTTTGTTGTTTATATGTATAAATTTATTCAATCGTTATTAGTATTGATATGACATCTGAATATACTATAAATGTCTTTTTGGATTAAGCACTTCATCAAATCATTATACCTATGGCTTCAAGTGATATATGTAGATCAATTCAAGTAGATTAAATTTTCGATGTTGCTGTAAATTAATTTCATTCTTTTCCAACAACCATTATTTCAATAGTTGGTTCGCTGGGTTAAACGTCGGTAAATTAAAGATTGAGAGTAGGTTTACTGGGGAATACGTGATTTTGTACTATCAGTAGATACTTGTCCACCAAATTGCTAAATATGTTTTCCAGGATCCGAAGCTTTTGAATGTAAATAATGGAAATTGTTTCACTCGGCTTGGAATAGCACAGACATAAATGATTTTAATAATGATGGGTGGTATACACGGTCAATTGTAGGCCCTACAACATGCGCTTCAATCCCGATCTATGGAGGCTACAATAGTATGACAGCAGCAGGAGCAATGGATAGATAATTTAATTTGCCCCCTCACTCCGATTTATATTTCATATATAGATTTGTCATCATAGACGATTGGACTGGGCAAACTGGTAATTTTAAGATAGAAAATTTGAATTTCTATTCTATCTACAATCATATTGGAACTTTAAGGAATTTTTGTGGGGATGGTTTGCTAGCTGATTAATTTCATATACATGGAATTGAGTTTCCTCATGATAAGCCAAGTATATCACTCCTCATTACTAGTGATTTGGTTGATTCAAGCAAATTTTTTGGAATAAGAGATTTTTTTATTTATGGATGTAAGAATATATATATACTATTATTTAGATACACTCTCTACTTTTTGTGGAGATGGAGTGATTGATGAGAATGAATAATGTGATGATGGAAATAACTAAGCATTTGATGGTTGTTTTATTTGTGAGTACTCATGTACGGAGGGATGTTCAGCTTGCATATAAGGGAAGTGCTATGATTGCTAAGATGGATGGATGTTTGATATTCTGGATGATTAATGCATATATTAATAGTCTCAAGATTAGATTGAGAAGGATCAAATAAGGGACAATCAACTTGATATTCATAATTACTAAATCAATTGTATTTAATTTAATCAACAAACTTAATGTATTAAATGTAAATTAGGATATGAATTATTTGAATATTGTTAGCCAGTCTGTGGAGATGGAATAGTAGCAGGTAATGAAGAGTGTGAAATTCATCAAAAGAATTGCAATAGTCTTTGCCAATATCAATGTTAAGAAGAGTGCGAGGTGTGTAGTTTTGGTATATGCTAATAATGTACATCTGGGTATGTGTTGAAGAAGTCTGAATGTCTACCAAAATGTGGAGATTATCAAATTGAAAAGCAGGAGTAATGTGATGATGGGAATATAGTCAGATTCGATGGATGCCATAATTGCTAGAATGAATGTTAGGATTCGTGTTTACTTTGTGAATTAGGACAATGTTTAATGTGTAGAGAAGGTTGGATATTGGAGAATGGATATTGTGATTCTAAGTGTGGAGATTAATAAATTGCATAAGGTTAGGAGGAATGTGACGATGGGAATGACATTTAATTTGATGGATGCTATGACTGTAAATTAGAATGTCCTGATCAAGGATGTGCTGTCTGTTACTTGGGTGTTTGTAATAGTTGTCACTTTCCTCTAACTTTGTATAAAGAGTAATGTTTGGTTATCTGTGGAGATGGACTATTGGCATCAGGATATGAAGATTGCGATGATGGCAATGACATTCCATATGATGGGTGTTATAAATGTAAGTACCAATGTTATAAGGAATGTAAGACCTGTGATCGTGGTGTTTGTTTGGATGAATGTGATTATGGATATTACTTAGTGAATCAGATATGCGTTCCATTTTGTGGAGATGGGATTATTACAATTGATGAACAATGTGATGATGCCAATTCTATAGAATACGATGGTTGTCATTAATGTGATTACTCGTGTCCACAAAATTGTCATGTTTGCGAAGAAGGTAGATGTTACAAATGCAATTTTGGATTCTATCTGAACGATCAAAAGTGTATCACCAAATGTGGAGATGGGTTGATTGGATTCCCAGATGAAGAATGCGATGATTACAATAAAAACAATTAAGACGGGTGCGATTCCAATTGTCTAATAGAAACTGATTGGACTTGCACACAACCTTCAGAAGACTCATTTAGTTAATGCTCCTACATGGTTGCTCCAGCAATGAAACTTACATATATTACCTAAGAGTATAACTTTTAATACGTTGAACTCAGTTTTACTCAAAAAGTTAGATGTTATGTATAGAATTATACATCATACATCAATGCCACTCTTTTCAATTTTAGTGCTGATTCTTATAGAATTAATATCATTGAAACTACGGCAGCTAATTATACTTTGTAATCAGTAAATTATGAATTCAAAATAGAAATACTAGAATAAGTTAAATCTGATATCATTTTGGAAATAAGTCTCAACGAATAATTATATAATGGAATTGAGATGAACTTGGTTAAATAATCATCAAGCATCAAATTGAATGAGCCTAAATTGCTGAATCAGAATTAACTCACAGTTTCATCCTCATTATAAGAGATGAACAAGATCATCTTATATATATCATGCAGCATTGGATTGTTATATTTGATGTTTGGTAAGATTGGAGTATTTCTAGACATATTGGATATCTTATAGTAGTAGTCTTATCTGAAATATATCAATGTGGAAATTCCACAGAACTTGAAAATCTACTATGAGTCCAGCAATGCCATCTCTTTTCAACCATTCCTGTAATACCTTAATCTCAACACATTAAGTTCAAATTAATTGGAATTTTAATACATTGAGGCCAAGTACAAGTTCAAAGAGTACGAAGTAAATGCTGACATTGCTGCAAATCTATAGCTGTTTTTGATCATTGTGACGACTGTATTCATTTCTAAGTTCATTTTTAAACAACTACTCAAATATCTATTTAAATCCAATATACCTATGATATAGCAATACAAATTTCAATTGCATTCCACATTTACATTGATAATCTCAAAACTCTATTTCAATTTTGCTAAGCAAGGATTACAAGTCATCATTTACTCTAACAGTTTTGATTTGCTTTTCATCTCCTGTATTTAGTTGAGTGTTGATTGCGATTTATACAGAACACTCCTGTCAGTATGGATTATTGTTTTCACAACCCTTGTAATAATACAACCTAAGAAGAATAGATAGCAAAATAGTGTTATCATCGTCAAGAAACTTGCATACATTATGATTCTGGTGTTTTACCAATCTTGTTAGATAGTTCAATCGATATTGTTGTCGTTGATTCAAACTTTTTATATGTCATTTTTAATCAGTCAGTAAAAAAGCATGTCTCTCTAATTTTTGAAGCAGTTTATGGCTGAAGTATCAATGCTATTTACTCTTGTAATGAACTTTAGCTACTGGGATGAGTTAATGACTTAACTTAATTACCAGAACAAAGTAGATATTTCATGGAGTCAAATTGCATTGTTAACTTCATCGTTGGCTTCTATCATTTTGGTAGAGACATACAATTCTTTTTTGAATATTTATAAGAAAGTTTAATAGAAAATGAAGGGAAAACCTTGTAACTCAAAGTAGCCTTTCGAATAAATGATTGTTTTTTGATTATATGTATATTTAATAGTTGAATTTTAAAACTGCTATCGAAATATTATTTTTATTATGGATCCTATCTTGACAGAGAGTCATAAACTCATTCAATAATAAAAATTCCAATAGGCATTTGCTTTGCTCCAATAAAACGAATCCAAAATACTTTCACAACCACAACATCAAAATCAATTTCATTTAAATACTGGGATATGTAGCTTTCGACTTGGAAATTACAAGTAGGCCATCTCTCATCTTGATTTATGCGACAAGAATGATTCTGAGCAAAATGTAACTGCCATTAAATATCTCTTGATGGCCCTTATTTATGATCAATAGTACGAGAGATGCATGAAGGAATCAACAATATTTCTAGAATACTAGAATGTCTAAATACTACTAAATGTATATCAGAGTAGAGGTCAATGTCTCTAAGATTAGGGTTTATATCTGGCAGCCATCCAGGAATTCAAGAAATCAATCGCAAAAGGAAACAAAAACAATATCGACATTGCCTATTGTTATCTGCAATTGGATGAATTGCAAGATGTAGAGATATTCGTAAATGCATATTCAGACAAAGAATAAAGTGATATCCAAGCCCAATTGATTAAAGCTGAACTTCTCTTAAGAACTGCCAGAGAGAAAGAAGGTGCTTAAGTTCTGTACACTGCGTATTAGTATTACAAATCGAAATAATTTGGAAATACTGATTACACTCCTAAGGAACTAGAATACTTGGAGTCCAAATTGAATGATAGAAATGGAAAATACATAGAGTCCTTTTATAAAAAGACCAGAACACATAATTTAGATGATGATTCTAAGAATACATTTGTATTATTTGTTAAGGAATTGAACAATAAATAATCATAGGAATTATCAAAACAAATTGAAGAACAAATTAAAAAAGTGCTCTCCAAAACATAATTATTGAAGATGCATGCTGAAAAAGCAGTAGAATCACTTTTAGAAGATTAACAATTTAAAGATTATTACGAAACCTTCATTCAATGTGTTGAGTCTACTTTCGATCGAGCAAGTGGATTTGTAAACAGATTCTAAATCAAGACTGACGACATTCTCATCACTTTTGGAATAGAATTATTAGCCATGGTTCCCTTAGTTGGTTAAACAGTGTCATCAGTTGTCAACTCGTTACAAGCTGAGATCAGGACATTGCAAATAGTTCAGAGATCAACTGCCTTAATCTAAATTGGCAACACCCAAGATGAATTGACATTTTTGATGAAACAAGTTCTCGTCATTGTCCTGTAAGATTAGGAGAAACAAAAGGAAATCAAGAACCCTGAAATCTCAAAGAGTTATTAAAGTTACTTGAGAGATTTCTTGAATTTGAAATTGCAAATCAAAAAGTCACTAATTAATCAATTAGACGATATCTACATTAGGGAGAAAAATCAATAAGAATTATTGGCAATTAAAGATGCTAGTGAATTACTAGGAACCTACTTTAGTTCTGGGTATTTGTCTTTGTTTGAAGATAAGGATGAAGAGAAACTTCCATAGATTTGTGCAGAATTTGTTTTGGCAGAAGGTGAGTAAAAGGCTTAATTAAGAAAGAATGCGTCGAGAAAAATAGAAGGCTAAAATGATAAATAAATAATTGAGAGTAAATGTTGTGTTATTTATTGATTATCCTATATCTACCTTTGATTATTTGTCATATTATATTTATATATTATTATTATCAATAATTGAACTTATGAATAAAATAACAATGAAGGATGAATCTGAATAAACAGCCAATTTTTTCTATCCTCCAGATCAATTAGGAAATAAATAAAAGTTTGTGCATTCCAGGAGAATCTTGAAACCCAAGAATACAGTTTCTAATCCTTCTACTTAATTGTAAAATATCTAATTTAATTATGGATTATAGAACGATTTCAAAGCGTAGTTCTGATCATTCAGGCTTACACACTCCTCCTTAGATAAGTGAATTGAGTAAGCATTCAGAGATCTTGAGAGAATGTGAGATGAAAAAGAATAACAATTATCGAATACTGAGTTCGAATATCAATCAACGACAGAGCTATCCTCAATAGATTAGTTTTAGAAATGAATTCTTATTTGTAAACGAATAGAAAATAAATTAATTTGCTTAAAGTCCTTTATCAAAGATTAACAAACTACCTGAAATCTTCAATCACAGAAGCTCTTGTCAAGGGTTCAAACAGAATTACAGAATCCAGAGCAGTAAGAGCAAACGAGATACGATTACTAATTTTACTTATGAATGCCCCAAACAACAATGCGTACAGGAATTCATGTAACAATTGGAATTAAAACAAACAATTTAGAAATAAAAGTAAACAAAATAGCCTAGTTAACCTATTTCCTTTTTATAAGCAAAACAATAAATGAAGATGATAAATCGAATATTTTCAGGCAAACGGGATTCGTGATTATAGTATATATCTCATTCCATTGTTGATTTTTGTACCTTATAGGAACTAGCTTTTTTCAATCCCATCTTGGGTGTCTATGCATTAAGTTTCGATATTGCATCTTCCAAATGAGATGCCTCCTCATTCACGCAATCATCATCCTTACTCATTTGATTAATTTATTATTAAAACGAATTTTTCAAGGCCGTCTTCCTCAAATCTGATTAGTTATTCTTCTTAGCCACCGGCGAATCTAATATAAACTAATCAAATACTTGCATCTGGATTGAGTTACTGCTTCATTGACTAATTGAATTAACTAAATTTGCTTTACTAAGGTTACGGCTTCTAATCTAATCTCGTTACTGATCCATTATTGGACACATTCGAAAACGATCCCATAGTATCAATTCTCCCATTCATAGCAGGTTGTCTCTGCTGTAATTGCATTGATCCAACCTGACTTGGAGGTCTATATAATCAATTTACAACAATTATTACCCTTATTGCTTTCCTAATCCATAGACGAAGTCCTTTTCGTATTCTCGAAGACTGTCTTGAACATCAATCAAATCTTGTTCCTTGAAGATCTCCTTGAAGTATGGATGTTTTAGACAATCTTCAGAGGAAACTCTGCCTTTGGGTTCTGGAAATAACATCTTCTTCAATAGATCTACTAATTATAGTGGTGCCTATGAGGATTGAGATCGAAATTACTGTTTATATTTATTTTAGGTTGTAATTAATCTCGCAATTCTTGTTTGCTCTTAGAATGGCCTTATAATCTGTTCCTTAGAAGGGTTGTCTACCTGTTAGGAGTATGTAGAAGATCACTCCTGCACTAAACACATCGCATTTTTCATCATAAAAGGGATCTCCTTCCTTATAGATCAATATTTCAGGAGCAACGAATCCAGGCGTTCCACATCTCTTAAATAGGATATCTTCATTGAGAAAACTGGCTAATCCAAAGTCTGCAATCACTACATCGGTATCATTATCTTTTTCTTTTAGTAGCAGGTTCTCTGGTTTCAAATCTCGATGGATACACTTTTTTGAATGTAGATGGCAGAGTGCTTTCATTAGATTATACATTAATTTTTGTAGATTGGGGGCAGTCAATGGCTAGGATTTGACTCTAGATAGTAACTCACCTCCTTTTAAAATATCCAAAATAAAATAAATGGAATTTTAAGTTTCATAGACTTCATGCAGTCTTACTAGATTTTCTTGATTCAATCTTCTCATCACCTTAATTTCATTTTCCAATGATTCCCTTCCTTTAAATTGTTCTAACATGAATTCTTTGTTAAATGCCTTGACAGCATAATTGATACCAGTAGATTTTTTTGTCGCCAAATACACTTTAGCAAAACTTCCTTTGCCGATCATTTTAGTAACTCCGAATTCATCATGGAATGTGGATTGGAGACATCTGTAATTGAGAAGATTCTTGAAGGCAGTGTAATCGTCTAGTTTGAGATCAATAAACTTCCCATTTCGAGATAACCTAATAATGTTACCATGTTGATCATTTTTAATTATGTTCATCATAACAACTGTAGTTTAGAGCTAATACATTGTTCCTTTGTTGAGGTAATATAGATGCTCGTTTCCCAACTAGATTGTTATTGGTTTCAACTGTTTTGATTTTTTGGCAATCTTATAACAATCCTACTGGAATACAATGTTGTCGTTCTAGAGATTGATACAAGAATTACATCGTAAATGTCTCGATTCAGAGTCTGCCAAAGAGGCGGAGTCTTAGCCATCAGTTCTGGATTATCAAAAAAAGAAGCGATTTCAGTATTCATAATGATATTTATTAAATTATATTAATATTTATTATATATATGGGTGCAGCTTGTGCTAATGCCAAAATGAATTAGACAGTTCCTTTGATAAAAATTACAAATGGAGAAGATTAGACTGAAAAAAAATAGGAAGGCCAGTAATAATAGTAAAGAAGTACATCTTCTCGAGAACAAAACATTACTAAATTAAGCACGCTTTCAAAATAAGTTTCAAACATTTCCTCAGATGGAGTACCAGTGAGAAAGTAAACAACTTCACGAATGTCCATTTCAGGTGAGGATAGAGAGAAGAAACCCAAAGTTCAAGGGAAAAACCAAGGCCAAGAGCAATTGCTAAAACAAAGAGAATTTATACTCGAGAAATTTCTGAATGATATTCAATTGTTAGATAAGCAGCTAATGTCAGACGTCATTCAGATGTTGAGATTCTTCTTGTCTCATTTGGAATAATCCAACATCTATTGGACCAAGTAACAAATTCAATACTATCATTAGAGTCTGGTTAATCAACAAAAATGATTACAGCATCGTCGTAGGATTCACCAACAACATAGGCGAGTCCAAAAAAATAAGAATCTTGTATACAAAGCAAATTGAATTGGTGGCTAATCTACTGGACAACTATTTGTTTTTCTAACAATTTGCTAGTTATAAGATACACGATTTCAGCTTCAGATTGAACAAAAAACACAATAACTTCTACGTCTTTTCGGAATAAGAATATTGCGACGTGTCTTTAGAGAATATTTAATTGTAACCCGAAGATATCCAACCCTTATTGGAGTATCTACTTAACACTATATAATATATGCATCAAAATTTCTATGTTCATTCAGGGTAATACATATTTGTAATTAAGAATTAAGCCATCCAACGTCTACATGATTTATCATAAATAAAAGGTATTTAAATTAGACTTGAGTTTTTCCGCTTTCAGATTCTCCAGAAGACTCATCAAAAATAAAATCAAGGATTTTAGAGCCAATCTTGTCAATGACTTAGAAGATATTGCTATTCTTATTATCAATTCCTTCTACAAAGGCTCTGAAATTAGATAACAATTAAAACAAAAGAACATTGATTTCGCCAACATCATTGAGTCCCTCTATCAGAAATAGAAGAATGTCATCGAATCCTACATCAAAGATATTATCCTATTACTCTACAGAAATAGATAATATCTCTATGATCTCAAAGCATCCGATTACGTTTAATTATTGAAGTGCCATTCCACTCCTGAATTAAAGGATCTTATCCTCGATACCCCAAGTACCAATAATAATAATGCTAATAATAATCCTAACAATCATACCAAGAATGTACTATTTGAATACTCTAATAATAAAGTAGTCTTTTATCATTTGACATCAACTAGAAATCAAAAGTCATACACCTAATATGAATTGGTTGATCAAAATGGATAATAGATTAATATTATTAAAGGAAGTGCTTACATACAGGATAATAAATGTTATTTCGCATATGAAAACATGATTGGGATGATATCCATTAAGCTCAGTTCTGAATAACTTGAAGACACCTTAGAAATGCTGTAGATATCACTCAGATAATATTTGGCAACAAAAGAATAGTAAAAGAAAGAGAGAATCGATTCTGCATAAAAGAATTACTAACTGCAATTATAAATCAATTAACATAGTCCTACAACTTAGATAGAAGATTAATTCAAATTCAGAGACACTGCTCAGACTCAAAAATAACCTAATAAGAATTTCCATGATAGAATCTACTTTACTCCCTAAAATTTATAAGAAATATTCAGCATTATTGATATTGAATAAAGGAATTATATCACAGCCTAATAATTCTATGATTTCCTACAATAATAAACTGATTCAATTGACAACTCATTACTTTAACAGCTATTGTTTGATAAAATATAAGAAATTGTACTCTTCTTCTCAGATAAGAATTTGACTTTTCATGAATTCCTATAAATATTTTCTTTCAGGTCAAAATAACAATTGCCCATTTACAAGAAGATTGTTAAACCTTTGAAATAGGCTTAAAATGTAAAATCGTTTACGATTATTAACAATACTGTTCATTACTACGATGGTTAATATTTATACAATGATGACAACCAAATCGAAATACAATACGACCTAAAATATCTTACTAGTAATCAAAACCAATTATTAATTATCGGCATCCAAGATGGTTGTCTATTAATTAATACCTAATACAATTCTATACAGACAGATGTGAAAATCATGTCTGAGTTTGGATTTTACAGATTAAATGATCTTTACTTCATCACATAACAAAATGAACTTATTTTGTATTCCATAAAACAAAAAAAAAGTGTAAAACTCAATATCAATGGGATCTCGTCATCTAGCAATTTAATTTATCATAAATATTTTATCCTCTATTTAAATGATTAGAATGTTTACAGAATATTTTTATCCTCCGATAAATGGTGTGTAACATCTTTTAATGTATTTGAAGTTTTATTTGAACACGGAAGATTAGATTAAAAAATCAAATTGAAGTAAATAAGCACCAAACAAAATTCGAGTGATGAATTAATTGGGTCGTATTCTATCAATAAGGTTCATTATCCTATTACAAATTAAACTCCATCATTATTCAGAATCCTATCGGTTTCAAAAGAACAATAAAACTATATCCTTATCTAAAGAATTGTACATGTCGAATTTGAATCATTTGATGAATGCTATTAGGTATGTAAATATTTGGATCCCTATTTGTTGGATTTCTTTTTGAGCATGGAATAATACGATGGAAAATTGAGATTAAACTATATCATAGAGAATTGTGATCTCATTTAAAAAGAGGATTGTAATTTTAATTTAATTAAGAGATGCGTCAAGAAATTAAATGAATTAAGATCCCATGATATCTTTGTTTAGGATATGCACCCAAATAATATTTTTATTACTCCAAATTCAGTTATTTTTGCTTCTCTTATATATAAGACCAATATTCCTAGTATTTATTAGGAAAAGTCTGTACCCTTTATGTCCTCATTAGAATATATGGAACCTAAGTCATTTTTGGCATTTACCTAAAATTTGACATAAAATTAGATCTTTATAAATCCCAGTAAGGCTAATATTTACAGTTTAGGATTAATATTTTTAAGGCTACTATCAAATTATCAAATTAAAAATACTAAAGAATAATAATTTTATTTGATGGAAATAAATTTGGCTCTTTAATAATTTTAATTCCCTAATTTAAAACCATTACTTGAAGAAATGCTAAAAGAGAATGAAGAATAAAGATATGATTCTTATTAATTAATATAATTTATTAGAAAATATTAAAAATTAAATTAAAAAGAATTGTTCTTTACATCACAACCATTATAATTATTAGAATAATAACAGTAAACTTTATATGGGTATTAAAACAACACAATTTATTAATATCAGCAAGTATTTAAAATTTACATGAACATTTTATCCACTAATTTGTAGGTCTTATGCGTTTAATCGAATGATGAAGGATAATTAATTCTATTAGTTAAATCATTAAATTAAAAAACCTTTAAATATTTATTGCTATACATAACGTTATCCTAGAATCAATACGAATAGTAGCAACAGCATTCAACCTTAATATTTGAAGAATTAGTTAACTTCCAAAAATTTGCAGAAGAAGATTAAGATGAATATGACAATAACCAATTATAAATTATACAACAGAATTGCTAACATGTCTAATCACCTCATGTGGTTTCAAAAGAAGTGTAAGTTCCAATATTTGATTTACAAAATGTGAATGAATGTACATATTTGATAAATGGAGAAGAACTTTATTTTTTTGGATTTGGAATAACCAATGAAATAAGAAGAGTTGGATCCAGAGATTGCTTTGTATATATGCCTAAAAGAAACTTATTCAAAAAAGTAGGGTATAGAACGACTTATTATGAAGCTTAAGCCTTAGATTTTGGAGAATATTGGCTGCTATTAGAGAAAAATTCTAATCATAATAAAATTAGAATTCAGTCAATAACAAAGGCTTAATTTTAATGCACTGAAAGATTAATCAAATTAAAAAATAGTGACAGAGTATTTTATTTTAAATACTTACAAAATGTAATCGCCATCTCAAATAACTTGTGTTGGTATATCAATATCGAAGCATTTAAAGCATTTGAAATATCATGTGATAATATACCCTAATCAATAATCTCAATGCAAAACACTTAAAATAATACAATCTTAACATAGGATGGAGTATCAACATTGTAGTTTGATGGTAATGTGTTAAAAATATATTGATTTATATTTTATATCAATGGTATTTGAATACTTATTAAATTGTGTTTCTTAAAATTGGAAATTCACTTTAGAATCCATATCAATCAACTCCATTCTCTAATAGTAAGTATTTTAATAAACTATCATTATGTATATTCATTATCTATTCATCAAAAGAGATTCTCTATTTAGAACTATTAGTATTTATCAAATCTAGTTCCTTTTTTAGATTAGTTATCTTTAAATATATCTTTAATCTAATAAAAAGTATAAGCAAAATCTAATATTAGATTCCTTATTTCTAAGACTATTAATATATTCTTTTTTCTTAAATTATCAAAATTCTCTATCTTATTCATCTTCTCTACCATTCTCGATTTCTAGTAATTTATTATCATTAGTAGTAATCCTGCGAATGTATAAAAAATATAAAAATATGAAGATCTTCTATTATATTCACTTATAAGCTATATAATATCCTTACCCAAAAGTCCTAATTGAAGAGAAGTTTAATTTATTACAAATTTTTCCTCATAAAAAAATGGAATATTATAGAAAATGTACATCTGATACACTTTATTAAATGATAAATAGAGGGATTGACATCATTTCTCTTAGATCTTGTATTTTATATGTAATATCTGTGATGATATCAAAATTCTTAATAATGCCAATCAAATTACTGAAGTTATTAATATAAAATTAATTATATAATAATGCTTATATTTCTCTTTTATTATGCATATTCATAATTCATACAAGAAGGAATATCAATTTTGGAGAAAGGCATGAAGATATCATAAGATAGAGATTAGATATATTCGAATTGTCCATAGATTTTGAATTCTATTTGTGATAAGCGATTACCTTCTATATCGAATTAAGACTAGGAAATTATAAATTTTATTCAGCTCTAAGTAAGTTGTTATAAATAAAAAGGCTTAATAAGTGTTGGAGTAATTAGAGCCTGAATAAAATACGCATTCGTATTATAATAAAAATATCAACAAATTATTTTAAGAAATAGTTTTATATGATCAAAACGAAGAGTTGCTTTCATTTAAATTTGAATTTAGTTAATTTTATTAGAAAAAAGAATTGTAGCGAATTCAGTATAAGTATTACATAGACTTTAAAAATCGATCAGCCATTCTAATGAATTCTAAAAATAACAGTTTGTAAGAATTTAACACGACTATGTATATGAAATTTTCAGATTTTTATATACCTTCTAGAAGTAATTTAATTACTCAACAATTCGGATCGCTCAATACTTTGTATCCTCCAGATGGTTTTAATATAAGAACTGCAGAATAGAATGGATCTATATACTTTACTAAACCAGTTTACTTAACTTAATTTTACGCCTTTAGTTACCACTTAAATTCCATCATTCAAATGAACTATAACAATTAAACTATTAAGATGGTTTCAATTCCCATAAGCAAAAAATGGATTCTAATACATGGTCCATCTGGCTAACTAATTAATAATATAACTGTTGACAAGGATATACACATTGACTCAATTGCTATTAAAGTGTAGAAACAACCATATACAAAATAACAGATAAAGGCATTAGTAATTGAAAAGCTTCTAGAACAATACTATCTATTGCATTCAGAATCACTAATTAACGCATTGAAAATAGAGGAAGATTAAAATTCTGATTAACCTAATAAGTAGAAAGTTGTTGATACTACTGACGATTTGTATTAATAAACAATAAAGGTATTTTTGGAATTCTTAGAATTAATTTTGGCTAGGATCAAACAAATAAAAAAATAAAAATAATATGAATCATTGAATTCTGATCAAATAAAAGATATTTTATTAGATGTATGTAAGTATTTGATAATAAAAAGATTGAAAATGAGATGACACAAAATGAAGTCTTGATATTTTAGAGTTTGTTTTCTAATTTCATAATAGAGAAATATAATGAGGATGACATAATGTTAATGCATTAAAAGTTACTTTAGATGGACAAAGGATTATAAGATAAAAAAACAAAAGATTGAATTATAGTAATAATTTCATTTAAGTGAGTCTTCATATTTATGATCTCTTAATAATTTAAATTTATTTTTATATGCCAAAAATGCAGACCATTGTTTGGTGAAAGGGTTGGCATTCAAGTCTTTTAGAGGTAATTAGAATGTCGATTTTGACATTAGTTTTTTCTTTTCATTATCATAATAATTTTGTAATTTAGTTTCTGGTACTTTTATGAATTCTTCCTTTTGTAATGGAGAATCCTGCTTTTCAATTTAGTTCAATAAAATATTCAGAGATTAAGATTGTTAGGATATATTTTAAGAAAATAACTTAACAGATCCTCTAACTTTTTTTGGTATCACAGGGTTATAATATCCAACTGCAGGTTAGTTATTATCGGGTGTTTTTATCAATAAGTAATTTTTTTTAATAGGGGGAATAAAGTTAGATTAGATAGTTTATTTATGAGATGTTGACCAGGTTGAATAATTGGTTTTAGACATCTATGGTTATTGGATATCTTTAAAAAGGGTTTTGAGGAAAATAAAATTATTGGTTTCTTATTGTTGGGATGAATGATTGCTGAATCTTAAATAAATGGGTCTTTTTTTGACTTTGGATGGTTATGATTTTGGAGTAATAGAGAGACGCAATTTTGATTTGTTAAATTTAAATTAAGTTTTGTAGGTCGTTTTTGATCTGATGTCTTCTTGCTCGTTATCCATGATTCCAGTGATGAAATCATATTAGGACTTAGTTTCTAGTATTGATTAAAGGGATTATTTCATAAAAATTATTATGATTAATTCTCAATAAATAAAATATTAAATTAAAATCACTTATAAATGAATTTCACTTTTATGATAGATAATTGTTTATCTTCTTGTTAAATAACTTATAATGGACTCACTATATTAGATTATGCCAAGAGTGCAATAGAATATTTTGTAAAAAAGAGAACAAAGAATCCAGAAAACAAGTATGATCAATACCATCTTTTTTCGTCAAAGTAATTTTTTGTTCCTTACATATTGTGTATAGTTCTTCAATCTCAACATGGACAAATGACGTATGCCATTTTTTACAAAAACTCAAAACCATTCAACCATAGTTCGAAACTAACTTCAATTTGGATGAGTGTTTCCACAATTTAAACAAATTTAGAACTTTAAATGGTTATTTATATATATAATTAAAAAAAAGGCACTGACAATCTTTATGGAGGAAGGGATGTCTTAAAAATTGAATCAGCTACCATATTTGTATTTACCAACCGAGAATACATGGGATCTGCTTTCCATTAATTGGTGAGATGGGACTATAGACTCCTTGTTTTTTTGTTACAACCTCCTGGAATTGAAGAAACCAATGCCATACCCATTTCAACCAATTGGCATCACCTTGCTGCTTCTGTAGGTTAAGGAGTGTGTTTCGAAATTCAAGATTATAATGTTTTATTCTAAATCTTAGATGATCCAAAATTAACTCCTCCTTAAATATCTCTTCAATTAAATCTTTTAGATTAATAATATAAACTTGATGAAATTCTATCGAATATTGAAAAAACTAAGATTGATTAACAATCTAGTCAGCCTTCTTATTTGGTTAGATCTACTTAAAAGCCAAATTAATCTTTTGCTTCAGTTCGTTTAAAATGTCAACCAAATATGACAATATTCACAAAAGTATATTTGCCAGAACAATTTCCCTTTTCAGATTTCAATGTATAATTATGAATCTAACAAATAGAATTATCCAGCTTACCCTGAGTATTTTGTTGATTTCAATGTATCATTTTAAGCAAAATTGCCCTAACAATTGCCGTATCAAGAAATATTCATAGAGAATACTTCCTTGTTGAAATTCGTGCAAGGGATTTCTACAACAAAAAGCAAAATGTTGTAATTCCCAATCTATTACTTTGAAAGAAGGGATGAATAACAAGTTTAATATTTAATAGGATTGTTTTTGTTTTAATAAAATGCAACAACCATGGAACTGCGATTGTATTATTTCTATTATTAATTAAGTTATTTTCCTAATTTTTTAAATTACTATGAACTATTAATGCAGTGTGGTAATTCAACAGATGAAACAAGAAGATTTGCTGAATAGAAATTTTTGCAATATCTTTCTACAATTCCCAATTATTATGCTCCATGCATTAGAAAGAATCAAAATGAATTAAACATCTAAGTAAATTAAGTTAAATATTGTATTAGATTCAAAGACAATTAATATTTTTGATAGATGAATAAAATCAATAATTGTATATGTAGAGAGTAAAGGCTCATTAAGCAAAAGTTTAAAAGATAAAAAAATAAGTGGATGATGAAAATTATAAGAATAGACAATTACATATATCAAGGAAAAGTCAATGTTGTGCTGCATTCAGCGAAAATTATTAAGTGAAATTTCAAGATTAAATTAATTGTGAATTCAGACAAGTAACTTAATTCTAAAAGGATGTCAATTTTCAAAGGTTTCTTCCTCAATTAGAGGTTCAATCATGTTTGCCATAGATGCCCATAATATAGCCAACCCTTAGAAATATGTATTTGGATTCGGATGAACTGGAGATTAGATTAGAACCTCAATTTTGCGGAAACCCATGGAAATTACAAAGAAAAACATATAGGGATGGAGTAGAAATAAAGGTTTATTATTATAACTAAAAATAGAATGAATAAGAAGAATTATAATTAGAAGATATGATGCTAACGAAAATGGATTCTGAAAAGAAATCATAAACAAAAAATAGGAGGAAAGGATTTATGAGGTTAAAGGACATTCAAAATTGTAATCATAAATAAGTTATAATTGAATAATAAGAAATGGAAATTGAAGAAAATAAAACTGAATCATAATCGTAATCCAAATCCAAATATGGTTCTGTCAAATTCAATCCTCATTTTTAAGTAATTATTTCTTTCATATAGGCTAAATTTAAATTGATTATCTAAACAAAATTGAATAATTCTGTATCCACAAACAATTGAAACACTAAGTAAAATTATTTTGCTTGTCTTTAAGTAGCTTTTTGTAATAAAAGCATAGTTATTATTTTAACTTAATTTTTGCCTCAATATTTTTTTGTTCTTTTTGATAATTTAAATTATTGATGTTTACAAATACTCTGGGAACGTAGAATGCATAGCCTTAATAATAATAATAAGGCTTCGCAGGATAGAGTGCTTAAGTTTTCGGTACTACCTCTGTTTCCAATAACATTTTTGGCCAAACACAATAATAAACTCCTCCAATAGGATAAACCTAAAGTTAAGGAATACTTGGATAATAATCAAATTAACTCAATTAACCTCTCTCATATGGAGGAATGCAATAATAAACTACAAATGTATTATAATAGCCTTAAGGCTAACAAATGGGAGCATTAGGTCAATAAACCGCATAATTTGGTTAAGTTTAATAATCAGGATTTCTTGGATAATAATCAAATATACAAGGAGGTTAGGTTGGATAGATATAATAACAAACATCCCTATAGCCACAATTGTAATAACAACCTTAATAACAATAATAATAATAGCCTTAAGTAAAATAGTATACAATTTTACAAATTAAAAATGAAACCCAGAAACACTTTGATGATCTATTAAAAACAATCATCAATAAAGAAAAAATTGAGAAGAATTAAAAAAATTTATAACTAATTGAAAAAAACTCTCTTAGAAATATTTAATAATAGTAATTATAATAACCTCAAGCGAATCCTTCTATTGGATATGGAGTATCCTAGCAATAATAATTACTAAAACCAAATTTAAAAGTTGATCCCAGAAATCATACAGCAAAGGTTGAAAAATATTATGGAGAGTGGAATAAAGGAATTTAAAGGATTTCTCAAAAATAGGGAGAGGCAATTAACCAATTGAATGAATTAAATATCCTTTTAGCCTAATAGGACACTTATTACGGTATCATAACATTGTAATTTAATTATTAGAGATCGATGAAGAATCATTGATGGATTGTATAAAATAACTTGACAAAGAGCTGAGTTAATTAGAACATAAGATTGTAAATGTAGTAAAATTATAAGAAAAAATTTTGGGATTAGAAAAAGAAGAAACAGAATGGGATCAAATTGTAATTAATTTAAGTGAATGTCTGACACTTTTAGAAATTTAAACTGTATTATACCTTACATTAAATGATTTTAGAAAGAAGTTGAAGATCAATTGCACCAAGCAGAAACACACCCAAAAGTAATAAATAAATGAAATTTACTAATTATATTTCAAATAAATTAATTATTTATTAATTATTAATTAAGTTGTTCCGCTTGGTTAATACGGATAAAAGAATTAATTCTTTAATTTAGTCTAATATAAAGGAATGTTGAATCAATTTTATGTTTGAATTGATTGATAAAATGAAATTTACATTATCGTAATATATTATAGAAAAAAATTAATAATTGATTAGTAGTTTTTAAGTAGAAATTACAGTTTAAATATATAAAATAATTTCTTAGATATATAAAAGAATTATATTTTTTATTCAAAAAAATTTGTTCGATAGTTTAATATTGCATTGAAGGATTAATCTTTATAGATAAAGAATTCACTAATAGACCAAATGAAATAATCAAGAAGGTTTTCATTATTAAGTCGTCCTTTTCCTTTAAATCAACCATTGATGGAGAAATACTTTTGAATTAGATTATATTGCCCTACTTAAACCCTTAATAGATGAATGAGAAAGTAGAAAATAATTTCTCTGATATTTATGGTTTCCAATAGATTCATACATTGAGGAGGGTACTTTCTAAGCCCATAATCCGGTATTATTATCAGGTTATTATAGAATATGATTAATAATTATTATAGCAAGACTTAAATACATATTAGAATGAAGCAATTAGACAAAGGATAAAATAGAAATTTAGAGTACACTTTTTGATTTATTTAATTAAAATATTAATATAATCGAAGAAATAATTGCTTTTATTCTAAAAATAAATATTTAAGATTACTAATAACAAATATTGCAAAAGATGCAAATAATGAATTCCGTGTTATTTAGGCAGATTTATAGAAAGTAACCCAAGAATAAGAGAACACATAACGATTAGAATTTTGGTAGTAGATTGACTGATAAAATCAAAAATTTAGATATTGTAAATATTTATATATAAGGGTAAGCTAAAGTAGTATACATTATAATTATTGACTATTTTTTATTTAAATTCGTATCACATTTTTTATTTGAATTCGTAAAACAACATTCAATAGAGAATTGTGAAAATTATTTAATGTAAATTACTGTTATAAATAGAGAATTTAATAATGTATTTTAATTTTCTGTTTCATTAGATAAGGTATATTTACAGGATATGAATTTTATTTTTTGTTTTTTGTAATGAATTAACTGGCTTAAGGTATTTATTGTATAAATCTAGGTATTTCAAAGCTTGATATCTTTGGTTAGACAATTACATTAAAAATGAATAAGGATAACTATTATAAGACCTTCTTTGGAGGTGTTGTTTCCATCTTGCTTTTCTTAATCATCATCATGTTTTTTTCATCGAGCATTAAGTCATTTTTCAATAAAGAAACTCTTGTTGCCACTGTTCTAACTAATTTTGAAGAAATACCATCACAATCAATTATAGATGATGCAACAATTTTGTTCGCTATTTAAATTGATTAAGAGAACTTTTTGTCGAGACCATTTTTTGACATTGAAGTTCTCTAAGTATCTGAAACAAGACAAACTAATGGGAGTAAAATAAAGGAAGAGCAATAAATTTAATTAGTCCCTTGCACACTTGAAAGATTCACTAAAATATTCGATTAATATAATTAGAACATCAGCGAAACTTATGCAGAGTTAAACTTAGATAATTTTCTATGTTTCAAGTATTATAATTTAATATAATTAGAAAAAATGCCACTTTTATATTAGAAGGCACTCATTCAAGTAATATAATATATAAATTTGAAAGGCTTATAATTCTCATATCTCAAAATATCTATTAAGAAATGCAATTCAACGTAAATTTGTGCAAATTAAGATGAAAGGGATGCTGAAGTAAAATTAAATGGATCTTTCAAAATTAAATTATATACAGTTAATAAAGTTTATATAAATAATAAATATAGATTTTAAATCCGTACAATCCAAGTGAAAACTATTTGCAGACTTATATAGACGATTCCTTTTATTTTAATTTTCTGCCTTCAATAATCAGCAAATCAGCTAACTTATTTCTGAAATAATATTAAGTTGAAAGCGATCAAAGTTTAACTCCATTTCAATCTATAACCTCAGAAAAGTTTTATATCCTTGATCAATCGGAAATAAGAGAGAGAGTGGAATTTTACAAAGAAGGTAATTTAGAAGTTGCTTCCATTTTCTTAAGAAAAAGTCCTTACAAAACCTAAATCTTCAGAAGCTATCTAAAAATTGACAATCTTCTTTCTAATTTGGGTGGAATGCAGTAAATTCTCTTCTTCTTTTTAGGTCTTCTTTTAGCATTATATAACAGATTTCAACGTAATTTTGAATAATCATTTTAGTGCTCATCGAATTGGCCAATAAACTATATGAATTTATGTTAGTAGAAAAATAAGCTAAAAAAATGCACGAAAATAATCTTAATCTTGTCAATCAGTTAATCACTGAAAGATAATATCTTGATTCTAAAGCGAATGAACATGATGCAAAAATTTAATTATTAAATCCAAGTTAAATTAATTAAAAAGAAAATAATTCTAAATTGAAATTCGAAGATTAATAGCAAATAATATATAAAGCAAAACGTTAAGCCAAATATGCAAAAAAATCCACTAAATTCTATGATGAAGAATCAAAGAAGGCTTATCGCAGTCATATCAGTAATGGATTGGAGTACTTCTAATCTTAAATAAATATTTTAATAAGAAGGGCAAAACCTATAAAATTAAGTTTCTAATTGCTCATGAATTATGTCTCTTGTTAGATATTGTTTCGAAATAAAAGGAAGATAATTCTAATGAATAAAGCGATGTAATTATAATTGATCTTATGTAGGAATCAATTATCAAGTCAAATTGATCTTTTTAATATTTTGACTAAATTAAATGAGATAGATAAATTAAAGGAAGTGCTATTAACATCCGATTAACAACTATTATTCGACTTTACACCAAAACCTATCATATCTTTAGATCATAAGGATGTCAAGATAGATAGATTTCTAATTGAGTAAAATTCCAGATGCGATTTCGATTTAGAGTAAGGATATTCTATTAACAAACAAGATTTAAATAAAAAGAAAAAGCCATTAAAGACGCTGAAACTCCTTAAAAAAGTCTTCATCTTAAAGCTGATTCTTAATTATATGAACGCATTTACAAAGTAACAATTTTATTTACATGTTATAGGCTTATGATAAAGTGTTAAATGGTTTAACTGTTTCAAATTAATATGAGCAATACATAAATAATTAGTTGATCAATTAACTAGGAGCAGAAGTATAAACAATTTTTAAACTTTCTAAACTTATTGATTTCTCTGTTTCATTTTCTAGAACTTTTCGAAGAAAAGGGCAGATATTTCAATAGGAAAGGCTTGACCCTGAGGCGTTATAAATCTGATTATATAAATCCTGAATATATTATGAACTATAAATTTAGTGTTTCTCTCTTGAAATTATAATGTGCATCTTTTGTGGTTTAGAAACAACAAAGCCGGTAAGATGGTAATAATAATATGTATATTGAATGTAATAGAATGAATATATAAGAATGTTATATTCATTTGTATTACTTTAAATTTATTTTTTATGTTCTGGCACTTAATGGTGGATTTTTATTTCCAAGAGATACTTGATCATTCTTCGATTCAGAGTTAATGAAAAGTTTTTTGTAACTATTCAAAATGCCCTTGCTTACGGCTGCTTAAAATTAAGCATTATCATTAGTAAGCTTACGAGAACTTTTGACTTGTACTTTTGAATTAAATACTTCCTACATAGTTATTTCTTTCTCTATTTTAAAATTTTTTTTATTCTCTCTTATTGGATTAGACTCATTGTAAAGATTGAATTCCCTAACAAAGTTAACCTCAATATTATCATTATTCATATTAATTTATGGTGATATTTTTTTGTAAAAACTCCCTTTGATAATTTTGTTGGTGTCTTAAAATTCTCTTGAGTTCATTTTAATCAATCTTTGAGAAGAAAACTTAGTTGGTTGATCTTCTATTAATGTAATTTGAATGAATACTTGTTTTTTCATGTTAATCAGTTGGAGAAAGTTATCTAAGTGACTAAAACTATTTGTTGCTGATACTCGAATCCTGTTGAGTAGAACAAGTGAGACTTTAGAAATTCTTTCTGCTCGCCAGGAAGCTGTATTATTGGAAGTCTATGTTGGGTTTAATGGATAGCTTTTATCTTATTTGATTAGTTTCTTTTTTTGCAGATTAATTTCTCATTTTATTTAATAAAACTATTTTAAACATAATCACATATAAATTGTAATAATAATTAATTCGAAAATTTAGACATGACTTTTTAAATAGATACATTTATTTTAGAGAGTTTTGAATTTTAGAATTGAGTCCATGTCTAAGATAGAGCATTTTAAATAAATATTTGAAATTTGTCATGATTAAAAATTTGATTGATTGATGGGTATCTAATATTGAAAATATATTAATAATTATTTAACGATGAATAGACACAAAAAATAATTAAGTTTACCTGGTTAGTAATTACCTGTGATATTGGAAAAAAAGACTGCCAATAAAACTTAAACTCATATGGATCCACTCAGTAAAAGTCCAGAAATCAAAAAACTGGAAGCATTTTTATTGGAGACGTATACAAAGAAATAAAAAATATCACAAAAATTTTATCTCTTTAAACCGTTACATTGAATGTTTGACTCATAATTTTATATTATTAAATGAATAAAGTTGAATTGCCATCGAATTTGCAAATCTCAAATTTTTTGTAAAATGAAATACAAAAAACAGATAAATATGTTAAATAGCATGTAACAGAGTTGATTTATTTTTAATTTTAGGAGAAAGAACTCAATACTCTGTCAAAATACTAAAAAATAATATCATAAAACTGTCAATCCAATAAAGAGAAACTATCTCAATTATTTTTAAAATAATTTGAACTTGATTAACATCTAAAACAAAAAAATAATCAAGTAATCTATTCGTATTAGATTTAGTTAAAAAAGAAGAGATACATCAATGAGTAAAGTGGTCTTTAAGAACAAAAAGAAAAAAATTATTTATAATAATTGGATTCTTATTGGAGCTATCAACAAAATTTTTATCCAAATATTGACTATATGTCTGACTCTGTTGACAAATCTCGGCAATAATTAATTCAATATTACGAGCATAAATTATCTCTAGAAGAAAACTAATTAGAGAGGAATTAAATAAAATAAAAAATATTTTCATTAAAAGAGGCCCAAGTATACATCAACAATACTTTTTGTAGATTAAATACGATAAATGTAAAAGCATTGAAGGTAGAATTAAGAAAGCAGAATAATTAAGAACAGAGAGATTCGACACTTCAGTAGAAAAAATAAAAAAACATGAAAAGCATATAATGGATGTGATATATCAGAACCAAATGTTAAGCGAAAGGAAGTCCCATTATTTTAAAGATAAACTTCATAGACTAGAGGAGAAACTATGCTAATCTGAACTAGAATAAGGAAAGAAAAGATTATATTAAGTTCAAAAAGCCTTCGAAAAAGATAATCATAGATTATAAGTTTATAAGTATACAATAATAGGTAAAAGTAAATTCTGAGAAAATTAATCAACATAATGATTCAATTCATGAGGGTCATTTAGAGAATAAATTGAATAAAATTAACTCTTTAGAAGAAATTCGACAAATCGTGAAAAAGGGTAGACTATAAATAGCCAGCAATATGTAATAATAGAAGAACGAAATTGTGTAGTAGATAGACGACCTTAGAAATTCCTCTTTGCAGTCAAGCATTTATTAAAGTTAATTGCTTTATTATTGATTTTATAAAATTTAAATAAAATATGAAACCATAAAAGAGCATCATCAAAGAACTGAAAACTTACTAACAGGATCTCTACAAAACAGGAAGAGAAGGGAAATAATTTAGTATCAATGATTTTCCGAATCTTTCAAGAAAACCCATAGAATGGACTGATTGTGATTAGTTCATTAAGCTAAGGCAAATGAAATGTGATAAGAAATTAGCCATCAGACTTTGTTAATAACACAAGATCCATAGATCTGATTAACAATTTTTTAATACGTTACATAATGTGAATATGGAGAATGCTGGGTATAAGAAGATCTAAAGTGTAAATATTAATCTAATATAGTCAACTTCATTTCTATTAAGATAGATTAGATAAAATCAATTTATTAAACAAAAATTTAGAATGGAATTCTAAGAGACTTAAATTGACAACAAAATGTCTTCAATTTTAGATGATTCGTTTTAGAAATTTTAAAAATCTTTAGATAAACATTTGGAAATAGATAAAGATTAATCACATAAATTTAATTTAAAATATATGACCAAAGAGGAATTATATTCAAAATTGTAGCAATTGTAATTTATATCAAAATTTAAGAAATGTAATTCCCAAATAAAATCTATCCATGGATCATTTACCATCTAGCAATTCCACTAATTGCTTAAATTTAGTCATTCCATCAGCAAATTCAGTAAAAACTTTTACTATTTAAGTTACATATTTCCCAAACTGAACGTAAATTCTCAAAACCCTTTCTTCCTTATTCTGGTATAATTAAAAGCAGAGGTTCCAATGTTAGCATTAAACAACAGTTTACAAAATTGCAAAATAATTAACTTAACATTCCATCATTTAAGTTGATCAAATAAAATAAGTTAGCCAGAGCTTCATTCAATCCTCAAGTCGATGATGCTAAAGGAATTAAAAGCATGCACCACATAGGCCATTTAAATGATGTGCCAGAGTTAAAAAAATAACATAAAAGACACTTTACAAATTATGATATTAACATAGTCAACTTTTAATGAAAAGAGTTATTTGAATTAATCATTGATTCTTTCTATAAATATCAAATTAAAATTATTAACACTTAAGAATAATTAATTTAACAATTTTTGTAAATATGAAAATTCAAAGAAGAAGCCTAGCCAAAGAAATCAAAGCTCAACGTCCCTTATTATTTAAGTATTATTTAATATTATAAAGTTAATCAGGTGTTTCTCCAATTTGCAACAAATTGTATTCGTAAAAATTAAACGATTTCAAAAATGTTGAATCCTACTTAAAACTTAGATCAATGAAATGTGATAAGAGTATATCGTTGTTAAATTGTTCTAAATAAATATGTAGAATAGATGAATAAATGCCTTAAGTTAAACGTATTACTCAAGCAAGAATTAATAATCCTAATGAAGTATGACTTTTTAATCTATTTTTAGTCAAGAATACTTACTAGATAAGTGATAAAAGATTGCTTGGAGAAAAGAAAACTAAGATTTGAAAGTGCAGATGAGTCATTCAAAAATTTATATCTAATCTAAGATAAATCTGCTGAGTAATACTAAAATTATCTCAGCAAACATATTGAAGATTCTATACAATTACAGGAATCTATCTCCTTTAATTTGGATAGACAATCAAAGTAATAACTTTACTTCAAGTTAAAAGATCTGTATTAATTATATTATTAATCCTTAGAAATAAAAATTTAAATGCCAATTAAAAATAAGACTACAGCTATCCATAAAAATTTAATCATGTGGAAGTACTAATAATCATAAATCTAGTTAACATTACGTAGCACTGTTGAACCAAGCATAACTGATATCTCTCCCTTAACCATTTGTGAAGAAATAGATAATAAAAAAATAAAGGATAAGTTAAAATAGTTGGTTTCCCCTTAGAATTTTGAATCAAATCATAGAAAACGATAACTAACCCTTCCTTACTTCTCGAAAAACCAGCTAAATTTACGATTAAACTAAATAAATGATATTAATTCTGATAGTCAAAATATGACATCAGCTCAAACAAGCAATATTAATTCATTGATTAGAAATAAATCTTAGCTCTATAGCAGAGAGATTAAGAGAATTCATATTCAAAGTGAATGCTGATTAATTAATTTATTTAGATTTTGTTATTTTTCTGAAATTAATACCAATTGATATAAACAAAAGATGAAAAGGTAAACTTAAATAATAGATTTTATTAATTTGTTTAACCATTCTCTAAATAAGCTCACCATATTATTAAAATTATTCTATAAAGTAAATTCGATAATTAGGTTATTTAGGAAACTTTCATTCTCTTAATTGTTGAAATTCTATCTATCTCAATTATGTTTTCAATATTTACAATGTATTTTCATAAAGTAAACTACTATAATCTACAATTTTTAATCTCCCTAGACCTATCTATTGAATCTTAAATTACCCTTATGGTTCTAATAAACCGTATTTTCAATAAACTAAACCAAGATTTGTTATTCCTAATTTCTTAAATAGAAAAGTATATTTTATACCTGAATTTCAACATTCTATTTTCAAATTATTCAACTCGAGAATTTATTAATCTTGATACGTTTATTGAATTTGCAAGTTTAAGATCAATTCTACAACAGATTGTAAATATAATTTAATCTTAGACAAAAAATTCTATAGAATGCGAGTTATCAATATTGCCGAATTCCTAACTCTATATCAAATAATTTAATTATCGTATTTAAAAGAATGCAATATTTTAGGATTCCCACATGCGCTTACGAATTTAAAACTCTATAAACGCAAACCCAAATTTAAATTGAATTTGCATTCACAAAACTTGGTAGTACTAAGATTTTAATTTTATTCTTCGAATAACAGAACTCCTGAATCAAAAATATGGTTTCACATTTAATGAGTATGCATTTAGTATAAATTTTCATCCAGAAATGGTTATTCATGTTTTCAATCAAACTTAGAGTTTAGAGTGATAGTTATCATTTGCTTATTATATAACTTCTCGTTTTTACTTGATAAGATCTAACATATTTGTTTTTATATTATTTTTACTCAAAAATAAATAGTCTTCAATGAAATAGATACGCATTTATAATAATTTAAAGAAAAAAAGGAAATAATTTGTTTCTCAAGTAGAATAAATGTTTCAATTATGATTTGATTGAACTTAAATATGTGTGTTTTTTTATGAAATCAAATATCTTATTCGATGAGTTCGTCATTAGTTCCTTCTTCTTACTATTCTTTTTTAAAACAATTATCTTATTCTATCGATTGAATAATTTAATTTATGTTTTCTATTGCTTATTCATATTTAAAGAGGACTAGTGGTTAGTTTTTCTTATGTTTAAGAATAGTACTAATTTCATTTTTGAAATCATCTAATTCTCTAAGCACTTTTATAATGATATTTTGATTACTTAGATTACTCTGATTCCCTTCATCTTCGAATTCATGAAAAGGATTAGGTTATTGTTATTAGGAGATATCCAATAAAGATGGTATTCTGGATTCTGTTGTAGATTCTGTTTTGAAATTTTAGAAGTCCTCTCTCATTTAGACTTCATCAAAATTCTCTGTGAATTCTGTTCGTCCATTTTAGATTTTCATAGAATTTTTCATATTACTTTTGAGAAACCAAAGCGATTTGATTTATAATTCACAGATAAATGTAGAACTTTTGTAATTCAAGAATTTTTTTAAATAGTAATTGTAACACACGAGATTTGAAAGGTCAAAAAGAGGAGTCAGTATTTTTGTTATCAATTATTCAATTGTAAATGCTAATGGCACAACTTTAGTAAAGTAAATTAGAGAATCATCTTCATTTTAAATAAGAAACTCCATTTAAGTCATATCTACAGGAACTACTAAATTAGCCATCAATTCCTCAATTTCATAATTTGTCATAAATTTCAGATTTAAGTACTATGTTTTTACCACATTTGATTCTTATTTACTCATTGTGTATAATGGAATGCATGGACCTAAATTTCACCATATTCTAATTGATTACCTCCTTTCACTTGCTCTTCTAACAACTCCCAAAGTGCTTTACTTATGTAATGAGCTTAATTGCGCTTATCAACTTTTAGAATTTACTCCTATGAGTTTTGTTGTATAATTATTGGCTGAAAGTCAAACTCTCTCTTAAAATTATTCAAAATGCTATTTAATTATACTTGTTCCTCTTAGCAAATACTAAACTTAATGAATAAATTCATACCAAAGAGAATAGTTATCAATTTTAGAGAAGTTAGAATTACAATTACACAATTCATCCTGAAATTACTCATACCTAATCAGTAATATACTAAATTACCATTTCTAACAAATAACAAATATTTATGGCCCCGATAGATCATTTCCCACGGTAAGAATTTGATCAATTAAACTCATTAATTTTTATATTATAACACATAATTTTGTTCAATATTTTACATTTCTTATATAAAACATCTCATGATGCAATTGCATGTATAACTGACACCCTTTATATAATTAATCCCTTTAACAGAAAAAAAGTCAGTACGGACCATTTATTCTTCCTCTATTTCTGATTCATTTTCAATCAGTATTGTTTATATACAATTCTAATCATATTTTTATTTCATTTTTCAGTAGATTCAACTTTGCAAAATTCTCAGATAAAATATTATCGGTTAAGAATAATTCTAAATGAAATTCTTTTGAAATTGGCATCTAAATAAGCTGAATCATTAATAATAAAATGCATTTACATTTTACATCAAATACATAATAAATAAGTACGTCAAATAAGATAAGCTCGACCTATAATTAAATTTCACAATTTCTGATATCATAAATAATTTAATTTGAATTTTCGAATGGATATTTTGATTTCAACCTCCTCTCACATCTTATCAATTTTTTATTGAAATTTCCTAGAATTATGACTCAAGTAGATGAATCCTAACTCTTTAATGTTTAGGGTATCATTTAAATTTAATAATCACAAGATTGACTATAAGTTTTGTAAAATAATTTTTGGTTTGCTGGTATTCCTTTTTTTAAATACAAAATTAGTCATGTAAATTGATTCTTCAAGTATCATAGGATATTTCGAATGTTAATTTGTAATCTTTATGGTAACCATTAAATTAAGAATTTCACACGATTCTATTTCTTCAAATGAGATGATTTAAATAACTTGATATGACTCATATGCCAATTATATCACCTTTGGTTTTGGCTTTATGCTACAAGAATTACTATTTTATGAAAAGAAGGATTTTATGAACATTTTCAAATAAATTATATAAAAAGATATAAAATATTATAAATTATTAAATTTTTTGTCTATAAACTCATTATTTTAAATTAATTTCGTTTTAACTCTCTGGAAGGATTTTACTAAAATATTTCTAATCGGATTTTCCACCTTTACTAGGGGCTAAGGAGAACTGCAGATCCAGTGATACCGAGGATATCTACTGTTTCTGTAGTATACCATTAATTTCCTTTTAAGTATATATATTCTTCTCTCCTCTAGAAATGGAGTTTTTCTTCAAATATTGATAGCTCTCCTTCCTTTCCTATTAAATAGATCTTGAAATTATTAAGATTGACTTCTTTACTCGGTTCAACTTATTTTATAACCTTCTCTTTTTCTCTTCCTTATTCTCAAAATTTTCCAATTTTGGAACCACTCAAATTTTATATATTTTTCAAGATTTTGACAAATCATTGATATTTCTTTACTCAATTGTATTAAGTATGCTTTTAAACAGTATCTTGATCATAAGAAACATAAAATATAGATTAATGCAAATCAATATGATGTATAAAGGATAGATAATTTCCTAATTTTGTTAAGAAGCAGGCTGTTTTCGTAATCGTCGAACTAACAAGTGAATTCTAGGGTTCTATAAAATCTTTAACTATAACTCAAGAAATTTACATTAGAGAGTAAAATAGAAACGACTGCAAAAACTGAAATTTAATCATTTTTAAATAAATATTTAAGTAAGATTGTAATTTAGATGTTGTTTACAAAGAAATTTAAAATTATTTCATTTTGCCAATATTTATGTTTGATCCAACATAATTCTTTGAGGAGATTTAATGGGTTAACTTTAGGGGTCAGCACTAAAAATATTAAAATTTGTATAATATTAAAATTGAATATATTCTCTTAAAGATTCTAAAATAAATGAAAATTCCATTTTGTTAGAAGACTCATATAAAATAAATTAAAAGGCTTATCATTTGTTCACTTTTTTCAGTAAAACTTATTTTCGTTAATTTACGACTGGTTTATAACAATATAATCTATTTTTATTGCTAATATAATCATTATAAAATGAAAGTAAAATCAAGAGAAATTTGAACTTATTTTATTAGATTTGTAGATTAATCATTCATAAATGAGGATTAGGCCATTTTTAAATAAAAATGAATAGTAGTTACTTATATCCAAAAATACCAGATGCACTGAAAAATTGCAATCCTTCATTTTTTTACTTAATTTTATACAACATTAATTACTTTAATGTTTGTAAATTCTAACAACTAGTATTGATTCTTAGTTTCTCGCTTTTAAAAGTCAATAAAACTTTTGAATATAAATTCATAAACATACACAATAAAATTTCATATTCAAAATTTGGGACCGGCATTGATAACTTCTTATGTAGCCTTATCTTCATATTTTTTGAAGTTAATCTAAAATTTCTCTGCTAATTCAAGTACTTATTTATCGAATTCTTCAGGATTTCTAAAATATATAAAATATTGTACTTCCATGTATTCTTTGGGTTCAAGATTTATGTTGGAANATACCATTAATTTCCTTTTAAGTATATATATTCTTCTCTCCTCTAGAAATGGAGTTTTTCTTCAAATATTGATAGCTCTCCTTCCTTTCCTATTAAATAGATCTTGAAATTATTAAGATTGACTTCTTTACTCGGTTCAACTTATTTTATAACCTTCTCTTTTTCTCTTCCTTATTCTCAAAATTTTCCAATTTTGGAACCACTCAAATTTTATATATTTTTCAAGATTTTGACAAATCATTGATATTTCTTTACTCAATTGTATTAAGTATGCTTTTAAACAGTATCTTGATCATAAGAAACATAAAATATAGATTAATGCAAATCAATATGATGTATAAAGGATAGATAATTTCCTAATTTTGTTAAGAAGCAGGCTGTTTTCGTAATCGTCGAACTAACAAGTGAATTCTAGGGTTCTATAAAATCTTTAACTATAACTCAAGAAATTTACATTAGAGAGTAAAATAGAAACGACTGCAAAAACTGAAATTTAATCATTTTTAAATAAATATTTAAGTAAGATTGTAATTTAGATGTTGTTTACAAAGAAATTTAAAATTATTTCATTTTGCCAATATTTATGTTTGATCCAACATAATTCTTTGAGGAGATTTAATGGGTTAACTTTAGGGGTCAGCACTAAAAATATTAAAATTTGTATAATATTAAAATTGAATATATTCTCTTAAAGATTCTAAAATAAATGAAAATTCCATTTTGTTAGAAGACTCATATAAAATAAATTAAAAGGCTTATCATTTGTTCACTTTTTTCAGTAAAACTTATTTTCGTTAATTTACGACTGGTTTATAACAATATAATCTATTTTTATTGCTAATATAATCATTATAAAATGAAAGTAAAATCAAGAGAAATTTGAACTTATTTTATTAGATTTGTAGATTAATCATTCATAAATGAGGATTAGGCCATTTTTAAATAAAAATGAATAGTAGTTACTTATATCCAAAAATACCAGATGCACTGAAAAATTGCAATCCTTCATTTTTTTACTTAATTTTATACAACATTAATTACTTTAATGTTTGTAAATTCTAACAACTAGTATTGATTCTTAGTTTCTCGCTTTTAAAAGTCAATAAAACTTTTGAATATAAATTCATAAACATACACAATAAAATTTCATATTCAAAATTTGGGACCGGCATTGATAACTTCTTATGTAGCCTTATCTTCATATTTTTTGAAGTTAATCTAAAATTTCTCTGCTAATTCAAGTACTTATTTATCGAATTCTTCAGGATTTCTAAAATATATAAAATATTGTACTTCCATGTATTCTTTGGGTTCAAGATTTATGTTGGAATATTTTTAGCTGATTTGGGAATAGCAAAATTGAAAATTGGGAAGTTTTCAAACTCTACATCCTTTAATTCTCCACTGTGGATCAAGTCAATGATTCCTCTGGTATATTTTAATGACATTCTTTATCCAACTCCATATTTACCACCAGACCATCCAGTGTTGATTAACCAAACCTTGGTATCGTATTTTTTGATCTTTTCAGCCAACATATTAGCATAGAGAGTGGGATGAAGAGCCAAAAATGCTTCTCCAAAGCAAGCTGAAAAGGTAGCTTATGGCTCTTTGACACCTACTTCAGTTCCAGCAACTTTGGCAGTGTATCCAGAAATAAAATGATACATGGCTTATTCTGGTGTCAACATAGAGACTGGAGGTAAAACACCATAAGCATCACATGTCAAAAAGAAAATATTTTTGGGATGGCCTCCTTAAGCGGGGAATTTAGCTCCTGGAATATAATCTAATGGGTAACTAACTCTTGTGTTTTCTGTAATTGAAATATTTGTGAAATCAACTTCCCTTGTTTCTTCTGAATAATATTCGATATTCTCCAAAACAGCACCAAATCTAACTGCATTGTAGATTTCAGGCTCTTTTTCCTTTGAGAGATCAACACATTTTGCATAACAACCTCCTTCAATGTTGAAAATGCCATTGTCAGACCAGGCATGTTCATCATCTCCAATAAGTCTTCTTTTGGGATCAGCACTGAGGGTTGTTTTACCTGTGCCACTCAATCCAAATAATAAGGTAACATCTCCATTTTCACCTTCATTGGCAGAACTATGTAATGTGAGTATTCCTTATTTTGGGAATAAATAATGAGTGACTCCAAAAACTCCTTTCTTCATTTCACCAGCATATTAAGTTCCTAAAATGACCATTTTTCTTTCAGTCAAATTAACAGCAACACAGCCTTCTGATTTAATTCCTTCAATGGGTTTCTAAATTGTTTATGGACCAGCATTGAAAATGTAAAAATCAACTTCTCCGTTGAAATCCTTCTTTAATTCTTCGTCTGTTGGTCTAATCAACATATTCTTCATGAACAATGCATGATAAGGTCTAGTGCAGAATACTCTAATTCTTAATCTATAATTAACATCCCATCCTGCATATCCATCAATGATGAACAACTAAATGATTAAAATCAAATGGTTACTTTCTCTTTGTTATTTAAATACTCAAGAGCAATCTTTTCAACTTCATTGTATGAATCTTGGCTTAAACCTATGTTCACATCACCCCACCAAACATCTCTTTCTGACACTTCATCCTTTATGATTCTCTTATCTTTAGGAACACGACTAAACCATAGAACTATATTTTATACCCGCATTTCTTTCCTGAGTATGCAACTAAAGCTCCAGTGTTATTGATAGAATCTGGTCTTACTGTTGGATCCTCGCTCTATGGTTCTGACATAGAGAGCTCATAGATAAGTGGAACACTTGGGTTTCTATAGACTGTTGCATTGCGAAGTCCCCATTTTGTTAAGAATTCTTAGGCTTAGATTGTTTGATTCTCCATAATTAATGAATTTTATTTATGACGATTTTATTTCTATAATTAGAACTTAAATATTACGTATTTATATAAGAATACTTAATAATCCTAATATAATACGTATTAAGACTCTCAAATAACACACTTCTAGAAACATCATCTTTTAAAAACAATTAATTATTTGATGACGAACTATCTTGATTACTAATTTGTGTAAAATAATGTTATTGCTCATATTACAATATTTCACTATAAATTAGTTCTCGTTTTTAAAGGATTCCATAATGTCAAACCATTATCCTAGCTTTATTATCCATTTAAAAACTCAAGGCCAAAAGTAGATCTAAAAAGAACGGGCTCATGTTTCATTTATTTAGACTGGAGAATATTATAATATTTAAACATTTTATAACAATTCATATGTTCAAAAGATTGAATTCTCCTCTAATTACTTTATTTGCCTGCTTTATTGGCACTATTTTGAGATCCAAAAAAAGAATATGTTTTTAAAATCCAAATTATGCTTTATAAATAAATTTTATGTAAGTTTATATTACCTACATTAACCATTAAGTTCTACATTTAATCACTCTGAAGTTTATATATCTATATTGAACTAATATTTAATATAAGAGTATCAATCAGTTATAATTATTATAAGAATTTGATTATAAAGCAAAAATAAAATAATAATCAAATTTCATATATTCTAATTAATAAATATTATAAATACATTATGCTCTAGACTTCTGTTATTATTAGTTCTACTCCTTCGTATATTGAACGATTTTCTCCATTTATTTGTGCCTGTCCTATATGTCCATGCATTACTTGTTTATAACCTTGTGAATAAGCTAATGAATATAGTATTATTTATTGTGAAGATGATTGGTCTAACTGGGGTTAAGTACATTTTGAAGTTAAGGAAGTATCTAAATTCATGTAAAGGTAATTCAATAATTATTAAAAAAGAGATTTATTTGTCCTCCTTCTAAGCGATCTCTTGAACTCGTAGATTAAAGAAAATTTTCAGAAGTTCATATTAAAGTAGAAAAACCTTACAAATTCTCCTTTTTATGCTTTTAAAGACCAGAAATGTTAATTTACTAAAGAGGATAGTATATTGGGAAAGTAATGGAGGAACTGTAATGGACAATAATCAAATGTACGTTTTATAAAGTAAAAGCTTCAAATATTCTTATTAGTTAATGTGCTTTGATAAAAACAACGCTTTGCTTTATACTATCAGTGCTAGTTGTTGTTAGCCAGGATTATTTTGTATGCTACCTTGTTAATCTTGCTCAGAAATTGAATTTGAAATTAAAGATAGAAATAATTAAAAAGTAGGTAAGATATGCCATTTATTTGGGGGGTTTCGAAGAGAATGGTGTACTAAATCAGATACATATGGAATAAATTTTCCTGAATTTGCTACAATAGAAGAGAAAATTATTCTTATCATGGCTGGGATATTTATTGATTATGCATAATTTTAAAATTATTGACATTTATTCTACTTACTAATTCATAGTCAATATTAAGACTTTCAATTTTCTTATCTTACAAGCATAAATGTTTATCTGGAAAATTAATTGTAAAATTTAATTTCCTAATAATCCATACTTTACAAATAAAAAATCTTAAAGTTCATGATACTACCTTTACTTAATCATAAGCTAACACAGTTAATAAAATTAAATATTGATAAAATCAGTAAAATGGGTTTAAAAATTATTATAGAAAAATATCTAATCATTTCTTTTTTTCTGTTTATTTCTTATTTTATGCTCTTTACTAAAAGAATATTCTTACTTGTTTTATAAAATGCAATTTTATCTAGTTTATTTCTTAATTTATTCATTTTAATAAAAGGACAAACTAGTTTCTAACTTTTGCATAATAAATATCTGGAAAATTATTATAAGAATACATTTATCTAAAACCAACAATTACTACACCATGCTAATTTTATGATTGATAAGCACTTTATAAAGAAAATCATTTTCAATCCATTTTCAGAAAAATTATACTTAATTAAAGATAAATTTCTAATGTTGCTTTCATTAAGGAAGGAACAAATTTGCCTTTAAAAAAGTCAAAGTTTCATTTATGTTAATGTTATTTTTGAAATCAAATATAATTCAATATTAAATGCATCACCCCGATTTAGTTTTTGTACTCTTCATCTTCATATGTATTTTGGTTTCTAATGAATAATCTAATAGCATATTTAATTTTAAGTAAATTATTTAAAGATTATAAAATCAATGTGTGATTAAACACCAATTGAATATCGTTCTGAATTCGAATCATCTCCTATGAATTTCTGTTAGGCTAACTTGATTCTATTTTAGCCTAATAGCCCTCTATAATTAAGGATAAATTGCAGTCCTAATAATTTGCTTCTACAAGATTATTACTCTGCACAATTAAATTAAAATTAAGAAGATCTCTTCCCTTTCGATTAATAGCCACTCTAAAAAATGTTTGAGCTTCAAATATCAAATGAGGAATCATCCGAAATCTAATAAATAGTTATTAAATAGTCTCATGCAAAATAAAAAGGATTTTAAATATTTCATGTCAATACTCAATAAATGACACCTTAAAAATATAATAATCAAAAAATGAATAGACACCAAGCATTTTTGAAAAACATATCTAATTCAGAAAAAATTGAAAAGAAAAATTTTAATTAATATCAATACTAAGAGCAAACTCCTTTAAGAAGCCAGAAAGGTAGTTAAATGAATGTATATAAGGATTGCGAAATTTAAGTGTTAAAGTAAGAGATATAGTTATGGAACTAAAATCAACAACTTACAAAGATGTTGCATAAAGATTAATTTAGGATTTAGGCCAAGATGGTTAATTGTTAGATTTAGATAATGTATGAATTCTATTGAGTTAGAGCCTAAAGATGAGTAGAATATAAAAAGAAGAGTTTATGATGCATTAAATGTTATGATAGCCTCCAAAGTTTTAAAAAAAGAAGGAAAAAAAGTTATTTCTGGTATGTAAGGGAAAACTAAAACGAGAAGAAATGAGACTGATAATTAAAAGGAAGAATTAGTAACTAATTAAAATGATTTAGTAAACCTCTAAGAGTATAATTAAAGAAAAGAAAAAAAGGCTAAAGGAATTATTCACTAAAATGATAGCCCTAGAAAATTTAATTAAAAGAAATTCTACAAATGAGTTGAAAAATAAATTTATGTTCCCAATTTTAACACTCTAAGGAAATTAATAATAGATCAAACTTCGAATGGATTCTAAAGTGTTAAAAATTATGAGCTAATAGAGATTGGTATTACATGCTGATTTGGATATTTTGGTTTAAATGAAGATGTAATTGATGTATAAAAATGATGATCTTTTGTATATATTCATCATAATTAGTATTCCAAATGAATTACTTGATATTGTATAAGTAAATGAGTTCTGTTTTTGAATTGAAATTGAGTTTAAAGAAATGATTTAGATCATAATTGATTAACTATAATAAATTTAAAAATATGATTTTTTTCATTTTTGATTAATTAATAAGGGAATTCAAAAATTAGTATTATTAATATATTATTAACGTTACAATTTGAATAAAGATTATGAAACGTTTGATTTTATATATCTTGAATTACATGAAATAAGACAATTCTGTAAACATTGATAAAATAAATTAGAAATATTTATCAAAATTTTCTAAAAATTTATTGTCATGAAATATTAGTTTGTGAACAAAAAAATCAATTTATTCAAATTTTCAATATAGAAACCTATCATGTATTGATAATAATGAATCATTTTATAAGCGTTATATACCAATATATGCTATAAATTTGAATAAACCTACTGTGCTTAGTCTTTATTAAAAATAACTTTGTAAATAAACGATTAGCTACTACGATTACTATCACAACTATATCAACAATTTCACATAACCCCGATCCTATCAATAAAATCAATAATATACATCTGTCAAAGAGAATCTGAAACTATCAAATCCGAGCAGGATATTTAATCCTATAATCTTGTTAAGAATACACATCAAAAGCTATTTTTATATTATTGTATTAAAAATTTTCAAAGTTTTTAGTATTTGAAGTTATGAAGATTCAACCACCCTTCAGAATTTAAATCGTACTTAAAGAGTATATTCTCATAATATAATTCAATATTTAACTTGATAAGAACTTTTCGATGTATAAAGAATATTGAAATAATATAACTTTGAAGTATTTTATTTGATATTGATTCTTATTGAAATTTTTTAAAATACTCCAAAGTTTTTCAATATGGTACTGGGCTGCTATCAACTAAGATGGCAAGCTTTCATATGACTATGCGATTTAATATTCTGATAAATTATATTCAGTATCTCATCACTATCTAATATGAAATAAAGTTTTTCATTCCAATCGATCCATAAATTTCAACTTTCTTGTTCCTCTAATCAAATGTAAGGCATATTTTATTAAATTCTTATTGACCATTTAAATGGTCTACAACTATGCCTCAAAGGTACTTCATAAAGACTTACAATTAACATTTTTCTATCTTATAACTTAAATAATTTTTAAATTATTTTATCTTAAATTTCAAACATTTTTGAATTATCAGATTAAACAACCTTTTTGATTTATTTTAATATTCCTTAAATGAAATTTACTTCAACAAATTTTAGCACGTTTTATTTTCACTTTTTAATGATTAGTTTAATGCTCTTTTATATTTTTAACCTAAAAATTCTAGCTGTTCATTTGAAATGATGTTGAAGAAATATGAATCTTGGGATTTCGATAAAACTACAGTATTTAAAGTTATATTATAATACAAAAAAATCTATTTTAATTTCAAAATTTAAATAAAAAGCAGCATTCCTTAATATTATGGTAAATAACCCAATCTAATTAAAATTTACAAACTGATATAATATATTATATTTCACATATCTTATTTGTATATTTTAGAATACCTGTTCAATACAAGATATAAATAAAGTTGAAGATTTTATGGAATCAACGTGCATTGTACCAGTGATAAATCCATTATATTCCAAATATTTCATCGGCTGCTATTAATGTTATTTATTACTAAATCTTATTGGAAAGAGTTTTAGAATTTAAAGAAGCAAATAAGTTAGTTTCTTTTAGGAATAGGAAAGTTCTTTAGTAAAGAATATAAAATTTTGAATGTATTGTTTAAAGATGTCGTGATAAAAATAGAAGACCAGACATTATGTTATTATTTACATTAGATGAAATAATGAGGCAGTTTAATAATATTTTGTGCAGATCAATAGATTGGCTTAGCTTTGTATTAAGTTTGTAATTTGTTTTATAGCACTTGAAATTCATTTGACATTTCTTAGGTAAAATAAAATATAAGTTTTTCATAAGGATAGCAAATTATGTTGCAAATAAAAATAAGTAATGTCTAATACAATAACTATAAAAGGAAGTTAAAGAGAAAACGATAGGATGAAGAAAGATTGAATAAAAAAGTATTAATACTAAAATTACTGTCTCAACTAAGACATTACTAATTTATTGAAGCCTTTAGGATTGCAAAATAATAATCACAAGTCAATCATAAATGTCAGAATTATACAAATATGCCTTATATTTGATTATACTGAATATAATTTATCAGAATATTAAACCGCTTCGACGTATGAAATAGTAGTTGATAGCAGCCCAGTACCATTTTGAAAAAACCTTGGAGTAGTCTTAATAATTTCAATAAGAATCAATATCAAACGAAAAATTTCAGAGTTATATTATTCCAATTTCTTTTTACATCGAAAAGTTCTTATTAAGTTAAATATTGAATTATATTATGAAAAATATGGTGTATTTGTATCTGTAAATTAAATTTTTAAAATTAATAAAGAGAGATGAAATAATAGTATTTATGGTCGAAAACCTAATTGGCTTTATTAAATCGTATTTTTTATTAAGCAAAAGTAGAAACTTATTATTTGTTTAAATAAATGTATATTTCTAATTAATAGTTCTAGCCTATTTTATAATAATGAACTTTTTCACAAAAATTGATCTTTCACAAAACATTCTGTGTGAGTCCTATAATTATTCCATAGAATTTATATATTAATTAATATTAATTACATCATCAAAATTATTTATCATTTCAAATGGAGAAAACCAAGTTAATTGTTGCTATAACTTTAATTTTAAGTGCAATTAGTGTTGCCGTAAACACTATGGATATGAAATAGATATTAACTGAGCCTCAGAATGATACATTTTTAAAGAAACTTAACATTGTATATATTATAATTATTGAATTTACAGAATACAGAAAATGAACATCAAGAAGGTATGGCTTATAGAGAAATCTAAGATGATGGATAAATAGAAGGAATGAGATACAGAGAGATAGAAGAATAAGAAACTTAATAAGAAAATCATATTGAAGGCATGGCTTATAGAGAAATCTAAGATGATGGATAAATAGAAGGAATGAGATACAGAGAGATAGAAGAATAAGAAACTTAATAAGAAAATCATATTGAAGGCATGGCTTATAGAGAAATCTAAGATGATGGATAAATAGAAGGAATGAGATACAGAGAGATAGAAGAATAAGAAACTTAATAAGAAAATCATATTGAAGGCATGGCTTATAGAGAAATCTAAGATGATGGATAAATAGAAGGAATGAGATACAGAGAGATAGAAGAATAAGAAACTTAATAAGAAAATCATATTGAAGNTATAAAAGGAAGTTAAAGAGAAAACGATAGGATGAAGAAAGATTGAATAAAAAAGTATTAATACTAAAATTACTGTCTCAACTAAGACATTACTAATTTATTGAAGCCTTTAGGATTGCAAAATAATAATCACAAGTCAATCATAAATGTCAGAATTATACAAATATGCCTTATATTTGATTATACTGAATATAATTTATCAGAATATTAAACCGCTTCGACGTATGAAATAGTAGTTGATAGCAGCCCAGTACCATTTTGAAAAAACCTTGGAGTAGTCTTAATAATTTCAATAAGAATCAATATCAAACGAAAAATTTCAGAGTTATATTATTCCAATTTCTTTTTACATCGAAAAGTTCTTATTAAGTTAAATATTGAATTATATTATGAAAAATATGGTGTATTTGTATCTGTAAATTAAATTTTTAAAATTAATAAAGAGAGATGAAATAATAGTATTTATGGTCGAAAACCTAATTGGCTTTATTAAATCGTATTTTTTATTAAGCAAAAGTAGAAACTTATTATTTGTTTAAATAAATGTATATTTCTAATTAATAGTTCTAGCCTATTTTATAATAATGAACTTTTTCACAAAAATTGATCTTTCACAAAACATTCTGTGTGAGTCCTATAATTATTCCATAGAATTTATATATTAATTAATATTAATTACATCATCAAAATTATTTATCATTTCAAATGGAGAAAACCAAGTTAATTGTTGCTATAACTTTAATTTTAAGTGCAATTAGTGTTGCCGTAAACACTATGGATATGAAATAGATATTAACTGAGCCTCAGAATGATACATTTTTAAAGAAACTTAACATTGTATATATTATAATTATTGAATTTACAGAATACAGAAAATGAACATCAAGAAGGTATGGCTTATAGAGAAATCTAAGATGATGGATAAATAGAAGGAATGAGATACAGAGAGATAGAAGAATAAGAAACTTAATAAGAAAATCATATTGAAGGCATGGCTTATAGAGAAATCTAAGATGATGGATAAATAGAAGGAATGAGATACAGAGAGATAGAAGAATAAGAAACTTAATAAGAAAATCATATTGAAGGCATGGCTTATAGAGAAATCTAAGATGATGGATAAATAGAAGGAATGAGATACAGAGAGATAGAAGAATAAGAAACTTAATAAGAAAATCATATTGAAGGCATGGCTTATAGAGAAATCTAAGATGATGGATAAATAGAAGGAATGAGATACAGAGAGATAGAAGAATAAGAAACTTAATAAGAAAATCATATTGAAGGCATGGCTTATAGAGAAATCTAAGATGATGGATAAATAGAAGGAATGAGATACAGAGAGATAGAAGAATAAGAAACTTAATAAGAAAATCATATTGAAGGCATGGCTTATAGAGAAATCTAAGATGATGGATAAATAGAAGGAATGAGATACAGAGAGATAGAAGAATAAGAAACTTAATAAGAAAATCATATTGAAGGCATGGCTTATAGAGAAATCTAAGATGATGGATAAATAGAAGGAATGAGATACAGAGAGATAGAAGAATAAGAAACTTAATAAGAAAATCATATTGAAGGCATGGCTTATAGAGAAATCTAAGATGATGGATAAATAGAAGGAATGAGATACAGAGAGATAGAAGAATAAGAAACTTAATAAGAAAATCATATTGAAGGCATGGCTTATAGAGAAATCTAAGATGATGGATAAATAGAAGGAATGAGATACAGAGAGATAGAAGAATAAGAAACTTAATAAGAAAATCATATTGAAGGCATGGCTTATAGAGAAATCTAAGATGATGGATAAATAGAAGGAATGAGATACAGAGAGATAGAAGAATAAGAAACTTAATAAGAAAATCATATTGAAGGCATGGCTTATAGAGAAATCTAAGAAGATGGATAAATAGAAGGAATGAGATACAGAGAGATAGAACCATCACAAAACAATTAAGATTATGTGATATTTTGATTTCATTATTAATTGAAAATATGAACATTACTTTTACAAAAATATTATACTTAAACTCTCCTTACTTTACTCAAAATTTTACTTAAATATTTTTGGTATATTTAAAGTTATCCAAAATAATATATTGTGTTTAGTATTTAAATTAAATAATTCTCTATAAAGAAAGACTGCTTGAAAAAATCAAATGATTTTAGTTATAAATAGAAATGAATTTATAAAATATTTTCATTTTTGAGCTTTGAATTTAATTTTTCGTTTGAATTGATCGTTTTTGTTATATAAAATTTTTATTAATTTGTTGTGTAGAAGAAAAATTAAGGCAAAATTCTGCAAACCTTTCGTTGGTCATGTACAGTTGGGCGTTTTTCAAATGTATTTATAAATTTAAGACTCTTATATTTCTGATGAATAATCGCATTGAAGAGTTCTTTCTTATCTTCCTAAAGAATTTCTAGATACTAGAATGCCATTATGATATTTAAATATTTCTGCTTTACTTATTTATATTAGTTTTTGTTAATGAAAGATTTTTTCATGAAATAAAATTACAATTAATAATAAATCAGAAATAAATTGTTCCAAATATTCACACTCCATCCATTCTCAAAACATTGCCATATTTAGACAAGAGATGACAATAAATTTTTGATATCTCTTACTAATCTAAAGTTTCCCTTTTTTTTAATATTCTTTTAAAGTTTCGAAACATTTAAGTTCTTTAACTTGTTTGAATTGGACTGTTATCTAAACTTAAGAGAAATTATCCCTTAAAAATGAAATTAGCCAATAAATCTTTCATAAATTAATAAAGAACATCTGAACTCTGCAAATGTATTTTTTCGAAAGTAAAATAATTAAACAAAATAACTTGAATTTTGTAAATATTCAAGTAATTTTCCTTTTTTGAATAACAAAAAGAGTTTTATTATAAGTATTAAACTTAAGAAGCATTATGGATACAAAAATAAAAACAGGTCTTATTTGAGCTGAATAATTGTTTTGTTTAAATATTTCCACACTCTACTTATATTATTAATTAAGTCCAAGTAAATTCATTTGTAATAAATATTCTTTTCTAATCATCATCTTGTTTTTTCTTAATATTGCTTTTTCTAGGGTTTAGTGGCTTCAATTGTTAAGACTCTTATCAAAGAATATTAAAGAATTTTATCTCTTAATTTATTTAGTATTTATTTGAGTTTAGCTTATAGTGTGCTTTGTTGAGTAAGGGATTTAACTTTCCCTTGAACAAGAATGATTAAATTTTTTTTTTGTGTTTAGAAAATAATTTTCCTGATATTTCTTTCATTTTTTAATTTTTAAAAAGTGAATTCCTTACAATCTAATTATGGTATTAAAGCGGTTCAAACATTAAAATTAATAAGGCAAATTTTAAATGAATAAAGCGTATTCCCTATTTTTTTGGCTATATCAATCCAAAAAGTTAAACAACTATATTGGATCATTCAAATCGCTCCATTCAGCACCACTTTTGAAAAATGATTAGAAGCGAGATTTAAAATTATCTGTGATCAGTTTAATTTGAACTGATTTTGGAAGTTTAATCTTAGGTGTGTCCAAATATAACCGGGAAAAAAGTCCAAGTAATAAATTTTTAGAAACACTTTTAGAAGACAAGCTAAGATCTGATTTTTATCTGAAATCGAACAACTTTATTGTCTACATGAAGGAGTTGATTCGTTTCTTTTGCTAAAATATTTTCCACCCATTTGTGATTCAGTTTGCATTAAATGTTTACTTGGAATGCTTAGAAAGACTTAGGAGGCACTTTCAAAATCTATTCGCTTAGGGAAGTTTTATAAATGCCCAATATTTATGTGGCAAATATTTTAGCAAAAGAAACGAATCAACTCTTTAATTGGAAATATATTCTTGGTTTGCCTTCTAAATGTGATTTATAAAAATTTAAAATCTGTGGTTTGTAAGTTTTTTCATGGTCATAACGGAAATCTAGATAAATTATTTATACTAATTTTTTTGGAAAATTGATTTCATAAAAATTTTCTATTGCTGATATTGTTTTAACCTGATTTATTGTAATAGAAAAAACATTGATAAATTAATCGCAATTCCAGATAATAAGTTGATGTTGCAGGCAATCATGAGAGATTCAAAGGAAGCGTAACATTTAATGAAAACAAACGATTAATATAAGTAATAATCAAATCAGATCTAAAGGCAAATCCATAAAGGGTTGGCTTATTAAAATATTGGAAAATCAATTCTGGGCAATTTTCAAAGCATAGCCAATTTGAAAGATAAAATGTGAAAATGGCCTTATCTAATAAAAGAAAGAAAATCTAATATAATGACTTCCAATGATCTACTCAAAGAAAATTAAGGAAACGAATTTATTGTATGATATTTATATATATTGATTTAAGTCTTAAAATATCGTTAAGAAATAGAAAAACAAAGGACAAACAAAATCTACCCGAAAAAAAATGATGTTTTCCTTAAAATATTTGATATTAGAATAGCAATTCATTCTGAAATTAACTTAATTTAACAGTAAATTAATTTGGTTGGACCAACTCAAACTAAAGTTATTGAATTCTATTCATATTTATACCATTTTTTCTCTCCCATTAAATTTCATGGATTTGTTTTTTTTCTCAATTTTAATTCTTTTTTAATAAAGGTTCTGAAGGATTTATGTGTTCAACTGAAATTTGAAATCTCTATTTTTTTACGCATTCAAATCCCTAACTTTTACATTCAAGCAAATGATATTATTTACTGAATATTTCTCTTTAGTTAGTCCTCTGCAGTTGTTGTTATGGTATAGAAGAGTGAACTAATTATGATTGGTCAATATTTGGATATGCACTTTAGTGAATAGACAATCAAATTTAGAGGAGCAATGAATATGTAATTGATTTGATGTAAAAAGTAAATGTATCTGGATAATCGTAAATACTATGTTTTTGCAATGCAATTAGATTATTTGTATAATTTTTCCCCCTTAAGCATCGCCTTGATTACTTTACAAATATAGTAATCATTTGAGGTATTTCATCCTATCGGTTTTGGATTAAATACTGAGTATCATAATAGTTATTGCTTCCATTAGTTGCACAACAAAGGTTTTCTGGTATGAGGTATTGATCAAGAGATAACTTTGGTAACACCATTACTTATCATACCTGTGAATAGATATTATCAATAGGGAGAAGGAAGAAAAAACTATGTGAATTTATACAAAAATACAAAAAAAATAATATAACAAAATTGAAGAAAAATAAAATAAAATTGAATCAAATTAAAATTTAATATCAGTAGGAGAATTAAAATATAACAATGAAACAATTTATTGATTTTTTTCAAATTATTTTTGACAATTTTTACAAATATATATAAAATATAATTTTTCTGAAATATATATAATTTTCATTATTGACTTTCTGGAAAGACTTTACAAAATAATTTCTAATCAGCTTTTCCGCTTTTACAAGATGCTAAAGTAATTTCAAAATCTCGTGATATCGAGGATATCTACTATTTTTGTATCATACTATTAATTCCCTTTTATATTTTTTCTTCTGCCTTTTTGAAACGGTTTTTATCTTCAATTATTGATAGTTCTGTTTCCTTCCTTCCTTATTAAATAATTCTTGAAACTGTTAAAATTTGCTTCTTTATTTTATTAAATCTAATTGATATTCTTTTCTTATTCTCTTCCTTGTTCTCAAAAAATCTCCAATGTTAAAAACATTAGAATTTGATGTACTTTTTAAGTTTTTGACAAATCATTGATATTTCTTTACTCAATTGTATTAAGTATGCTTTTAACAGTATCTTGATCATAAGAAACATAAAATATAGATTAATGCAAATCAATATGATGTATAAAGGATAGATAATTTCCTAATTTTGTTAAGAAGCATATATTCCAATCCCAAGCACAACAGAAAAACCACATACTTATGTCATTGTAAGATCCAATTGATTTAATACCTTAGATTCATAAGGCTAGTATTTAATCGTCAGTTATTAATAGATAAATATGATGATATATATCAAAATTGCTTTAATGATAATTCTTGTCTCATAAATTGCTAAAACTATAATAATTAACTCCTTTTCAATTAATTTTACTATTTCCCAAAAGTATCCCGACTTCTTATATTCATTATATAGAAATCCCCAATTCATTCGAGTCTCATTGTTATCCAAATCTTTTCTATTTTAGAATAAAAATGTAAAAAGTATCAATGGGATGATGAAAGCAATTATAATAAAAAATGGAAAACAAAAGCATAAAACCCAATAAAAATGATTTTCGGTATCAAACCTATATGCAACATTTATTGATATCCATTTAAACCCTGAAATTGTTCTAAATGACATTAATTTTATAAATCCTTCAATTAAGCTTGGCTGCAAAATAATATACATATTGATAAGTGTTGTAGATAGTACAGTAGAATGATATTTACATCTTTTTAGGAGAATACAAAGTCCATAACCACCAAGAAACAATAGCACATATATGATTGGCATTAGAAATTACCATAACATTCGTAAATAATGAAGTTCGATAACTTAATTCAGATAAATTAAAAAGCAATCCAATGAATAGGCCACAGTTTTTATAGGGTTTCCTGTTGAATTGATTCCATAGTTAAGTTCATCAGGAAAAGATAGCCTAAGAGTAGTCAATGTCATAATAATTTATAGGTAATTAGTAAGGATCTTACCCAGTAATTCTTCATTTAAAGGTTGGGACACTATGATTAATCCTGCCTTTTTTAATTTAACTACTAATAACTTATTAATTACAATTGTAACTGTATTCTTCGTAGACATAAGTATAGTTAATAGAGTCCTAAAATATTTCTTTATGAATACCAAACACTAATCCCTAATATTGAAAATAAATTGATATATTAATCCGTGCATTTTCCACATTAATAAGGTGCACTAATTGAGTACATTCCATCTCCTCTTACATCTGAAATGTCACATTATTCACACAATGCACCTATATGTCCAGTTATGCAAGAATCATCACCTTCCTTCCAACCTCCTAGACAACTTTCTGGAAGATTATAACAATATTCAACTTAATTTGTATCAAAATAGGCTCTCCAAAAACCCTAGATATGAATATGAATATTACTGAATATAAATTTAGCAAGGTTGATGTGACCTCTTTAATAGATATTTCATCTTATAAATTACATTTTTCTTAATTGAGTTTCAATTAATAAAAGTGATTTTAATAATCACAAACTTCACATATTCCATAGGTTTTATTAATTATTTCTCCATATTAACATGGATAAGTTTTAATATTAAGTTAGAGACTATAATTGTTATGATAATATAAAATTTCATATGGGAATTGAGAATTGTAATAAGGTATGAGAATCCTATCACATTTAATTTCTAATTATAAAATTAAATCATCTTGTTAAAAAGTATTAAATAATAGAATTAAATCATCTAAATTGTAATCTTTTGATTCTGAATTATAAAGAATTTCATTTTTGTTTGTAAAGTTTTCAGACAATTATTCTTATTGATCTTCAGATAACCCTAAATTATATCTTCTACTCTTTAAATAGCATTTTGAATTAGATAAATTATTGTAAATTTCTCTAAATTCGTTCAATAACACTATTCTAAAAGTAAGATTTTTAGAGTAATATCTTCTATTGGTGATATCAAATTATTTATATTCGCTTATTTTTTGTCCGTTTGGTAGATAAATCACATTAAGAAAATTATTCTTATCAAGATACTCATTCGAAACCATTACCTCTTCAATTAAAGTATTTTAATTATTCATTTTTACATTGGTAAAGAAAATAGATTCATAATTATTAAGAGTAATTGAGATATGGGTAGGATTTGTTGATTGGTCATTTCCATACTTTGTGCCTTTATTGTTTCTAACAACGGAACCCATTTTAGAAAAATTAGATATACTTTAGTTTTAGGTAAATATTCCTCCACCATATTAAGCTTGATTTTCAGAAATCTTACTCGATAATAAAGTAAATAGTTTATTTCTTCCTTCGAAATATATTGCACCTCCAGCCATCTTTGCATAGTTATTCAAAAATAAACTATTCTTTATTTAAATATTTTAATCTTTGATAAACAGGCAAGTACCATAAACAGCTGAATTATTCTAACATTTAAATTCGATCAACTCAACATCATATTTCACTTATTAAATATGCTTCTCAGTTTCATATTCATTATATAATAGTCTTTTTTTAATATTAACATCTGATCTTGATATTATACTATCAGCAATAATCAAACAACTAAGTTATCCACAAATATTGCTTTTAAATTACAACAAACCAATTTTATTTGTCTTAATGCGTTCCTCATTTTAATGTAAATATAGTAAACTAAGGGAGCATGCTTAACAAATGATATCTTAAAATTATAATTAGATGAATTTATATTAAACTAAATTAGTAATATTGGTCAATATTATTATTGGCATGATCGATTATTTCTAATAATATAAATTCCATTCATTGAATAAAATTAGAGTGTTATTATAATAATAATCTGGACTATGAAATGCCTTCAAATTAACCGGAGCATAATCATTGTTGAACTTAGTTAAGCAAATTTATTGTTATTCAATAAATTTAGTTGAGTTGATTTGAATTGGATCATCAAATTTAATTGAATCTAAATTTGATGTTAGATTTGATATTAGAACTTATCTGATTACACATTCATTTCCATACCCTTGATTATATAAATTAATAAGGCCATAAATCGGCAATATCCCTCCTTAAATTATAGAACTTGAAAAGAAGAATTTTAATAAGTTTATACCTATGATCAAAGATTCATAATAAATTTGTTAAATATTAACATTGTCCATTTAAATATTCCCAGAAATCAAATAAATTTTAGTTCTATCTGATAACAAATAGTTTTTTAATTGTTTAACTGCATAATAATAATAATTAGCAGAATTTTAATAATTCAAGAAACCTTAATATGTATCTTAAATATTAATATCTTAAAGTATAAAATTCTAATTAGTTAGATTATAACTTGAAATTTATCTATACAAGATAGCCCCTTTTAAGCTATAACAATTGTTCACTGTCAAATTTTCTAATAGTAATGTAATTTAATTTTAATTATCGTTGAGATAGAGTATTCCTGCAGAAACATAGGAATTAACTGCAGAAAAAACAGAGTTTACAATGTTTACAGTTATTGAGGATTGTGATTCAATATATATAGTACCTCCTAATTAGACAGAATCATATTATTTTGAAGAAGCCATAAATATGCTTTCAAATTTTGATTGTTCAATCAATACTGACCCAGATAATTGTACTTTGAGTTACAAACTACCACTTAATTGGCCAAACGAATTATTTGAAGTTAAATTGTTAATGAGAATTTTTGATGCTTAAAGTATTGTATTCCCAACTAAACACTTTTGTTAAAAACTTAATCGAATATCCTCTAAATAGATTTTGCTCTCGAGATCATAACCCCATTATAGATATGGTTTAATAAGATTGTAATCAAATTAACAACTATTATTAAAAACAATATCATCAAAATTTACGCTTTATGCTTTAATTAATACCAATGAGTTTACACTATTAATAATTGTATTGGACTCAAAGATAACCTTATGCAAAATAACTTTACTTATTTAACAGTCAAAATATAAGAGACTGGAAGATATATAACTATCCTCCTATTAATAAGCTGTTAAAATGTTTCTGAGGAATTCGATCTCTTCAATTTAAATACTTACATTTTGCTAAGAGTGTATTTCAAAAATTGGGCAGTTTTCATATTTCCCAATTGATATTAATAAATTATCATGAATTTTTGAATAGTAAATATTAATAGTTTCGTCTCTTTCAAATATTGAAGTAGAAATAGATTCATAATAAATCAAGGGCTCATTCATTACCACTAAATATCTCATTATCATAGATTTTATTTGTGTTTAGATAGCATTATAGATAATTAAGAATATTGTATAGAAGTCCTACTTCACATCATTAATCCAACAATCCAAATATTTATGGATTCCTTTGATACTATACTTTTCGCTTAAAAGGACTTCAATATTTCTTATTAATAGATTCTAAGAATTAATTATTCTCAATTCACTTATACCAAATCCTCTTAATAGGAATATTTAAGATAAACTAATAACTTATGCTTCAAGATTAATCAGTGCAATTTCATATTTAATAGTAACATTTAGAACTTCGGCAAAATATATTTTATTTTCAATTATTTAAATGTTATTTATTGTTATATAAGAGTGAACATAACCAAAATCTCTTATATTAAGAAAATTAGATAATTAATCATATTGGTTATATTCAAATACAATGAAGTCTAGAGATAATGAAAATTAGTTTTTATTCGTATTTTCTTGATTAATAAAAAGCTTACTTTAATTAAAAATGATATTATTTGAACAATTGAATTGGTAAATTGTTAAATTACTATTTACTTTTGTTACATTAGATGATTAAATTATTGAATGAATAATTGATAATTATTAAAAGATTATGGCTGAAAAATCTGATAGCTACAAGAATCCATTACAATTGTAAAGTTCTCCTCTTAAAGAAAAGTTGCTTATTTTTATTGTCGATAAAGTAGAAGTTGCAGTTTTAATAAATGTACAATTTGAGAATACACCTGTTAGAAGTATATGTAAAAATTCAGACTTTAAACTGTCATTATTCAAAGAGAATACATCAGTATCCTGTATTTGTGAATCTAATATCTATAAATAGTAAATTTTAAACTTAGCTTTGACATTCTTAGCAAAATTGATTAAAAACAGAGGTGTAGTATAATTTTATTATTTCAAAATGAACTAACTAAATGTTAAATTTTGGAAAATGATTGAGGAAACTTTTAAAAATATTAATTACACAGCATTATTATTAGATTATTAAAATCTTAAGTTGTTAAATTATACTTAAAACTAGTATAATAATGATGAAAATATTAAGAGATTAAAAGAATCTTTACTTCTAAAATAAAATTCAACATCACTTATTAAAATATTGGAAAAATCCTGAAACTATAATGATTTGCTAACAATGAATTTAGTTGTTTAGGTACTTATTATGGATAAATTAACTTATCTAAAATATATTATAAATGTTTTACATTAGTGGGAAAATACTTCTGCTAAATATCTAAGGAATCAAGAAGTCTCCAACAAATAAACATTCTTATTCAATATCACTAATGATTTTTATTTCTAGTGATGTGATTTACTAATCATTAGCCAACTTGTAAAATGATTCTTTATTAAAATGAGTAAAATATTAAAGATCATCAATAAACAAATGTGTTTGATTGAATAAATTTATTTATGAATCATCTAAGCCAAAAGTAAGATTCTAAAAAATAATATCAGAACATATCAAATTTAGTTCAAGAATAATCTAACTTTCCTATTTGGGGTTAGTATCTATATACTAAAAAACCAATCCAAAAAATGAATTATAATAAAGATTGGAACCTGAATCAAATCCCAAACATTAATTACTGTAATCCCAATAATTAGCATTCTAAAATATAGGATTAATTAAGAGAACTTCTGCTTAATCTCTTCTTCTACATAAAATACAATTAGGAGGACATTAAATACATTAGTTATTATATAAGCTGATGATTCTTTAATTAACTTCCAAAGGACATTTAACACAAATATTTTGACCATTTTATTTTACACATTCCTAACAGAGAGTTGGACATTAAGGTATACATTATTTATCAAATAACTCAAATCCTTGAACACATTCAAGACAAACTATTTCAAAATCCTCTATTTCTGAGCTTTAACTAAATTCAGTAAAATCGTGACTCATATCATAGTATTAGATAGCAGCATAATAAAATGATCTTACTTATTATTTCCAGTTATCTTGAGATATCTTATCTTATTGATAACAAGTTTTGCAATTGAAATCTAGTGGACAAATTTAACAATTCCCAAATATTCTACTTGCGTAATACCCTTGCTCACATTAATAGCATTCTTTTTTTTCTTTAAATTCATTATATAAGCAGTTAGTACAAAATGAAATTTCACTTTAACACCCATTTGTTAATTCAAATTTAGCTTCCGAACCTACAATGCAATAGGTGTAAAACCAAGAAATTCTGTATATGCATTTTTCTCCATAATTATAATCGATTTCACATTTATTACTATCATAGTCATACGAATATTTTTCTTTGCATCTTGCGCATTTAATGTCGATAGAATCATAGGACGGTTTAAAATAGTAATCTAGAGTAGTGAATGTTGTTTTATCATTTTCTTTTATCCTCAATTTGACAGCATATTGGCAATTATTGATTTCATTAATCTCACAATTCTAAGCATCATTTGAAATAAAGTATTTACTATCATCTAAACATTTCAAACATCTAAGAAAATATTTTTCAGTGTCAGAATTGTAATCTTCAATACATTCTTAACAAAATTATCCGCATTATCGACACGTTTTATCAACATAATTAAATGGGCTATTGAATTATTAATTATTAGTACCTCCTACATTACTTACAAATTATATCTAAGCTAGATTCATCTTGATAGCATTCATCACAAATTGAAGGGCATATTACACATTAATTATTTGATAAATAATATTCTGACTGACATATAAGACAAACTGAGTTATTATCACATTTTAAGCAATTATCAGGGCATTTTTTGCATTTATTGTCAACCAAAATAAAATTAGACTTACATTATAAGTGCACATAATTTCCTAAATGAATAGCGCTGATATAGATGTTATTATTATTTTCTTAATTGCTTAAAAAGTGCTAAACCCCTATTTGAAGTTCTAGTTCATAAATTTCATTTATAATAAAGACATCATAATCAAATAGTTCTCTATCACTCTATAAATAAGCTGAATAAGGTATTTTTTCATTTCGAATCATATCCATTGTGCATACTGGTTAAATATACCATGTCATTGGCTTTATATAACAATCAAGACAGTAATATTGAATCAAGTTATAAAAAGGACTTAAATAATTAATATATTTATTACCATTATTTACATATCGTTTTATTGTTATCCTTTATTAAGAAATATCCAAAATTACAATAGTCATTATAATTATTATTGTTTATTGATAAAATTGTAATTTTGGGGAATGCCTATAATTAATCTGAACATATTTCACTGTTATTAATATCAAGCTCATTATTTTGACATTTGCACTCTTAAGTTTCGCTTAATAATTATCGTTTTGAAAATGCAGAACAACTAGTGCATTAATTGGATTCAGGCCCATCGCATAATTAACAAGAATAATGGCAGTCTATCTGATTAAATTTTTCAAATACATTTGAAATTCTGTAGGTTAAAGTCTTCTTAGAAGCCAGTCAAAAACTCTAACTTAGCTAATTATCCTTAGAAATATGGGGATGGGGTAAATTTATCTCCTCCAATATAAAAATACATTTATGTGTTTGAAAACTAGTTTCTAGCTTCGTTGAATTAAAAATTATGAGTTATTGGTTCACTTTATAAATCAAACCACAGCTTATACTATGTTCTTTCGCTATTAAGACTTCTACCTTATTCGAAAGTAAAATAATGCCATTGTTGAATATTTGTTAGTAAGGTATTAGATTTTAACATGTATTTGTCAGAGTCTAAAAATGAACTTTCATATTCAGATTTATATGGATAGTAATAGTGATAAGTCTATATTAGAATTGAATTTAAATCCTTATTATTCAAATTAATATTGTATCTTAAAAATACTGTTTTATCTCCGTTATTTCCATTTCCAACTTAATATTACTTATTAATTGTCATTCTTAATATCTACATTTAGGCAGAAATAAAAATCATGCTTACATCTATTTTAATCCATCCTCTAATAACATAATGCTAATCCATAAGCTAAGCTTCTTTATGGAGGTAATAAGTTCCGTCAAAATTCTGAATACCATCAAGTAAACTTATTTGCTCTATTGTTACAACCTATTTTGGAATTATACAAGAATTAACTATATAATCATATAAATTCGGTTCTTTGTGCTAATTTTAGATTATTAACTTTGATAATAGTCCATAAAATGGTGCATATGATTGTTTTGTAAAACTCTATGTTAAATGTTTTAATTACATCCTTTCCGTATCCGCCAATTATGTAATTTATTAAGCCACTTTTTAAGGAAATGCTGTCAATTTAACCAAATTTTCCTGCACTTTTAAATAGCAAAATCTTCTTGTCTGGATTATACTCTATAAGAGTCAAATGCCAGATTCCATCTAAATGTTGATTTTCAAGTTGCAAAATCATCGATTAAAATTCTGTTTTTGAATTTTCAATATAGGATACCTCTAAAACATGATAAGGATTATAACTCCAATAATATGCACTAAAAGCAAATTTTTAATAGACAGTTATATTGTACTCTTTTTTTCCTTTGTTGCTCATTTATTTTTAGAGAAATAATAATCTCCCTTTTTCCAAGTCTAAATCTTTTGAACCAATAACATGGCTCTGATGCATCATTTAATATTCAATATATTTGGACCAAAAACCAGAGGAATACCAATAGTCAGATTCATATTAAACATCAAAAGAAACATTTTAAAATGGATCATGTAAATCTAAAAGGCTGTTTTCAAAATTATCGAATTAGCATGAGAATTCAAAAGTTTACTATAATCTAAAACTATAAAAAAAAACTTACATGAGTGAGTAATAGAGAAACAACTATGAAAACTTAAATTTTATCATTTTTTAAATTAATACATAAAAAGATTGTAATCCAAATGTTTTTTACTATGAAAACTAAATTTATTGCAATTAATTAATATCAATCTTTATTCAAAATAATTTTCAAGAATTTTTTCGATGTATAAATCTATACAGATCTGAACTATTGGATATTAATAAATAAATATCATTTAGAATTATTTTCCAACTTCAATAGGAAAATCTAATTCCAGTTAATTTGTTATTATGAAACCACAAATATAAAAAACAATATTTCAATTTCTAAATTTTGTTAAAGTGAAACTTAATTTCCTAATGTTTTGTGCAGGAATAATCTATTTTATTAATAATACAATCATTAATGTATCAATAATTTACAGTTCTATTGAAAAGTCAATAATACTTTCAAACCCACATTCAAGAACATACACAGTGAAAATAAGAATGGATAAAAAGCAAAACTAATCTCTATTTCTCTCATTTTTAATATATTTTTGATTTTAATTTAAAAACTTTTAGAATTAATCATAATTTTTAAACTCTATTAAATATTTGCTTCAATTTATTCATTTGGCTCAAAAATTTAGGTTTGAACATTTTAGAAATAGCAAAAATGAAACTTAGGAAGCACTGCATCCCTAATTAGACCACTAAAGAATAAATTAATTATTTCTCTATATCATATGACTGGTATTCTTAGATCGACACCATAAAGGCCACAATACCAAACAGGAGTCGATAGTTCAATTTTTTCAAGGGGGACTAATANTAAATAGCAAAATCTTCTTGTCTGGATTATACTCTATAAGAGTCAAATGCCAGATTCCATCTAAATGTTGATTTTCAAGTTGCAAAATCATCGATTAAAATTCTGTTTTTGAATTTTCAATATAGGATACCTCTAAAACATGATAAGGATTATAACTCCAATAATATGCACTAAAAGCAAATTTTTAATAGACAGTTATATTGTACTCTTTTTTTCCTTTGTTGCTCATTTATTTTTAGAGAAATAATAATCTCCCTTTTTCCAAGTCTAAATCTTTTGAACCAATAACATGGCTCTGATGCATCATTTAATATTCAATATATTTGGACCAAAAACCAGAGGAATACCAATAGTCAGATTCATATTAAACATCAAAAGAAACATTTTAAAATGGATCATGTAAATCTAAAAGGCTGTTTTCAAAATTATCGAATTAGCATGAGAATTCAAAAGTTTACTATAATCTAAAACTATAAAAAAAAACTTACATGAGTGAGTAATAGAGAAACAACTATGAAAACTTAAATTTTATCATTTTTTAAATTAATACATAAAAAGATTGTAATCCAAATGTTTTTTACTATGAAAACTAAATTTATTGCAATTAATTAATATCAATCTTTATTCAAAATAATTTTCAAGAATTTTTTCGATGTATAAATCTATACAGATCTGAACTATTGGATATTAATAAATAAATATCATTTAGAATTATTTTCCAACTTCAATAGGAAAATCTAATTCCAGTTAATTTGTTATTATGAAACCACAAATATAAAAAACAATATTTCAATTTCTAAATTTTGTTAAAGTGAAACTTAATTTCCTAATGTTTTGTGCAGGAATAATCTATTTTATTAATAATACAATCATTAATGTATCAATAATTTACAGTTCTATTGAAAAGTCAATAATACTTTCAAACCCACATTCAAGAACATACACAGTGAAAATAAGAATGGATAAAAAGCAAAACTAATCTCTATTTCTCTCATTTTTAATATATTTTTGATTTTAATTTAAAAACTTTTAGAATTAATCATAATTTTTAAACTCTATTAAATATTTGCTTCAATTTATTCATTTGGCTCAAAAATTTAGGTTTGAACATTTTAGAAATAGCAAAAATGAAACTTAGGAAGCACTGCATCCCTAATTAGACCACTAAAGAATAAATTAATTATTTCTCTATATCATATGACTGGTATTCTTAGATCGACACCATAAAGGCCACAATACCAAACAGGAGTCGATAGTTCAATTTTTTCAAGGGGGACTAATATTTTATTTAAAATATGGATGAATTCATGTAACATGAATCAGAAGTATTAATAAAATATCATGAATATTAATAAAATGATGTCCTCTAATATTATTTAATATAAAATTAAAAATAACAAAATTATGTTCACTTACCCATTTTGAATTATTTTGGTGAATTTCAAATTTTTCTCTTTCCTCTTAAATTAATCTTGAAAAAAATTCCATATTAATATGTAAATATTTGATTTGGTAATTTAGAATATCATTCAAACAAGTTTTGTTAATTGATGAATTCAGAATACATTATTTTCACCATAAATTCATTTATTAAATTACAAATAATTACACTTCATTTAGAAAAAGAAAATATACTTTTGTTTACTTTTTTACGTTTTTGTATGTGGATAATATTTTGTAGATGGGATTTTTTTGGGTATCAATTCTGTTTTTAAAGTTGTGAAATTACCTAGATCTGAATTCAAAAATATTAGTCTTATATTCTAATCCTTACTTTCTTCGACCTTAAGGTTAACTTTAAGTTTAACAATTTCTTCTTTTTGCTTCTTAATAACTGAATATTCTGCATTTTAGTCTTTTACTCCAAAAGATAGGCCTCATGAATATGATATGACTTTCTAAAGAGGGAATATTTGAAGAAACCATTTTAGTAATAAATGTAATTTGCAGATGTGGATATAATATTCTTCTGGAAATTGATTGCAGGAATCAAAATCGATTTATGTAGTATTGAAAGCTTTTATAATCCTATTTTGTTTTTCCATAAAACTCATATAATTTGATACATTATTGTCCATCTAAAAGTGAGATTAATTTATGAATTTTCCAAATAATAAGACTATTATTTATTGATGTTTTTTATTAATAATATTATAATTTCATCACTCATTAAATTTTAATAACCATTTGAAATTACTTGTATTCAATCGATTAAGAAAATACATCGAGGATTATAATCTAACTATATAAACAAATTATGTATTCTGAGCTAATATGAACAGAATATAACTTCCCTACTCCTTAGATAGGACGGCATTATATTTCTAGAAATTCTCTCCAAAAGCTAGAGTAGGATAAAAAACGTTTTAAATATATCTAAAGAAGAAAAGTTATTGAAATATAATAGAAATTAAGGCCGAAGTCAATCGAATTTAATAATACAATTACCATAGTGAGTTCATTATTATTTAGGATGATTTAATGCGTTCAATTTCAAAATTTAAGGCATTTTGTTAATTAGAAACATTGAAAAAAATGAAAAAATAAATATGTCTTTTGAAATCCAGAAACAAATAATAAAATACTATCATTACAAATTTAAGGATTTAATTCATTAAGAGAAATTTAAAATGTAAAATCCAAACTACTTTTGTTATTCCAAAATTGTTTTTGATAAAAAAGAAGCACTTAAAGATTTATAATATGTGATTTTATTTGAGAAAGAAAATTATTTCGAACCTTAAAAAATTGTATTTTTAAATAGATGTCATCATTTATACACTCCTATGTTAAGTTTTATATAAAGCTACAAAATTCCAATAATAAATGGACGAATATGCATTTGATAATAAAACTTAATAATTGGATTATATACATAAATTAAATATATGTTATAAGGATTAGAGAAACCTTTATCTGAATACGTATTTAATTATTGTTATTAAGTTAGCAATTAATCTTGCACTTGATACATTAAAATGATTATGATACTTTGAAAGAATTGGGAATAAATAAAGGTAAAGTAAAAAACTTTGATAGCCAACATCAATTTTTTGGAATAATTCAATGAAATTGAGCTTGATTAAAAAATATCTCCTCTTATATGTGCATGCTATCTTGGGAGATTAGAAATAGTTAAGCTTTTATTATCAAATTGTTAAATTGATGTGGATTTAGCAAGTATTGACTCTGGATAGACTCCTCTATCTGTGGCTGCTATGACAGGGAATTATGAAGTTTTGAAGTTATTACTTGATGCTGGAGCAGAAGTTAACAAGCCGAATACATTTAATTAGACAGCCTTTATTACATGCTTTGCTAGATTAGAAGAAGTATTTATTTAAATTAATATTTTTTTAAGGAGAAGAATGTGTTTGAAAATCGGAAAATTTGTTTCAAAATGGCAGAACTATTGCTTCATTATGGAGCAGATATTAATTGGATTGTTGATAAATCTCATGGCTTCCACTTATTAATGTAATTATGCTCTATAAAAATGGAATTAAATCCAAAAGAAGCAGAAATAAATTACTAAATTATTAAATTTCTGATTGAAAATGGAGTAAGATATCTGATCTAATTTAGGCGTAAAAAAATCTTTAATCATTGAAGGGCAAAAAGGCTATGGATCTTTTGAAAAAGCACTCAAATAAAGAAAAGTTAATTGAATTATTAAAAAATTCAACATAAATTTATTTTTATGGAAGATAAAAAAATAGTAGCAGAGGATCACAACAACAGTAGAATCAATTCAAAATTAGATCAATATAAAAGCCATGAGACTTTATCTTTCATTTAATTTAATTTTATTATATAATTTCTTTTAATGATTATACTAACTTTTTTAAATATATGTAGTATTAACTGCATCCTTTATAGTTTTACTGCAGAATATCAATATGTTCTAATTGAAATTTTTAGTGAGGAGTGGACATATATGAAGATTGAAATAGCTGAAGAAGAAATAATCCAAAGTTCACTTTAGAAAAATTTTACATAATACATACAAATGTATTATCAAGTTGAATAAGGTAAGGAGTATAACTTGGATATTTATATTTATCCAGAGAATCTATATAAAATAAATCAAGTTGAAAAAAGAGATTGCCCTAACAATTGCTCTGAGAAAGGATTATGCTAAAAGTTAGAATGTTAATGTTTTGAATTGATTGCTGGGTAAGATATGAGTAAAAATATTTCTAGAGATAGATGTCAATATGATATTGAGCCTATTTTTGATAAAAATAAATATAATGTTGAAATGATACCTTTTCAAAGTAAAATAATTGCAATTTATATGTAATAGGATGACATTGTGGATGACTAGTAGTATTATTATTTATTAAAATTGAGGTAGATAAGGAATTTCAAAGTCATTGTGAGTCCATCAATTAATGCAACAATATATTTTTTGTTTCCATTTGAAATACCTTACAAATCATTAAAAAATAATAAACTAGTATTTGATGGGATCATAAGTTAAGAAGGTTAGGTGATAGATTTTTCAGATAAATTTGAAACTTATCATTTAAAATCTGCTAATTATTCATTTGTCTTTATGCTATAAAACCCCTACTTTTAGAACATAAATTTTTCTCTTGAATTTGAAATGCTTGATAATGATAATTAATTTTAAGACTTTATTCTAGTAATAATATTGAGCATTGTGTCATTTATAATTTTATTGGTTATTATTTATATTGTTAAAAAGCGATGCGAAAATATGTAAGAAAAAAAAAATAAAGATAATTAAAGTATGAACTCATAAAAGGGATTATTGCATTTAATGGGAATTGTTGATCCAGCAAAAGATTAAGAATGCATCATTTGCTTAGACCTTTTAGATTAAAAACCATGTAGGATCACACCATGTAAACACACTTTACATGAGGCTTGTTTAAACTAATGGCTGTAAAAACAATAAAATTGTCCTATTTGCAGAGAGACGTTCCTTGATGATGAAGGATATCCAAAATATGTTAAAACTAGAAATCAGACAACAACATTTTTAAATCATCATCTATCCTAATATGGAATTCAGTGATAATTTATCTAGAGAACTGAAACTATAAATTTGAAACTTTATGAAATTCGATAGGTTATTTCTTAGTTTGATTTATCTTTCTCAAGAATTAGATAAGCTAAAAGAAGGAATAGTGTCAATATTACTTATAAATATATAATTCTTATACCTAAAACCCAACTTTTTCTGTCTTTTTAACATTTTGTTAACACCGAATAAAGAAATTTATATTTATGAATTTGAATAATCTCCTGAAACTTATTAGAAATTTATCGTTTATTTTTATTATAAGGTTTTTCAAAAATTCATTCCCTTATTTCTCAAACTAAAAAAAAAAGGAATTAAAAAAAATTTAAATCTTTTTTAATGCCTCCTAAAGTTGACCCAAATGAAGTTAGATTGATTAACATCAAAGTGTTCGGAGGAGAGGGTGGTCCAGCATCCACTCTTGCTCCAAAATTGGGACCTCTCGGTCTTGTAAATTTAATAGCTTATTAATAAGAACCCAAAATAAGTTGGTGATAAAATTATTGCCGAAAGTGGAAAATGGAAGGGTATCAGAGTCATGGTTAACTTGAGATGCTAAAATAGAAATGCTGATGTTACTGTCATTCCGACCTCAAGTGCATTACTAATTAAAGAAATTGGAGTAATTAATAATTAATAACTATAGGGTTATGAGAGAGATAGAAAGAAGACAAAGAATGTCAAACATAATGGAAACTTAACACTTGAATAAGTCATTAAAGTTGCTAGAGCTGTTGAAGAAAAGTCATTAGCCAAAACTTTTACAGGAACAGTCAAATAAGTTTTAGGAACTGCATAATCTTTGGGAGCCACTGTTGATGGATAACCAGTAAAAGCAATCATTGGAAAAATTAATTCTGGAGAACTTAAAGTTGAAAAATGAAAAATATAACCTATAATACATAAAAGTACATTAGCTTGTTATTTCATATAAAATATCAAAACTTAAAATAAATCAAATTTGTATAATCTTAAATAGCAAAGCAATTCTATATTTAAGCTTATTCAAATATAAACTAATAATAATAATAAAACAAATTATTATTAACTCTTATCCAAGTATTTTGAATTATTTAAATATCAATAGAGGGAAGAAATAATTAGGATTAGATTCTTATAGTTTTATGATTTCAGAATACTATAATCGTTTACAATAGATCTTTTTGATATTGGAATTCGAAGTACTTTCATGAATTAAATGATAAATTGCTTAAATTATTAAATTTTGACGATTGCTTTGTCTTTTTTTTAGAATACATCTACAAAGTAAATTTTTACAACTACGAAGTTTCTTATTTTATAATTCCTCTGATAGAATCTTTTGTATAAACAAATTTATATCTTTTTCATTTTTATTCTTAGAAGTCAACTTTAAAATTTTCATTATTTACGGCTTTAAAATAGTGATAATCTAAATCCTTCAATTTATTTTTCAAAAATTAAAATAAGACCCAAACAATTATTCAAAAATATACTTACAAAAGAATTTAGAGGACCTATTTAATTTAATTATAAATACTTAAGGGTGCTTCCTGATGCAGTTTTTTTCTAAAGGATAAACAAAAATTAAATGAGAAAATTTATCATATCAATATAATAAAGATTAAATTTTAAAGTAAGGTAAAATTAATCTCTTTTAATCACTTGTTAATAAATTAGTATTAAAAGGTAAGAATAAATTCAGTTAAATTAAGAATTGAGCTTTTATTAATCTTCTTTAGTTAACATAAAATTAAAAAATGTAAATATTAATTATATCATCAAAAATTATCATAGGAAGATTTTTGAAAATAGTCATTAATCTAGAATTCCAAAATATTTTTAAGGTCAGATATTTTTGAATTTAGCTATAATTAATGGTTTTGGGGAAGTGAAGGCAATTTATTTTGCTGCCTTTTTAATTCTTCTGAAGAAAAAAGATTTAGAAATTATTAAATTTAAGATTAAATCTTAATTCTCTCTTTAACTTAGTTTGTGATTTCTTTAATCTCTTGGAAGTCTTTCATCTCTAAACCTTCTATCTTGACCTTTTTTAGTGATTATAAGAAGCATTATTTTGATTCAAAATCATTCAAATGAATCTCTTTGTTCTTTATGACTATTTCTTTTTTTAATTATTATTTAGCGATAATATTCATATGTCTTGTTCTAAAATAATAGCATAATATGGTACTTTTCATCAATCACAAATACAACCACATTTTTTTTTATTTTTATTTGCTTGTCTCTCTTTTCTTTTTTATATATTCTACCTTCGTTTTTATATATTCTGTATATAGCCTTAATGGTTGATAAATTATGGCCTGTAAGGTTAGCTATCTGGATTATAAATTTAAAATACTTAGTTAGCAGAATAAGCATTTTCCAAAAACAGTTTGATAATTTATTATCTTTCATCTGAACTAACAGACTTATATTTTTGCTTTTTAGATTGTTAAAGGCTCAAGCTTATCATATTATTTAAAAGAAGTCAAATAATAAGATTTAATGATTATGTATTTAATGAAATTTCTTTTAGTCAAATAAACACATTTCTTAAGTAATTTTTAAATTTATTCAAGTAAGTATTAACCTGAAGAATACTTTATTCTCTTAATTACTCTATTCTTGTGAAAAGAATGATTTAAAATTTCAAAAAATATTAAAAGGATTATTGAATATGTATCAATAGATGAAAAATGAGGATAATCAAGTTCATTATAATAAAAATAATCATAAGCTCAAGTTTCAATTAATAAAAAATTACTTGTTGAGCACACTTAAATAAAATATTATAACTAATTTGTTTATTATAATATATATATAAGATGAATTTATATCTATTCATCTTCTGAAATGTGTCTATAGAGTATTAAATTTCAAAATTTAAAGATTTTTGTCTTTCTTTATTTTCTCAGTTAGAATTCACTATACTCATTTTTTTTAACAAAAAGTGGCATTTAAAGCAATATAGAAATTATATTTAAATATATTAAACAAATATTAATTGCTTAAAAAACAGTAACAGCATATTAAGGGTAATAATCAAGCAAAAACCAAGAGATAAACTTAGATCCTCGAAAATCAGAGAAATAATTTAGGAAATATTACAATAAAATTGAAGATTTGGTCATATTAGGATGTAACGAATCAATTAAATCATATTGCTGAAAATATCACAAATAATAATTTACTTTGTTTTAATTGGTTAATAAAGTGGCAATTATGGGATTATCTATTAATTAGGTAAAGAGTAAGATTTGGATCAAAATACTTTTGGGATTATGATACCGATATGTATAATATGCCTTTTTTACATTAATAATTTAAACAAAAAATGACATAAAATGATTTTATTTAGGAAAACAGAGAAGAACCTGTTTAATTTTATAAATTAACCCAAAATTCAGCTTGATAGTTGTAAATAATTGGTGACTAAATTGAAAAGTTTAAAATATAAAAAGTTACTATAAGTTACATCAATAATTTAATGGCTAGCATAACAAATACTGATTGTTTCAAAAGAAATATGAAAGAATGAACTTTCGAATTGAACAGGAATAAAACTCTTTAGCTAAGCAAATATCTAAGCATCGTAAATTGTAAAATAAACAATTTATATTAGAGTATGTATTTTATCTTAACAAAGTAGTATAATGATCAAATTTTTCATTTTACATAACTTTCCAACTCTTCTTTGGCAAAACTAATGTTCTCTTCGATTTTTTTATTTTTTAAGATCAATATATCAATCTGTTCTTTAATTTTTTATATTTTATCTTCCTTTTTAGCTAATCTCATTTCTAAATCCTCCTGGACTTTATTTTATTCTTCAACATATCGAGTAAACTCTTTTTGTTAAACTTCATACTTAATATAATATTTATAAAATACATCCATTTATGTAACTTTAATTTATTTTCTCAAATAATCGATTTCGTCTTACAATATTTTTAGATCACCATCCTAAAAGCTAATGTCACCTTCTTTAATTTTTTATTTCATAGAGTCAATTTTATTTTTAATTGATAGCATTTTCACTTCTTTATTTACATTATTAGAGTAAACTTTCTCATATTAAGCAGACACAGGTAAGTAATCATTCAAAGCCTTTTCATAATCTTCTTTCATTTTTTTAACACAATTTTCACAAAACCCACTTAAAAATAATATATTTAATTACTTAAACTTAGCCACATCTCCACATTAACACACAGTTTTGTAAAGTTCCCTTACTTTATCCATTCCATTTGGCAATTATTTAATCTTAAAGGATGCTTATGTTGAATCGGAGTCAAAGGTTTCTTCTTCATTCGCAATGTCCTAAACTTTGACATAAGTTTCTTCCTTTTATGATATTACTTTTCTATTTCTCACTATCTTTGTTGTTAATTTTGCATTCTCTGTTTATAATCTTGTAATTTCCTTTCTAACACTTTCTAAATCTGTCATAATTATTAAAAATATAAAAATTAGAACCTAAATTATAGCACATAAAAAATCAATGTTTTTAGATTGTTATGTTAATTTAACAAGATGAAGAATTATAAAGAATTGCACGTTTTTAATGTTTTTTATCCTCTACCCAGATATCTTAAATAAATAGGAATGGAAAATTCTTAAATTTAATTTTTTTGTCTTAAGGTTATTGGAGCTATCAGCATTTTTAGAGGACTTTTTTCTCATAAAAATTTTGTATTTACAACAATCAAAATTAAGATAATATAAGAAAAAAAATTTGAAAATACCTACTAAACACTAAAATATTGAAATAGTTTGAGTAGAATAACATATAGAATGAGTGGAAAAAATTAAAAGTTCCAAAATCATCGGGGACATATATTGTGGCTTAATGATAAACTGTAATAGTTTTAAATTAGATATTCATTTTCTATTGGATTTCGAAAAAATATGATTAATTATGCCCAAAAATATGTCTGTTTAATGTTTCTTGTATCATTTTGAGATCGATGATATCCTAGTTATCCTTTTGAATTATTACTATATTATATCTTTGGTCTAAAAATGAAATTAAGAACATTATGGGAAACAATAGAAATAAGTGATATTAGGAGCATTTTAGATGGATGCGATTTTGAGACTTTAAATTGTTTCAAAAGTTGAGGATTTAGAATTGAATAATTAATATAGAATATTAGCCATCAATAATATATTAATAAAAAAAGAGAAAGAATTAATTAAAATATAAAATTGATTTCATAACCCATAGTAAATAATTAATTAATTAATTTGCTCATTGATGAGCATCATCTCTACTTCTATAGGTTTGAGTTCTAATCTAAGTTTGTCAGTGACATCCTTGAAGATACTAACCAGTTATTATATATCAATATTTTTCGGTAATTAAAGAACTATTTTGTTGGTCATCTGCATTCCTTTTGTCAAAAGATCTTCTAAAGAAGGTTTCATACTATTAAGATCATATGGTTAATGTGAATAGTTCAATCCACCCCTAAATTTAATGGAGATAATACCAAGGTGGACACATTATGAGAATGAAATCTTAATTGGTATGAGTGTACTCGAGAAAATTCATTTAAATAACAGTTGCTATGGACTCATACACTAACAAATTATTTGTAATGTTATTGATTTTTCTAAGTTTATATAATGTTTAATATTACATGGGATCAATATCTATACAAATAACTGATTTAAAACATTTCGCCAATTGAATAGCTAGACCTCCAGAACCACAAAACCCATCTATTACATCAGAATCTGGAGAACTGATTTTTAATTTATTTGCAATATGGATGCTCATCTCCTTAATTCATTAAACAAATCTCTACCTCTGGTATCACAGAATACCAAGATTCCTCATCTAATTATATGCCCTCATTGAATTTTTTAAAGAGAAAGAAGCGCTTGCGATAGAACTTTTAAATCTATTTTGGTATGTCTATTGATATTCCTGGATGTAATTAGCAAGTGAAGTTCTTTTTTGTGATCTGCAGCTTCAAACTATCCAGAGCAAAGAACTCATTCTAAGGATATCCCAAAATAGATAATTTGCGATGCACTAGTTTCTAAGTCTCAATCATTTTATTATTATATATCATTTTATAATAATTGCACCCCCTAGAATATTATTTTAACTAAAATTTTTCTACACTTGTCATTTTCTACAAAAACAGTGGATCTTTAAAGTTTGGATCCCAAGCAAGGAACCCATCTGCCAACCTCCATTATTGATATACAACAACCATTAATATTTATAATAAAAATATAATACAGAATCTTACATTTTCTTTAAGATTTGAAGTCTATAGTACTTATTGTAAACCATAATTAGAAAGCCATACTAATATCAAGTTTCTCTGGTGAATTCAAAAGAAAACTTAATTGAATAATTTACAATAATCAAACTTATTATGGATTTATTATACTAAATTAAAATATATGGATGATCATGGATTCTAGAAAGCTCTTTTATCTCTTAATTAAAATCAAATATGTTTTTGAATTTTGATGTTTCAGTTGGAGTTTGATGAATTTCTGTATTATCATTATTAAAGAGAAGATTTAACTTAGGAATACTAGTTATGCTACATATTTTAATACAATCATTAATTTTTGTTTACGTTTATTTAAACTCTATTTTTAGAAAGATTTATAAAATTACAACCTTTAAATTATTAGAATACCAGATCATAATTGTCTATTTATTTACCAATAATAAGATAAGGAATTAGTATAGTAGATTATCTACTATATCAATGAATATCTCGACTTTATTATAATTATTACCTTTCTATAAGTTTAAAAGAAAAGCCAATCAACCTAGATATTACAGAAAATAAAAATCCTGAATTATATGATTAACAACTCTATAAATATCATTTTTATAAATTATATTGTATCATGAAAGAATAGAGCAAACAAATAAACATATTTACAACACAAATGATAATAAACAGAAATGAACAATCATATAATTTTTACTAAAAAATAATAATTTTTGATTTATGTGGTTTTTTCAACAATTGATAATAAATTTCAATAAGATTAGAAAATTTTATTAATATCATTTATGACCTCTTACTTTGACAACTTTTTCCATAACTAAACTGGCAAATCTTACTAATCCTTTTACATAATAAACAGAAAGATCATTAATGTAATTGCATTCTAATAGGGTTTATTAAATTTCTTTGATTTTATGAAATGGTAGCACTTAGCCCATTGTGTTGTTACATTATCTTTAAACGCTATTATGCAAACTATTGTTGCCGCTGCCATGTAAACTTCCATGCACACTATTTCTAATACTTGACATCTTTCTTTTTAATTACGACTATCTCATTTGTGATCTTGGTCTGCATAATACCTCTTGTTTAATTTAATTTCTAAATTTGTTTAATTCAAAAAACATGTCCATTTAATAATTATAAATATAAATTATTTCTGTTAATTTTAATTAATTGGTAAAAATGGAAAATTAGATATTTCAGTATTTCTTTTAAATTCTAGGTAATTATTGATGTTCTTCAATAATTTTCATTAAGGTTGTAGGCCTTTCAGCACTTGGTTGCATGGATAAATCTTTTTTCAAAGCTTAATGTTGTGACCTTTTGAGATAACTACTAGAGTTTCTTTCCTTTGAGGAATTTTTTCTTAAATATACTCCTCATCCTATTGTTATATGCCGCTAATTATCGGTAGCTTTTAAGAATAATACTATTTATTAAGAGATTAGATAACATCTTTTGCATAATAGTTTGAGTTGATTTCTATTTAATGGTCTAGTCTATCCTTAGAAGGACATTTAATAGAGATTCTAGTTAATAATTTACGATTATTAATTGGGATCATATCTCTCGTTTTTTTCATGGGTAGAATTGGATACTCTTAATCTCCGGTCAATAGGTTGGATATTTTCTGAGATCCCTATTTTGAAATAGATCTATTAAAATTTTGACATTTGAAGTTTTCTCAACTTCCTTTTAGTCCAGTTGAGTAATTTGTTTCATCAATTGATTGAAAGCTTCATTAGGTTGATTTACAGATATGGAATCATTAGTATCCTAAGATCTTATTCTATTAGATCAATCTTTTTTTTTAATATGATTGGAATTGTGTTAATTCAAATAATTGCTCCCAGGCAATTACAATTTAGATTTATGAGTTCCGATTTATTTTTTTTATAAGCCTTTTCTGGAAATAGGCCATTTGATGGTCTTTAACAAATCATCCTCGATTTCATCATTTATCTAAGGAATGCCATATAGTTTGGCTTTCTTCTAAATGAAAGAGAATTATAGCAATTTTTCTATATTATCACTTCATGAGTACCACAATCAGGACGATTTGAAGGTTGAACTTGTATCATACTTTTGATTAGTTACACTAATTCTTAGGAATAGCTTACAGGGATTGGTTAATATTGTTCTTTAAGAACAGATTTATATAGACCATCCATATCTTTAGCTCTAAAGGGTCTAATTATAGAATGTGGGAATAAGAATTCGGTNAACTGGCAAATCTTACTAATCCTTTTACATAATAAACAGAAAGATCATTAATGTAATTGCATTCTAATAGGGTTTATTAAATTTCTTTGATTTTATGAAATGGTAGCACTTAGCCCATTGTGTTGTTACATTATCTTTAAACGCTATTATGCAAACTATTGTTGCCGCTGCCATGTAAACTTCCATGCACACTATTTCTAATACTTGACATCTTTCTTTTTAATTACGACTATCTCATTTGTGATCTTGGTCTGCATAATACCTCTTGTTTAATTTAATTTCTAAATTTGTTTAATTCAAAAAACATGTCCATTTAATAATTATAAATATAAATTATTTCTGTTAATTTTAATTAATTGGTAAAAATGGAAAATTAGATATTTCAGTATTTCTTTTAAATTCTAGGTAATTATTGATGTTCTTCAATAATTTTCATTAAGGTTGTAGGCCTTTCAGCACTTGGTTGCATGGATAAATCTTTTTTCAAAGCTTAATGTTGTGACCTTTTGAGATAACTACTAGAGTTTCTTTCCTTTGAGGAATTTTTTCTTAAATATACTCCTCATCCTATTGTTATATGCCGCTAATTATCGGTAGCTTTTAAGAATAATACTATTTATTAAGAGATTAGATAACATCTTTTGCATAATAGTTTGAGTTGATTTCTATTTAATGGTCTAGTCTATCCTTAGAAGGACATTTAATAGAGATTCTAGTTAATAATTTACGATTATTAATTGGGATCATATCTCTCGTTTTTTTCATGGGTAGAATTGGATACTCTTAATCTCCGGTCAATAGGTTGGATATTTTCTGAGATCCCTATTTTGAAATAGATCTATTAAAATTTTGACATTTGAAGTTTTCTCAACTTCCTTTTAGTCCAGTTGAGTAATTTGTTTCATCAATTGATTGAAAGCTTCATTAGGTTGATTTACAGATATGGAATCATTAGTATCCTAAGATCTTATTCTATTAGATCAATCTTTTTTTTTAATATGATTGGAATTGTGTTAATTCAAATAATTGCTCCCAGGCAATTACAATTTAGATTTATGAGTTCCGATTTATTTTTTTTATAAGCCTTTTCTGGAAATAGGCCATTTGATGGTCTTTAACAAATCATCCTCGATTTCATCATTTATCTAAGGAATGCCATATAGTTTGGCTTTCTTCTAAATGAAAGAGAATTATAGCAATTTTTCTATATTATCACTTCATGAGTACCACAATCAGGACGATTTGAAGGTTGAACTTGTATCATACTTTTGATTAGTTACACTAATTCTTAGGAATAGCTTACAGGGATTGGTTAATATTGTTCTTTAAGAACAGATTTATATAGACCATCCATATCTTTAGCTCTAAAGGGTCTAATTATAGAATGTGGGAATAAGAATTCGGTTTCAAGGCACACATTTCATTTACGACACATCCTAATGACCGGAGATCTGCCTTATGATCGTAAGGTTTGTCTTACCAAACCTCTGGACTGGCATAATATGGAGTACCAGTTTATGTATAAACAAGTCCATTCTTAGCCATTTTAGATACATTAAAATCTCCTAGTTCTACATGTCCATTTTCATATAAGAAGATATTTGCACACTTCAAATCTCTATGCAATATTTTTTTATGATGCAAAGCTCTAAAACCTTATAACACCTACATTCCCACTTACCATATCTCCAACTCCGGTATCATCTATTTTATTTTCACATATCTTTAAATCTTTTATAACAGATCTCCTCCCTCAGTGTACTCCATAATTATACTTTATTACAACAACTGCCATACCATAAATTGTTATCCTCAATAAAGCATTCTTTATATGAAACTACATTCTCATGATGAATAGATGCTATAAAACGAACACTGATGAATAAGCTCCAGAACCTATAAGATCAAGAATACATTATTACCTAATTTGTTTAGGATCTCAAAATTTTATAGTTTACTTTCCATTAATTATATTAAATTATCAATAAATTCTTATAATCAAAAAACCAATTATCATTTTTATTTCATCTCTCCTTTGTTCATAACCTTATTCATTTAAAAGATCATATTTTAACTAATAATATTAAATTTGTTATTAAATTTTAATGAATCAGAAAATTGTGATGAGAAATGAAGACCAGGAAGTTGAAGTCTCTGGAACAGAATAAGTATCTTGTTTTATTAAAATCTAGCCAGTTGAAATATAATAGGAGACCATCAAATTAAATGAAGTACACATTGACTTAATTGTCAAAGAATTCGATGTTGATAGATTCTAAGCCACAAGATGGCTCAAAAAGAATGACGGAGATTTGCAAAAGACTATCAAGTGGATAATTAGCATTTGAATTATACCTTTAAATAATGAAAATGAATGCAAAATTTATATCTAAAATTCAATACATTCTTAGTTCAAAGTATTAATTCTAATTGATTAATATTGATATCATCATCTATTTCAATTACTATCTAATCATAAAATGTCAAAATTTGGAAATACTTCATGATGTGTAAGTATATCAAAGAAATTCTGATTATATAATTAAGACTAAATAAACTAATCTTGATTATAAAAATTATTAAAGAAGACTGTTACTTAAATGTGAATGATAATATATTATCATTAATGTTTGATCATACAAAGAATTTTTTTCTGAGACCATTCGAGGAGAATTCTTTCATTATTATTTACTTGTTTGAGAAATTCTATGCAAATGTAAAATCTAGACCTCTATTTTACCCTTCAGATGTTTCCACTCTTGGCTTAAGTTTATTTTCATTTCGAGGATTTTATTAAGAGAATAATTATTGCTTTGCATCTTTAATAATTTATAACACCCTTTAAGGTCTGATTCTAATAGCTTCACTTTCTACTCTATGCAATTCAATCATGGATGTCTTTCGAGTCATTTATTTTTGTGGTTTATTTATTGGGGATAATTCAGGACTGTAGGTTATTTGTGAACTCACTGTTGGTGTGATGATATTCTTGATTTATTATTAGGAGGGCTATTTCTAGGATTTTCGCATTTATTAAATAATTAATGATCAAATCTATTCTTATCATAATCTGCTTTGCTCTTATATTTCAGTACCTGAAAACTTGGTAGAAATTTCATTCAATAAATTTGCCACCTTAGATTACGCAGGATATATAAGTTACTATGTTTGACAATATACTTTTGAACTGATTCACCCAAAAATAATTAACTAAAACTTAATTTGAAAGAAATCTCAAAAAGCAATAGGAATGAAGAATCAATCGAAATTGACAATTCAGTCTAGGTAACTGTAGTTCTGAATGAAAGCCAATCATAAGTTAATTTGTAAGATGTAATTGTAAATGAAACTCATTGCATTCTGAACTGATAAATAGGATATTGATATAATCAAAGCTGAAAAAATCCGAAATTGTAATAATGCTACATTAAATGAAGATCAGAAAGTTGAAAATGATTTGATTTATATTCAATTCAACCGAAATAATTATTAGCAGAATAGAATCGATATTAAGGTCAATCAAAGCATATTAATAAATATTGTAAATAGGAGGAAGTCTTAATAAATATAGTTGAAGTAGAACAAGGAGAAATATCATTTTATTTAAAAGTATAAATTAAGAATATTATAAATATCAAAAAGAATAAACCATTAAGTAAGAATAGAATGAAAATATTGATCACTATATGAATAATGTGTATTGCCACACAATCTAAAAGGAATATGTTGAGCGATATGAACATTATATTAAGATCACTTACATAAATATTAATATGACAATGAATCAATCTAAATGAAGATGTGCAAGACGGATGGAAAGTTTAACTAAACTGTATTCCTCATAAGAAATTTCTTCAAAAAATTATTCAATTTTAGCAACAATTGGCAATATTATTTGAAAGATACCTTTTATTTGAAAATAAGCTTAAGTTAATTATGGGTTTGCAATAGTTACGAATAATTTAGATATTTCATTGTATTAATGATACACGATTTAATTGAAGTGAGGAATCAGAAATAAAGAAATTAAAACATAATATATTAGAACAATTTTATTTGGAGCGATCTAGAGGATATATATATTTTGATATTTAGAAAACAGTAGATCGGTATTTGGTATTCTTCGAACTACAATATTCACATCTGTGGATATTTGGTATGAGGATATGTTGAGAATTCTTATTAATATAATCTAGGATTGCAATCGCATAAACTTTTCAATAAGAACTATTAGGTGTGACTCAATAAAAATATGTTGTTTTAGTTAATATCTTCCTGAATAAAAATAATCATTCTCATATCATTCTCATATCGACCAAAATTAGAACGACTGATGATCAATCTCCTCTTCATTGCAACTCGATAATATCTAAAGAATGTCACAGGATAATTGTATTAATTTGTAGTTTACAAGTATCAAAAGGTAAATGTTTCATTCATTCCATATTTAATTAAACTTAATGTTTTAAGTCTGAGCATAATATTGATGAAGTATCAATATTAAATTAATATTGGATGGCCTTGAATCCCTCTATCGTGAGAGATTAATTGAGTACTTCAAATGTTTGACGATAATTTAGTTATTGCAATTAGCTGTTTATTTATATTATATATAATATTATATATACATTACTTAGACTAATAATTGAATTAATTAAAAACATAGATCGCTATAATTGAGAATTATGGGATCTATATTAACTTAGTTTTAGGTCATAGTCCAATGATCTGGCTTTCTTCGATTAAAAAATATATTATACACTTCAACATCTTCTTTTTGATTAAGCTTTCTAACTGGATTCAAATAATAAAAATATTCTATATTAAATTATAATTATAATGTAATCAATAATAGATAGCAATGAAAGGAATGAGCCTCAATCAAGTCTATTTTTCTCTTTACGTCATGATCAAGAGTAGAGTAATAGCTTTCGCAGTTTAGATGATGATCCAAAGGAAAATAGGGATGCAACTTCAATTAATGTAGAAATGCAGATTGTCAATAATTACGAATCTTAAGATTCTCCCATCTCCACTCAACAAACCTAAGAGGCATAATAATCACTTATCTAGTTAAGGCTATTAGGGAGAGAAGTTAAAGAAGTGAAACCCTCTTNTATGAATAATGTGTATTGCCACACAATCTAAAAGGAATATGTTGAGCGATATGAACATTATATTAAGATCACTTACATAAATATTAATATGACAATGAATCAATCTAAATGAAGATGTGCAAGACGGATGGAAAGTTTAACTAAACTGTATTCCTCATAAGAAATTTCTTCAAAAAATTATTCAATTTTAGCAACAATTGGCAATATTATTTGAAAGATACCTTTTATTTGAAAATAAGCTTAAGTTAATTATGGGTTTGCAATAGTTACGAATAATTTAGATATTTCATTGTATTAATGATACACGATTTAATTGAAGTGAGGAATCAGAAATAAAGAAATTAAAACATAATATATTAGAACAATTTTATTTGGAGCGATCTAGAGGATATATATATTTTGATATTTAGAAAACAGTAGATCGGTATTTGGTATTCTTCGAACTACAATATTCACATCTGTGGATATTTGGTATGAGGATATGTTGAGAATTCTTATTAATATAATCTAGGATTGCAATCGCATAAACTTTTCAATAAGAACTATTAGGTGTGACTCAATAAAAATATGTTGTTTTAGTTAATATCTTCCTGAATAAAAATAATCATTCTCATATCATTCTCATATCGACCAAAATTAGAACGACTGATGATCAATCTCCTCTTCATTGCAACTCGATAATATCTAAAGAATGTCACAGGATAATTGTATTAATTTGTAGTTTACAAGTATCAAAAGGTAAATGTTTCATTCATTCCATATTTAATTAAACTTAATGTTTTAAGTCTGAGCATAATATTGATGAAGTATCAATATTAAATTAATATTGGATGGCCTTGAATCCCTCTATCGTGAGAGATTAATTGAGTACTTCAAATGTTTGACGATAATTTAGTTATTGCAATTAGCTGTTTATTTATATTATATATAATATTATATATACATTACTTAGACTAATAATTGAATTAATTAAAAACATAGATCGCTATAATTGAGAATTATGGGATCTATATTAACTTAGTTTTAGGTCATAGTCCAATGATCTGGCTTTCTTCGATTAAAAAATATATTATACACTTCAACATCTTCTTTTTGATTAAGCTTTCTAACTGGATTCAAATAATAAAAATATTCTATATTAAATTATAATTATAATGTAATCAATAATAGATAGCAATGAAAGGAATGAGCCTCAATCAAGTCTATTTTTCTCTTTACGTCATGATCAAGAGTAGAGTAATAGCTTTCGCAGTTTAGATGATGATCCAAAGGAAAATAGGGATGCAACTTCAATTAATGTAGAAATGCAGATTGTCAATAATTACGAATCTTAAGATTCTCCCATCTCCACTCAACAAACCTAAGAGGCATAATAATCACTTATCTAGTTAAGGCTATTAGGGAGAGAAGTTAAAGAAGTGAAACCCTCTTTTAAAAAAGAAATTGTTCCTATCAATATAACATTTTTGTATTTGGAGTACATAACAAATAATCCTGGGATGAAGATCTGGTTATTATCAAATATCATGTTGGATATATGCTTAAGGTTGCTGATATTAGTGTTTTTTTGTATAGGAACAGTGGATGAGAACAAGATAATAGATCCTTATTAAGATAGCAAAGTTACAGCCTATTTTGTGATTTTCATCTAGATTCCTCGGATATTGCATTTACTTACAACTTCTAAGTTGATTTTCATGGATAAATACAACCTTTAAAATAGATCCTATCTTCCAATGAGCTATGTCTTTAGAGCTAATTTCATTTAAGAGATTTGTCCTGAATAAGAAGATCTTAAACCAATCAATTATAAGGATAATATTCTCTCTCTCAGAACAATTATGTTTATCCTATTACCAATTGAACTCTAATGGATACCTATGTACCCTTTTAGAAATAGAAATAATTCAGAAAATACCATCATCATTAGTAGTTACATCCTAAAAAGCATTGAAGTCATGGTTTTTGAGCCGATCCTACTCATTTTAATTTCTTTCAAAGCTGAAAAGCTTTAACTCTATACTAGATTGCTCTTTGGACTAATACTTCTTGATATTATCAAATTTGTAATACTGAATTTGTGTTTAATTATCTTCAGCAATGTAGGAAAAAATTCTAAAGTTAAAATATGATAATTTATTCTACTTTCTTTATTTATATTACATAATTTATAATAATAAGACTATTATACCAATTGTAAATAATATGATATTCTAATTCATTTAAAATAGATCTACTTATGGCATCAAATTTATATTATTTAACAATGTTCTACTCATGTACATATCAATCCCAATGTGTCTAATTTTGGTTTGCGAATCAAGAGTAAATTCAACTTAAGTATAACTGAGATCATACATAAACCACTTTAGTCATTTCATATTAAAATTCATTAAGTGGCATCTCTATAATTAAGAAAGAATTAGATTTTATCTATTATTATGTAATAGCAATAATTCTATGGAGGTAAACCAAATAGAATGAACTTCTCAAATATTATCAGAATTATAATAATTTAATGAGATTAATTTAACAATCCATTGTAAAATTAAATTAATTTATTGATAATTTTATTAATCCTCAAAGATCAGAAAAACATTTTATATTTTTTAAATGAATCTAATACATCCAAAATTGTTCAATCTCATGAATATTTTTTAGTCTTCTTAAATTATGTAATAATATTATTTATTTCGATAAGTTTTATTTCTTGTAATTTAAAGTATTATTATTCACCTATTTATTGATAATTAAATTTATTTTTATAATGCAAAGCCATGGAATTGAGTTCCTATTTATTAAAGGCAATACGAAATGTGCAGATTCCACTTAATTGCAATCCGTAAGATAATATCATCCTAAATTAAACTCACTCCGTATGAAAGGATTTTTATAATTCTTTGATCTCATGAATAAATAATAATAAGATCAACAATTAATGAAAACATGCTCTCAATGCACTCCCCAATTATTACCAACTGTAGTTTCTTATCCCCCGAGAATTGAAATACATAATAGAAAATCCAGTGAAACTAAATTAATAATTAAGAGAAACCTATTCGAAACCCTTCCAGATTCAAATTCATAAGAGAAATATAAAAAGGAGTTAAGAGTTATCCCTTAGAAGTAATTTTAAGTAAAAAAAGCAGTGACAAACAAAAATGAGGTAAATAAAGAAAATTAAGAAATTAATGATTTACCGATTATGATAGCATTCACAAACAATATTAATGTTGTACCTCCAGAGAGAACCTTTTATAAAGCATTTATTACAAAAGGAAACAATGGGACTTTAATTAGATAATGTTTAAAATTGAGATCATGGTGGATATTGATAGATCAACCTTGTGAAGATTTAAATTTGTATTGGACACAATTAAGAAAATAATAAGAATATGATTCAGTAAAACAATTTTAATTGGAAAATGTTTAATATACGAAATAATAAAAAAAGTCTATCAATGATAAGATAAAATTTAATATTGAAGAATCAGAATTTAAACTGTTTAATTAAAGTTCTATTCTCAGAGTGCATAACCATTTAGAATGCAACTTCTAGGTTTGTAATAAAAAGGCATTGTTTTACAATATGAAAAATTATTATCTTTCTATTAATGAAGATCCATTTTAATATATTCCATTAACTTATCATGTTAAAACAGGCTTAAATGATCCAGCCTTTATAGATTTTGAAAACTTCGCAAAATCAAATAATAGTAATCTTTGGATAATCAAGCCAGGAGAATCGTCAAATCGAGGAAATGGCATTTAGGTAGCCAATTCTATAGCTAAAGTTAAATAAATAATCTCTCAACAAAACCTTCATTTAAGCAATTCTAAAAAGACATTTATTATTTAAAAATATCTAGAAAAACCATTGTTATATAATAAGAGAAAATTTGATATTCGATGTTATATGCTTATGACAAGTGTAAATAATACATTTAAAGCTTATTGGTATTAAGAAGGATACATAAGGACAAGTTGTAAGGAATTCAATCTGGATGATGTTGATGATAAGTTTACTCATCTTACTAATGATGCAGTTTAAAAGAAGAACCAAAATTATGGGAAATTTGAAACAGGAAACAAAGTAATTCTATTATCTATTTGCTTAGATTTCTTATAATGAATTTCAAAAGTACTTAAATGATCAACATAATTATAACTTCTAAATAATACTTGATCAATTAAAAAAACTCAGCATAGACATCGTGAAGGCAACTTATTAACACTTAAATCCTAATCAGCTTTTCTATTCTTTTGAATTATTCGGATTAGACTATATGATTGATTCAGATATGAAACCATGGTTGATTGAAGTCAACACAAATCCTTGTTTAGAAACCTGTTGTCCATTGCTAGCTCGTCTTATAACTCATTTAATCGAGAATACAGTAAGAGTTGCTATAGATCCTATGTATCCTCCACCACTTAGTAAGAAGAAGCACCTGGCAGAATCAAAAAATTTAATGGAATTAGTATTCTCGAGTACATTGATAAATGAAAGAACTTCTTAACCTATAATTAGAGAAGATGATGAAGAACACTCGGATGTTGATGAAGATAATTGATGATTATATTAAAACTTAATAGTATTTTAATATTAGCTCTATTTTACTATTGTAAGATTATATATTATTTAAAACAGGATAAAGATGGTTAAAGGTATAATTATTTTTTCATAAGTAAGAATATGTAGTTTTGGTTATATGGTGTTTCTACATTGCAATTGCCACTGTTTATTCAATAAGTAATAACCATTGATTATTATATTCAGTTTATTTGAGTACAACCAGATTTAATGGGACAATTGAATTTCCTTTGCTTAGTTGGTCAATCGACTTTCTAGATCCTGAATGGAGAGTACTTTATCGTTATGTATAGGCACTGTTAATTTACTTGCTGTGTTATTTCTGTAAATATCATAAATAATGAAAGTCTTAAGACATTTGTTTCGGAAATAAAGGATGCCATTTTATATTTTTTCAGGAATAATATTTGGAGGGTACTTAAGTAGATTTGGATTTGCTATCAATCTCATCTTAATATTTGCTAATTTCATATTTGTAAAGTTATGCAAGTAATCAGCTTAATTTCTAAAATTACATTGGATTTTGCATTTGATCATTATCTACCTAATAAATATATTAAATGGTTTGAATAATATATGGGGTGACAGTGGAAAAGAATTCAATCAAGCTGCCCCAATCCCTTGGCAGCACATATATGTTTGGAATCTGCTTCGGATGACAAGTTATAATGTGGAAGTATAGGAAATTAAGTTAATAGAATATCTGGCTTATCTTCTTTATCCACCTCTCTACTACTCAGGACCACTGATTTAATTCACTGATTGGTAAACCCAGATTCGGATGAATTTATCAGTTATCAAAAAACATAAATATATCATAAGTGGTGTGATTCTGTTGGCACTTCAAATTCTAACATAATGTTATGCAGTAGCAAATCACAAAGGGAATGAATGGCTATGGAAAAAATAAATAACAACACTTTCTGGCATTTCCTTCTTTGTAACATCAGCAATTCAAATCTATTTTAAATTTATATTTTTGTGGGCTTTATAGGAATGTTGGGCAAGTTATGATGATGTAGATATTTAAACAAATAATCCAAAAAATATGTTTTTGATCAATTCAGCATAATCATTTGAGAAATGCTTTTGTGCTACTTACAAAAATTTTATAACTAAATATGTTAAAGATGTTTTTTCATAGAATATTTATTTGAATTTGCTACTTATTTATAGTATAACCATAATACTTGTGAATTCTGATACTAAAACTATTTGGTTTTATGTGACTTTATTCTTGTTTCACTTATTTGAAGATAAAATTTAAATTTAAAATAAATTATTTGCCATCACAATACGATCTATCTAATAATGTGTAATCTTATTAGAAATAATAACGATGTACACGTCAGATATCGATATAATATGGATCTATGTTAAACAAAAAAATTTATGTATCAATTTAATGAATATAAAAAGACTGGATTCCATTAATCTTTGGAACATGCTTATTAACATAGATATATCTTTCAATAACAAAATAAATTTCATGATAATTATTCAAACTGTTTATATTTTATTATTTAAACACTATTTCAAACTCTCAACTTTCTTTTATTTAGCTTCAAAAGAAATATTATTTAGACTATTGCATTTTTAATTTGATTATGATAGCATTTTTATCAACTTTCTATCATGATTGTCAAATTAATAGACGCTATACAAAATATCAAGACAAAATATGCAATAGATTTGCATTTCTATATAGTTTAAATCATTTCTATAAATTTCTTATATATATGTATTCATAATCTTTATCTATTTTAGTTTAAAATACATGGGATTTAAAACGTCGACTATAAGTGATTATAACATTTCTTGTATTTTTCAGTATATTTGGCATATATTATAATGTGTCTATATCTAGTCTATTTATATACATTGATATTTTTAAGATCTTTAACTTATTTTCAAATCATTTTAGAAGAGCTTGGAATTATTTCCTATGTATTTTGATTAGATCTTGGATTCTATGAATTGATTAGTATTAATAATTAGTAATTTCTCTAAATTTAACAGGATATTTTATTCTAATTTATTGAAACATTGTTATTAATCAGTTCTGAAACTTTTCACTAAGGAAAATAACAATCAGAAGCAGGAAAAACCAAATTAGAAATTTATCAAAACTTATCTTATAAATAAAAATATATTGTAATAGATGGGTCCTTGTTCATCTCAATAAAGAAAACCTGGCAAATACTTAGATGGAGGGTAAAAGCCTGGACCTAATGCAAAACCCGATGAGTTTAAAGTTGGACCAGACATATTTATAACACTGAAATAGGGTTCCATTAGTAATTTTTATAAAATTGAGAAAAGTCTTGGAAGCGGTATTAGACTAAAAATAAAATTTTAGGAGCATTCGGAGAAGTACGATTAGTTATTCATAAGAGTTCAGGATGTAGAAGGGCAATGAAACAAATAAGGAAAGATAAAATTATTAAGGATGATGAGGAAAGTATGTTCTCTGAAGTCAATACACTGAAGGAGTTAGATCATCCTAATATTGTTAAACTTCATGAGCTATTTTAGGATTAAAAGAATTATTATCTTATTACAGAGTATTAGTGGTTATAATATTAGATTTTTAGAAGGAGGAGAATTATTTGAAAAGATTACAGAAATGAAATTTTTTACAGAGAAAATGGCTGCTGATATTATGAAGCAAATATTAGGTGGAGTTGTCCATTGTCATGAGAAAAAAATAGTTCATAGAGATTTAAAACCAGAAAATATACTTTTCGAAAACAAGAAACCAAACTCAAATTTGAAAATCATTGATTTTGGAACATCCAAAAAGGTTGAAAACAATCAAAATTTAACTAAAAGATTAGGAACTGTATTATTAAATTATATAACTTTACATTAGCCATATTATATTGCTCCAGAAGTTTTGAAAAGAAATTATAATGAAAAATGTGATGTATGGAGTTGTGGTGTTATATTATATATAATGTTATGTGGTTATCCACCTTTTGGAGGACCCGATTAAGAGATTTTATAAAATATAGAAATAGGAAAATATGAATTTGATCGTAATTATTGTTAAATTATATGGATAGCCGAGGATTGGTGCAAAATTTCAGATGAAGCAAAAAATTTGATTAAAAAAATGCTTACTAAAGATTACACTTTGAGAATCTCAGCTTAAGAAGCTTTCAATGATCCATGGATTTAAAAGAATGCTCCTAATGCTCCTATAGACTTCAAGGCAATAAATAATTTGNTATCTAGTCTATTTATATACATTGATATTTTTAAGATCTTTAACTTATTTTCAAATCATTTTAGAAGAGCTTGGAATTATTTCCTATGTATTTTGATTAGATCTTGGATTCTATGAATTGATTAGTATTAATAATTAGTAATTTCTCTAAATTTAACAGGATATTTTATTCTAATTTATTGAAACATTGTTATTAATCAGTTCTGAAACTTTTCACTAAGGAAAATAACAATCAGAAGCAGGAAAAACCAAATTAGAAATTTATCAAAACTTATCTTATAAATAAAAATATATTGTAATAGATGGGTCCTTGTTCATCTCAATAAAGAAAACCTGGCAAATACTTAGATGGAGGGTAAAAGCCTGGACCTAATGCAAAACCCGATGAGTTTAAAGTTGGACCAGACATATTTATAACACTGAAATAGGGTTCCATTAGTAATTTTTATAAAATTGAGAAAAGTCTTGGAAGCGGTATTAGACTAAAAATAAAATTTTAGGAGCATTCGGAGAAGTACGATTAGTTATTCATAAGAGTTCAGGATGTAGAAGGGCAATGAAACAAATAAGGAAAGATAAAATTATTAAGGATGATGAGGAAAGTATGTTCTCTGAAGTCAATACACTGAAGGAGTTAGATCATCCTAATATTGTTAAACTTCATGAGCTATTTTAGGATTAAAAGAATTATTATCTTATTACAGAGTATTAGTGGTTATAATATTAGATTTTTAGAAGGAGGAGAATTATTTGAAAAGATTACAGAAATGAAATTTTTTACAGAGAAAATGGCTGCTGATATTATGAAGCAAATATTAGGTGGAGTTGTCCATTGTCATGAGAAAAAAATAGTTCATAGAGATTTAAAACCAGAAAATATACTTTTCGAAAACAAGAAACCAAACTCAAATTTGAAAATCATTGATTTTGGAACATCCAAAAAGGTTGAAAACAATCAAAATTTAACTAAAAGATTAGGAACTGTATTATTAAATTATATAACTTTACATTAGCCATATTATATTGCTCCAGAAGTTTTGAAAAGAAATTATAATGAAAAATGTGATGTATGGAGTTGTGGTGTTATATTATATATAATGTTATGTGGTTATCCACCTTTTGGAGGACCCGATTAAGAGATTTTATAAAATATAGAAATAGGAAAATATGAATTTGATCGTAATTATTGTTAAATTATATGGATAGCCGAGGATTGGTGCAAAATTTCAGATGAAGCAAAAAATTTGATTAAAAAAATGCTTACTAAAGATTACACTTTGAGAATCTCAGCTTAAGAAGCTTTCAATGATCCATGGATTTAAAAGAATGCTCCTAATGCTCCTATAGACTTCAAGGCAATAAATAATTTGTCATCATTTTTCGTATCGTTTTCATCAATTTTCTTAGGGGAAAAATAAGGTGAGAGCTGCCTTGATGCAGTTCATCTCAACCAATCTAATGACGAATGCAGAGAAGGAAGAGTTACTAAATGAATTCAAAAAAATTGATAAAGATGGAAATGGATAAATTAGTAAGGAGGAATTACTCTAAGGTAAAATAAACCTCTATTATTATAGTCTATTTGAAATAATATGATGAGATTAAAGCAAAATAAATGGTGGATGATATTTTTGACAAGGTAGATATGAATAAATCTGGATTTGTTGATTTCACTGAATTCATTACATCTGCTGCTAATGAAGAAAAATTATTAAGCAAGCAAAGGTTATAATAAGCATTCAATATATTTGACACAGTAGATTGTTATTTAATAAATTTTAGAATGGCGATGGTTAAATAAGTAAAGAAGAATTGCAAGAGATTATGGGTATGGATGACAATATTTGGAAGGAAATCTTGGAGATGTGCGATTCTAATTAAGATGGATAAATTTCTTTAGAAGAATTTTTTGAATTCTTACTCAAGAAATATCAATGAAATATGTATTTAAAATATTAAGAATAATATTTCAAATAAGAAGTTGTTTCTTGAGTTGTCAACTAAAATATTTGCTCTAAAGTATCCATATTATATGTTTTTCAGAATTGTTATTAAATATGCAAAAACAAAATAATCAATATGAAATTTTGAGCATATCAAAAAAAATAATCATTTGCATCCTATTTAAGTGTAGGATCTTCTTTCTTAATATTCAGGTTTCATAATAATCAATTACGAATTGGTTTTTCAAAAAAGTTCTCCAGTGTTATAACTTACAGATGAATTGACGTTATCGAATTGTTAACTATAAATATAATAAATGGATTGATATACTAAACTATAAATAAAAATAAGTGATTCAAAATTAAGTAGCTGAGATGTTGTTTTGATAATTTGCTTATTCAATTTTACGATAAGACCTTTGGTATTTATGTTAAATACTCGTCTATTAATATGCAATCTATTGATAATGATAAAGGATCTAATTAATTTTAGCTATAATATTCTTATTGATTATCAATGACTTATTCATTAGAACAGTATGGGTCATCTAAAAATTTGAATACTAGATCAAATACCTAAGAAATTGTTCTGCTATAAATTATATGTCTCTCCTCCCATTATAGTCTTTAAAATAGAAAAATGAATACATCATGTGCTTATCTTCTATTAGTTGCCATTTTTTTCTAATTAAATTAAAATTAGGATTAGATACGTATCAAAAATTTTTGTATGCATTTAGTAGTCTTTTTAATATTCTGTAATTTTATGTTCTAGTACCAATAAAAGCGCTAAGAGTGTTTTATTACTTTTGTTTACTAAAATTTTAGATTTTTATTTATTATTCCTCTTAAGTTGAATTTGAATTATGTTTTCGTTTATAGAATAATTTTTTTTGAATCTATAAATTTTTCAAATTAATATATTTTTATTATTTACTCTCCTTTTTTAATAAGCATGAGTATAAGATATATATTCACACCTAATTTACAACATTTTTTATCATATATAAAATATCTTTGTATTATCCTTAAATAATGTTTTAGCCTCTAATTTAAGGAGTAGTAGCCTCCTGAGTTCATTTAGTAAAATATTTTACGACATTCAAGTTATTTACAATACTAAATATATTAATTTTTAAGACCAAAAATACAACCTTCACAAAAGTATATAGATTTCCAATAATAACATATTTTGTATAAATTGACATAATTTATTGGCTTTGTTGTTGAATTTGTTAAATTACAAAAATCCCTTATTAGTGTTATTTTTATATATAATTGATTAAAAATTGGATATATACTCTATTAAAGTCCCCTTCATCAAACATTCTTACTTTTTTAGCAAAAGTAAACCTTAATTAAAGTTGTAACAAAATCACTTTTTATTTGATTAGGCATCGTTGTTAAAGAGAGAAGAAAAAAAATTTAACAGATAAATGTTATTTTTTGAAATTAATTTAATATAAATAAATTGAGTTTGTTTTTAAAAAAGAGAATTTCTTGAAATATTTGATGATTTATTAATTGATTAGTTTATTGATACTGATAAATTGTAATTTTAGAATTATAAATCATTTTCGATAAACCTTAAATTTAATGCTTTGGAAATTTTTTATTTTATATTGATATTTCTGCCTATACTTAAATGGTATTTTGGATTATATTAAGATATTAGATTATAGAATAAAAGAATACGAAAAAAATACATAAATTTAACTCAATAGTTCAATTTATTCTTAAAGAAATTAAAAAAGAAGCTATCTGAGCCTTAAATTGCGATATCTTAAAAAATAGTTGAAGATTTTTACAAAGATAAGGTAAAAATGTCAGTTCAAAGGATAATAAAATTTTCAAACTGAACAAAGTAATTAGGAGAAGTAATATCTTTATTAAATGAAAATTGTTGTGATATTAGCTATTGTATAATCATGAAATTGAAGGTATTAAATATAACTTTATTTAAGGATTTAAAAAAATTATTTTAGTGTTTTGTTTTTATTATTTGTTTCTAGAATATTTTAGTTATTATTATGGAGAATTTATCATTTGTAAAACAATAATATTAATGAATACAATTATGATACTCACTTTACTATTTTAAATCTAAGCATAATAAATTTCACATGGGATGCATTATTTGTCGGATAAATTTTATGGCAAACTTGATACAAATGTCTATTACTATTATTAAGTCAAAAATGAAAATCCAAATTATTGTGCATCCTTCAATTATTAGTGTTTCTTTTTGAACAATTTATTGTTCAATAATTATGTCGATCATACATACGATAAACTAAAACCTACACTTATGAAAAATGTAATTAATAATAATTATTTTAAAGGTTTACGAATTTGTCGAATTTTTACAACAGAACAAAAAAGCATATTTTCGGGATTCTTCAAGAAGAGAACTTGAAAAAAGTTTTGAAAAATATTATTAAATCTGAATATATCTTTATATTGAATTAATTTTAAACAAATCAAAAAATATGAAATGAATATCACTAATTAGCAGCATTCTATTATAAATAATTATTTAATAGATCTTAATTATCGTCAACTAATGCCAAATTTTCAACATTGAAAAATTTTCTTCCATGTAAAGGATAAAACATAGTCCATATTTAAGGAATATCCACCTTCCATTCTAATTGGGTAAGTGGAAAATAAAGGGTTCTTGGTCTAGTTATTTTTGGAGTATAGAATGAAGCTTCATTCCACTCTTGTATAGCTGGTATTTCATAAAAATGCAAAAAACCAAGAACTGTTGCAAAACTCAAGAGCCATAAAATATTTACAAAATGATAATAAAATGCAAAACCTATTATATTCATGAATTTCATTACTTGTCCCTTCCATATATATGAAAAATAGTATATAATAAGAAACCAAATATTTTGGTGCAAATGCTAAAGTAGATCTAGTTCTGAAGAAGAAATTACTCATTATCTCATTAAATAAAATTAATCTATTTAAATGAAAATTTTTTACAATAATAGATTTTTCTAAGATTGAATTGTAGCTTGATTATAATAAATGTAAGTTAACAGTGTTCTAGATTAATATACCTAGAAAAATACAAAAAATAACAATAAGTAACTTATCTTTAACATATGAGAAGTTTTATTATTATTTATCAATATTCTTTGATATAATCGATACCATCCTGCATTCAATAAAATGGGAATTCCAAATTAAAGTATTTTAATAATCAAACTAGCTATACATGTTTAACAAAACAAATATATTGTGCATTTTATTGTAAAAGCGAAAACTTTAAAGATTTTTTCAGAAGCCCGATTTGTTTCTTCTTCAACTTCCAATTTATTCATCCAAATTAAAACCTTATTGTTCTCTATTTCTAATATATAATGGGTTTCATTCACATTCCTTAACTTTTGTATTAAGTCATTTAAAAAGAGAATCTCAATATTTGGTTTAGTTAATATCAAATTTTCAACCCAGTTTTTGGCATAACATTCCTTTTCTATTTTATACTCTTCTATTGATATATTATGTTTTTTCAAAATTTCTTCAGGCAAACTATAAATTGCTGATTATTTAGTATATTTGTAAGATTAGTATATTTCTTCTTATTCATAAATAAATATTTTGAATAAGGTTTCATTTTTGAATTAATTTTAATTCATAAATTCTATTTAAAGGAAAATAAAATACCAATATTATTTGTGCATGATTGTTTTGATATTTAAATTAAATTGAGCACAATGAAATATGTCAAATAGAAAAAAATTGAAATCGATGATGCCTTAAATAAAATGCTAACGATTTGCTTGCTTTTTGAAAATGACAACAATGACTTATGTACTCTGAACAATAGACATTCTAAATCCATTTTAATTAATTATAATATAAAATTAATAATAATCATTCAATCTGATTTATCAAATTTTATTCCTGATTCAAGTGCTGAATTTCTTAATTTTAATGTACAACTTAAACTTATTGAATTTAATTTAGTATTTATTATTATTAATATTATTGTTATTATTATTGTTATTATTATTGCTATTATTATTATTATTAGTCATTTATTTAAATATTATTTTCTTAAGGTATCTAAATTTGTTAATTTATTTCAATTTAGACTTATTAATCTTATGGAATTTCTAAATCTTATTGAATCTCTTATTATAGAATATGATTTAATAAAGGGAAATTTTAATCCACCAAAGCCAGATTTTAGACTGTAAAATATCTAAATTTATGAAAATAGGTACCTCCTTCCATAAAGTGGATAAAACATTGACCATAGTTAAGGAGTGTCATTAACCCAACTCATTGGAAATAAAGGTACATAATAGGCTCTTGGTCTGTTGATTGTGGGTGTATATGGAGATCTTTCAGACCAACTTAAAGCAGGTATTTCAAATTTATGAATAAAGTAACAAAACACTCCTAATTAGCTAAACAAACTTATATATTGAGCCAGCTGATAGTGTCCAAATAAAGTAGAGTGCATATAATAGTAAAGAAAAAATCTGATGATGAAGCAATACTTAGGAACGAAATATAAGGAAGATCTTGTCCTAAGAAAGTGTAAACTAAAATATTCGAAAGAAAACGCATGCCTAAAAATGTTTTATTATTATACTGGGTTATTTTATCTATTAAATAAATTGAATGTTGTTTCTTGAATAAGAGTTAATTTACTTATGCCCAAGTCAAACCAAATATCAGCAGAAACATATACAGAGTTTATAAAAAAGAGTCAATAATTTGATTTTTCAATTTATTGTTACTTGCTAAGATATTAAAATAATGATTAATCCAAGGATAGCTTCTTGCCATTATCTGCAATTCTTAATGATTCCTACAAAATATTAAACCAACTAAAATCATAATTCACAATAATACTTATAATTAAGGAAAATACAGGCATATAAATAAATAGCATTCTGAAATAAATAGAAGCTGTTATACATTAGAAAAACAATCCTATAGTGCATTTACCTATTCTCAACATTGTATTGTATATTCTATCAGAATATGTATTTGCATAATACTCTATTATAATTTAAAAATATATACCTTCAAAGTAAGCCTTTTCCCAAATATAAGAAATGTTGGTTTACATATCCACTATCTATATCGCAGATCTATTCAGCTGTTGAATAAGATCAATCAAAAAAAAACTCTCAATATTTGTTGTATATTATAAAATAGAATTCAAACCGCTCCAATATTTATCTCCATCTATCATTATTGTTTTTTAAGAAAAATTGTATTTATTTAAAAACTCATCTTGCAATTGCAAAAGACTCTGTGACTAAGCATATTTGAAATTCTGATTGAGATTTTCATTATTAGAATTTGTTATGTTAAATTTGTACACAGTTTCATTATCAAAGTTAACTATCATCAATAACTAAGTGTACTTAAGTCTGTTTCAAGCAAAATTAACCCTGTCGTATACTAGTTTATGTGTAGCATTAACAAAGCACACAAACCTAAAATACTTAAAATTGGGAATATGAAGGAACCCAATTTAACAAAAAATCTCACTAAAGTAAATGATAAAAAGAAGGAATGTGTTTGATAAATTTATTTCTCAAATTCCATCTTTGATTAATTAATATTAAAATATATATATAAATACATAGGTAATTATAATTTGATTTAATTTCTTTTTTGCTCTCGATTAAGAATCTGCTATTAGTAATTCATATTAAATAATTATCAAACTTTACATTTACATTATTTATCTAAGTTATTAAAATGATTAGTTTGCCTTTCCATAAATGGAAACTTAATTTTTATGATCCTGAATTTGAAGCTGAGTTTGAAGCTCATCAGAACAAAATTAGACTTATCTCATTCCAAATGTTAAACTTGTTGGTATCTATAGCAGCTCTTATTTGTTTGATAACATTTGTCATTCAATAACAGCCAATTTAACTAATACTAATTATGATTGGGGTAGTAGGAGGCTGCTTTTTCATGCTTTTAATTGGCAAGAAATTAGAACCTTATCTACGATAAATCTTCTCATTTTATTATGTTTGGAGCCAATCTACAAATATTTTAATCGCCCTTAGTGGATTAGATATGTATTCCTTTATAATATTCTAGCCCTTTGTTTATATTCGGATTTAATACTTGTTGTTTTGCTATTGGTACTATGCAATACAGCGACAACAGATTAAAAATAGTATATACCATAGTCACTCCTTTTGTACTGCTAGGCGTTTTTGATAATTACAAGGCAGCCTAGATGCATTTTGTATTTTAAACAATAGCATGTGTTGTTTGTATTGGGATATGGACTTACATGTAGGAATATACAGCACGTTTAGCATTTTCACTGAATTTAATCGCTAACAAATAAAAGTAATTTCAATATTCATTTTAAGAGAGCTCGTCAACCAATTTGTAAACGATGCTATGTTTGCTATCAGTGTAGATCCTAGAACAAGATAAATTATTTTAGAATTTTAAAATAAAAAGTTTGAAGAAAGCATGAATATCAAAGAAACCGAATAGATGAAGATTTTTCTTAGGTCTTCATATTTAGTTATAAACAGCTAAGAGAGCTAGAAAAGGTTAGTGGAAAAAGGAGGTTAAAAAGGAGTAAAATTAGAAGAGTTTTTATTTAAGAAATTCAAATCTATTTTTTAACCAATTTAAGAAGATGCTGATAATGAAGTTTAAATAATGTATCATAATTTAATGACTGATTAAATTATGGGAATGAAAATTCAGATATTGAAGATGAATTTTGGCAAGCCTATCTTAATTGGAATAATCAAATCTGAACAAGTATAAAATTTAATAGGAGAGCATTAAAAGTAAATAAAAGAACATTAATAATTAATTATTAATTTTTCAAGCTAAATTGTATAATAATAAGAAAATTTGTACTAAGAAATAAAAAAAACTCAATAAGTAAATTATCAAGCATACGAATAAATAATGAGCTTAAAGTGCTTAAACTTATCAATAATAAATTACATTCGGAATTATATATTTTATTTTCAAAGAAATAAAATCTCTACTTAATTCTAAACTTATGAAAGGTTTCAAATTCATGAATACTTAAATACTATTTAAAAATACTTTCGGTCTCTTGCATGCTATTATAAATTGAGTTTTCGCATTTTTAACTAAGTTGATAAAAATTGTCAACTCAACATCAATACAAAATATTTAACATAAATTTTGATTAATATCTTTGAACTGATTGCAAAATAATCTTATTATATCAATAATGTCACTTTAACAATATTTGAAGAATTTACTTAATATGATCAAGTTTTAGAAACAAGAAGGAGAGTTGAGGATTCACAAAATGGTTCAAAGTAAATAATTGCTTTTAAATTAATTTAATTTTAATTTAATGTCGAAAGCTCATAAAAACTATCTTTATCATATTTCGATAATTTATAATTTAACAAACAAATTGAATGTGATGAAAACTATATCATTCAAGAAGTAACGACTTGTTTACTTGATTGTCTCGGCCCAATCAATACAATACAAACAGATAAAAGTGAAAAATTAGAAAATGGTAATTATAGGAATAGGTTTTCTTTCAAAATATATTCTGATTAATCTTAATTAGAACCATCTTATTTGAAGGCAATCGATAAACCAATCGTTATTTGAATTTTTGCATGAGTTAAAAATAATTTTTTCGAAATTATTCTACAATAATTAAAAATTAATAATATCATATATGATGACACCATATACCTCAGTATCGTTTTAAAAATCTTTTTGGTATATTTGAAGGATTAATTTTATCTAAGATTTAGCTGCTTCTTTCATTAACGAATCTAAATGGAAAAGTTAGTGATTATAATCCAACTCTTTCTCCTCCTGCTATAATTACTTATGAAGGTAACTTTAAGGTTTTTAACAAAGCATATGCCAGTGAATTTGAAAATTCTTAGACTCCTTTTTTTCCTCCTTTAAAAAAGCCCTCTTCGAAGGGTCTTAAAAGTAAGCTTAAAGTTCCTTTAACTAAGTTGGTAACTGTTGAGAAGAATTCTAAACTGGTTAATGCTCTACCAGCAATCATTAATTTAGACCCTAAACTTGTTTATAATTAAGTTATCACACAATTAATTACATCCTCAGGAGTTCCTCTAATTTATGAATTAATATATTTGATTGGTATTTGTAAATCATAAAATGAACTAATTTTTAGTAACCGCTTTAGAAGATCGTCCATATAGAGTCCTTATGAATCATATGAAAGATTAAAGCTTGTTTCAAAAATTTAAAGACTCTTTAACCAAAATTAGGTTGGTTTTTCAACAACATTATAAAATTGTATTTGATCTTCATAGAAAGCTCTTTTGATCCAACTTTAACTGTTTTAGAATTTAAAAATAAATGATAATAAAGCCCCTGATAGGCAAATTCTCATTGGAACAATTGCAATAGATGCTGTGTAGGCTTAATTTTCTAAGATCAAAGCAACCTCTATTGGAATGCAATCAGTGCAAAATTATTCTATATCTGGACTCAATATGAGTTTAAATTTAGAATTCTAAATTTTATCTTAAATTTCAAAATGAGACTAAAATTTAATTCCTGTTTATCCTTTAGCATATGACTCTATCTATAAATTTAAATTTGTAAAGTTCAAACTAACAGTGTCTAATATGTTTTCGTAAGGTTTATCTGCATTCTTAACATAATCATAGAGCTCATTCTCAAACTGAGTATATTAATCTTAGTCTGTATCAAAATAAAGTGGCATTTAGTAGAATGTGTGTCCCTCTTCCAAATGTATAAGTAATTATCCTATATTTATTGTCAATTTATTATCCATTTTTTCTCCTTCTATAAGAGGCTTTGAAAAATCTTTTTAGATAAAATATTCACTATTTGATGCCTCAACAGGGATAGTTTAAGGAATGTATGGTTATAATTCTTCAATAATTTCTAAAATGGTTTAAAAAATATCAAATCGAAAATTTCCTTTGATCAAATCTATTTATAGATTGTTTTCAGAAAAGTTGAGTTTTTGAACAGAGAGGAAAGTTGAGAACTAAAAAGCACTTAATTTGTTAAAATAGCCTTCTAAAATTATTGGGCATTGAAATTCAAACCCATTTTATCTGCAAACATGCAGCTTTAAATTTTATAATTACAATTTTTTTCTAAAAACCAATTCATCGATTTGAATTAGAAGTCTGCTATTAGAAAACTCTTTTATCGTTTATAATCCTTTATTTGATAACTCTTCAACTTCATTAATTGGAAAAATATCCAAGAATACATTTCCAATAATACTGAATTCAATTTCCATTTCTTATTATTGTTAGATCGATTACGCAGATTTTTGGTTCTTTTCTGAATTCTATTAAAAGTGTTAGAGTATAGGGTTTAACTTTTTTAATGAAGTAAAATTGAAATCTGGAATTCTAATGCAAATATTTTAGGTTGTAATTTTCACCTTTTTACCAAGTTGCAATTTAAATATAAAGTTATCAAAATCTACTTTAATAGGTTTTGAATAAATCTTTTTAGATCCTGAAGAAACCAAATGACTTTTATTTTATGTTGTGCATATACCATATAATATAATCTAAGCAGCAGAATATTTGTTGAATTATTATTATGTTTGATTTCTATTGTATTTAACTGAAGGACATTAGATATCTATCACTAATATATTTTGAACGAGTAAAATTAGTTGCTTAGATGAAATTAGAGTAACTTTGTCGAAGTCAAATTATATTAAATCCTTATTTGAATGATCTAAAACATTTAAGGAGGACGACTCTATAGTTAACTAAATAAAAGTATTTGATTCTTCTTTGATCTATCGTTAAGGTTTTTTTTTATTGATATTATTTTATTGTTCTTCGAAGTACTAATTTAATTGGATTAACCAATAAAGTAGGTCTTAAGTGATCCTAACGTCAACTAAAGGAAGCGATCCTCTAATCAGAGTCTCACTGTTTTATTATTTATGCTTAACAGAATCTTTTAATTCATACTTGCCTTATTTTTATAAATCTTTCTTTTCTTAAAAGCTTATGTAAATTAATGGATGTATTTGCAAATCTTCAACTACATTCTAACCCACAGTAACTATGTTTTATCCAGAAAATTCAATCCAAATGGAAAAGAATGTGATGCAAATGAATTATAATGGATCTTCATTTTTAGGAATTCCTTCAAAAGGTTCTAAAATTCCTAATTTATGTGGGAATTTTTTGACTGGTAACTATTTGAGTTTAATTTCTTTGACTCTAAATGAGATGGGCTTATTGTTTATGAAATAATTAAAATTAACATATGGGATTTTTATATCGAATCCAAACATGCATGGCTTTTTAACCTCTGATACTGGTAATTTCTAGACTTCACTTTGAGGTAGATATTATAAAAGTCTCAAGCACAATTCATGATTTAATGAACCTATAAAGTCTGATACTTAGACATTTGCCATGTAAAACTTCTCTCTATTTTTGCCATGATATATTTGAACTTATAATTCCAATGCCTTATTTAATTTACATTATTCCTACAATTTATCAAATATGTAAACTGCAAAGTCTTACTCAATCCTGCCACATTCTCCTAATCCCATCATAATCACTGGAGTAACATAAAATTATAATTTCGGGTTATCCAAACAACTTTTAAACAATTCTTGACTTTACATTATATTGTATCCATTATTTTAATCAGCTCGAACTCTGTGAGCTCCTATGCTTTAAATCTAAAAGTTAATATTATCTTTATGATAGCTTCCCTAAATCTTAATGATTTCAACGAAGAAATGAGTTTCAAGATCTTAGTAGAATCTTCCTTTTAATTTTGGGAAACATTGTGAATTTTCACATACGGCAATTCTAATACCATCAAACTAACATTTAAATGTTTCAACTTAATTCTTAACACTCTTTTTTTCCTAAATCTAATTGTTACTATGATGTATTGAAAATGCTTTAAGAAAACTCAATAAATTGCTTTTCCTGTTGTTAAGGAATAGGATGTTAGGCTAAGGACTACTATATATTATTGTTAAGAGTATCCATGTAGGATTAATTTGGAATCATTCTGAAATGGGCATTCTTTTTTTTTGTAAAAAATTAACTCTATGAATTTAAAAGTGAAACAGCAGTTTTTTCTAATGTTTAATAATCTTCCTCATCATCATCAAATTCTACTAGTGTTTCTCCTTTTAAATCGAGAATTATTCTGTTTAATTCATCAGTTAGTGCTAAACATTTTTGAGCTGTGGAGAGTATATTTTAAATTTGATTCGAATTTAGTACTATATCTAAGGATGAAATCTTTCCATCTACTTTTGTATTGACTCTACCATTTTTGGTTTCCACAATCATCTCTAGCTTTAGTGCATTTTCTATTAGGGCAATCTATTCATTTTGCAACTGTAACTCAATCTAATCTATACCAAAGCTTATAAAAAGCAAATTACTATGTCTTAAAAAGAAACATACTTTAAATTTTGCTTCTGAAAATTAATGTTAGTATGATGAATATGGAATTCATATTTTTTTCCTCCCTCTGCTAGTAAAACAACCTCAATGTTGTTTATTGTAATAGATGAATTACTCAATAAAGTATCTACCAATCCTAAGAATTGAATAAGACCTGTCTAAGGTCCAATTGATTTCTATAAATCTATACTCTATTCTAATTCTGAATGTTTATAAACTTCTTCTCGTAACTGTGCCAATTAACTGAGTTTTTAGATCTCCTTCTCCTTCATCTCCTCAGTCTTATCTAAATATTCCTTTAATTCATCTATATTGATTTCCTTCACAAGTGCAAATACTAATCTCACTCCACTAGCCTCAAATTTTAAATTAGCAACTTTGATTGACTCTTTAAAATAAGTTTCATAAAATACTTATGTAAGCTTCTTCGAGTTTGAAAAGACTTTAACCAAGGAGTTAATTGATGAATGTTTTGTTTAGTTTCAGCATCTCTACTCCTTTTAATAATGTGCCCATATTGAGTTATTTTGGATCTTCAAGGTAATCCCCTAAGAAATTATCAAGAAGTAGTTGGAAAGTGTCAGAGAAACCATTAAGAAAATAGTCAGAGACAGGTTTAAGCCACTCTTTGAATTTTTGCATCCGAATTATTATATAATAAAAATCAAGCAAGTTAGATTGTTTAAATGGCAAAAGAAATCTGATGTATATATTATATTTTATTTAATAACAAGTGTCTATTTCTTGATTAGAAAATACTCATCAACTTTTGAGTTAATCAATTTTGTTACTAATTTCTACTAATTTATCATCTAGTGTCTACTTGCAATTAAACAATTCCTAATGTTTCAAACAATATATTTACTTCTTATTCTTCTTCAGGTATAGAGAGTGATTTATTTAGTGGAAACCAATTGATACTCTCTCTTTTCAAATCTAAATCTACATAACTTTCGATCCCATTATAATCTGATTTCTTTTTATCCTCTAAATAGGAAATGTAAAAAATGTAATTCCAAACACAATGTTCATATTTAACATGAAATCTAAATCCCTTTTTGTGTTTGGCCTTCTTTTCTAAAGTACCATTATCTATTCCGCAAATCAAGCAGTATCCTTTAATATCATTATCAAGTTCTTCAGCCTCCTCTCTTAATACCCCAAATGAATCTATGATGATACCAGTAATTATTGAGTATAACAAACTAATAACAACAAATACATAAACAAATTCCCAAAAATTGAGGATACTATATCTATAATTTTCATCTGCATAGTCATCACTAGTTACTATGTAACCAACAGAACCACCATCTGTCTTAAATGTGGCATCTAATATGAAGGAGAAACATTATAGAAAGTTTTAACAATATGGGTAATATTCTTCTGAATAATAATAATAAACAATGAGAGAATAATAGTATTACATTATTAGATACAAGGATAACACCAATAGTATCGATCCACTAGGTCTCCAAATTGCCTAATTTATTAATTAATCATTTACATTCACAATTGATGTCAAAGTTGGGAATCGCCAGAAAACATCCAAAAGCAATAAAGCCAAAACCACATTAATGTACAATCCAATAAAGGCTAAAGTTGTAAATATTAAGAAGTAAATCATTTCATAATCCAGTAAAATAATCCTATATAGTGTTAAGGAATCTGTTATATTAAAATAAAGTCTCTTCCATTTGTTCTATTCCAATAGAAATGAATCTGTTTTTTCTAAAACAAAGTCCTCTTATAGCACTATACTTTGTGAATTATCCAAATATTTATATTTTATTTCTCTCTTTCTAATTCTATTTATCTATTTTTCAAATACTATCTCCTAAGATTTAATTCTTAGATAAGGTAATTTTTTCACAATAAATATAAAAAAACATAAGAATTGCAAAATTATTTATGTAATTGTTAATCCAAATAAAATATCTCCAAATATTTTCTCTAAATTTGTGTCACTTGAGAACAGGATCATTAGATTCTCTAACACTATTACTAAAAATATTATTTATTTCCATAATTTCTAATTGCTAGCCAGCAAATTAATTATGAAATTCCTCTTATACAAAGCCTGAAATTTATATTCTGTTTTTAGTTTCTAAATTATATGCGATGAATTTGACAACACTGATTCAACTTTTCTTTATTAGGATGATCTATCAATGTCAGATGCAAATTTCTCTTTAATTACATTATTTAGAGAAAAACAATGAGGCACAAGAGGAAACATCACTTTTTTTAGTTACTTTGATGGTAAAAATATTTCAATTGACCCTGTTCTAGTTGCAAAAAATCTCAAAGCTCGATAACCAAGTTTCTTTTATTAGGCTTCCTGTTCTTCTGGAGCTTTCTTTAATTTATATGGATAAAATATTTTGTCACTCAACTGAGTACTTTCTTGTAATTACTTAATATTTCTAAAAAGTAATAATTATAACTTACTTTGTTAATTATGATGCTGAAAATATTGCCTTATAAAGATTATAAAAGATTATAGATTTATATTTCTTTTTTTATGTTTTCGTATTATCTATTTATTCATATATTCTCTCTAAAACATCCTAATCTTTCATCTAATATATTTAGGCTAAAAGATTAAATTAAGAAAATCCTATCTCAATGATAAAGGAATCCCAAAAATCCTTTATAGCTAACTCTATAGTCACCTCCTATTCTACTTAATACCAATAAGTGTTATTAAATTCTATTTGAACCTTACTTTTTTAATTGTTTTTCTTCTTTTGTTTGTCTTATTCACTACTTTTTGTATCCTCCCCTAACAAATGAGAAAATACAAGATTGGTGTAATTCTTACCAGATTCATGTAAAATTTTGTATTTTTCATATTGAATTGTAATATTACGAATTAGTATTTTCTCATTAATGAAGATTGAAATTCTTTTCAAGATTTCTGATTCATTTTATTCATTATCAGTTAATGACTCCAATGTTGTTGCACACCTATATTTGATTTCAGATAACATAGACAATCTATAATTAGCTGGGTTGCTTTTTCTAAATGAAGTGACCAAATATTTACAATAAAGTGGGGATTTTATATAATATTATATAATTTCCTACTAAATGGTTGTCTTATTTTGTTAAATACTACTCTATTTTAGTTACTCTAAGGTTTACAACCTCGATCGTTATTTATCTTAATTCTATTGAACTTAATCAATTTTATTGAATCTCTAATACAAACTTAAGAATTTAATTTAAGAGTCATCAAATCCCATTAATTTACCACATAATCTTAAAAATTAAGGTTAACATAGTTTTTCTTAATTTTGAGGACAAGGTCCTTAAATATTTTCTTTAAGGCAATCAAAACAATTTAATATCAAAATATAATCATCTTGACTTAATGACTCAAAGGTTTCCTAATTGAAAAAATTCAATAAAATATTCATCAGATGTTAGATGATGTCATAGTTCTATGCAAATCCAATTTACTCTCGAAAAAAATCTTAGAATGGTCTAAAATGATCCTCAGATAATAACTGAAGTAATTTCATTTACACTTACAAAATTCCTAATTTCATCACATTCTGTTTCTTTTCTAATCGATGGATTTCATTAAATTCATATGCAAAATAGACTCTATTAATATCATGTAACATTAGAGATCGTAATTGTTATGTTTCATCTTATTACTTATGTCTTTCAAAAATATTAGAGAATATCTTTAACAAGTAATTACTTTTAGTTTTCAGTATTTCTAGCATAAGTTTTTATTAAGCAAACTAATTAGCAGATTCAATACCTCTAACTATTCTTATAGAAGTCAATAAAAATTAATATAATAGTTTTTCTTTCTTTTTTTAATTTATTACTTACAATTCTGATTATTGTATAATTCTTATTTTATCATATTAATTACAAAATTATAACAATATGTTAAAAAACCCTTAATTAACAATTAAATTCTATAAAGCCTTAAGAGCTTTAACTTAGAGTATCTACTCACTTTTAGAATGATACTTCCCTTTTTTATTCAATTCATAAACAAAAACTGTATAATTGTAATCATCCCTAATGTAGGTGTGTATATCCAACATGTGCCAAAGAAATTTCAATATTTTTTTGATGAACTTATAATTTTTATGTAAATTGCTCATGCTAGATTAAAAACAACTAATCAAAGGAACAATAACCTTTGGGAAATTTTCATTTATGATTTCGAAGTCCTCATTCATAAGTAGTTATTGTTTGTAGATTTAAAAGTACATTTCAAAATTTTCAATAGCCAAGATACGTTCATTTAGGAATAAACTATTTATTTATTTGTCAATAAATTGATTTTCAGATTTATTCTTCATAAGAATCAATTCATGAATTCTTTTATCATTGCAATATATTGGAGAACAGTATGGATCTACTACTTGATTGTTTATCTTCTCTCCAATTTAATCAAGGTCATAATTTTGAAATTCCAGTTTTCTTAGAAAGAGTATTTTTAATTGCTATGATTTTTCTATTAAAAAATGACCCTTCTCTAATATTTCCCATTTAGATAAATTAAGTTTCAAATACTTTTCTATTTATTTTAAAAATGAATCAACTTTAATTTTTAAATTATTAAAAGGTTTCAATTTTACGCTTTGACTCATATCATTCACAATACTCTCAGCATAAGCTTAAGAAATACTCATTTGCCTTCCAAAAGTTTAAGATGCTCTGTTTCCAGCTTTAGATTATGACTACTCTTCTATATTCTCTATTTGCTCTTATATTATTTATGCTAAGTTAAGAAACAGATTAAGTAAGAGCATAGCATAATTATTAAAATACAGACAATCAAAATTATGTTGTAACTCAAAGCTTGCCATTTATTTTTAACATTCTGATAATTGATCTTCTTCCTTTAACTCAGTATCACTCTCATTCTCTGATCCAGATTAAATTTATTAAAACAATTACTCAGGAACTTTTGACTTCTTTTTTAATTTAAATTAAAAACTAGAATTTATATAATCAAATTTCTTTTGAATATCATTAGTTGATTTCATTTCATAATCTAGAACAACAACTTTATCTTCAAAAATCTTCATTTCTTTGTCTATGAACTAAAATATATTTTATTGGATTTCATCTTCATATTTAACAATTTCTTTATAATTTAGCAATTCATTGAATAGTTTGATAAACTAGGTTTTTAAAATCGTATTTAATATAGCAATATTTAAATCTTCAAAGGTTGGTCTGAATATATCTTTTAATTAAATGCAGTATTTAATTATCTATTATAATGGAAAAATATCAGCCAGTACTTTACAACCTTGAGGATTAGAAAATTTGAGCATATATAAAACAAACTGAATTCCTTATATTTAGAATATGTAAGGAAGATTACCAATTTAAAATTACTTCTAAAAGGTTTAAAACTTGTTTTATGAAAGTATCTTCTCAAGAAGACCATCTTAAAATCCTAATTACTATTAAAATTTTTTTGACTTATAGATTTGTTAAATAATTTCAAACAAATTCTTTGTATTTGATACATTTTGCTATATGACTAAAGATTGTAACACCTTTAAAGACCCTAAATTTTAATTATCTAATAAAAGATAAATAATTCTGCTACTAGCTGACTCAATATTCTCATATGATTCAGAGTATATTTCTTAAAGTAAATCATATTGTCCTAAATCAATGCATTTCAAAAAGTCATCAAATTAATTAAATTTGCTTAGAACTCTTAATTTATTGGAATGATTTCCTATACAATGCTATTTTAATATAATAAATGATTATGTGCAAAATTACAGTATTTATTCCTCTTCGTTATTGAGTTCTAAATGATATCTGCTCTCATTGTTGCTTTTTATAAATTTTTAAGTAATGAAATAACAAATTTGTTAATAACTTTCAAGGAAATCAAGAAGAATATAATCAAAATTTAATAATCTCAATATTTTTTATAAGAGTAATAAATTGTCTGAATTTATCAATTACTTGTTTAAATTGATAAGTGAATTTATACAATTTTAATATAATTGCTATTTTCCATCAGTACTCTCTAATTCTTTCAATTACAAAATCAATTTTTTTATTAATTAGTAATATGAGACTTCATTATAGTTTTCCAAAAATAAACATTTTTATAATCTCTTTATAATATTTCGTTTAGGTTGATAAAGAGATTCCATCAAATTAAAAGCCTTTAATTATGTTTCACTCTAAGATTGCTTATGCTTTAGTAATAGAAAAGTATTCTCTTTTATCATTTCATAACCGGCGTAATTGTAATGTTATGAGAAGTCTAGATAATCAAATTCTTGGGATGATTTAATTATTGAAGTCAAAATTTTAGTCTCTTTTTATTGGAAATAAAGTTACAAAAAATCAATTAAAATGATGGACATTTAATTAAAAATTTCCTTTGATTCTAAAAATTGTTAATACTATTGAACCTACTCCTATGAGGGTTAATTCTATTCTAGTGATTGAGGCAATAAGGTATAGGCCTGAATTAACAAATTGGCATCAAAGTATTTATCATGAAATTCCTTATTTTAGGGTAGATTGAAAGTGTACAATTTATAGAACATTTAGAGGGTCTTGCAGACACTAAGACTGAGATTAATTTAGTTACCTTAAATTAAATTTAATTTAACTAGTTCTTAAGTAATAGTAAGTAATTTTTCAATAGCTTTAGTATCATTTATAGTGAATTATCTTGTTAACTATTTCAGAAAAGGTTTGCTTTTTACTTCTTACATTTCTATTTAAGTTTATTCAACATTAAACCCATTATATAATGACCCATACAATTTATTCAGATTGAATATTAGTTTAGGAATTTACTTTGGTTGATAAGGGTAGCAATCAACATATAAATTCATTAAAATGATAATTAATCTGCATCTTAATGATTCGGCATTTCCAGAATAACTTATATAGTTAATTAAAATCTTTTAAGGTAATTTTGTCCTATAAAACTAAATGTTTTCGTAATTCCTCTCTTAGCATAGCAATCCTATAAGGTTTAATTGAGAGTCAAGGAAATTTTTACATTCAATAATGTCCTCCATAATATCTTTATTAGCCTTACTACACTAAACATAGATTTCATTTAATTCGTACAACTTCTCATCGATTTAGACATAGAGTAGATTATCTTCTTTGATAACAAATTACAATAAAATTTTTGGACCCTGGATTATATATTTACCAATATTAATTTAATTATTGAAACACGCTTTATCGTTTTATAAGCATAAAACACTTAATATCTTCATAATATTACCCCAAAATCTCTTGTTTAGAATTTAGAGACAGTAATTTGCTCTTTCAAAAATTTCATCAATCAGAGTTTAAGATTTTATTTAATTTTATTATTTTGTTAGAACTGTATTGATCCTTGTAGAGCGTTTGATTAAGGATAGATCAAACTCTTTTTCAGATTCTCCAATAAAAGGCATGATGCCTGCAACTGGTATTAAATTTTAGTTGTTTTCAAATAATCGAATCAAACAATAGAATGCTCCAATGTTGTATCCTAAATATTATTTTAATTTAAAATAGGCCAAAAATACTATTTAACTATTATAATCGTTTTTGGAACTGAAAGTTTCAAAAAAGAGGAAAATTTGGTTTAGTATATTTTCCAATTGAAATAGGAATTGCAGATTTTAATCTTCAAACGGTATATCATTAATTAACTCAATTTTACTTTTTTCTATGATTTATGTATACTCATATTGCCATTTAACTATTTCTATAAATTCAATTAGAGATTAAACTATGACCTTTTTTCTTAATAAGTCCTAGTTATATTAATTCATCTTCAAATAATAGATGGCATTTTTATCTATGATCTTGGGCTTCTCTTCATCTGCAACACAAAAGATAGTTAGATCATTTAATGCAATTTCTAATTACTATAATTGAAAGAAGAGTGCATCAAATTTTCCCTCATTTATTGATTAATTCTTAATAAATAAATTAATTTCATCATAGTGTAACTAATAGGTGAGATTTATTTCATAAATTAATTTAACTACATTGTCTAACCAATGCTGGTTGATAAAATCTATATTAGAAATCAAATCAAATTGTAATAAGTCTGGTTTAGACTTTTTTGATTTGTAATCAACTAATAGTTTATCTTAAATTTAATTAAAATTATTTTCGTTAAAAATCTTATAACTTAAATATTGATTATTCCAAAGAATATAAAATAGTTTATTGTTAATAGAATCTTCTTCAATAAATGAATAGAGTGATGCCTCCTAATAATCAGAGCAAATCTAATTTCCATTCATATAGAAATTACCAGACAAATTTTAAAGATAAAATTAATCTCCTTGTTTAATTTGTTGATCAATTTTCTAAGGATGATACAATTTCCAAATATCATAAAGTAATAAATCTATGTTCTATTGGTTCCTTTCTCCAGTTCTCCAACAGATTGTTTTGTTTTTAGAAAAAATGCGTTAATATTGCGTTTACACATCAGTCATGTGTAAATTGTTATTATGAGGGTTCTGTTGAATATTTTCATAAGTAGTCAACTCTAAATAGGAATCACTTTCTATTTATTTAATTTTAATGAGGCTACCATAGCAAAAAGAGGTAGATTAATTATCTTTAAGTTGCTTTTTCAATTTAAATGTCGTCTATTTCGTTGCTTAGACTATGAAATCGGATGTTTATTGCTTGCTTTCATTGATATTTACAAATAAATCTGATTATTATTCTAAATTTTACAATGTAATATTTTCAGGAGAATACATCAAAAATATATCATCATCAAAAGAAACTTTATTGGAATTCTTTAATATTAAAGATCGATTACTTGAATTTATGATTTATAGCAAGGTATTATTCTGAATAGCGTTGTTCTATCAATGACATTGGTTAGAGAGAGTATACTTTTATCATTATGCACAATAACACAAATATATTTATTCGATTTAGATAGCTGTATTACAATATCTTATGAATATTGAATAATTTCCTATTCATTGAGTACCTGGACATCATCATTATCAAATGAAACTGGAAAGATATGAAAAATCATATTTTCTATTTGCAATTACGATCTAAGTATATTTTTTTGATGAACTTAAGATGAATGAAAGGTGGGTAAAACCCATTCGAACTCAGGAACATGTCACTACATTAGATAAGGATATCATCATTCGAACATACTGAGGTCAATTGAATATTATAATCCATATTTTATAATTAATAATTTAATTTATATATGGACAGGAGATATGTTATATTCTTTTCACGACAATGAAAAGTAAACAGAGAACTATTTTGTGAATTTAGAGTAATGATGTATTTTGATTCCACAAAAAACAAATAAATATAATAATAATATATATAAATTACACCCCGAAAGGTGAAACAACCTAAAAGAATTAAATTATATATCAATACTTTTATTATTTTATAATAAATGTTTGCATTAAGTATGATAGAAGGATTACTATTACTGATATACGTAGGAATATTAGTACATGAATACTCGCAGTAACAAGTACCCTTTTATGTTAAACTATTAACTTATATATCATGGGTATTATCATTTGGGATTGTTTTTATAATTCCTCATGATATCTATTATACCTTAAACGATAATGGGGAGGGATATGATTATGCCGTGATAATTTGGAAGTGGATCTATTGGGGTAATTTTGTGTTGAGTTGGTGAGATAAATATATATAAATGGTTTTAGGTTAATTTTACCAATATGTTAGGAATACGAAGATGCTGGAGAAATTACATTTAAGGAGAAGTTGATAAGATCTTGTAAAAACAATCTAATCGCCTATGCATATTTGATAGTCTTGGGATTAATTTTTATAGGGTATTTGGCAATATTCAATAAATTGGATTTTGATTCAATTTTGAAATTGTTAGTTGCATTGGCTTACGGATTGTATAAGTAGTTTTTAATAAAAGTGGCATCCTCTTGGTAGTTATTTTGTTGGGACATGGTTTAGTTGCAATACCACGTGCATATTGGAGAAAATCATAATATGAGAAGTGTTTGAGAGGACTGTATTTGGAAGCAGCTTAAATAAATCATGCCATATAAGAATTATATGATCAATTGATAAATTTGACTATTGAGGTGATTTAATACAAGAACACAAATCCAGATTAAACATGTACATATTGCATTTGAATCAAGTCCATCTGTTGAAAAATGGTTAGATTCCTTATGAAATCATAGAGGAAGCACAATATAAGTACAAGGAGAGGAGTAGGAAGTTGGAACCATGGCCAGAAGTCAATAAGAGAGTAAAGAAGAAAGTATCTGAATATAAGAGAGCCAAAACCAAATGGGAACATGTATGTTCTGAGTGTTTTCTTTTGGAAGACATGATAGATAATGAATTTAGTGTCCATTATAAGATTAGATCAACTTTAAGGTATGAGAGATCTGGATTTATGGGTCATTATTTGGATATGTTTTAATGGTTATGGTACACAAAAATAAAGAAGGCTTATTTATTATCTTTGAGTGTGATATTTTGGATTTTATCAAGCATCGTCATATTATCTGAGATCTCTTGTTTTACTTAATTTGATGTGAATATTCTGAGGAGAATGATAAATATGAATGGATTCTTCTAAATTTAGATATCTATATTGATACCTTTGATGTACATATCATTTTGTGCATTTTATGGGTTGTTCCATATCAACTTTGCAGGTATGTATGCATTTTATAATCATTAATAAACTGATGCTCCAAGTTTATTGTTCGGATCAATGTAAGAATATCATTTTAATGGTTAGCAATTTTTCAAGAGTGTCATTTCCACTTACTTTTAATTTTTTGTAGATGATATAGATATCAGGCACTCCTTTTGAGGATGTCATAGGGAATATGGACACAAGTTCAGTGTTGGGGATGTCATTTTCTTATTCTTTGCCTATATTGTTGATATTGGCATCAGTTTTCAATTTTTTTGAAGTTTATGACAAAATTCTTTAAGGGATAGGGTTACCTTAGTTGAAGTTTTCGTAGGTTCAATTCAGTAGTCAGGAAGGGGAGAGATTGATGTGTAGAGCGAGAGTTAAGAGGGAAAGAGATATATTGAATAAAGTTGGTATAAATTTTTCGGATCAATGCGAAATGCGGGAATTGGATTGCTAAATGATTTAAATTGTCTGATATTTATTTATGTCTCAATAATTTGTGGGAATCAATGGTGAATAGACAGGTCTAGGATTCACGAATCGAGATCAAGGAGCCAAAGTTGAAGAGGATCAAGGTTTGATTGACTTCAAAATAATAACCAATGATGGAACCCACGAGAGTATGAAGATGCTCATTGATCTCAAAAACATTTTTGCTAGATAACTACCCAAAATGCCCAAGGAGTACATTGTACGTTTAGTATTTGATCGTAATCATGAGTCCATGTGTATTATTAAGGTATTCCATCAATCTATGAAATTAGGACAACACTAAAGTAATTGGAGGAATCTGTTATCGAAAGTACCCTACTCAACGATTTGCTGAGATTGCATTCTTGGCCATCACTGCCACACTCTAAGTTAAGGGTTATGGAACTCGATTGATGAACAAATTCAAAGAGCATATCCAAAAACAAGATGTTGAATACTTGCTAACTTATGCCGACAATTATGCCATTGGGTACTTCAGAAAGCAAGGATTCTATCAAGAAATCAAAATGCAGCCAGATCGATGGAAAGGATTTATTAAAGATTATGATGGAGGCACATTAATGGAATGTTATGTACATCCAACTATAGACTATGGAAATATAAGTGATTTAATTCGAGAGTAAAAGCAGGTAAGATTGAGTTTAATGCTAGCAAATGATAGATATTATCAAGAAATTGACTTTGAATGATAGGGTTTACCCTGGATTAGATAAGCAGAATTACAAGGTTGATAATTCCAATTCTGATAAACCTACTGTCAAACCTGAGAGTATACAAGGAATCTTAGAAAGTGGATGGACTATTGATGACTATAATGAACTCAAAAAACAAAAGGAAAAAACATTCATGATTTCTTGCCAATAAATCATTGACACCATGAGAAAACATAAGTCAGCCTGGCCTTTCTTAGATCCAGTCAACAAAGATGATGTCCCTGATTATTATGATGTCATCACAGATCCTATTGACATCAAAACTATCGAAAAGAAATTATAGTCTAATTAATATACATTCAAAGATCTCTTCATTAAGGATGTCAAGAGGATATTTACAAACTGCAGAAATTACAATCAACCTGATACAATTTACTTCAAATGTGCAAATGAGTTAGAACGTAGTATTGATGATTATCTGAAGAAACTTAAAGATGAATAACAAATACCAGGAGTTAGTAAGAAAATCAAAAAAACAAACAATAAATGATAATTAATTTATATATAAATAGATAAATTCAAATTAATTCAAATTTCTTAGGCTGCGTTCCCATGAACCTTTTATAACATTTAAAGTCTCTCTTTCAATTATTATTGTTCACGATATTGTTGTTCATATATTTCTTTAACATACCTGATCTGCTCTACTTACTCTTTTATTAATGCTTAATTTTTGGTCAGATGTTCTAAGAATATAGCATTTAAACTTTCCTCTATTGTCTTATCATCTATTAGGATTTCTCTGACTATAAAATAAAACTAAATCTTATACAATCTTAATTTTCTATATCGTGTAGTAGTTGTTTGAATTTTTATATTTTTATTGTATTTTGTACCTTTTGTTTTAATTAACTTTGCAAATCACCTAGAATTGCAAATTCATCTTTCTGCCTTTACTTTAACTCTTGCAATTTATGTTGTAATTATTACAGATCTTCTTTCTCTTAATTTTTTTCTAATTTTTAAAACTCAACTTTATTTTTTAATTGCTAATCAACCGCCATTTAAATTTGCCTTAGTTTCCTTAGGATTTCCTCACCCTAGGGAGTGCGTAACAACCCACATTCATCCTTGAGATATTCAATAATTATTTTCTCTTGATAATGAATATATGATTTATCAATTCTTTGCTCAATTGGTAGTTGAAGAGCCATTTATTTTATTTTTAATATTTTGAACACACAATTATCAAAATTAATTGAAATGCTCATTAACCAAAGCAATGACTTTGTTGCAACAATCCATAAAAACAACTGGATGACCTCTGCATAATTGGAAATCGATCATGTGATCATCACCATTGTCAGGCATCTAAATTATATAATAAGATAAATACTTTGTAGATTTGAATATTGAATATAATCTCTCTTGGTGAATATTTGTATTCCTTACTTTTTGATTTATTGTAATTGTTTTCCTCTTTGAAATTAAGAGTAGTCAAATCATTCTTTGATTCTGCTTTCTCTCTGTCCTTTTGAAATTCATTGAATAACTCAATATTCGAATTGTATTTAGTCATTTTAATAAAATTTCTATGATAACACTTCAATTTGTAATCACGACTCTTGATTTTAATGACAGTATTAAACTTCTTTAAGCAAGTTTAAATTGCATTTATGATTTATCTAGCCTAATATGGATAAATAACAGCCATGACATCCTTGGATAGATCTTTCCCATATTCATATGTAGCAGGCTTTCGGATTTCAGTGAGTAGATCATTTTCGAATGATTACCCATCAAATTATGGTATTTTAGGATTAAATATCAAATCTTGTTTTGTTAAGTTATGCAGATTCACGGAGGTTGATGATTCAATTCCAATCTATCCTAACAGTAAATCATAGATCACAACGAATGATTTATTTTCTCTCTTGCTTATGCTCTTTTAGATTTAATTATGGGACATCCCATTAAAATTCACAGAAGACAATTGCATTAATTTCTCAAAGACTTCATTATTGATTTGTCTTCTGCCTTCATCCGATTTAAATGGGATTTATAAATAAAAGGGAACCTGGTTACTCCTCAAATAGGGATGCAGATGCATCTCATAAAATTTAATTCTCTTTAAGGGATCTGGAGTTAGCATTCTATTAATCAAATCTCGCACTTATGGACTGAAACTATTAGGGATTGCATAATCAGCAGTCTTAATCTTCTAGAATAAGGCTTAGAATGTTTCTTCGTCAAATGGTAGTTATCCTGCTAACATTGCAAACAGGATAACTCCACAACTCCAAACATCTGCGTCTGACCCACAGTAAGTTTTACCTGAAATCACTTCAGGAGCTTGGAGATCCACAGGATGTCTTTAAATATTTTCCATCTTTCATTTGATTGCTTAGACCAAAATCGGCTATTTTCACAACGAAATTGTGATTTATCAATATATTTTCAGGTTTAAGATCTCTATGAGCAACACGATTATTGTGACAATACTCAAGTCCACTTAATATTTATAAAAAGAAATTACGAGCCTCTGCCTCTGACAATTTACCTCTTTAGGCAATCAGATCAAATAGTTCACCTCTTTGTGCATATTCCATTACCAAAAAGATGTCACCAGGAGTATCAAGTACTTCGTATAGTTTAATCACATTCGGATGATTGAAGTATCTCAGCAACGTTATCTCTCTTCTAATCTTAGCTTCCATTCTTGAGTTCTTTATCTTTTTTTTATTGATGATTTTAATTGCCACATAAGTGTTTGTAATATTGTGCTTAGCCACTATTATACTTATTCTATATCAGGTACACTTCACTTTCCCAAAAGCACCTACACCTAAACCACCTCTTTCTATTATGTAATGTTCAATTTATAGTGAAGCTTAACCTTATGATTACATTATTTTAATTATATACTTAATTTATTATTTTCAACTTGGATATCATAATTAAAGATAATTGTAATAAATAATTAGTTTTATTTACTCTTTGTAATTATCGTTATTTCAGGATCTAAATTTCTATTATTCTCCAATTTGTTACTCCAAATAAAATAGTGTATTATTTAATTAGATGATTAATTATCATATAAACACACTAAGAGGAATAGCGACAGACTATACGCCAGTTTTGTTTGAAGATTTATTCTTTGATAAGAGTCATTTGAGTACTAATAAAATGGGTGCTATAAGTCTTTAGAATCTTGAATAATTAAGAGCTGATCCAAAGTCAATTATGGAAAATTTGGTGATTAATGATGTGAATCAATTAGTGCATGAGTTGTCAAACATGCCATAATGTCTAATATGCACATCATGTAATGATTTTGATAAATTGAATCGATTACTTTAATATTGTTAGCACATTGATATAGCCATTGGATATCAACACAACATCTCAAAATAATTGAATAATCTGCCTCTGTATTCAGTTGATAACCTAATCAAGAAATTAGAAATGGAAATAACGATGGGAACCAACAATCTGAAACCAGCATTCATAGGCATCATCAACTTTGAAGAAATAGATTTCAACAATCAAATTTGGATTAATATCATGGAGAGTTATATTTAATGTTCTGAGAATTGTGGAATACCAATTGTGGTTGATCATAATCATAGATTGGAATTCAAAGAGATTCAGCAAAAATATAATTTAAGAAAAGCCAAATTCATCATTCTAAATCCATACGTAGAGGTCAAAATTACAAAATAAAACTATTGTATCAAAAGAGAAATCAATATTGAGTCGGTTGATTTAAAATAGAAGATTGTGTTCAATAAAAACGAAGTGGATTATGAGTTGTTTACCTTATTGCCTGTATATTTCACGGTTGGGATTAAGTATAAAACACATTTGAAAATGTTTGGAGGTAATGGGTTTGAGATTGTGAAATCAGAGACACAGGAATTGTTCGATCTATTGAAGTGGTCTAGTTAGGTTATCAAAATAGTGGAAATCAAGATGTGGAAATGTCCTATGTAATGAAATTGAATTAAAGAGTAGCTGTCAAAAAGAATAAGGAGAGAATGAGGAGAGGTTTAAGAAGATGGGAAAAGAGTTCTGTAGCATGAAATGTTTGAGACAAGGATTGAATTGATTCATTAAATAAATTATTAGTCGTTAAATTTTAAATTATATAATGGATCAGAAGACTGAAAAGGCACTACTCGAATAATAGAATGAATTACTGGAGTTATAGTTATAAGAATTAAGAGAGAGAGAGGATGGATACAAAATGTTTAATGAAACAATTCTAAATGCCTATAATTCAATGCAAAATGATGTTAACAAATAGAATGTAAAGTTAAAGTCCTATGCTTGTAGAGTTTAGTGTATAAATAGTTATAGCAGACTTTGGAATAATACTCATAGGAGTTGATAGAATCTAAAAATAGGAACACTACAGTTCTAACTTAACTGGAAAAGGAGAATCGATACTTAAAAAACTATTTAGAATAGTTAGAACTCAAGATCTAAGAATAAACTTAAGTATAGGAAAATGAACTTTCTGATTTGGAATAACAATTTGAGGCTCTGCAATAACAGTAAGAAAGCACTATTGTTGTTAAGCCTAAGAAAAAGAAAACACAATAAGATAAAGAAAATAATAAACCTGAATAAGGAGGTGGAGGATGCATTGTGTCTCTTAAACCTAAAAATGATGATATTAAAAAGAAGGAGTTGTCCATCAGCAATGTGTTAAATTGTAGGGATTCCAATGTGATGGAGATCTCTCATTTAGATTGGTTGGATTCAAATTCTCCCACTGGTTTGTTTAAACAGTTTCAACTACATCAAAGAGGAAGGGATCGCTCTGATCATTCTTAAAGGATGCAACAACCTCAATTATCTAAGAGAATCTTCAGGGATTAGGGAAGGAGTGAGGATTCTGTGAGTCCTCAATGTATGAGGAATCTGACTCCCAAAAATAATTATATTACTCCAGAGTCGAAATAGTTAAAATATGATTAGCAGTAGGGTTTGATAAACAAGGCTGAACCCAATCCATAAAAAGCAGAGAAGAGATCTTTGGCTGAATTTACTAAACAAATTAATTCTGTTAGATCAACTGAGAACTTCCAAATGATGCTCAGATAGAGTTCTATGGTGTGATTTAACTTTTATTTTTCATTCATTACAACCTAATTCAATCACTGAAATACATTAACATAAAACTTATCGAGTTTTATTTATTTTTATTTGATATTAAATTAATACATCTGTTATATGCATGAATATTGGAATTGTTAGGGATTTCAAGATAGGAATCCTAGTAGCTTTGATTAACAAGGGAATCAGTTTATTTAGCTAATTATAACAAACCTATCGCTTGTTTTAGATCATTTCAATGAACAAAGGTTTTTGAATGTACTTCCCCCTCTTGCTGAAATAACTGTGAGAAGCTTGTAATCAATATGGAATTTACATTATATTTAGCCATTACGAAGCGAGAAAGTTGGCATAAAGTTCAGATGAACTATAAGAATATATTACTCAATATATGGTAGTTAATGGAACAGCAGTAAAGCTTAATGATGCATTCCAATAACAGGAAAAAAAGAGATCTGCATAACTTTTGCTGTAGATCGTAGACATGGCTAAGGGAACCATCAGTGAATGGCAAAGTTTCCGTCATCAGCAAATCGATACGAATATATTTTAAGAGAAAGGTATATTGATTATTTAAGAGATTTTAGTCGATTTGTTGTGTCGCAATTTCTAATTAGAATAGCACGAAAATTGTTGCAATGCATGCTAACTTATTTGATATTTATTTTATACAAAAATTTTTAAATCTATGGTATATATGTATGTTTATTATCACCAAGAGCAAAATGAGTAGACCAGCATCTTGCAAAAGTAGAAAGAGCGAAGTCGACGAGTCCCTTTTCGGTATAAAATTAGTCCAAATTACCTTATAGGAAGCAATAAAAGAAATGATGCTAAAACTGCTAAAGTAGTTTAGAGTGTTAGGAAGGGAGACACTTCAAATCCAGATGTTGTATTAATAGGAGAAGCAGAATTATAGAGAATGAAAGTTTGTTTCATTTTAAACTTTAGAATAATGCTATTGTAACAACCAAGGATGAACAATTGTATTAGAAGAAACTCTTAGAGGAACAAAAGGAAAAGCAAATGACAGCTGCTAAGGCTAAGAAATAAAAAATGATCCAACTGGAAGAAGAAAAAAAGAAACAAATTCCTTTGACTGCACAACAATAGGAAGATAAGGTAGTCAAAGACAGTCTCAATGCAAGGGTATCGATCTATCTTTGAATCTAGGCTGCTGAAATTTTGAATGAACAGTTAGATGATGTTAAAGAGATGAACAAGATGGTAATGTATGCCAAATGTGTTACAATCAGAGACAAATAACTATAAGAAAAACAATAATTGAAAGAAGAATTCAAAAATTAAGAGAAACGAAAAGATCTTATGATGGAAATTGAAAGGCTTAAATCAGTTAAATATTATGAAGAAAAAGATGTCTAACATAAATCAGAATTGAAATAAGGTCATGGCATTATTGTAGAACAAATTAAAGAGAGAGAGTTGATTAGACTCAAGGAAAAAGAGGAATAGGAGAGAGAAGGCTAAGTTATGATTAAACAAATTAAATAAGTTCAAATTGAAGATCAACAAAAAAATCTATAAAGAAAACATATGTAGAAGAAATTACAGGATGAAATCTTAGAAGCCAACTCAAAAGCCATTGTTGTAAAAGAAAAGAGAAGATTGGAAGAGAAGGAAGAAGAAGAAAAGATTGCAAAATACAATCTAGAAAAGGCATAGAAAGACGCAGAAATCGTAGAAGAATAGAGGAGAATCAAGGAAGAAAAAGAAAGAGATGTTTAAAGATTAAGAGAAATGCAAGAGAAAGCCTAAGATAGATAGGCTGAATTGGATTTGTTAAGAGCCAAAAGAGCCATGGAATAAAATGAGAGAGCTGCCAGAGAAAAAGAAAGAAAAGAAGCAGAACTCAGATAAAAATTAAACTCTGAATTGTATTAAGCAAGAAAAGTTCAATAGAATGAAAAATAAGAAAAGTTAGAAGAATAAGTACTTAAACACATTATTCTATCAAGGCTAGACTTGAAAGGGATGAATTCCAAAGGGTTATTCAAAAGTAAAAGCAAGAGCGTGAAAATGAACTTAGATTATAGTAAGAGAAAGAACATTTGGTTAAAAAACATGCCGAAGAGTTGAGAAAATAGATCTCTATGAATGAAGAAAAAAGAAAGTAAGAAGAAAGAGATAAGTATCTATTTTTCATCATTTTGATAGACTTGAAGAAGGAAAAAAGATCAGAGATAAAATGATAAATGAGAAGAAATTATTAGAGAATATTAAGGATTAGAAATTGAAGGGGCTCAATGATAATACAATACCCGATAAATATAAGGCTGAATTAGCAAAAAAGAAAATCAATATCCAAATATGATTCATCACAGATACACATAAAGACTATATATTAATCCATTAATATATTTATTTTAAATCAATTGATTTTGAATGATTTGTGTATTGTTAAGGCTTTAGCAAAATCGGTTCCATCCAGTTCTGCTATTTTTTATTTGATCTATTCCTACTTAAGTCTCTATTTGAAAATGGCATTATAATTAGTTTTGTACGCACTAGATATGTTAGGTCAAATTAATTACTTGATATCTGTTCCTGCCTTATCTACTCTGATAGGGTTTGAAAGTTTCCAGTCTGGCTTGTATTCATATTTTACTCTAAATAATGATGATAAAATAACTTCATTTCTGTTTTTGGCACTAATTATGCTTTAAATCTGCTGAAGAGAGCTCTTAAACAATTCAAAACTAATTCTTAAAACTCTAATTCATCATTCATCTCAATCCAATTATCTAAAAACAATTTAGCTAAGTCATTCAATGGTTAGGCAAATTCAAGTTCTGAGCATTTCTTGAATTTGAACACATTATTTTATGGCTTCAATAATTTTTGTAAGTATCCGAATTCTGTGCCATAAGTTGTAGAAGTTTAATTTTTCCTATGCATTTCTTCTGCTTTCTTAAAACTGTTAAATAATCATTCAAAATTATTACTCTAACTCCTATTGATCAGTAAGTTCTTGTAATTGTACTGTGGGAGGCTTAGCTCTATTATAAAATGAGAAATTAAACCTAAATAGTTTTCTTCCTTTATGTTTATAAATCGCACCAATCAATTAAAGTCCCCTGGCTTCCTTTTCACTTGCTATATATATCCAATCTCTATAGTAATTCAAGTATTCAGGTTTGATGATATTTGTTAGAATTGCAAACGGTTCCATTCTGAATGTTGTATAAATATTAAATAATTAATTATTATTACTTCACTCGAATGATATATTTATATTTTGATTCCCATGAAATAACTTTTTTAATTGAATGATCCACTCTAAAAACTTTTATAAATTCATTTTTTTAAGAACAGCATAATCAGAATTGTGATAAAGTAATAAAAATTGTTTTATAATAAAAATACATTCTCAAAATACATAAGTCATTATTGGAAAAAGAAATCATGAGGCAATCCTTTAGTATTTGTAATAAATGTAATTTTTGGTTTAGTCCTTTGAGTTTTTTGGGCTGGTTCTTTATTTACTGATAGCATTTCTTTTAATTCCATTGTATTTAAGAGTAACAAATCTAAAATATTTTCATCGTATATTTATTCGTTCTTAAATTGAGATTAGGTTTTTATGGTTTAATTTTTACTTTCTAGTTAGCAATTATTAATGTTATTAATTTGTTTGCTTAAATCAAAAAGATTAATCTTCTTAGATCTTGCACTTTTAATTTAAGTAAATTTGCCAATTTTAGTGCCATTCTATCAAATATTAGACATTTATTACATTTAATTAAAAAGGCTCAAAATCCAGGGATCCATGTTTATGATGACTTAATTTTAATTTTGTGAGATTTTTGCTTGTTACATTTTGATCAATAGTTTTCCTTGTTGAAATTAAAGGAGTTCTTTTGGCTTGTTCCGTTATTTTCAATAACTTGATGTTATCTGAATTTTATCTACAATGCTGTATAGGCAATGATTGAACTTGATTCGTTAATATATCATGAATTTTTTAACGGTTTAAAAATCCTGGCTTCTCTTTGATAGAGGTCATAAGTCAAATAAAAATTAAATTATCAACTTAAAATACATTTATCAAAATATAAAGAATTAATTGATATACAATCAATATTTGATTAAATTATTGATATATAAGACATTTATTTATAAAATAAATATTTATTTCAATAAAATATAGCTAAGGGTGTGAGGTTGTTCAATTTATATACTTGAATCCAATTATATGGTAAAAGACAGAAATTATAATCATATTAAATAAAATGTAACAATTAAAAATAAAATAAAATTTTATTTCTAAACTTTAAATGGAGAGCATAATTTCATACTCCTAGAAGTGACCTGAAAGAAATCTAAGACAAAATAGCATAATTTGTAAGATTCAAAGAATAATAAGTAGAATAAAAAAATATACATAATGATCAACAAATTAATATCTAACATTTATGATAAAGAGATATCAAAACTTCTTTATAAATAGTAGCAGATGATTAAGATATGTTACAATTTGAAAGATATTGTCAATATGATTTTTTAATATGAAGAATTGGAAGCCCTTGAAATTTTTTATAAAAGAGCAAGTCTCCATAATTAGGTCTTTAGTGGTGCCTCTACTTATAATAATATGTATTTTTATTTGAAGAGTGGAGACGTTGAGCTTTTTTTTTTCAGAAAAGTACCACTCCTACTAAGAAAAATATTATTTTTAAATGAACAAATGGCAAAGAATGTTTAGAAGAGACATAGCTCAGCTTGTCTTAAGTAATTAGGGGTTCATGGTCATAAGAATGCATTGAATTTATAAAAGGTCACTCCCATCTCAGCGAAATATAATGGAAAATTTCAGTTACAAAATCCTCCCAAAATTGCTATCCCACTAATAAATCAAGTTTGTTAATTTAAATGATTCTACTTTATCAAAGGTAATATAATTTTGTATATTTTAAAGTATTTAATGTTAATAATTGGTCGACAAGAGCTGATAATATATTTTCGGAGGAGGTGTCTCAATAATGCTGATACTTATTCATTTATTTTTTTTGGCCATTTATTGATATTATAATCATTATGTTGATTTCAAATTGTTTTGATGGCAATTTGGATTTCTAATTGAACTGTATTTTACAAATTTAATAATAATGAATCTAAATATTCCTTAACTCAAAGGAAGCTTTGGAAATATGAAGCCTGTAAATCCTCTCGATCAATTTGCTAAGGAAACAGAGGAGGATTCAAGTGAAATAGATAGGTTATAAAAAAGACTAAATGAATAGTAGTAGTAAGTGGAAGCATTGATGAAAGTTGTTTCAAATTCACAATAATAAATATATTTATCTCAAGATAGATATAAACACACAGTAGAAAGTGAGCGATTAAATAGTTAATTGCTTGACGAAATAAAGCATCTAAAGAAGCAACTTAAATAAATTGAAAGTGGTCCTAGACTACCTCAAGCACCTTTCCTACCTCCATTTTTGCCTTAATAGTAATATCCCTTCAGTTATCACTAACCATATAATCAAATGGCTATGCCTTACCCAATGCCGAATCAAAATCCTTACTATCAATATTATCCATATCAAAATGTGCCTTTCCAACAACCGTAGAAGGATGACAGAAGTTTTAGTAAAATATTGAAAGGCTTAGCTAAGAAAAAAGAGGACGAACAATTAAAGCAGATAATGATGTTATTGTTAAAAAACTCATAGAATGATCCAGATAATGAACATCATTAAAAATAGAAATCTAGAAGGAATGTAAAAGCCAAACACAGATCTTAAGAAGACGCCTCGGAATTTTTGTATAGTAAAAGTTCTAGATATGAAGAGGAATCACGAGAACAGATGTAAAAGAAGACTAATAAGAAAAAGACAATAAAACCTTAAGAATAATAATAACCATTGCTAAATTAGACTTCAAAACTTAAACTTCAACCTATTAAAGTAAAGCCTACTCCAGAAAGATTAAAATTATTAAGGAAGAAATTTAAATACTGTGCTTGGATGGTTATGTTTTATAAAAATAAATATTATTTAATATTGGAGAAAAAAGCAATCAAAAGATTTAATGATGAAGTAGGTCTATACGATGATTAATTTGTAATAAGCTTTTGATTATATTAGTAATACACCAATGCCATAGCAATGTTTGTTAAGGAGGGTCAAAAGATTTCTGTATTCAAAAAATCCTGGGTTTTCACAGAAAAAAAAGATGTCCCTACTCGAATAACTAATTTAATCTAAGCAGCAGAAACCTTTGTTAAACAATTAATTATAATAACGCAAAACATTAAATTTGATCAAAAACATTTGTCATACATTAAAGGATTCACTACAGATGGAGGTTATTTATTTCCAGCACATTCAGCTTTTGTGTCACAGAGATTAAAATTAAATTACAAAAGGAAATTAAAGTATTTTACTACCTTAATTTTAGATTCGCCTCTCCTGAACAATAAAAAATGGCCTTTTTGGAGTATGCATATGTATAATTACTTTTATATGAATAAATGTTCTCAATCAGCGGTTGGTAAGATTTGCTTAAGCCATTTGCAGAACCCTTAAAATTACTTGTTTCTCTTCTATAATATTTGTTTGTAGACAGATTCTAGAATCTGTAAATCCTATCAAAAAATATGAAATTTAATGTACAAAATTGTTTTATTACTAAATCAGGTTGATTAAGTTCCATACTTGGATTTCACTAAGCGTAATGTGGCTGATGTCAAATAAGCAATAAATCAAAATGATCCCAGATTTTAGGTTACCGATAAATACCCAATCCTTGGATTGTATGATGAGACTGTGTTGAAACCAGTAATTGAAAATCCTGCGTTTGCAAATCTTTAAAACCATTTTAAAGCTTTTGTTGATTTTATACACTCTAAAACGCAGTGATATGATACATATAATACTTGACAATTAATTTTATAAAATTATAATCGATGAACATAGGATAAATATATTCTTTCATTTCCTAATAGGTTATGTTTGTATGGCTGTTAGTGTTCATTACTCCACTTTACATATTTATGGCTAGCATTTTGGCTAAAGGAATTCACATCTTATACAACATGTCAACCAACAAACAATCATTAATTAGCAATTATTTGGGTGATATAACTTGGCTTTTCCCATTCAAAGTATACCTACTCCATTAATTATCAATAGTAAAATGAACAAGAATTCAAATTGATTCATACTTTATTCCTGGCAATATTGATGGCAGTTGCTTCACTTATTGTCCTTGGTGGAGTAATGCTGCTTAACTTAATAGAGTAGTCTAAAGTGTAGAAAGAAACGAGAGAAAAAAGATAATAAAAGAAAATGAAAGCAGAAAGCAAATGAATAAATTGTGTGTATTTTAATTTGATTGNAAATATTATTTAATATTGGAGAAAAAAGCAATCAAAAGATTTAATGATGAAGTAGGTCTATACGATGATTAATTTGTAATAAGCTTTTGATTATATTAGTAATACACCAATGCCATAGCAATGTTTGTTAAGGAGGGTCAAAAGATTTCTGTATTCAAAAAATCCTGGGTTTTCACAGAAAAAAAAGATGTCCCTACTCGAATAACTAATTTAATCTAAGCAGCAGAAACCTTTGTTAAACAATTAATTATAATAACGCAAAACATTAAATTTGATCAAAAACATTTGTCATACATTAAAGGATTCACTACAGATGGAGGTTATTTATTTCCAGCACATTCAGCTTTTGTGTCACAGAGATTAAAATTAAATTACAAAAGGAAATTAAAGTATTTTACTACCTTAATTTTAGATTCGCCTCTCCTGAACAATAAAAAATGGCCTTTTTGGAGTATGCATATGTATAATTACTTTTATATGAATAAATGTTCTCAATCAGCGGTTGGTAAGATTTGCTTAAGCCATTTGCAGAACCCTTAAAATTACTTGTTTCTCTTCTATAATATTTGTTTGTAGACAGATTCTAGAATCTGTAAATCCTATCAAAAAATATGAAATTTAATGTACAAAATTGTTTTATTACTAAATCAGGTTGATTAAGTTCCATACTTGGATTTCACTAAGCGTAATGTGGCTGATGTCAAATAAGCAATAAATCAAAATGATCCCAGATTTTAGGTTACCGATAAATACCCAATCCTTGGATTGTATGATGAGACTGTGTTGAAACCAGTAATTGAAAATCCTGCGTTTGCAAATCTTTAAAACCATTTTAAAGCTTTTGTTGATTTTATACACTCTAAAACGCAGTGATATGATACATATAATACTTGACAATTAATTTTATAAAATTATAATCGATGAACATAGGATAAATATATTCTTTCATTTCCTAATAGGTTATGTTTGTATGGCTGTTAGTGTTCATTACTCCACTTTACATATTTATGGCTAGCATTTTGGCTAAAGGAATTCACATCTTATACAACATGTCAACCAACAAACAATCATTAATTAGCAATTATTTGGGTGATATAACTTGGCTTTTCCCATTCAAAGTATACCTACTCCATTAATTATCAATAGTAAAATGAACAAGAATTCAAATTGATTCATACTTTATTCCTGGCAATATTGATGGCAGTTGCTTCACTTATTGTCCTTGGTGGAGTAATGCTGCTTAACTTAATAGAGTAGTCTAAAGTGTAGAAAGAAACGAGAGAAAAAAGATAATAAAAGAAAATGAAAGCAGAAAGCAAATGAATAAATTGTGTGTATTTTAATTTGATTGTTTTTACAACATTAGTAATTGATATGAAACTTAATATTAACATTTTTGTCTGTATATATAAATCAATTCCCTTGAAGCATTTCCTCTTGCATTTACTTTTTTATTCTTTCTTATTCCAATTGATCCAATCTTTATTGTTCCTCTCTATCCCTAAGGATATCCTCATTAAGATCTGTAAATTATCGTTTCGCCCACTTCTCCCTTGATAGATATTCACATTCAACTGTTTTATCACCATACATTCTACCAGCTAGATATCTTCTGGCAGTTCTAGCTTCTTAGGTCTTCTCATATTCCACAAAGATTTTGCCCACTCCTACGATTATTTTACCGAATTCAGGTCTTGGAATGATGACATTTTTCACAGTTCCAAATTTAGAGCATTCTTCTCTTATATCTTCCATTATATCATTAAATTCTTCATCTATCGTAACCTATATATTTGTATAAATATTAACATCTTCAAGAGTAAGGACATTTTTGATAACTAAAATATTAGTAGGTATTTACACATATCTGGCCATTAACTTAAGTGGTCTGAAACTAATAAGTGAAGATGGATCCTTATCATTTCCTTTCATGCTACTCAAAGGATTAACTTAAGTTCACATTACATAATTACATGCTTATTCACTCATCATTTATTAGTTTACAGCTGCTAAGGAAGTCAAAAATGACTTAGGTCTACCAATTTTCAATTGATGCCCTTTAAATATCACATCCTTCAAAATAAAACCTTGTGTTGCTTCTTCAGGGGATCTGAACTCAATAAAACCAAAATGTCCTAAATAATAAATCTCAAAATCAAACCATTCGAATCTATCCAGCAGTTGCAAATAGAACCTGCATGTTCAGAACTTACTCCCATCTTTAATAACGTCTAATTCAAGAAATCTTAAAGCTAATTTAATATATCCATAACCATTTATACTTCTTTTGGTTGACTATTTGGTGGCAAATTTCCAACATAGAGTTTTCTATCAGCCTTCACATCTGCCTACGCTCTCAATTATTGTAATCTTTGCATCTAAATTAATGGTGTCATTGCTTAAAGAGCTTCCAATGAAGCCAAGGGATTCTAAAGAGGATTCGCAGGAAGTATGGCTTAATTCATAACAACTTAGTACTCTCAAACTCTCCCAAAGACACTTGATCTATTAGTTTGCTCTTAAAATTTGAAAAAGGAGTGTTCTATAATGGATCCTTTGGCGGAGAATCGAAACGAAATCTTTCAATTTTATTTAATTAATTTACCCCCTTGATTATTCTGCATTTGTTTTAGTTGGTGCCTTAGGTTTCTAAAATTCTTCCCTCTTTTTATCTTTCTCCTTACTCACATTTCTTGATCTCTTTTTACCAGCATCTGATTCCTATTTTCATTAATTAAGAATGCAATTACTTTCTTTTCCTTTTTTTCCTTCTTCTCTTTCTTTTCTTTTTTCTCTTTCTTTTCCTTCTTCTCTTTCTTCTCTTTCTTTTCCTTCTTGTGTCTTATATGAAAACTATAATTTACTTTTCAGAACCCATTTAATAAAAATTAAATAATAAAAATATCAATCAACTAAATTCTCAACTAAATGAATCTTGATTGGCTTCAATTTCACCAAGAATACCTTCCACATTGTATGGTTCAATTCTATCTCCAATTAAGATATTGTTTCCTCCTTTACTTTCTTGTCATACAGCTACTCCACATCCCGCTTTACCAATTGAGCTATCAAACTTGATTTCGTCACTTCAATCTAATTAGAATAAATTGGAATATCTTATAACTGATTTAATCCTAAATCCTCCGGATATAAAATTACGATTCCTTCAACAACGATCACCACTACTTTCACTTATGCATACCACTCCTTTTTCTCAGTTTTTTTTGATAACATGTAAGGATAATCCTCTTTGCGATAAGTCTATAGGTTTCGTTTTTTAAATAATTAGTTTTCTAATTATTGATACATTACATTAACATAGGTATCTTTTGGATATTACTTTAAAATGATCTCAAGACCATCCAAAATGAAATTATCTATATCATCCCAATTCGGATTTTAAATAAACAAAGCATATTGTTGTTTATATTTTTTATTTGTTTTATTTTGCAATTATTATGTCTTTTTTGTTAAACTAATTTAAACTTTCTCTTCAATTGCATTAATTATCTTCCTAGCTTGATCCAAAAAATGCCTTTAAGAGATATTTACAACAGAGTCTTTGTATAAAGACAAACTCTCTATCAATTACTCATTATTAAATGATAAAGCTGCTTCGAAATCTTGCTCGACTATCTCACTATAAAGATCATTAGTCTCCTTTGATTCTGGGATGTAATGACAACTAATTAAATAATCTGATGGTAGATTTCTAAGTCTCTGATTCTCAAATTCTTTTAATTACTTTATTATTTGATTTACTTGATCTCTATGATCCAACACAGTTAATAAGCAAAACATAATAAATTGAAAAGAGAATGGAAATCTAATTTCGTTTTCTGATGTGTAGCAATGTGAACATTCTGGATATAGAGCAATAGTGCTAACCTCAAAGGGAAGCTTTTTTAAAGCTTCATGAGTTTATTGAAATTATTTAAGAGAACATGTTTTGTCATATAAAAAAAGCTGATGATTATCATTAACCTCATCAATTTTAGTTATTATTTTAACTCCTTCATACATTGTTATTATCTGTTAACAGATCTTATCATAACCCATTCCATTGATACCGATTGGAATCAAAACTGCAATAGTATTTTTAGTTTACAAACACTAGGCAAGTGTAAATTGATAATCTTATCTTTTTGGTATTCTAGTTATTTTTTTATGAATGCAGTTGAAAACAGTCGTAGAAAAATTGTTGAAACTTTAGTCAACTCTTGCATTAAAGGGAATACTAAACATCAATTTTATGCATTTAAAATAAAACTCATATTCTGATTATTTTAAATTATATTATGAGAGAAATTTTGGAGGGTCATCCTCAAAAAAGTTTGATTTTGGATTTTGTATGTAGTTCTTAATTTGTCTTAAAATTTCAAAATGTTTAGAAGGAATGTAACAATTTCCTAAATATTTATCATCTTTCCAAAAATAAATAGTTTTTCCTTTAAAATAATCATGATATTAATCAATTAGTTCGTTTTAAATTGAGACATATATTGATGGGAAATTCTATAGGGTTATTTGATATTCATGAGATTTAGCAATTTCCAATTTGTAATGATTCAGAAAATTCGTAACAAGATTGGGCGGCAACATCCTTTATGAATTGTAATGTTCCATAATTGCATACCATTCAATATAATTTGATTTGTTTCTACATCCAATTAGACTTCTATTTATTAGATCCTTGGCAAAATTGATCTATTGATTATGATTCATTTTATGATAAACATTAAAGAATTATGTAGCTACTTTGCAAGCCCTTTCGAACTCTTTTATTTAGTTGTACTTAGAAACATCATCCTTGCCTTCACATATGATTGTTTATCCACTGGATGAAATAATAAATGATTTCAAGAGGTCACAAAAACTTACACTAACTGTAAAAGAATTGTGTCTGATCTCTTAGACAGTGAAAGTGTTATCTAATTTTCTGACAATGAATTTATAAACATCGTCTTGATTTTTTAAATTTTGCTCATTCAATGTAGGCGCTAATGGAGATCCCATGGTAGCTATAATATAATAAAGGTTTACCAATTTAGGTGTCTACCACCCCTTATTTGATAATTTGGAGGAATGAGTTTTCAGTCAACAGATGATCTTAAAAAAAGGAATTTTTAAGCAATGCTGAATTGTTCATGATGGATTCGTTCGCACACACTTCAAGTATATAGGTTTAGTCTTCTTAGAATTCGTTCCTAATCGATACTATTTCTAGGTCTCTTTGCTTCTCAAACTCTTATAGTCTGATATATAGATTCAATTGAATTACAAGGCATAGGCGCTTAATTATTACATTATTATAATAATGTAAGAATAACAAATAGTTGTGGGAATGAGTTTAGAAGACTAAAAACGATTAGATGACTTGTTCAATCAAGTTATTTGTAAGGCTGAAAGCAACAACATGAAATTTCATGAGTTTCTTACATTCCTTCTGGAAAGAGAATTGATAACTGCAAAGTTCAACTTTACTTTCTACTTGAATTTATACTAAGAATACTTTGCTTTAGAGGAAATAGTCTAAAAAGTTACTCAAGCCCCAAAGAAAGGAACAAAAGAGCCTATAAATATTATCAAGGATGATACACCAAAATTTAGCAGAACTAAATTCTTGAGGATGATAGATGCACTAGGAAAGGCTCTTCATCAAGGATAAAAGAAATATTTAGATCTGATCATTAAGGATATATTCATTGATAATAAAAAGAAAACATAAATTAGAATGTTGATACTTGATGACCCAAATCGCAAATTACTTCATGAATAAGTGATTAAGACCATAATTGCGTATGAAGAAGATATTCAAGCATTGTTTACTATGTATTTACCAGAAAACTATTATAAAAATGAACTCATGCTTACTTGGAAAGAAATTAAATTAATGAATCTCAAAATTCCTATATTTTCATTTATCCAGATGCTTTAAGATATGAATATTCATCCTGTTCATTATAATTATGAAAATATTGAAGATGTATGTATGAGAATAATACCTGCAATTACTCCGAAAGAAAACTAATATTATTAATCCAATGTTATTTAACAATAGTGCGAAATGATCAATAGTGGAAAATTCAAACCATAACATTATTCAGGAGATCCGAAAATTTCTTATTTGGAATTTCAATTCTTATTATGCAAAATGGGTGCTGAAATAACAAACAGAGAAGTTTAACAAGATTCAAAGAAGGAGATTTCTCCATTGATTATAAAATTCTTTACCAAAATGATTGATTTGTAATAAAATGGTAATAGAATTCATGAAGATAAAACAAAACATTTGGCTTTAATAAAAAAATATTATGAAATGTTAGATAAAACAGATGATATCCTTTAAGAATAAGGCAACCCTTAATCTGAAGAACAAGATATGAAATAATAGAATTACTTGTTTCTTACTCGTAAACCAGATCAATTGGATATCAAAGAAATTTGGTAATTTTTTTAATAAGACCTACCACCTTTTCCTGAATTGAAGTCATAGGTTGATTTGGCATAAGACTTTGTGAAATCAATTAAGGAAAAGGAGAAAAGAGAAGAATTGGCAAGAAAGTTGGAAGAGGACAAAAAAAATAAAAATAAGCCTTAACCCAAATAGTAATTGAAAAAAGGAGAATAACCAATGAAATATTGTATTGAATATTATTATTAAAACATTAGAATGGGAACCTTTAGTATAACCTCCCAGAATATGTACTTATTAATACTTTATTGATTTTGTGAAAAAAACCAAGTAAACAAATCCACTTAGAGACTTAAATGAATTAAGCACTTTAAGTCATATAACAGTTGCTCCAGTCATGTTACCAGAATGTTTGTATCCACATGATCCACCTTAGCAGGTTAGAACAATGATAGAGGCTTCGTTGATGTCGTTTACATAATAAAATTATTTCTTAGCAATGCAAAATTTGAATTCAGCCTAAGAATTATGGTAGTCTCTAACTGAATTGCATGATGCAGAGATGGTATTTTTCGAGTACTTTGGTGGTTAAATATATGAGATAGCTGGATAGGATGAAGCAGCATTAAATAAATTTCTAAGAGTGAAATTCCACACTGATAAATTATAAGCAGACCATCCAGACAAAGCCTTGTATAAATGATTAATCTAATCTTAGACCTTATTGTGGTATTGGTTCAGTATTGTACCATATGCAGGAATATGAATTGGCAGTCAGAGCATTTATGAAAGCAAGAATGATAAGAGAAAGCTCAATAGGTGATGAGAATATAGAGAATGCGATAACATTAAACAATTTAGGATGTGCTTTGCATTAGAATGGCAATTTATTTGCTGCTGAGAATTGTTACATGTTTGCTATTACTTTATTAGACATCCATTTAGGAACTATGCATGCAATGACAATGAATGTAAATGTGAATTTTTAAATTGTAGGTAAAACGCAATCTACAAAAGCTAAAAGCAAATAAATATTGTAAATAATGAAAAAAAAGAATACTTTTGAACATCTATCATAAATTAAATTTATAATAATAATTTTTCTCGATTACTTGAGATAACTTAAAATTCTTAAGAGTTGATTAAGAATAGAATAGTTGCATTTTACTTAAATAAATACAATTTAATTATAGATTTGAGTATTTACAATAGTATTATAAATGTCAACTAATTGAAAGATCAATATGATGACCGTTTTTCATAGCTAGCTCTAGAAAGAATCATGGGCTAAGATTCTTTATCGAACTTTTTAATATCCTCTAATTAGGGAGCCACATGTAGATCTAAATTTTGCTATTCCTCTGTAGGTTTCCATTGAGGTAGAAAGGATTCGGTCTTAGATGGTTTTTTTGGCATAGGAACAATAAAGGGATGTTATAATAACTATTTAGCCTTCCATCTTTTCTTATGGTCAAACTACAGACACTTATCGAGGAAGTCTTGCAAATTATATGATGTGTTAGTTGGGATTGGCGGTGAACTTTATTTGGAGGATATGGTTAACAAGGCCTGCATAGGTGATTGAAATCTTCCCCAAGGAGGCTAACCAGTTAGCATTTCTATGATGGTACATCCTAGACTCCAAATATCTGAATATCTTCCTGTTTCTTAGCCATTTATTACTTCTGGTGCCATCCAGTTGGGAGTACCCTTCAATGAATAAGCATTCAAGCCTATGATACTGCATCCAAAATCTGCTAGTTTGCAAACTCCTTTGGTATCAACAATGATATTTGCACCTTTAATGTCTCTATGGATAATTCCCTTCTTATGTAGATAAACGAGACCATGGAGTATATCTGTGACATACTTCTAAATAACTGGTTCTTTTAGATTGGACTTGAATTTCTTCATCATTTATGCAATGGAGCCACCTGATTTGATAATGCACACTGGTACCTCCTACAAATTCTAATAAGATGCTCAAATGATTATTATCTTCGTCACATCCATAATATTCAACTATGTTTTTGTGTTTCAGTTGCTAAAGTATTTTGATCTCCTGATGAAACGACTCTAAACTTTCTTTATCAACATAACCCAATTCAATTTGTTTTACAGCTAATATTCTCCCAGTCTTTATGTCCATACATTTGTAAACTCTTCCAAAAGACCCTTGTCCAATCAATTCTCCTTTCTTCCATTAAATTTTTACAAGTGACTCAGCATGATGTATATGTTACTCAGTCTCTGAATCATAACCATCAGAGTTATTCTATATTAATATTTTCGATCTGTGTTATGAAACAGTTCCTGAATTTTGTTATTAATAAACTTTGGATTCTTTTTCTCCAAAACATTTACAAAGCCTTGAAATATATAAGCCCATTTTTATTAATAATAAAATAACATCTATTTATGTTACTTTCATTTTATTCAATTATAAATGACAATTGACTTCCAATCGCAAAGTTCTAGGATGACAAACTTTATAATGCACAGAGTCAGAATTTATATATTCGCGAAATAAATTAATTTGAAAAGCAAATTTGAGAACTTCTCAATTTATACAATAAAATATTTAATGAATTTATTGCTTGAAATATACATTCATATAGACATGGATGCATATTACGCTTAAGCGGAATAGAAATTATTGAAAATACCAGATGATCAACCTGTTTGTGCGAGATAATGGAATTCTTTAATAGCAATCAATTATCCTGCCAGAGCTGCAGGTATCAAAAGAGGCATGTTAGCTGATGAGGCATTAAAATTATGTCCAGAAGTATTTTTACCTCATGTTGAAACTTTCAAGATTTCAGAAGGGAAAATGATCTTTTCAACCATGTAAGACAAATTCACTTAACACAATAAAATCGAGGAAAAAATCAGTCTAAGATATTATAGAGAAGAAAGTAAATTGATATTTGCAATTATTAAGTAATTTTGTGGTTGTGTTGAAAAAGGCGGTACTGATGAATGCTACATATAAGTAAGTGAAAATGAGTTAGAAAAAATTGAACCTCATGAATTTATCGGTAATCTAATGTGTGCCATACCTTCTGAATATAAACTAAGTGAATAGGATATCCATATAATGAAGGCTTCAATACTATGTTAATAAATTAGAGATGCAATCTATAAAGAAACGTAATATAAATGCAGTGCGGGAATCTCCTTTAATAAAATGCTGTCTAAACTTGCATCATCTACCAATAAACCAAATAAATAAACCATCATTTTAGAATGCATGTTACCAGACTGCATAGCTTAATTCAATATCAAGAAAATAAGAGGTTTTGGTGGAAAAATTAAACATTCCTTTGTTAATAGTGAAATCTAAACTATTGGTTAGGCTTAGCAATTATCTCTATCTTAATTAGAAGTGTTGTTTGCAGACAAGGCTCAATATGTATATGATAAATTAAGAGGGTATGACAATGAAGAAGTCAAGAAAGATTCTGAACGTAAACACAAATCCATTCTGTCTCTAAAGAATATCAAAAAGACATTCTCAAGGGATATAATTAATCAATCCTTGGAACTCATAATACACGATCTTACTATGAGAGTAACTGATTACTATGAAGATTCAAATCTAGTTCCATCAGTAGTAGTTCTTCATTATCATAATGTAGAGAGAGGCTCACATCAAAAAAGCGAACCTGTTTACTTAACTCTTCCAATAGACAGTTTCAGATTGTAGATTGAGGAAAGAGTGAGTTCCATTTTAAATTCAATTCAGGATAGTGAACTCTTTCCATTGATTAATATTGGATTAAGTTGTAGATACTTTAAACCCATGACTTAGGGTATTTAAAATCCAATAACTAGTTATTTTAAAAAGGCTATAGAAAGTCAAGAATAAGAAAAGATGTCGAAATTTATTGAGGAAGTGGAAAAAGAACTAGCTCCTTAAGATTATTACAATTGTGAGATCTGTAAACAAGAGATTCTGAAGACACTCATGGATGAACACAATGATTTTCATGTAGCTGAAAATTTAGATAAAGAAATGAATCCAAAAAAACGAAGATATAAAAGTTAAAATAAACCTCAATCACAATAGGTAATTTAATAAATTACTTAGTTTATGAAAAAATCTTGATACTTTAAAATATAATAAATTATACATATTTCATAATCTTTTTTATATTGATATCTCTAATCATTATGAAAAGATGATAGAATCTTTAAACGTGTTTTAGAAACTATAAAATATATTAAATTTGCTCTCTTATTTTTGTTAACAATTTGAATTTCACAAGCTATTCTGAGAAATAATATCAAAATCCAATCTTAGAAAACATAATTAAATTTTATTATGTATTAGACAAGTTAACTAATTAACCGTCGACCCAACATGAGATAATTAACTGGTAGGGCTCGTGACATTTAAGAAGATGATGATGATGATTTTGGCATCTCAAGTTTTGCAAAAAGCAAAGTTGACGATGATGACGAAAAATTCAAAAATCAAAACAGTGATCCTGATTTCCTAGACAGTCTATTGAAAAAGAAGAGTAGAAATGATTCCAAAATAGATAAAGTATATATCCTCTAATTATATCTAAGTCCAACAATAGCTCCATTATACCTAGCACACCTCCTCCATAAAGCACAAGCAAAAAGAGTGATCAAGAAATATCTAATACAGATCCAAAGAAAGGACAAACATAAACCCAAAATAACACAGGAAACAAGGACACACCATAATAATAATAACAATCAAAGTAATCATAATAAACTCCTGCAAAACCCAACACGACTCAGCCATTCTAAACTCCAGATCCAAAGTAATAACAACAATAACAAAAGACTCCTGCATAATAACAATCTCAAACTAAAACACCCCAAGCATAACCTCAACCATCATAACAATCATAAACCCCATAATAATAAAAAACTCCATAATAATCACAAACCCCACAATAAACAAAGACTCCATAATAAACCCAGACACCTTAACAAACTAAGACACCCCAATAATAACCCTCTTAAACATAAACCCCAGTAACAAACAAGACATAATAGAATCAAAAATAAACTCCTGCTCCTGCACCAAAGGAAATTGTAGATCCTGCACAATCAATTTAAAATAAACCTTCAGCTAAAAAAGAAGATCCAAAGAATTAACCACCTCCTCCTGAATAGCCAAGTAAGGTTCAACCACCTCCCAAAGTTGAGCAGCCTTCTAAAACTGATTCATCCAACAAGGGAAACTAGTAGCCAAGTCAACCACAACAACAACCCTAATAAAATAGAATTGATTAAGATGATCAAGAATAGCAAAAAGGACCGTAAGTATCCGAAAACAGACCAACTTTCGTAAGAAGAGGAAAGAATACTTAAATTGTTAAGGACGTAGTTAAGAATATCAAAACAATGCCAGATGATAGAATTAAAGCCTTAGAACCCAAAAATAATATCGAAGTAAGCAAGAAACTATCATTGAAATTTGCACCACAAAAAGAATATACAGATCAAACATTTCCTCCTAATGATTTATAAGTGTTTCAAGTATTTGGTCATGGTCAAGTTGATTTTAAGAGATTCAATCTTGGAAGAGATTAAGATACTCATTAAGTAGTTGATCCTAATGATATAGTCCCTGGTTAATAATCAAGTCCTCTATTGTAAGTATTGGCTGCCATTGCTGAATAACCATAATTAATAACTAAAATTTTAGAAGATCAAGTTATCAACGAATTTGGATTTTATTATGCTCGTCTCTGTATTGGGGGAGTATGGAAGTACATTTTAGTTGATGATTTGCTTGGCTACTTTAAAGGCGAACCTGTTGGAGCAAGGACTACCATTGATAATAATAAATTAAAGTATTGATCATTAGTAATTATTAGATCATTACAAAAATCTAATCCTGGCTATCAATCAGAAATATGGCCATTCCTAATCGAGAAGGCCTTTGCCAAAGAATATGGAAGCTATGAAGATGCATCTGTAAATGCTACTGTATAAGATTTTCTGTAAGAAACAACTGGAGCACCTACCACAGTTGAATAAATAAGTGAAAATGTTTTGAAATCCTTGACTTAAAATGATGTAGCCCTTGTCCATCTACCAGATGGAATTTTCACATTCTTAAATTCAGATGGTAAAGATGTAACTCTACGTAATCCTTGGGGTTGGGTCAAAAATTAACCAAGCACTTCCTAACCAGAAGGAGAATTCAAAATTCCAATTAAGAGTCTTATAGGTAAATAAATCACTATCGCTAAATTTGTTCCTAACAATTACCATATCAGTTATAATTTGAAAGCCAACAGTGATGCTTATACATCTTTTCATGTGGATGCACGTTCAGATACTGTAGCCACCTTCAGGCTACATTAAAGAGATGAAAGATATTTTAGAAATAACATCTCCAAAAAATATGATTATTGTAATGCAAGACTATTAGTATTTGATGAATAACAATACTTGATTGCTTAGGATTACGGGCAATATAAAACATTAAGTGTTAATGTTAACTTGTAGAAGGGTAAATATACTGTAGTAATCCTTTTGGATTTCTTAACCGAACAATTATATGATAGCACATTGACTTTCTATGGAACTTAACCGGTAGAAATTAGCAGAATTGATTATAGATAACAACCTAATCTATTGGCCTAATTATATACGAAAGAGGCAATCAGTAAGGGCTAAAGAAAATAGAATGGATAAGTTGAGGAGTTTACTTATGTCTCTGATAATAAGTTGACTATCTTAGCTTGGAAGTATAATGGCACTTAGCCTAACAAATGGAGCAAGGATTTAAGCAAATAACAGAATAGAAATACTATGAGACCAATTACATTTGTTAATGTAGCTGACTTATAATAATTAAAAGTACTCACAACTGAGTAGATTAAACAGTTGAAACTGAGTAGCTGGTAGGATGCATCGTCATTCAATATTGAATTCACTTAATAAAACAACACTTACGCAGTTGTATTCAAGTGATTAATTATTAGAATATATAAATATTAATATAATGAATCGATAATAATTGGATAATATAGTACATAGGTAGCCAGGATTAAATTCCTTCCTTCAAACATGGTGGTAATCACATCTATTTGGAACAAAAATTATCTTAGCCTTTTCAATAATTCTTGGATTAATTGATTTAGTTACTCATTTTGCTTTTAACATCTTCAGTAATTCCCCTAGTTCAACAATACCTTTTTAAATCTAAAGATTATTTTTTGCAAACTTTGTTCATTGTATATATACAAATTATTATATTCTCTAGATTACAGTATTGATTTGATATTAGCTATCATATGCATTCATAGTAAATTAAAAGACTTTGAAATGAAACACGGCACAGCCACATTCATTATCATCATCACTATCCTGGGTTTTGTCACTTAAGTATACAATATTATCATTTTAGTCATTATGCCTTATTTTGTAATTTGCCCTTTCCTATCTATATCCTCCTTTCTATGAAACATCAGCATATAGTCTATGGAATTTTACCATATTCTTTCAAATTCAAGAGTATTTTTTAAATTATATTATCCAAAGATGTCTAATGACGCCTAATGGATAAAGTCAATTCCTGATTTTTCCAATGTAACTAAAAAATCAATATTACCCTACTGTGTTTGTCATTCTCTTTACCTTAATTTAACAATCTTTGACCTTTGTTAGTTCATTCATAATTGCCTTTATTTACTTTTTATTTTAAGATAGTTTTTCATTATAAGCAGCAGTATGAATCATTTATTATTTAAGACTATCGAATAACTGGAAAAAGTAATAGTTTTTAGACCTTTTATAGAGCGAATAGATTTTAGAAGAATTTCTGATTACTAGGATTAATTAGAGCCCAGTGTTGATTCCAGAGAATAACCATATCTTTAAACTCCTCCGGCTAAGTAAGATTTATTAAAAAATTTCATTTAATAGACTAACTATGGAAGGATGTGCTCCTTTTCCACCTTCTCTTGTATTATAAGAATTGCAAAAATAATTGAATGTTTAAGATATTCCAAATCGAGAGGAAGTTTAAGAAGAGGAAGAATAAAAGCAGGTAGAATAAAAGTAAGATTTTTGAAATTCATGTAAAAATGTTTTATTATTTTAATTCTATTTAATTTAATTTAATGTAGAAAATTTTCTAAACTTATTTTTTTCATAATGCATAGTTATCTGAGCTTAATTTGTATAGTAATTAATTTATTATTATTCAATAATTTTCAATGCCTCTTATTGAATATATTCTTTATTAGATAAAATTTATGATGGAAAATAATTCTATGAGATAGTTATCCTTTGATTTATAAAAGGCAGGTTAAAAATTACCAAAAATTTCTTTATTCAGCTTTCAAAACAATTAGTTTAAAGTATATTAAAAGAATGGGATACATTTTATAAATTAATTGTGCATTGGATCACACATGATTTTTGAAAATACCAAGTAAATTAAACTCTTTAATAACATGTTGGATTGCGATTTAGCTTTTAAGTTGATATTTAGGACATTTAAGATTAGATTTCAGGTAGAATTTATATATAAAATGTTTTTAAATTCTTTGGAATAGCAGAAATTAGTATTAGTTACTTGTATTATTATATTGATTCAATAATTAATGTAAATTGAGAGGGTATTAACAAAAAAAATTATTGTGTTTACTTAAATGTTGATAATAATCATTCTAATAATGCTGCTAACTCTTTGTCCATATTATTTTAATATGTTTGTTAATAACTTTATTATTATGCAGGAATTTAATTGGAAGGAACAGTATTAAGTTATTTCTACAAGTTCAATGCTTACTATTAATCATTTTCTTGCATGTATTTATCAAATTCTGCGTCGATTTCTTCATTATCCACTCCCATGTTTGACATTTACTTCCATAATTCAGTGGTTTCTTATTATGATGTTTAAAATTCACTAGAAAATAAAGTTAATAAATACTTCCAATCCATCATAGCATCTTATAACTTATCATTGGTCTCTTATTGCATTTTTCCTAGTTCAGCTGCATTTAAAACCGCTTCAGCTATGCCTTAATCTTATTCTAAGGTTTCAATCTGGATTGTCATTTGAGTGAGAACATTGAACTTGGTTTACATTTGCTCAATTTATTTTTGTAAAGATTTCATTTCTAAAATACTTATGTGAATTATGTACCTGTAACTTTATTTCTGGCTTATTGTTTTTTTCCCTAACTAAGTAAAGATCTAATTTCTTGATCCAAAGTTGCCACCTTGGAGTCTATTCTATCAATATTGTCTTAGATTTAATCTTTTCTGGATCTCAGATCATGGAGAGTCTTTTCATATTTTAATTTAGCATCTGGAACAGGAGCTGCCTAATTTTTCTTATCACCTCCACCCTTTTTAGCAAAGCTGAACATGTTAATTTTTTAAATATTAATAAAACAAGATTCTAAATTTTGTTTGCTTTATACACTACTCTAGTAATAATTTTATAGAAATAATTTATTGTTTTGAAATCAAGTTATGGAATTTATGGATTCCTATAATAGCTGGATATATTTATATATAATATCAATCCTTATTCAATAATCTATGCTTTTTAAAATCTATCTCATAACCTTCCTACTCACTCTCCTCTTCTGGTTAATCAAAGATGATAGTTTTGTCACTTGGATATTTTTTATCATTTACTGTGATCTTTCCTCTTACAGTTTTTAATTTTGCAGTTCTCTAAGTTACAACAGACTTTGGTTTCATGTATGCATTATTTAAAAAGAATTTGAAATCGATCTCCGTTTAAACATCCTATGAATCAGTATACATTCTAAATTTGTAATCCATATCATCCAAAAACAACTTTTTATATACCAATAGTTCCTTATTCTCTTTGATCGTTGGTTATAACCAGTAATCAGGCATCAATTCCTCATCCGATTTGATTACATTTTATTAAATACATCTCAAATCATCCATGAATGAAATGCAATTCAATAATAAGAAAAATGTCTTCTTATTCATTTTTGGAGTTAGTATATCATACAATAAAGAGTAGTCCCTCTCATCTTCCAATGATAAATAACAATTTAACAGTATCTCCAATTGATCTGCCATTAATTTTAATCTTTAAGTGAAATCATCCTCTCCTGTCAATTCCTTACACTATAATATCCTTCCAATCGATTGTCCTGGGAATTTAGCTAATCGTTTTCTGTAATCCATTTTATTTCTTATGAAAATCTGAATTCCTGCTAAAATTGTGTTCTTATAAAATCTGTATAATCTGCTTACAAATTTGTGTCTCGAAATACTAAAAATCATAACTATATGTAAAACCCTATTCCTGACACTTTCTGGAACTCTGGTAATGCCAATCTAATTACTGATCTGTATTTCATGGCTGTAGTGACCAATAATTTTAATTGTTCAGTGTTCAAACCAGGTCTTGGATTCATTATATCTTAATAGATCGCCTTCAAAGTAAATGGAATTTCAATTTTTATATCGTACATTGATTCCAACACCTTAGCAATTTCTGGCCATCTTTTCTGTCCACGTTCTTAAACCAGTTATTTTAAAGTTTCTGCGATTTTTGGATTGTCTGTACACTTTTTTAACATTTCCTAATTATATTATTAGATTTCATTAGAGACACACTACTTACCTGCAAAATATTGGAATATTAAAAAAAAAAAGCATACAAAAAATTTTACACTAAAAAAATATTAACTCGTCAATATTCAAACAAACACTTTAATTATTTTATTATTGTCATTCCAAATCAAAATATCTAAAATAAATAATTTTAATATTTTCTATGTTATTGCCTTCAACAAATCCACTAATTCCATATAGCTATCAACACTATAATCTTTCTTTGAATTCACAGAAAACCTAAGCCATATTAATAGTAGTTTAANTTTATACACTACTCTAGTAATAATTTTATAGAAATAATTTATTGTTTTGAAATCAAGTTATGGAATTTATGGATTCCTATAATAGCTGGATATATTTATATATAATATCAATCCTTATTCAATAATCTATGCTTTTTAAAATCTATCTCATAACCTTCCTACTCACTCTCCTCTTCTGGTTAATCAAAGATGATAGTTTTGTCACTTGGATATTTTTTATCATTTACTGTGATCTTTCCTCTTACAGTTTTTAATTTTGCAGTTCTCTAAGTTACAACAGACTTTGGTTTCATGTATGCATTATTTAAAAAGAATTTGAAATCGATCTCCGTTTAAACATCCTATGAATCAGTATACATTCTAAATTTGTAATCCATATCATCCAAAAACAACTTTTTATATACCAATAGTTCCTTATTCTCTTTGATCGTTGGTTATAACCAGTAATCAGGCATCAATTCCTCATCCGATTTGATTACATTTTATTAAATACATCTCAAATCATCCATGAATGAAATGCAATTCAATAATAAGAAAAATGTCTTCTTATTCATTTTTGGAGTTAGTATATCATACAATAAAGAGTAGTCCCTCTCATCTTCCAATGATAAATAACAATTTAACAGTATCTCCAATTGATCTGCCATTAATTTTAATCTTTAAGTGAAATCATCCTCTCCTGTCAATTCCTTACACTATAATATCCTTCCAATCGATTGTCCTGGGAATTTAGCTAATCGTTTTCTGTAATCCATTTTATTTCTTATGAAAATCTGAATTCCTGCTAAAATTGTGTTCTTATAAAATCTGTATAATCTGCTTACAAATTTGTGTCTCGAAATACTAAAAATCATAACTATATGTAAAACCCTATTCCTGACACTTTCTGGAACTCTGGTAATGCCAATCTAATTACTGATCTGTATTTCATGGCTGTAGTGACCAATAATTTTAATTGTTCAGTGTTCAAACCAGGTCTTGGATTCATTATATCTTAATAGATCGCCTTCAAAGTAAATGGAATTTCAATTTTTATATCGTACATTGATTCCAACACCTTAGCAATTTCTGGCCATCTTTTCTGTCCACGTTCTTAAACCAGTTATTTTAAAGTTTCTGCGATTTTTGGATTGTCTGTACACTTTTTTAACATTTCCTAATTATATTATTAGATTTCATTAGAGACACACTACTTACCTGCAAAATATTGGAATATTAAAAAAAAAAAGCATACAAAAAATTTTACACTAAAAAAATATTAACTCGTCAATATTCAAACAAACACTTTAATTATTTTATTATTGTCATTCCAAATCAAAATATCTAAAATAAATAATTTTAATATTTTCTATGTTATTGCCTTCAACAAATCCACTAATTCCATATAGCTATCAACACTATAATCTTTCTTTGAATTCACAGAAAACCTAAGCCATATTAATAGTAGTTTAATTGAATTCTCTTCTTCATTTCATTTGAAAGAATTTAAATANTATACACTACTCTAGTAATAATTTTATAGAAATAATTTATTGTTTTGAAATCAAGTTATGGAATTTATGGATTCCTATAATAGCTGGATATATTTATATATAATATCAATCCTTATTCAATAATCTATGCTTTTTAAAATCTATCTCATAACCTTCCTACTCACTCTCCTCTTCTGGTTAATCAAAGATGATAGTTTTGTCACTTGGATATTTTTTATCATTTACTGTGATCTTTCCTCTTACAGTTTTTAATTTTGCAGTTCTCTAAGTTACAACAGACTTTGGTTTCATGTATGCATTATTTAAAAAGAATTTGAAATCGATCTCCGTTTAAACATCCTATGAATCAGTATACATTCTAAATTTGTAATCCATATCATCCAAAAACAACTTTTTATATACCAATAGTTCCTTATTCTCTTTGATCGTTGGTTATAACCAGTAATCAGGCATCAATTCCTCATCCGATTTGATTACATTTTATTAAATACATCTCAAATCATCCATGAATGAAATGCAATTCAATAATAAGAAAAATGTCTTCTTATTCATTTTTGGAGTTAGTATATCATACAATAAAGAGTAGTCCCTCTCATCTTCCAATGATAAATAACAATTTAACAGTATCTCCAATTGATCTGCCATTAATTTTAATCTTTAAGTGAAATCATCCTCTCCTGTCAATTCCTTACACTATAATATCCTTCCAATCGATTGTCCTGGGAATTTAGCTAATCGTTTTCTGTAATCCATTTTATTTCTTATGAAAATCTGAATTCCTGCTAAAATTGTGTTCTTATAAAATCTGTATAATCTGCTTACAAATTTGTGTCTCGAAATACTAAAAATCATAACTATATGTAAAACCCTATTCCTGACACTTTCTGGAACTCTGGTAATGCCAATCTAATTACTGATCTGTATTTCATGGCTGTAGTGACCAATAATTTTAATTGTTCAGTGTTCAAACCAGGTCTTGGATTCATTATATCTTAATAGATCGCCTTCAAAGTAAATGGAATTTCAATTTTTATATCGTACATTGATTCCAACACCTTAGCAATTTCTGGCCATCTTTTCTGTCCACGTTCTTAAACCAGTTATTTTAAAGTTTCTGCGATTTTTGGATTGTCTGTACACTTTTTTAACATTTCCTAATTATATTATTAGATTTCATTAGAGACACACTACTTACCTGCAAAATATTGGAATATTAAAAAAAAAAAGCATACAAAAAATTTTACACTAAAAAAATATTAACTCGTCAATATTCAAACAAACACTTTAATTATTTTATTATTGTCATTCCAAATCAAAATATCTAAAATAAATAATTTTAATATTTTCTATGTTATTGCCTTCAACAAATCCACTAATTCCATATAGCTATCAACACTATAATCTTTCTTTGAATTCACAGAAAACCTAAGCCATATTAATAGTAGTTTAATTGAATTCTCTTCTTCATTTCATTTGAAAGAATTTAAATATTTGCATTTATATTTCAAACTAATCATTATGAATGATAATTGACAGGATTTGTTAGATTAAATAATTAAAATTATATTATAATTTAGAAGCAAAATAATATCAATAAAATACTCATTAAAAAATTACCATTATTGAAGATTAGTATTTAACAATACCAATATGTATTAAGATTATGAAATAATAAAATTTTAGGATATCACTTTGAGTCGACATATCAATTTAAAAATTTGAAATCAATAACTTTAGCAATAATTGATTTTTCGACTTTAGTCTTGATTCCATAGTCAAATTAATTTTGCATATTGTAATCTAACAAGAATTTACGATCTTAATTAGATTAGCTTGGTATTTCTAAAATTCGTTATCTCAATTTTAGTATCCTCGAATCACTTTCTCTAATTATTAATAGGATATCCTTCATTGAAATACTATACAAATAATCAAATTTAATTGAATGTTAGAAATAAAGAGACATATTATTGTAAAGAAAAGAATTACATTAAAAAAAATAGGAGTATTTTTATCCATCATATTGGATTTGAAAGTATATATGCTAGGTATCTTAATCATGATTTTAATTATATAAAATAAATGATTCTTGATACGAATTTTTGATTCAAACTGCAAGAGATCTTCAATACTATAATAAATAATAAAATGATGCTACAAAATTGAATGTGCTGATAGACACTAAACTCAATATACACCTTCAAACTCTTAGACTGAAAAGATCTACAATATTATTATAATCATACTTATTGTTCAATTAATTAAAAAATTAATATAAATTATATTAAAATAATTAAAACGCATTTTTGTGTGAAATGATAAAAGTATGGATGCTCTTAGTTTTGATTTGCCTTGGCTAATGTTAAGATTTATTAACATCAATGAAAAATTATGCTGATGGAATAGTTTAATCAAATATAACTTAGAAAATCCTTTTAGATTTTGCTCCATTGTTATTGCCATTAACTATATTCTCAATTATTTTGATCTAATTGATGAAGTTTTGTTTCAAAAGATAAAAATTTTATGACAAACTTCCTTAAACAGAATAACAAGCGAGTAACAAAAAAGTGAGATTACCATTAAAGCATAAATTGCAATTATTCTTTATGAGATATTATTGTTAAATTTTGAGAGTATTTAAACATTGATTTGTTATTTATATTTGAAATTAATTAATTTAAATTCAAAACCAATCATTCTACTAAACTTGATTTGAAATATTATAGAATTAATCATCCGATACATCACTCAAGGCATCCTGATTGAATGAATCATTCTCAAACATAATTTATTCCTAATGTTGATGCTTTTAGTTTTATTATATCTAAATTAACAATAGTGTTACTTCTATAGATTTACAAGTCTTCTTCAAATTTGAAACATTATATGATGTATTAGAATCAAAAGTAAAAGCACTGCACCAGGAGTCTAAATTATCCTAAACTAAGTAATCATAGCTTCTAAATTAAATTAGGATGAGCCAAATACTTAAGATTAGTCCAAACTTATTGAGAGATTGAAAATTTTTCAATTGAATTGCTATTGCCTCCACATGCATACAAATCATTGTTATAAATGATAAGTTTATTTCTCAAATCTCTCCCTTCCGTCATCATACTAATAATCTTAATGGTTTGATTATTTGTATCAAAGACTTGCAAACTGTTAGTGAATCCTTAATTAGAACTTAGATATTAGATCAATGAGTATACCCTCCTCCTAAAATGAGAATTTAATTATCATCATAAGAGAGTGCTGCTGCATTACTGAATCCTTACTTGAACTTGACTTCCAAGACCTTCCATTGATTATCTTTGACAGAGTATCTCTCTATCGTATTTTATCTCTCTCTTCCATCGAATCCTCCAAAGACATAAATATAATTATTCAAGGCAGTAGCTGCAGCAAATGCACACTTCTACTTTTAGAGTGGATCAATCATCTTCCATTCATCTGCTGTCAAACTATACTTTTCACAACAAGATAACATCTGCTTTGTAGTGCCATCATAACTTATTAGATCATTTATCTCAGATACCCTCCTATTGCGTAAACAAATCCATCCAGATATACACAAGCATGCTCTTTCCTGGGATAGTACATACTCTTCAAAGCCTACTATTAAAATCCATAAGATGGCGAAATTAACATAGCATTTCTGCTGACTCCTCCTCCTGTTATTATGATGTCTCCATTGGGTAAACTAGCTGCTGCAGCATAATAATTGTAATCAAATGTATTCTATTCATTAATTCATGACTTTATACATTGGAAATTTATCTATATTACCAATCATTTTTTTCAATGTTGTAAATTAAAATTTTATGCTTTTCTCCAAAGTAGCAAATCTAAGGATTGCTAACTTCCTTCTTAAATTGTCCATATTTAGAAATATCACCAATTAGTTTTTATTCAAAATTTAATTTAGGCAGTATTTTAAATTCACCACCTCTTAACTTTCTAAATTAAGCAATGTCTTTGTCTGCCAATTCATCTAAATTATTAATCTCTTTAATGAAATCATTTCCTTTAAAAGTCTTTGTAGTCTCTAAATATTTCAAAAAATTCTACTTAATTCATTATACTTTTCCTCCAATTTCTATTATATTAGAGCCATATTAGATAGTAATGACTGATTAAATGCTACTTCTGATTCAATCTGCTCGTTTTCAGAGTCAAATATTTTTAATAAGTTATCCTTCAATTCTTTTCTTCTTTTTTCACACTTGGCAATTATTCTATCAAATTAATCATCAATTTATTAAATCTAAGTATTATTTTATTTAAATACAAGTCTTAAGTTATCTTATTCTAATTACTCTTTGCAATTATCGAAAGTTTTCATCTATTTTTCCAAACTCTCATATTGGGTCTTTAACTTTGATTAGATGCTACTTACTCTATTCATTTATAAAGAGACTAGATTTAACATAAATCAATACCTGAATGCTCATATTTAAAAAATTTATGACCATAATGTTCAGTAATACATTCTGTGCACATATTTGATTAATCATCTTCGCAATAAAACTACAATGGGTATTTCTAATGTTTAGAGCAGAGTTCAAATGTTTTTCTAATTGTTAAAGGGTCCAGCTTACTATTCTTCCTAATGCTTAGAAGCCAAATCCATGGCCACAAAATTCTTGCTTAAATTATTTGGTTTAACATTCGGTTCATGTTTTGTCCTGCAAATAGGACATTCGATTCTCTTACTTACTTTATACATAGTTTCAAGACATATAGTGCAGTAAGTGTGACCGCAGAGTAGGTTTCTTGCCACTCTATCCGGAGCATAGAATTCATAGCACATTGGACATTCCATTTATTATATTTAATATTTGCATTATTGATTTGAATATAATTTTATTATAAAAATATAAAATATTTGATTACTGCTGAATTTTCAATTATTTTGTTTAAATAAGGGAATATCAACTCTGTAACATCCTGCAGAATCATCATCTTATTCATCTAAGTTGTTATCTAAGTCTTTATTGAATTTAATAGTCTTTTTGCTTGGATAATACTTTGTATTTGTAATAATTTTGCCTCTTACTGTCTGAATACTTCTCTTCATTGGTTTCTCTTGAATCAATTCTTTTGATAACTTCTTGAACTTATTATATTGATATTCCTCAATATAGTACTTAAATTCTTAATCTTGTTAGAGATCTTTTGAATCATTGTACATTTAATATTTTAATTGCATATCCGATACATATAAAAACTGATAAACATCCAAATTCTTGTTTTTCTCTATTGAATCCTACAGGAAATAGTCAGGCAACAACTATTTGTCTGATGTAATCAAGTTTTAACTAATCATACGTAGATCATCAAGAAAAGATAAGCACAAAAGAGTTCGAAAGAATTGATTCTTATTCATCTTCTATTTTATTTCTTCATAATAGACTGAACGATCCTTATCTTTGTTGATTGAATATGTTAATAATAGTTCTTTAAGACAATTTGCTGCTTCAATAACCATGATACAATGTTCATCATTTGGCTTTAAATCCAGACATTTGATTAGCCTAACGATGTTTGCTTTTGGAAAATTAGTTAGTCGTTTTTTCTATTCAGTCTTATTCTTTACAAAGACCATTATGCCTTTCTCTATAGCCTTTTTAAAGATTTACTATGCTCTGCTAGTTAATAAATAACATGAAATTCTTAAAGTACTATTAAATAATATACTTAAGTCCACTTCGTTGAATAAACTTTTCAAGCGTGGATGACATATCACATCGACACTCAATAATAGTTTACATCAAAATTTATAAATTATTGGATTCTATTTCAGGTTTAGGACAGCAATAATCCTAGTAAATCTATTTTAATTCATAGGGTATATCAATCTTTATATCATGAAGTGTTTCCAATTATTAGGCAATAAGAGGCCACCTTAAGACTTACTTCTAGCTTTCAACAAAGTATTTTAAATTTTTTCTTAGTTCTTCATTTTCTTGAAACATCTTTTTCATGATTTTTTTATATTTAAATCAAATGTCATAAAATGTGCTATTTAATTTAATTAATTAGATTTATTAAAATAAAACACTATTTATTTAAGTATTTATCTACTGAAATTAGACAATGAAACATCATTCACAAATTCTGGGTTTAAATTAAATAGCTCAGCTGCTTGATTATGTATTGAGTAAGTGTTAATTCTAAAATCAGAATTTTTGACTACCCTAAAATTAGTTAGAATGGCTTTGTTTAGTATAAACCAAAATTTCTAGTTCTATTGAGATTCTAGATAGATATTATTGCACACTTAAGAAGGAACATATTTTGATTTTTTTCAACGCTTCACACCAAATTATTAGAAAAAATATAATAAAAATACTATTTTTAAGTTTCAAATATATCATTTCGAGGTTTAGATAACTAGAATTTTACTAATAAAAGTAAGATATTATTTGTTAGGGAGGAATCATATCCTTAAATTAGCTCAGTGTTTTAATTATCATCTTTACTTCATGTAATAATAATCATTTTCATTAAATTTTTACCAATCTCATTTTAGAAAACTTCTCATTATTGCTTGGACTATATTTTTCTTTTTTGTAAATGTAATTTTTATTTTCTTTATCTAATTCTGAATTTTCTTTTTGCTTCACCTGTTCCGTATACCTTGTCAATTATATTTTATCAAAAAATAGCATATTGTCTCTTACAGTTCTTGAAGTAGGGTACCACAAGAAAGTGGCTGCATAATCTCTTGACCTTTAACTATTAATACTAACAGTCTTAGAATGGAATTGGACCACAACTCGGAAAGAGTTGATAAGAGTTCTTTTTCTTAAAGTGAAATTTTGATTGATTTATAATTTATAGAACTATTACAAAGAGTAATAGACTTTGGTACTTAGAGAGAGATGGAGATAGAGGTTAGATAATAAGAATCATAATCAAATTACAATTATTAATTGTACATGTATAATATAATGTATGTTTTATTTAACTTTTCATAATCTTCTTCCTCTTCTACCTCCTGGTCTTCTAGTAGAATCGGTTGGGATTGGAGTAACATCTTCAATTCTACCGATTTTGAGTCCCAAACGAGCCAATGCTCTTAAAGCAGCTTGAGCACCTGGTCCTGGTTGTCTGGTATCGACACCTTAGTATATGGGATGGATGTAATACCTCCTCTTGCTCTTAATTTAATATGCAAAGCGTTAATTTTGAGTGTTTTCAACTTTTCATAAACATCTTTGGCTGCTTGCATGGCTGCATATGGTGAAGATTCTTCTCTGTCAGATTTGACTTTCATTCCACCAGTGACTCTAGCCAATGTTTCTCTGCCTGTCAAATCAGTGATATGAATGAAGGTGTCATTCCAAGTTGACAAGATGTGAGCTACTCCAAATACTAATTCATTTCCTGCAACATTTGGTCCCAAAGTAGCAACAACTTATTGAGTTGTTTCTTCTCCAGTTTTCTTTCCCTTCTTTCCTTTTGGCTATTAAACAGGTTATTCTTTTTTGTCAGCCTTAATTTAATTGTTATTGTTACCATTCTCTAAAAATTAATTTAAATCTTTTTAATATAAAAAATAGAAATCCTGCAATTATTTAATTAATATAGACACACTCGAAAAACAAAACAAGGCACTCAACACTCAATAATAATTATTAAAATAAATGAGCGAAGAAGAGAAGGTAAATAAAATCAGTCCCAATACAGTGAATGAATTAGTGAAGAATGATAAATATGGTCATTTAATTTAACTCTACCTAAAGAAAGATCCAACAAGGTATTACCATACTCCACCCTATTATAGAATTAAAAAGTATAATAGCATTCAAAAAGGCAATAAAATATATCATGTCAATCAAGATGTGGCTGTCTGTGCCTTAAATGATGATATCTATTCAGCTAAACTCATTAAAATTTACTGCATCAAGGATCCCTCAGACACTTTCATTCCCATCATTTAAGTTTAATGGTAACTCTCTTATCTCCATCTCTTAGGTATTACTCTAAATAGGATCTCAAAATTGATTAGAAACTGCTTAAATGCATTTCTGATAAAGAACTCTTCTTTTCTACTCATTCTGAATATTTGCCTGCAAATAAAATACAAGTCGGAATCAAAATCCTCACTTTCGAAGAATACTCTGATCTTGAATTCGAAGAGGAAACGATCTTTTTCAGTAGAGCTGCAATAGATCTAGATTCAATGGAACCCAGACCCAATGTTAAATTATGGAAAAAGAGTTGTGTTTGTTAATTGCCATAAAACCCTGATCTGTAGATGATTCAGTGTGATGAATGTGATAACTGGTATCATTTGGATTGTGTCGAACTTCAAGATCAAGATATCACTAAGATTGATAAGTATTTATGTCCAAGATGTAATAAATGATTTTTCATACAAACAACATTTTTTATTGTACTAAATATGTATATATCATTCTGCAGCAAATTTGTTTTAGGTTTTCTTGGTTCTCTAAGCCTTGTTCTTCTCTCTTCTGTCGTTTTATTCTTTCTCGATCTTGTCGACTCTGACTTTCTCTTATTTAGTTTCATGAATTGCCTCGATCAACACCTTCTTGTTCTTATATTGATTACCCTTTGAAGCCAAATAGAATTCATGATATCTACTTTATTAACATTCATTACTATTATCTATCGATTTTCTTTGCTGCTCTGTATTTTCTAAGTAATCTTCTCAAAACTCTTTGTCTTCTGATCCAAAGAACTTTGGTTGGCATTCTTGCCTCTCTTGTACCTCTTCTCTTACCAGTACCAGTGTGTCTACCTCTTCTCTTTGCTTCAAGGAATCTTCTTGCTCTAGCTCTTGAATGAATTGTTCTCAATCTTCTCATAATCAAACCATCTTTAATTAATTTTCTAATTGACATTCTTGAATTTGCAAGACTGATTTCACTTGCTTCATTTGGGTCTAACCAAACTCTGTTAACACCAACCTTTAATTAAGTTGAAGCTAATCTTTTTTGGAGTCGAAGGTTTACCATTAAAAAATAATATCTAAATTTTTAAATTTTTTCACATGCAATCACATTATTTATAGAAAAAACTAAATATTTTACATTCCTCTATTTATCTAAGATATCTCCTATATCTCAATTTAACTCCTATCTATTTGATAATTTTAACAATTACTTCAAGAATATTTAATATAGTCCACTATTTATGGTCATTACTCAAACTTTCATTCATATTATCCAACTATTGCTGACTTTTTAAAGGATAGCTTTATATAGTTGAATGGAAATTTGAAAACTACTGCCCACATTCCTTTAGCTTCCTCTTAAAAATATATCCCAACGTCCACACACTTAGAACATCAAAGATTCCTTAACAAAAATTATCAATACAGAATAGCTATTTGTTACAAAGAACTGTATAGAACAATTCAAGAATACAATCTAAAAGATGGCAAATATTAGTTTTGTTTGTAATTTGCATGAAAATAATAATTTACCTAAATGATTTGGCAATTTTTGATTTTAACTCAAATCGCAGAGAAGATGAGACTTTATAATCTAGAGAGAATGATTTACTATGCTTCAAATAACAGAACTTAGAGGAGGTATTAATGTCAATATCAAATTATAAAATAGGAAAATATGGGAGTTCTATTAATTCTTAGACTTCATTAATGGCTTGGAACTTTGACTGGAAAGGTTATTAAAACTATAAAAATTGGTTTAAATCAATAGTAATTAAACTGTTAGATGTGCATCCAATAGGAAAACTAAAATTAAAGAAGTACTGATGTTTTTAAGGGAGTTATAAAAACTAGAGAATTGTCATTTATTACGTAGAAAACTTGAAAGATAAGAAAATTACCTGAATTTTAAAATAATTAAATGAATTTTGATTATCCAAAATCTGAATTTCAAACTCCTTAGAAGCAATTTTATGTGAGGTCACAACACAAACATAATTCGAGTCAACCTCTATTAGGATAATACTTTCGAGATATTCAAGAACCTAAAATGAGTCTAACCAAGGTAGGTTAAGAGTCTTTAAAAAAATGGGATTTCTTCTCTGATCCTTTTAGTCTACCTGAGAAATATTTAATTAGTCCACAAAACAAAATAAAGACTGAAACAACTGATTTTGGATATGATAGCCTTGATTTTATGTTGGGAAAATAAACTGATAGATACAGCTCAGGATCTCTTCAAGCACTGCATTAATAAACATAATCAGAGAAAATAATTGGTAAAAAGGTCTAGTTTTCTGAGTTAGTCTAAGTTAAGAATGATGATGGAAGCGAATCTGAAGAACCTATGACAAAGTAATCAAGACAGAAGACAAGAAAAAGCAAGTTCTCAATGAAAAGTTAGAGGTCAATTATACAAGATTGATTTTATCATACTTTATTTTAATGCCAATTTATTTATTAACCTGTCATCACTGTTCTTAGTAAGCATTCTAAATATGTTTCCATTATGTAGAGTTACAATATAGACGGATTCATTTTTGATTAACTTATTTATATAAATAATTAGTATTGTAAACAATAGTATTCTATGCATAAACAAGGCAAGAAGTTGCAGTTTGATTTTTAAAAATAGTCACCAAGAAAGTTTTAAAATTTAACTAATCATACTTAAGAAAGTGAATTATAATCTGATCCTTATGGCCTAGTTCAAACTAGATTTGAGAATTCTATGTAAATGAACATCAAGGAACATGTTGATTAACTCTTTGTATCAAACATCTTGTCCTATTTAGAACATTCTAAAATCCATTAAAGATGATTTAAAGCTAAGTCGAGATGACATGAATATTATAAAGAACGATTTACAAAAAATGAAGTCTAATCAATGTAGAGATGAAGATCGATTTACTAAGTCTCTTCTCTAAGATGTACCCATTTAAATGCTAATTAGATGAACAAGTAGAAAAATGAATTAAAGAAATTACAACTTATGACATCAACTGCTTATGGAAGTCTTAACTAACAAATCTCCTCATTACAGAATGACAAGGATTTCATCAAAGATAATTCTAATCAAGTTGAATTGGATACTTAGTTGATTGAAACCGAAATTGGATTTAGGAGAATATATGATATATGATAGAAATAATTAATATTTTTTAACAGATATAGGTTAAATTTTAGTGATAAATGTCTCTCGAATAACTTTAATGTTATGAGGATGATCAATATTATGATCAATCTATCAAATCAAATTAGCAATAATCTGTATAGTCCATTGACTCCTTGAAATCAAAAAAATCTATAGGATCATTAGAAAAATTGGTTTCTCAGAAAAAGACAAAGGATTCCACTCTCAAACTCGAACTAGATTAATTTATTGGATTATTGTAGAAATTTAAGCTATCCTAACTTAAAAATGATATCTCTGTTGTCATGAGTACCGAATAAGAAGAGTATTATAGCTTTTAGCAAAAACAACCTTAAGATAAAAATCAAATTATGCTTGAAGGTTATTAAAAGTGTTTCTTAGAAGCAGTCAGAGCTATTGATCAAATGGTTACTAATCCAAAAGATCATATTTTTATTTGTGAAAATTTAGACAAAATGAAAATGATTTATGTATTATTAGAACTATTTAGATTATGCATATTTAGAGTTATTAAGGAATGCAAAAATCTGTAAATCTATGAAACTATTTTAAAATAGACATTGATTGATGCTGATTAAGGATTTCTTTACTATAAAATCAAATTTAATAAAAATAAATGCTAATACAAAAATTGTAGAGTTAATTGAAATCTCTATAAATTGATCTCAATTAAGAAAGGTTAAATTATTTGGATTTATAACAAAAAACTAATAATATAAGCATTTAATTTTGGTGGCAAATAAATAATTTGAAGCACTTCAAGATAAACTACTATCAACTGAGGATGAATTAAATCAAGTAGTGTAATACTCAAATAAAACAATCAGTTAAAGCAAATACAAGTCTAAGAGACGTAATTAACAATTATGAAATCAAATCAGAAGTAAAATAATAAAGCACATCTCCACTTATTTCTAATAGTAATCCTCATAATTAAGAGAACTAATCAAATTAATCTAATATCACTACAATATCCTTTAATTAATTAAGACTTACGTCTAAGATTCAATTAAAGAAAGTCACTCTCCTCAAAAGAAAAATTTTGTCAAAAGTGAAGATAAATTTATGAGAGAATTATGAAATTATATTAGTATATATTTTATTGAATTATAATATTTTAATTAATGTTACAAAAATCATAAAATTGACATTTGATTATCAAAATAATTCTTTTTTAATCTTTATTAATAGATTTGATTAAATAATATGAATAATTAATTTTACACTTTAAAAACAATAGGGTTACTAATATTGTTAAGTGTGTTTTATCATTATGCTAATTCTTTATTCCTTGATTCTAATTTCTTAGGTATAGATATTAGCTTCATTAATACTGTGTTTCATGTAACATTCTTATCATATTTGGAAAAAAGAGTTTATCGGAAAGAATTAGTAAGGTAAATATAAATGCAATGATAATTTTTTCTTTTATAATAATAAATCTATACACACTTAAAAACATATGCACATCAAGACCACTCTTTTGAGTGAAGGATCTTCATCGTATGTTTTCCTAACAGAGGATCCTAATTATGTGATGAAGGTATTTAAATCGATACACCCTGTCTAAGCGAGAATAAAGGAAGCTTAAATTCTAGCGGCTCTAAAAAGCGATCATGTTGTTAAACTAATCACTTTTACAGACGATTACTTAATATTAGAAAGACTAAGACCTTAGGATTTGTTTGAAGTCGTAAAATCCAAAAATCTAAATCATTAATTAATTAAGGAAACATGCAAGACTTTGATAAGAATAATAAATGATATTCATAAGATGTAAGTGGTTCATCGTGACATCAAATTAGAGAACATTCTGATTGACAATACTGGGAAATTAATTGTATGCGATTTTGGATTTGCTGAATAATTAACAAGTTGCTCAGTCAAAAGAACTGTGGGTACTTTGAATTATATGGCTCCAGAATTGCATTAGGAATCTTTAATGGGGGGAAATAACAGTGAAAAAATAAATACGCAAATTCTAATTAAATCTGATGTTTTCTCGCTTGGAGTGTCTATTTTCTAAATCATTCTTGGATTTCAGCCATTCACTTCAAGTAAACCAGGAGCGAATTGTAAATTATGGAGATTAATATAACAAAAGAAATGGATATAATATTGGACTCTAATTCAAAAATTATCAAAACTTTAAATTGATCCTATTACTTAGAATTTCTTGGAATAATTTTTACAATCTGATACTACATCTAGGACCACTCTGGATGAAATATACAATCATCCATTTCTAAATTAAGTATAAGACGATGTTCATTTAATTTTCTGATTTATTATTATTTGTAAATTAAGTTCTACTTTAATTACATTGACTCTATGTAAAAGTATATATAATAATTTTAATTGCATAAAAAATAATAATTATTATTGAGAAATAATTATAGAACTTAAAAAAGGTCTAACATCTCTAAATTCATTAGAACAATCGAATTATAAAAACATCTATTTTTATATCTAATTTGAGTATATAAATGTGACAAATAAATGAATAAGAATATATTTGTGTTCATAAAAATTCTAGTGTTTTTAATTCTTTAATTTAATCACTTGGAATAGAGAGATGTGAAGAACATAAAATATTAAATCTTTTAATTTTTTTTTTAAATGGCAAGAGCATAAAAAGACACAAGACCAATTGCAGATTAAAATACATCAGAAGCAGCATGCACATACGCTGCACTCATCTTATATGAAGACAATCAAGAAGTAAAAACTATTATTAAGAGAAGATCAATGCAGCAAAATTGGCACAAATCATCAAGGCTGCTAATTTGAGAGTTGAACCAATTTGGACTAAAGTATTCGAAAAGGCACTCAAAGGAAAGAAAGTAGGAGATTTATTACATGGAAACAGTGGAAGTGCTCCTGCTTCTTAAGTTGCTACAACAACCACAGCACCAGTTGCATAATAGACTAAAGCTCCTGAAGCTGCTAAGGAAGTTAAGAAAGCTGAAGAACCCGAAGAAGATGTTGATATGGGAGGCTTATTTGATTGATAAACACCATCATTCGTACATTAATATTCAAATATTAAATGCAAAGCATCTTTGTAAAGTCAATATTTTCATAACATTCTCGATGCAATCTTAGAGTATTTCAAGACATATTCTTTATCTCATTAATTTCAATAAATCTAGGTTCCTTATTCTTAAAACTAATTTATAACATTTTTTATTTATTATAATACTAATACATAGATCTAATTTACTAAAGAAAATTTCCTAGATTTATACTAATAAATATATATATAGACATTCTAACAAACTTATCTTATTTTTTATACTATTAATTATTTCGTCAATTTTCTTTTTGGTTTCATTATTTCATCGCTTTCATGATCGTTTTCTTCATTTTTTGCCAAAATGGAATATAAAAACTATAAAGATAACCACAAAGCTAAGAGCATGAGTCAATTCAATTTATCTAATACCAGTTTTATTATTCAATGAGTAAAACTCGAAAAAATCACTAGTCTATGTATTCTATTTAAGAGAACGAATGGAATAATATCAGTACCATAATCTTTGATCATCTAACGATTTATAAAGAAAAAAATTTCAACTTTAGTAGAGTATTTGAACAAGGATATATCATAAATTTGTAAGGTTCTATCATATCCAACTAAATATGAATTCATAACTTTAATATCCTTTAATTTTTATAAATTAGGTTTCTTATAGGGTAATAAAAAATTTTAATCTATTAAATTATTTGAATACTCATGATGCTTTCCTATTAATTTGATATATTAAATTAACCTAATTTGATAACACAACATAAACTTTTTTGACTGTAAATATTCTCCTACTGTATTGAAACTATTGATGCAGCAGGTTAATCACACTTGAGAGTAACAACAGTCAAAGACACAGAATTAAAAAACCAATCAATTTTTCTGTTTAAAAAATTACATTTGGATATCACCTTAACATATTCATAATTGGTGTTTCTGATAATGTATTTTTATTCTTTAATATGCCATACTAATAATAAGAAGAAAGTGCTCCATTCTCATCTCCCACCAAGCCACTCTTGTATTTCTTGGTATAAATAAAATGTCCTTTAACAATATTAGTTTTTTTATATTAAATAAAAATAAAAAAAATATCGATACCGGGATTTGAACCCAGAATGACAGGGTGAAAACCTGTTGTTTTACCATTAGACTATACCGATCTTATTTATAATATATTAATAAAATAATAAATGGAAATTTAAGATTATTATTAGGTTGCATTATCGACTGTTTTTTTTAAAATCGTTCTATACAATATTTTAAGGTACGAAATCAAAATTCTCAACCTTTGTGATTGGGATAGAAAATTAAAAATGTTTCTGAGTAAAGTTGATATGATTGTGATATTAGAGAGAAAATTACATCTATTAGAAAAAGGATATGGAGAAAGAATATTTATAAATAAAAGATAATAAACCTCATTTGTAAATACTTTATACAGAAGAATGAACATTATATTATTTTTTATGAAGATTCCAATAAATTTAATGATTAAATAAAAGGTAAATAACTTCAAATTTAAGTTTTGGAGAAATTAAATAAAGAATAGGCTATTTTATATAATAAATAGAAATTGCAATTATATAAACCATCAAGTTGAAGTCTAGATATAAATTAATTAGATAAATAAAAGAAAATACTTTATTAAATATAAACCAAATTAGAGATTCGTTTAATATAAAAGTTGAAAACTTAACATAATAACTGAAATAATCAATAATCAAATGCCTAATTTACTAAAATAGAATTAGCTTTATGATTTACTTGAAAAGTAGAAGCTCATGCCAACTCAATATTATATAATCCTATATAAAATTCATCTACATTATGTAAGATGTCTATCATAAGTATCTCACCCGTATGATTGCATTATGCTATAATTGTCCCTAACTAATATATAATCATTAAATCATTATTAATTGATTTACAAACTAATAAACATTAACAAGGATAATCCAAATATATATTATATCTTTGTCCATAAATCTTTCTTGATTCAGTATTTTGAGCCAAACCTATTTAAGTTTCAATATATTTTAACTTATTATAAATTGTGCAATTAATACTTGATAGTAATACTAACAAAAATAACATTCAATAAATATTATATTCAATAAAATTTTTCTCTTGAGTTTGCTAAACTGCTCAAACCCATAATACCATTAAATAGTTCATATAATTTTTATGTTTCCTTTTGTCTTACTGACATTAGATCTTGTCTGACCTTTTCAAATAAACGAATTATTTACTCTATCTATCTCAGATTTCATTTTGATATCACTTTCCTCCTTTTTATACAAGGATTATATCTCCTATTTTAATTGATTATTTTCATCAGTTAAACTCTAACACTGCTCTTCCAAATCTTACAATTTTTAATTTAACTACAGATGGCATTCCTTATACTCCTACAATCGTTCCATTTCATTCTAAAAATCCTTAGTGACTACTAATTTAAACTCCTCTATTTGTTTATTAATCTCTTATTTGCTTTGTTTCATATCCTAGTGGAGTCTTCTCTTTTCTAATTTATAATAAGTTAATTTTTCTTTCAATTTTTCATTTTCAACCCTCAAAGGTTCACATTAAAATAAAATCTCATCCAACTTTTATATTTCAGTCTTCAATCTACTATTCTCTTCTCCCAAAAGGATTAATTGATCTTAGAATTGCCTTTATTAATCTTCATTTCTTATATACATTGTCTATAAATATCTTATTATTTTCTTACATTCATAGTGTCATTTTCTTATCTTAAATGCTCTATCATGTCCTTCAATTCAATCATATCTTTTATCAAATTATCCTTCTCCTATTGTAGTTTGTTTATTCGATAAATTTCCTAGTCCTTTTTCTAAATAGATTTCTGATACATCTCCTTAAGCTACTCATTCTCATCCTATAATTCATTTAATTAGCTTTGCATATCAATGATCACTTGATCTTTTTTTAGAAATTCATTTTTTAATAATTCCATCTATCATTAATGAATGGTATGCATTACTTTTTCCCTTTACTCTCTAATGAGATTGATATAATACTATTCTTGTTCTATGAATCTCATCTCACTGATCCTAAGAGACTCATGACTCGATATGAATTAAGAAGCCATGTAAATAATTTAAAATAAATCAATTCATCATATGTTTATTCATTTACTCAACTCTGCTAATTGGTCTTTCCAGATTTATGTCGTTTAATTGGGGTTGCTTGAGACAAGCGAAACTATCACTAATGAGATTTTTTGCGTTCTTTAGGAAACCCCTCTCCCTCGCTTAATCAATTCTTCTTTTCTCTTCATTAGACATTTTTAATATTGTCATAATTGCATTCATTAAAATAGTAGCTTCTTTATAATTTCTAGTTTCTTAGTACAAGAAGTATTTGTATACAACATTCTTTAAATATTCAAAATTTGCATTTTTGCTATCATCCTCTTTGTTGAAAATAATTTGATCTGTCTAGATTTATTTACTTGATATCTATTTATTTGGGACAAAATCCTATTATTTTAAGGTAGCATCCTATTCAAAGGGATTAATTTCATCGTAATCAGGTGTTGGAGTTTCATAGTTTTTGTGTGGATTATTTTTTTCCATCTCTGCTTATTTTTTAGATTATAATTATTGTTCTAATTCCTAGATTTTGGTATTCTATTTTTGAATCTCCTCCAACAGTTTATCAGTCTATTATTTTAACTTCAGTTATTCATTCATAAGATCTGATGAATTTATTTTATTAGCTCTATCTGGTTATTGTAATTATAATTCTTGAACCATTAATTAGGTTTTCAAATTTGCATTATCTTCTTCCAATTAATGAAGGGTTTGTAATTATGAATTTTTAATCTATATTATGTCATTCAATTCAATTATTTCTTTGGCCAATCGAGTATTATTGGCATCTAGATCATTAATCTATTATTTTAGTTATTTGATTATTTATTGAGTCTTTTGATCAGTATTTTACCCTTGTTTTTCGATCATTTATCTATATTTTTCTTCTAATTGGAATTTTTCATTGTTAGTTTCTTTGATTAGATTCGTTAAAGCTTTTGATTTGTCTTCGTCCTTTTGTTTAAGTAAATCAAGAATTTGATTCTGATCAAATTAACCTATTGTTAATAATACTTTAAACCCAAAGGCTTCTATTCAAATTTGTAAATCTCATCATTTAAGATTGATGAGATAGCTTAAAATAAGGTTTCTCTGTCTTTAGCAATTAGTTTATACTCTTTGTAGGTCTAAACATATTTCTCAGATAATTTATCCAATTTTTTAGTGATGGTTTTGTTTTCCTTTATCTTATCACTTATTTAGTATTATATACTTTATCCTTCAATTATGACACCAATACTTCTTTACTGAGATCTTCTAAGGGCTATTCATTATTTTCTTACATTTAATTAAAATATAGTAATGGAATTAGAGAAACAAATATACAAATTCCACTATTTCTTAACATCGTGGAAATACGCTAGAGTTTCAGCAAAAATTCTATTTTTAGGGTTGCTAGGGATATCATTATTATTTATAGGCGTATACGTATCTCTTTGCGTCAGACAAGGAGAAAGGAGATTAGAATTTTTATAACAAGACAATAGTGTAATTTCTCAATTTAACGAGAGTGTTGTTTACACAGTAAATATAGTAGATCATTCATTCAGCAATCCCTTATTACAAATGAAATTTTCATTTAACAAATATCTATTAACACTTAGACAAAACATTGCAAAAGATCATAATATAACTTAGGAAATACTTTTTGTGGATTCAAACAATTATTAATCAAATTTTGATCTATTTTTTTTAAACTTTGTGGATATAGAAACTATGTTTTTAGTTGATTTTACAAACTATTTTACAGACAGTGAGAACGACATTTTGATTTAGAATTTAAAAACAAGAGAATTGTGGTATTGGGGAAGGAATTCTTTGAAAAATGATGAATCTACCTCTTTTTACATTAAGATGATAAGAAATATCTTTTTGTGTCAATAGATTTTAGTAACCATATTTTTTGTCTCCTGCACTTCATCAATCATAATTCGTCTATTTTTGTTATCTGTGCCTGCATTCTCCTATATTATAAGTACAAATTATCCATTATAATTATAGGGAGCTTACTATAGCTAATATTCAGGTAGGAATAGGAATTGAATAATCAGGGGAATCAAGAAAATTGGATTGGAATTTACATAAGGTTATTGGAGAGAAATAACAAAGTTAAATATTACATTATCTTTGCCTTTTTGACGATGATATTCTTCTACACAGTAATTTATAATCAGGGTCTGGATTAAGCAACTTAGTTTATGTTTGGGAAAAGCATTCCATTAGGATTAAATATATATTTTATGATGTAAAATGGCTGAACATATTAGAATAGTATTTATAAATGAATTGCAAGGAGTTTTATTTTTAAGAACAAGATCTTCAATTTACTTTGTGCCAAAATACATTTGTTGTTACTACATTACATATCTATATTATCTCGAATAAACAAGTATAAATTTAATTAAGTTTCGGTTATGGATTCTATTAAATAGGTTTAACAATAGTGTTTCTAATGAGTTTGAGTACATTTGCTGCATTTTTGTACTTCTTTGAAGTTCCTGCCTTGACTTGGTAAAGAGCGTCTTTTTATACTCCAACTGAATAGCGACCAAGATGTTACTATATGCCACTATTTTAAATTGAATGGATTAGTGATATCCCTTAAATTTGGACTGTATTCTACGGACTTTGTGGACGAAAGTAGAATTTATGCTTTATTAATTATTAAGGTACTTTGAAAGGTAGCATTTGGCTTATGTTGACAGAAATTAGATTCAATTCCATTAGATCTTAGAGGACGATGAACATATTGATTTATGAATGATATTTAATAAAATTTATAATGGATTTGGAGAAACTATTATTCATCATTCATGTATTTATACTTTCTAGGAAATTGTTGACATATGTTTTAAAGATTGGGTTGTTTCTCCTTCCAGCTTTAACACTTTTGGGATTAGTCTTCATTTTTTTATTATAATTTAGAGAATAATACAAACAATTCTTGGATATATAAAGCCACGGTATATTTCATTTTCAGCATAGAGCACTTCAACAATGAGACTATATACATTTTCAACATAACCGATGCTGAATTAAAAGAAAAAAATGAATCATACTTATCAATGAGATTTACGATTAATTAAGAATTGCTCCTCATCAGCAACGATTTTCAATAGAAATACAATTTCTCTGTTAGTACCAAATTCATAGATGTTGATTTTTACAATAAAGATTATTATTCTATTTTATCCTTAGCACCAGATTTAGAAACTATGTTTATTATTGACTTCCTTGATTTCTATTAGGAAAGTAACATATCACTATTGAATTAATAAACAAATAAAAAATGGAGTTGGGATATCTCTGAGTTTGCAAGTTCATTATTATTATTTATATAGGAAAAAATGCTGTAGCTTACGATTAAAGATTATATGCAACTATAGAAACCTTGTTTAAATGTATATTGGGAATATTTTTATAATCAATATTTGCTTCATTTTACTTGAAGATACCTCTTGCTTGTAGTCCTATTATACATCTATATGAGTGTATTTTTTGTTCATATTCAATTTTAAAGTGAATTGTATTTCAGAGTGTTAGAATTAAGAATTATAAGCATAAGAAATATTGGAGGAACTTCCTTGGTTAACCAAATATTTGAATATTTTGGATAGAAATCATAAATTAAAAAAAGAGTTGCTTGATGCATCTTTCCAAATGTTTATTTTATTAGGCTTTTCTCAATTGTTTTAATTCGACGTTTATAGTTGTTCATTTCAGTTATTAACAAAAAATCACCCAGAAGGATTGATTGAAAGATTTTTTATGTAAGATTTATAATTAAATTAGATCATTTACACTAATTGAATTCTGGAGCTTCCTTTTTAAAAGAACCAGATCATCCTTTTATTTTGTTCCTAAATACATTGTACTTACCTACATTTTATTTTTCTATTATTTTCAAAGCACTATCTATGGGTATTACTATCTGGCATTTTACATTTGTATCTGCTCATAATGCACCATAATATTTTACTTTACCCTTCATTTCGAAATAGCAGCCTTGGATTGGTCCGATATGTCCCCCTACACTCCTTCATTTGATCGACCTAGAGTTTGCTACACTCCATTGTTTAGTATGACTTGGAGCAATGACATTCCACCCTTTTGGACTATGTTCTACCCTCTTTGTGGAAGAAGGTATCTTTTAAATTAAACTACCTTAGGTATTTCTAAATTTAGAATTTGGCACTTGTGGATAATAATTAAATCTTATTAAACAATTTTTTACACCAAGATGATGACATAGAGAATGATCCTGTTTAAGTTCCAAATTTGGTAGCTTAAGTTGCTTTACCTTAATAATAATAGCCAAACTAATATGCTTAAATAAATTAGTAGTTTGTAATCAATGCAGATAATATACTTGAAAATTAATAACCATAACAATAAAATTAGCCTTTGTGATTATTTATATAACTTTTTATGAAAATATTAAATTTCTTTCTATCCCTAATATTGTATATTTACACCTTTTATATCATAATTTATCACTACTAAATTATGATGTATGAATAGCATATTTATTAGGCAAATTTAAAATCATTAATTATAGAAACTACTAATTTTATTTTAAATTGACTCAAAATTTTATCAGTTTTTGAATAAAATTAATTTAAATTCAAGCAAATTTCAATGAAAAATTTATCAAGTTGAAATTTGATTGATCATATTATTTAAAGGAATTTTTGGTCATTAAAGATATTTTAAAAAATTATCATCTAATGCTCACTTATGTGAATGAAAATCCAAAATTCGCTGAAACTTTAAAGTAGCTAGTCGAATGTGGAAAAGATAGAACAATTAGATGGCCAGAAATAGCTAAAGTCTTGGAGAATATGTTTAGTATCACCATTTCAAAGCCTTGTTTACTCAAACCAGCTTATCAATCTATTATCAGTCCTAATGTGGAATTAGATAAGCAATAACATCGATTATTGGTTATAACTGTAATCAAACATTCAGCTTTAATTAAATAGGCCTTGCCTGACTTTCAAAAAACATCAGGAATATAGTAAAGTGTTATTATATCTTCAGAATTTAATCAAAAAAGTTCTAAAGTAGAATGTATCGTTCCTTTAAAACAGCCATAGAAACAGGAATCTAAGTTTTCGTGTAGAAGAAGTCAGAATATAGAAAGAGATTAGTTAGAGTGCCTGGCTCAGCTATTTCTCGTGTGTTGTAATGCAAAATACTTCCATCAGATGATCCCTTCACAAATAAATTAAAGTTTATGTCAGAACAACTGTCTATTCTACTTATGATTAGTATCGATTACGATGGAGAAGACATAACTGCACTCTATTCTACAGTGACTTAAAAAATGACAAAGAAGAACTTTCATTTATTATTGAATTGCATATCCTTCATGTTCGATTTAAAATGTATTAGTCAAGGTTAGATAACAAGAGATGAATAATTAATGCCTGATTATTGGTTATAGCCAACAATCAAAGAGAACTAGAAATTATATGTTTATAATTATTTCTTTGAGGATGACAATTGTTAGAAGTATTAAATGTATTCCGATGCAGTTGATGTTTAATAAGAAATGGATTACAAAGTGTTTTTAAATATAAATCCTATTTCTTAACCAAAATAGTAATCATTCTTGAAAAGGAATACAAAATTAAAGACTGTGAGAGGGAGAATAACCGTAAATGATAAGAAGTACCCAAGTGAAAGAACCATAATTTTTGCAGAGCCAGAAGAAGAAAGTGAGGAAGAGTTTTATGATATAAAATTTGGTAGAAAGTAGAATTGCATTTGATATGTCATATAATTTAATTAATTAGATTATAAGTTTTAATTATATAATAGATTTTATATATTAATAATAATAGATAAATATATAAATACTAAAGCTCAATCTAATTCAATAATTTAGTTATTAAGTTAATGATTATCTGTTTTGAATAACGAATTCTAATTATCAAATTTTACTTCCTTTACAATTTATCTAAGTACTTCATCATCTTCATTATCTTATGAAGAACTTGAGAGCTCATACTCTTAAACTGCTAATAATAAAGTACTAGCCATAAAAACAACATCATATTATTAATTCTCTTTATCAACTTTATTAGCAAAATTCATCAAAGCCTCTTTGACGTCTAATCCCAAACTTTATTGCCAGAATTTTGTATTACTTTTAATCCCATTAGGTTTTATATATTCCTTAGACTCCATCATTTAAAATAATTGACTATCATAAAATAATATCTTTTCTGGTTCCTTCAATCCTTATAATTTATTTTCATATATGCGTATTCTTTACTAAAACTCCTTTAAGTCTTTTTAGTCATATTGATTTCCATTCTACATCTTTTACTAATCTATAACTAAAACTTAAGCAGTTTCAAACTATTCAATTAAAATCTTCATAAAATCAACCATATCTAAAGGATTTTCAAGTGTTTTGATTGTATTTTGAAATTTTTCTCTGATCTTGTATGATTCCCATCTCAACTTTCTTATCATCAAAACATCAGTATACTTTTACACAACTTCTAGTAGTATCTTGACAATTAACTATTTTGGACTTCTATTTCCAGCCTACACTTATGATTGTTCAACATTTTTTATTGTGATTAATTCTTTAGTGTCCTAATCATTAAACAACTCACACGCCATCAATTTTTAAATATTGGTTTACAATTCTCTTTCTTTTACACCACAAACATTTAAAGTCTTAAATAATTATTAAACTTAGTTTTCATCTAATACTCTCCACTCTGAGCCATTGTTCTAATAGATATGATCAATATCATTAGAGAATATATGATAATCATACCCATGAATATCAGATCCTAAATATAAACATCCATTAATGAAAAGTCGACTGAATTCAACTAATTAAAGATACTATTTATAGATCTTTCGATATTATTGTTGTTATTGTTGAGTGTATTGGCTATCTTTCTTTTGTAATGCCTAATTGATACTGTTTAATTCATCTTGAACATTTTCCAGCACCAATCCAACAGCCTCTGTAACTTCTTATCTATATTCAATTATTATCTTAAAACTATCAGTTTCACGCACTCCTTCAATCAAATTACTTGTGATATCAGCTCTCTATTTGGCCTTCAATCCAAAATACCCTAAATCATTTTGACCAATGCTCTTGATATTTCTAAGCTCTTAATCAGTAAACAATGATTAAACATAAGGCAATTTGATTGATTAAAGCAACATTGCTGGCCAATTTTGAATCAAAAACTTAAACAGATTGTTGAATCTTAACATTTCTAAATCAGTATACTTGTCCTTAATCTTAAATGATTTAATCTGAGTATATTGTTTTGTTGATTTACTTTTCTTTTTATTTTGATCTTTCAATTTGCCAAGTTATTAATATTTGCTAATTATTTATTATCTTCTTAACTCAACACTTTCTTAATTTAAATTTCCTTTTTAATTATTGACATTTTGAATCGTATCTGGCTATTCATCTGAGTCCTACTCTATATCCATATCCTATAATTTAGTTCTTTATGACTTTTTTATTATCTTATTAAATGCTTCATAAGCAATCTTCCAAAAAGACTAGCAAGTTGGATCCAAATAATTTTCAAATTCGTATTTCTAACTCTAGAGTGTTAAATCCTAATTTATATCTTTTTCTTCCTCTTATTATTATTGTTTCTCAACCATTGATAACAAACTAATTTTTTGAGCCTTATTTCCCTTCTTTTTCATTTCATCCTTCACTTATCTTTGTTTCGCTATGTCTATGGGCTTCAATAAACCCATTTTATACTTAAAGATATCTTCAATAATAAAGGCGGTCAACTTGAAATTTATTCGATCTGATTGTTCTTGAGTATCAAACGTTGAATATTGATAACTATTTGAAAAAGTGGCATTAGTATGATAGTCTTTTATCAAATGTCCTGTTAACTTTAATAAAGGGGAAAGTAGCAATTAAAACTAATTTTAGCTATCCGACATAGCTGCGAATTACTAATTATATGGAAAGGCATTGATGAAGGTTGTAATCTCGATTTGTTGATTTAAAGGAATGGGAGAAAAGGTCTTAATTACATTCCCTTCTCTCATCTTTCCAAATTGATTACTCTAAGGAAATATCTGTGAAAATTGAACAATTATTTCATCCATAATTGGAAATATCACCTTCTTACCATTCATATAGTTTGGGAATCTCCTTTGAAATTCCTTTAGTTTAGCTTACTTTTCATTCTCCTTATTATCCATTTTTATTAATACATTATAATTTTAAACTCTCCATATTTTAATTAAAAAAAATCATTTAATTTTTTTGATTAATGTAATGACAAATTTGCAATTTTTTTATACTTAATTTTTTTAATTTACAAAGGCAAAATCATTAAGATTATCCTACTTGTACATTAATTGACCTTTTCTCTGTATTGGCAAATCAATGCAGGTAAAATACAAATTTAAAAAAGAATATCGTTTTATAATAGTATTTTATCATAAATTTTAATATTTGGGCTCATTATTCTCTTTAATATTGATAACAAATAGACTTGATATTTAAACAAGTTAGATTCTATAATTTAAGAACTGTTATTATTGCAAAGTAGTTTCTTTGATAATATCTTAGAATAGAAATAAATTTTGAATCAATGGAAAAATTTGATTGTATTTATATAATTATAATTGTAAAATTAAAAATGATTATATTTGATTTTTTGTATAATTTTACAAATTAAATTTATCTTTTAAAGTTTTTACCAAATATTATTAGTTGAATTTCTACCTTTTGATTTGAATTGTAGAAATATAATGGATTTGAAATATTGTAATAAATATAATTAAAGAAATAATTCATTTATAAAATTAATTAAAATTAACCTTCAATATACATTCGATGACTAAAATTAATATTTCTATATACTTACTTTCAGGTGCATGGGTAAATCTTTAAGTATAATGATCAAATAGTAAAATCAACGCAGATATTTATTAGTTAAAGGAATCTTTCATTTTTGTAAATTCACTCTCTATCCTCATAGTTTCTATGTTTTTTGTTATTTAATCTATTAAATCTAATGAAGTAACTCTTTCAATTAGCATTGGGTAATTTTGGACAATATCTATGACCTTATAAATAGCCTCTAAAATTGACTCTGACTAATAATTATTTAAATACTGTACCTTCTAATTGAGAAACATCTTATCAGAGATTGTTTTTAGATATAAATTATGATTGTTGATTATCTCTTAAAAACTTAAACTTTTGTTCACCTTATCCAAAAATAAGTCTGTTTAAACTTGGATAATTGATATAAATAGGAAATACTCATAATTGGTTATAAAATGTGTTAGTTAATTTCCAAAGTGAAGAAACTTTGATTATTAATTTTTAAATCTTTTTTTTAAGTTTACTTGAGATTATTGCAGGTGCAACTTTGAATTTTTGAAAAATAATAGGAATTACATGATTTTATTATATAAAATCAATGAATTTTCGTTAATGATTAAATCAATTGGATGAGGTAGAAAGATTTTGAAGTTAACACTTTTATGGGACAATAAAAATTAGGAATTTTACTAACAAATCAATTATGGTTGTAATTCATAAGCATTATTAAAATTAAAGTTCCTACTCAATAAATCTTAAATAGTATTTTGGATAGCTCTTAAGCGAGCCAGAGACTGAGATTCTGCAATTTATTCTATAAATTGTTGCATAAGATCCACTCTTTCAAAGAAAAATAAACATCTTAAATATTTATGTAATTTGATGAATTGCAAATGATTATTAAGATAATCTAATAGGATATTTTAAATATTTTAATCTTCCTTTTTAATGAGTTTGACTATTTCTTTTTGAAATACTTTTATTAAATTAGGATTCTTAATATCTTTGATTGAATATGATTCTTATTCTTAAGTTAATATCTCATCCTTTTTTAATTTAGTTAAAGTAAAAGGCTCATGAAACTTATGGCCTCCTGAGAGTGTGCAATATTATAGAGTAGTCTATATAGATTTTGTTGGAGAAGTCTCAGATACTTCGCATAATCTCATAATAAGATTCTTTCTAAACTAAATTTACTTTAAAGCTGGCAATCCAACTTTTTAGAAGATCTAAAATGCTTGACCTATATTTTTTAATTAGACAGAACAACTCTGCAAAAAGACTGGAAGATTTTCAAAAGAATCTGTAATGGTAGAATTATAATCTAAATATTTATCTAACAGTTTTATGTATGGTTCCAAAGCAAATAAAAATAGTTTCTGAAGATAAACTTAATTATGTTGAGGTTGGAGCGAATTTTAAATGCATAAGTTATATAAGATAGTAAGTGTAGGTGAATTGAATGTTCCATTATTTCCTTCTATTGTTGATATCTTCTGAGCAACAAGATTGATCTATTTGATAATGACAAACCAATCCTATAAACTCTGGCTTAGATACATTAAAGTAATAGATCTATCTACCTTTTGTTAACACAATTTTTCATCATAAATACATTATTCCAATAGATGTGTAACTGCCTGATCAAATTCACTTAGTATAGATCTTACGCCCAACCAAAATTACTCCTGTATTAATATTTCAATGTTTAATAATGATGGTTTTTAAATCATATTTAATGGTTTTTTTAAATGACATACAATTGTTGCATATTCTAAAAACTTTTGAGTGCTGCTAAGAAGACTGTCATGACTCATGTGACGAACATCAAAATCAGTCAATTAATATTATCCTGAAGAGAATGTTAATAGATCACTTTGCAAACCCAAAAAACTATATAATACTGCAACAACTACATCCTTTTCGTTTGTAATCATACTAATCTAAAAAAGAAAAATGTTACTTTATAATCCTTGGTTTTTTAAGAATTTCTTATGATTTATTTTAATACTCTGATAAAAATAGTTGTGATGATCTTATTTGAAGGGAAGAATCAGTTGAACTTACAAATTCATTAAAAGACTTTTTAGTATTAAAACTCATATGCCATAGCACATTGGGCAATTAGTCTTTTGAGGAGATCAAAGTTTAATTCTATTAGGCTTTCTATTAGACTTCTCTTGTAGTTTCATTTCTTTAATTAACTTAAATATCTTCTTGCTTATTCTCTTCTTCATCCTCTTCTTCTGAAGAAGTTTCAAACTTCCAATCCTTCAATGACTGCAAAATCGATATGCTATATTTACTTCTATGCTTGAAATTGACATGTTGTCTTATTGCTTTCTCTTTAAAATATTTTTGTTTGGCTCGCGATTCAAGTTGTGTTCAATCAAATTAGAACTTAAAAGTAACAATAAACCCAAGATGCGATGAGGCATATCATTGTAATCTTATTTTAATTTCCTTTTCTTTAATTCTTAAAATAGAGTATTTAAGTAATCAGCAGTGTCAGGTCTGCTCATGACTTACAGTTTTATTAAAATGCTTATCAATATGTCAATATAATACTCTTAAAATTTAGCTTCTATTTGATGAGCATCAGGATCCAAGAATGTGTGATATTTCAAATTTGAACTTGCATATTTGTGGGCTATTTCAAAATTTTTTTGGGATGGCTTAATTTAAAAAGTAATCTTACTCCAAACCCTGTGAAATAGATGATAAACTTTTCCAAATCCTCTTCGAATTATTATTCCCTTTATTTTTGAAAATTGGACATTCAATTTTGAGGGAAAATTAAAATTTTTAATATAAAATTACATAATCACTCAGATGTCATTGAAATCAAAATTTATTCCCTTTTACACTAAAGAATGAGTTTTTCATTGAACATATCTTATTCTCAGTGAATAAATTAGAATTTTTATATCTAAAAAGAGTTTTAATACTGTCTTTAAATAATATTAATCACAAATAATGAACCAATTTGTTTATTTTAATGATTTGAAGGAAATGCAACAGTATGCCATGAAAAATTCGCTCTCGCTGTATGCATACAAGAAAACTGTCTATAATTTGACTAATTATGCTGAGAATCATCCTGGTAGTGAAGCTTACGTGTTATATTATGAAAATCAGGATGTCACGAATGCTCAATTCAATAAGAATATTCTCAAAACACACAAAGAAATCATATCAACGTTGCAAGAATATATAATTGGATATATTCAGAAACACGAGAAATAAATTATTTAATTCAAATCCTCTAAATCCATTATCGAATAGACAAAAAAAAGATTAAGAGAAACCACTGTACCATTTTATGAAAATATTCCCAAGGATTGTTCTATTACTAAATTGCCTATATTTACTACCCATAATTAATTTCACTCTCAAAAGTAAATTAGAATATCAAAATGAATCTTAATATAATTATATATATTATTATTCTTATATTAATACTTATAATTAAATATTTGTCTTAAACAGAAATTCATTCTGTGCAAAAACTTAAGAGATAGTTAGAGACAAATATTTGTCATAATGATTTTGATTTTTATTATTTTTCAAATAATAATAAAAATGAATTCAAGCCATCCAACTTATGCGCCAAAGATAGGAGCAAACAGTTGAATTCCTCTATGCACATTTCAATATTCATCATGATTAACAGAGAAACCTTCGAATTAACCATCTGTTTATCTTATTTAAGATTGGGGAGTTTCGAATATTTTTTTTGGTTCAATCTTGCTTTCTATTGATTTTTACTATAATATCTTTGCTAGACCATCTAAAATTGGCGATTTTGTTCGTAAATGATAGATATCATCCCAATTAATTTAAGAAAAAAATGAATGTTTCTTTATTTAATCTACAGACTTACTCCCTTAATGTTTAAATTAACTTTACCTAAACGATTACGGGGATCTTTATTTAGCAATTGAGATATGATATCCTTGGCTTCAGTAGATAGGAAATCTGGAAATACTATCTCATTTTAGATAATTTTGTTCTCTATCATCCTTAAATTATTAGATTTATCTCTAAATGGTGTATAACCTACGAGCATCTCATAGAGTAATATTCCTAGACTCCACCAATCTACAGATGTATTGTGTCCAGATTTCAACAAAATTTCTGGGGCTATGTACTCAGGTGTACCAACAAACTAAACTTATAAATAAATCTAATTAATACAGTAAAGAACTTCATATCCTACTTGTCGTATTATTTTGATAATCCGAAATCTGTTAATTTCAAATGTCCATCCTGAGTAACTAAAATATTATCTGGTTTCAAATCTCTATATACAACTTTCAAAGTCTCATGTATGTATTCTAATCCAAGAACTACTTCAGCAGCACAGAACTAAGCTTAAACTTATGTGAGCCGATTCTAATAGTACTTGCTAAGAATCTTTGAAAGCTGACCTCCAGTGACTAATCTAAATTTTCCATATGAACTTATTACTCCATAACTAAATATAGCTTTTAATCTGTTTAGAATGAGTATTTTAACTTGACAACAAAAGGGTTTTTACTACGAATAAGCACACTTTTTTCAAGCATTGTATGTTCTACCAATCCAAATTGAATGATTTCCGATTTTTTAATTACTTTCATAGCATATTCTTGAGCGCTGTTCTTCATTTTAACTCTAAAAACCTTACCAAATTAACCCTAAAAATATACATACATTCTTAACCCTTCCTATCTAGCCTTGACTTAAAAAGTCTTTTAAAGCTATTTTATTGGCATCCAAGTCTTAAAGGGACTGAGACTATTACTAATCAACTTTCTTTAGTGATTTTAGGGATGTTTTGGCATTCTCATCTTAATTGAAGCAATTACCCATATTTGATAAAAATTAAATCCTTTTTTTTAAAATATGTCTTAAAAGTTCAAGGTTAAAAAGCTGAGAGATTAAAAGTCTGAAGATCTCCTAAAAGATTTAGAGAAACTCAAAGGAGAACTCATTTAATTACGAACAGTTAAAGTTTCAGCTGGTAATGCATAAAAACTTGGCAGAATTGGAGTAAGCATTTAATCAATGCCTTAAGCTTGTTAGAAAGCGAATTGCTAAATTTTTGACCGTGATCAATGAATAAAGAAGAAATTCTGTGAAAACTGCAGCCAAGTCAAGCACTAAACTCCCAGTTGATCTCAGAGGTAAAAAAACTAGAGCAATTAGATAAAGACTTACAAGAAGCGAAAGAGGTAATAATAAATGATAACTAATCAAAGCATAAAAAACATAAAGACAATGGAAAAGATTGAACAATTTCCCATTAAGAAAGTTTGCTTTGAAAGAATGATCAATTATATAAAATAGTACAATAATGATATGCCAATTGTAAATATCAACCATCATCAGATTCATAAGTTATAATCAAATCAATACCATTCAGAATTTNTAGACTCCACCAATCTACAGATGTATTGTGTCCAGATTTCAACAAAATTTCTGGGGCTATGTACTCAGGTGTACCAACAAACTAAACTTATAAATAAATCTAATTAATACAGTAAAGAACTTCATATCCTACTTGTCGTATTATTTTGATAATCCGAAATCTGTTAATTTCAAATGTCCATCCTGAGTAACTAAAATATTATCTGGTTTCAAATCTCTATATACAACTTTCAAAGTCTCATGTATGTATTCTAATCCAAGAACTACTTCAGCAGCACAGAACTAAGCTTAAACTTATGTGAGCCGATTCTAATAGTACTTGCTAAGAATCTTTGAAAGCTGACCTCCAGTGACTAATCTAAATTTTCCATATGAACTTATTACTCCATAACTAAATATAGCTTTTAATCTGTTTAGAATGAGTATTTTAACTTGACAACAAAAGGGTTTTTACTACGAATAAGCACACTTTTTTCAAGCATTGTATGTTCTACCAATCCAAATTGAATGATTTCCGATTTTTTAATTACTTTCATAGCATATTCTTGAGCGCTGTTCTTCATTTTAACTCTAAAAACCTTACCAAATTAACCCTAAAAATATACATACATTCTTAACCCTTCCTATCTAGCCTTGACTTAAAAAGTCTTTTAAAGCTATTTTATTGGCATCCAAGTCTTAAAGGGACTGAGACTATTACTAATCAACTTTCTTTAGTGATTTTAGGGATGTTTTGGCATTCTCATCTTAATTGAAGCAATTACCCATATTTGATAAAAATTAAATCCTTTTTTTTAAAATATGTCTTAAAAGTTCAAGGTTAAAAAGCTGAGAGATTAAAAGTCTGAAGATCTCCTAAAAGATTTAGAGAAACTCAAAGGAGAACTCATTTAATTACGAACAGTTAAAGTTTCAGCTGGTAATGCATAAAAACTTGGCAGAATTGGAGTAAGCATTTAATCAATGCCTTAAGCTTGTTAGAAAGCGAATTGCTAAATTTTTGACCGTGATCAATGAATAAAGAAGAAATTCTGTGAAAACTGCAGCCAAGTCAAGCACTAAACTCCCAGTTGATCTCAGAGGTAAAAAAACTAGAGCAATTAGATAAAGACTTACAAGAAGCGAAAGAGGTAATAATAAATGATAACTAATCAAAGCATAAAAAACATAAAGACAATGGAAAAGATTGAACAATTTCCCATTAAGAAAGTTTGCTTTGAAAGAATGATCAATTATATAAAATAGTACAATAATGATATGCCAATTGTAAATATCAACCATCATCAGATTCATAAGTTATAATCAAATCAATACCATTCAGAATTTATCTGATATAATTGCATTCATTTAATTTCTTTTGCTTTCATAATATTAAGCTTAGAAATATTAATGATTTTCAAAAACACACTTAGTAAAATAATAAATAAAGCAATAGGGAAGTTTATAATAATCAATTCAATTATTTGTCAGTCTGATATTTCAATTTAGCAAAACAAATTTAATCATTTACCATGGGATTTTCTATTTAAAAAATTATTTATTAACATAACCCTTCTGCTGGAGAAATACTTAATTAATTCTGCTATTTTAATATAACTTCAAATTTTAATATAATTTCTTCACTATTTCTTTTTCTTATAGATTAATTATTTATTTATAATATTAAAATATATTATTGATTATTTATCCAGCCCATTTTATCACTTTAGGTTTCTTTTCTCATTTATAATGGTATAATTTATTTGTTAAGGAGATATACACATTAGTAATTTCTCTTAAAATAAGAAATGATTAGTTAAATAGATTCAAATTTTAAACACACTAATGCATTTTCAATAAAAATTATACTAAATGAGTACTGCCTTATTGATATATTCATCTAATTATATGTGATTCAATTTAAATCATATTCATATAGGTTTTATAAATAAAAAATGAAAAACAAATATTTGAACTAATATTTTTAATTATTTTGTTTTTGCTGAAAATAAAAATCTATACAAAAAATTTGAATAATTAATTATTACGATTGTTACAATAAATTAAATTATGAATGATTAAGGTTGGAAATAGCAATGAAATTTTCTTTTAGATTGAAATTAAAAAATATTTAGTTTTCTTATTTTAGCCATATAAATTTAAAGACTAATTTTTATTTATCTGTCATCTTCACCTGATTATTAAATACAATTATTTTTACTATATACAATATGATTTGCATGTGAAATCATACATTTAAAAAATAAATGTATTGAATAAAGAGCAGATTATAATTTATTTATTGTTCAATAGATTAAAGCGTAATAAAGTATTTCACAAAAATTATGTTAACTTGTATAACTAACTTCTATAAGTTTGTATAATTTTTGTTGTTCAGACTCAATAATTATCTTTTTATCCAATCTTTTACTTGATTACATTCCAAAAAATTTAACAGTTTCAAAAATAGAATCATCTTATTTGTTCAAATGATTATTAATATTAAATATCCAAAAGAATATCACCTTATTTAGATATCAAAATATAAAAATAAGTTATTGTGTATAGATTGAAATATAAAAATATATTATTTTCAACTAAGAGAATGTAATTTTTTCTACACTGCAAATATTCCTTTATAAAAAAAATGCATCAAGTAAGTCAATGGAAATAGGAATACCAACAATAGTCTATATCTAATTAGGATATATTTAATTGATTACTTATTTATTGTAAATTATTGGTAATGGTATTTAAATGTCAAAATAAAACAAAAAAAAGGATATATTAAGAGTAAGATACAAAATATAAGAATGAATGCCATGATCTTAGGTAACACCATTATATATCGCAATAAAGTTGGATGTCGCAATGGTTTAACATTCTTCATCATAGAACCAGGAACTTAAATTAATAAATGCATATATTACTTGGACATCCAAATAAGTTCCATAATCGATAATGATATCTATTAAATTTCCCTTTGCAAATCCAACAAAATTCATATTTACATTTACAAACCATATGATTACATCCGCTAATTTTTTCTATGGGGATCAAACAATTAGGGCATCTTTAACTACACTCTCCATCGTGTATTTCACCACATTTTTTGCAAACATTTGAACCGCAGTTATGAGTTTTTAAATTCTCTTTGCATACCTAATGGAATGAGTATTTCAAGTACAGAACAAGTAATTATAGCCTTTTGCTTTAATTCTAAATATTTAGGATATAAGTCTTCGCAAAATTGCTTAATTATTAAGGCGTTGTATTCCATACTGCAGGAAGGACAAGTTATCTTAAATACACTTCCAGTGTTAATTGCTTCTTTTAAATACGTGATGATGCATTCTCTTTTGATTTAAGTATGTTTACTTGCAAAATTCATGAGAACAATCTCCAGGTCTAATCAACAGTTTGTCAATGAAGCAGATTTAACAATACATAATTTTAATTTCTTAAGGCGAATGATATAAATTGTAGCAATAATAATAAAAAATTAATCAAGCATAATAAAAGATTGTCATATTTCATTTAATTTAACAATCTTTCTTTTTACGAAACAAACTAATTGGAAGGGCCTTTGTATTTAATTGTAATCAAAAAGTTAGAAATTGTATTATTGATTTTCTGAATTTACTGTTTCCTCATTTTTGATTGGAAACTTACAATTGACTGATTATTCAAGTTACTAGATAATAGATTTGACTAAGATTTCGTTCTTTTCATCTTTAGTTACTCTGCCTAATTTAATTTTATTTTCCTCCTATTTTAATAAATTATAATATCTGTTTTTAATTGTATTTTCTGTTCTTTATAACTTAAACACTTTCAATGAAATTTCAGCCCATCTCTTTCCTCTTTTCTCTATTTCCCGAAATAGTTTTAACTCTTCTTCCTTCGTCCATGGTAGACTATGAATATTTCATGGAATCAAATACCTGACTATATTTGGATCCAATTTATTTACCCAACGATCTCTGCATTATTTTCCTTAACGAATGTAGGGTGTCTTACAAATCCTCATCATTTCGATCGCAATCTCACACCATTTATTTGGATGTAATTACTATAATTAGATTAAGACTTAATCTTCAGCCGGTGTCCAACTCGCCTTCTGATGGCATTCTTCCAACCATCTATTACGACATGCCTTCCAATTGTGGTATCTAAACATCCTTGAGATTTATTCCCATTAATATGAAGTCTAGGAAGAAATAAACTAAATTCTTACTAGTTCGATGGGAATTTCCTTGTATTTCAAGCATGTACCCAATACCAATAAGTTTAAGAATTTGTCTTAACAAGGAGTCCATGTTCCTCGTTTACTATTGTAGGCTTTTTCTACAGAATTTAATATAGTATTTATTTCATCGACAGTAGGCAAATGTTAGAAGGAAAACTAATTGCTTTGAAGAACTGATTCGGCAAACTCATAATTTGGCTAAACAAACATCTCAAAAACTTATTGTCTATCTAATGGCGTTTTTTTTTGCATACTCAAAATGATGTTTATTATATTAAATGCAATAATTTATTTGCAAAACAAACTGATAAATCAAGAAATTTGATTAGATTACCAAAGAAAAGAGTGTTTTTAATTTCATCCTCCTTGATAAGGTCTTTGTTTAAGGATTCAAAGTTGTAGGGGATTTTTTTTGGAATCTTCTGTAATTCTTAAGTTTTAATTAATATTATTTTAATTCATAAAAACGTAATTAGGAACGAGTACATCATCCTTACCTGTTTTTCCCTTAATTACAACTTAAATTTATGATGGCCGTGTTATTTTAAACTTAATTAATAGACCATTAAGCACTAATTTGGCAAATAAAAAAAACTTAAGTTTGTAATTCGAAACTTTAATAATCATATTATATTAATTAGAGATAAAACTTAAGATATTAAAATAATAAATGTTGATAGGGTTAATTGAAATTATCATCTGGTTAAAAATAGTATTAATGAGAGTTTGGTTATGAATGATTATGGAAGGCATTTTGGATAGAGGAACTCTTTAAAATAATTTTAAACAGAAAATTGTTATAAGTATTTAATAGCCAATTTAGGTGTAAGTAGATCTTTTTTGAGTCATTTGAAGAATGTAAATGAAATATACATAGCATATAAAGTATTTCTTAATTTACCTTAATACATAAATTAACAATATTATTATAATTAATTTAGTTTATTTTTAAGATCTGCATTAGTTTTCAATATAAAAAGGGTCCTTATTTGAGAAAAAGAATGATTGTGATCGAGAAACAGATACAATGCAATAATTATAGAGAATTTTAAATGAAAAGGAAAATAACATTGATTATATTAAAAAGGACTTAAATATTAAATTAATTTTAAAGGAGGTTGAGGCTGGATTTGGTTTATTGTTGAATCATGATGAATTGCAAAGAGTGAGGCAACACAGAATGCTCCATAAAATGAGAATATTATATGGAATCGTGCATATAGCGTTTATTAATTTATTCAATGTTTATAAACCCTATGAACCCGATGATCTTTTGCTTCCCGTATTTTTATCAAATACCATTGCCCCAACCCTTTGTTAAAGAGGAGGCTTCAGATACAGAGAAAGAACAAACAGTCCAAAGTGTTCAAGAACAAACGAATGCTAGTGGGATAGTCAGAGGAAAAGGATAGTTATGGACTAACGATGAGGTGAAAAACTTAGTGAAATATTATAAATAATATCATGGGGATTGGAAGAAGATCATAAAACACTTGAAAGGAAGAAACATCTCTTAGTGTTCATAGAAATATAGGAAACTTTAGGATCAAGAAAAAAGAACAAAAAGAAAGTGGTCGACTGAAGAGGATAGAATATTACTAGACAGCTTCGAATTGTATGGAAGATAATGGATTAAGATTGCTGAAAGTATTAAGCAAAGTTACTAATTATAGAACTTCCCGGAAGGACATCAAAATAAGTCAGAGATAGATATGTAAATTAAATAAACCCTACAATCAACCACAATGAATGGAGTGAAACTGAAGATAGGTTAATCATGAAGGAATTTCAACAGAATGGACCAAGATGGGCCCAAATAGCCAAGCAGCTAAACAATAGATCTGTAATTCTGAAATTCTTATAATTTTAGGAAAATTAAGTAAAAAATAGATTCTATTATACAATACTCAAAAAGTATAATGGAGAGCTACATCCGTATTTGAAAATACAGAATTGATTCTCCTTATTATCACTCTATTTTGACATAATATAAATTTAAATATATATATATATGTATGTATGTACGGATCAATTACTAAATGAAGAATAAACCTAGTCATAATATTCTTAGAACCTGAACGAATATGCAAAATAGCAAGCTTAGAGAATGAAGTCTAACAGGAGCAACATAAATAGGATAGCAAAGTGGAAGATGAATCAATATGATGGATTTTTCCGATCCTCTAGAGAGATAAATATTAGGTATAACCAGAAAATAACTATAAGATTGAGAAACAGAATTGGAAAAAAGTATATTCCAAAAGAGGATGCTTATACTTTTATGTAAAAAAAGGATGGTAATAAAATTTTATTCTAATATATTTTCATAATTGTTTTTCATATTTAATTATTTTTTTCTAATTTTCTATTATCAGGAATTGTAGGAAGAACAAACTAAAGGTCTTAAAAGTATATATCATGTAACTTTTATTTATAATATATAAGTTCCTTAATCTGGTACTGATTAATTACCATCAGATTTTGGTGATGATGAATATCCACCTCTTTTATGACATAAATAATTAAAATCAGAATCTTATATTACACAAGGCTGCCACTATTATATCAACAAAATGTGCAAGTTGTTTAGTTAATGGTTCTTCCATTCCCAAGACTCCTTCACTTGGTGATAATAATTGATCTTTTTCAACCTATACTTTTAGTTTACATTTTAAACAAGTCTAGAATATGTATAAAGATTCGTTACTTCAATAACAGCAACAGTATTATTATTTTTGTCTAATAACGGTTGGGCGAATATTGGTAAAATAGACTTAATATCTACAGCTTGATTGAAATGAATTGAGTTTTTTACATCATTTATGATCAATTTCTGCTTTGTATGAGCCACCATACCAGCTAATCCATATTAAACATCATATTTCTTAACATCGTGACTGCTATAATCAACAAGTTAATTATCTTCAAAGAAGTAAAATAAGACTTAAGAGAATCCAAATATTTAACTAAGACTCAGTTAGACTTTAGAGGCGAACTCTTGTTTGCTTTAGCTCTTCATAAGATTGGTAAATCCATCCATCATCATTCCTCTATATTTCTATGTAATTATCCACGATTAACTAAATCTAGTAGATTTATTACTTGTCAATTAATCTTTATAATAGATGGCCAAGTTAATGAGATGCCAAAATGCCAAAATATTCTTCATCAAATGAAAAGAATTCATTCTCAGTATTGGTTACTTCCAGAACACCTCTGATAGCATCATTGGTTTCACAAAACAAAGGCAACAACAACGCATTTCTGGCATAATCAGGTTATTCTGATTCATTTATTCTATACAATAATGGTTTCTGAGATGCCTATGAGATATTTTGGGCTGCTCTCAATTTAAAAACATCAGCAACTTGACCCTTATGTTGTAATGCTCTAATTTGATTGCCTGTTTCTAAATAGGTAAATATGGTTCCATTCATTCCATCAATCAACCACAATCTCACTTATTCGCATCCAAATACTTGAGGTAATACTCTATTAACTTAGTGTATAATCTAAAATTAATAAATGCATGTTTACATCTTCAAATAGTATGCATTTACTAAATTGTTCCATATAAAAGAAGAACTGATTCATCTTTTCAGCAAATTCTTTATAGGATAATAATTGTTAAGCTATGATTTAGAATTGTTCTTTTTGGGATTCTACAGGAAGTGTAAAATTATGTTGACAAGTAGCCAACACACCTTTATCAGTGAGATCATTTAACAAATGTTAATTGTTTAATCTTTAACTAACAACTCTGAAATCCAAAGTTTAAGGTATTCTAAAATTAACTAATAAATCGATGTCATCTTTTCTAAACACAGATTTTTCATCTTTGCCCATATCATCCTAATTTTTCTTCCTCATATTATCAATTGTCTTCTATAATCGATTAACCAGTTATGTGTATTAACCAAGTTTTCCTTGGACTCTCTCTAATTCTTACTTCTTATGCTCGAACTCTCTTTTTATTAGTTCATTCTCTTTAAGTAATTCATTGAGACTGCTTCTCAATTTATCATTTGGATTCAAGGCAGAATTAACATCGTTTTCCAATAGAAACTCAATTCTTTTTTCTAAGGCTGTAATTTTTTTAGAATAGGATGCATTTAATTTCCTTTCTTGTTTTAGTTGTTTCTATAATTTGGAATTCTCATCCAACAATTTATTTGTCTTCTAACTATGTACATCAATCACACTTTGTAAAGATTGATTTTTATCTGATAATTTCAGTTACTTCATTTATAATGATGAATACTTAACTAGCATAAGTTAATTAAAATACTATTCTTCCTCTCTATTTCCCTCATCTTGAATCCTAATTCAATTTCAGTCTTTGCAGATTGTTATAATGTTTAAGAAATGCTCTTTAACAATTCTTAAATCTTCTATAAAGTAGTTTGATTTTTTATGTTATGGACAAACTCTTTGCCCCCAATAACTGAGATCAACAAATCTAAAGTGCTGCATCTAGATTTGAGAATTTCATGCATTTCACGAATTCGCTGCATTTTAATAAATAGTTACTAAGAGTTCTTCATCCAATTGGTCTTACTATCTATAACCATATGAGTCCTGCTCTTCAGCTATGGTGATCGTGGGTCTCTCCGCACTAATCAATTTCCTAGTGTTTGAGTTTGTAGTACTCACTGAGTTGAATTGAGTACTCATCTTTGGTAAGGCTTACATGTAAGACCTCGGAGTTCCTAATTGTTGTGGTCTTTGGAAGTCTTCTGAAAAGTGTTGACGATGATGCTGATTGAGGAGCAATCCCAACCCTTTGCGTGAAGCTTTTGCATTATCTGATGTTTGCATTATTAATTTAAATACTCTTATAATACAATTATAAAGTATATATATATTTATTTATAAGATCATTCATTATATTAATAACAAAATTAATCAAAATTTAAGGATTTCCAGAATATAACCACTTTATAAATTAGCAAATAGAAATTCTTGATTTTCGAAAATTCTAGAGATTTTTCTTCTTAAATCCTTGACTTATATCTTGAGAACCAACAATTATTTTAATAGCTATGTCAACCACTCACAACAAAGAAGAATAATTCCATTTCAATGCAGATATTCAACAATTGATGGGACTCATCATTAACACATTCTATTCCAACAAGGAAATCTTCCTTAGAGAACTCATCTCCAATGCTTCAGATGCACTCGATAAAATCAGATACAAGTCCATTACAGATCCAGATAGTGCAGGATTAAATGTTGAACCCAATTTCAAAATCAAAATCATTCCAGACAAAAACAACAATACCTTAACCATCCAAGATACTGGTATTGGCATGACCAGAGATGAATTAATCAATAATCTTGGTACAATTGCCAAATCTGGAACTAAGGCCTTCATGGAAGCACTCAATTCTGGAGCTGATATTTCTATGATTGGTCAATTTGGTGTCGGGTTCTATTCAGCTTACCTAGTTGCAGACAAAGTTGTTGTACTTTCAAAGGCTGTTGGTTCATAACAATACAAATGGGAATCATAAGCTGGTGGAACATTCTTTATTTATGATGACAGCGAGAACCCCAATCAATTGACTAGAGGATCAGCTGTTATTCTCCATCTTAAATAAGATAACCTAGAGTTCTTAGAAGAGAAGAGACTAAAGGATTTAGTTAAGAAACACTCAGAATTTATTGGATTCCCAATTGAATTGTAAGTTGAAAAAACTCACGAGAAAGAAGTAAGTGATGATGAAGAGGATAATAAAGAGAAGAAGACAGAAGAGGGAGAAGTTTAAGAGGAGAAGAGCAAGGATGATAAGAAGAAGAAAAAGAAGATTAAAGAAGTTACAACTGAGTTTGAATAGGTTAATAAAAACAAACCATTGTGGATGAAAAAACCAGAAGAAATCACAAAAGAAGAGTATGCTAACTTTTACAAATCTTTAACTAATGATTGGGAAGATCATTTAAGTGTTAAATAGTTTTCAGTTGAAGGTGGTCTCGAATTTAAGGCGGTCCTATTCATTCCTAAAAGAGCACCTTTTGATTTATTTGAAACAAAAAAGAAAAAGAATAATATCAAATTATATGTGAGAAGAGTATTCATCATGGATGATTGTGAAGAGTTGATACCAGAATATTTAGGATTTATCAAAGGAGTAGTGGACTCAGAAGACTTACCATTAAACATTTCAAGAGAATTCTTATAGCATAATAAGATTTTGAAAGTGATTAAGAAGAATATTACCAAAAAATGCATTGAAATGTTCTAAGAACTTTCAGAAAATGCAGAAGATTATAAGAAATTCTATGAGTAGTTCTCCAAAAATATTAAACTGGGTATTCATGAAGATTCTGCTAACAGAACAAAATTAGCTGAATTCCTAAGGTTCCACACGTCCAAGAGTGGAGAAGACTAAATCTCCTTAAAAGATTATATCAGCAAAATGAAGGAGGGATAAAAGGATATTTATTTCATAACAGGGGAATCTAAGGCTTCTGTAGCAGCTTCACCATTTGTTGAAAGCTTGAAAAAGAAAGATTACGAAGTAATTTATATGGTGGATCCTATTGACGAGTATGTTATTTAATAGTTGAAAGAATTCGATGGAAAGAAGTTGAAGAATTGCAGCAAGGAAGGGTTAGAATTAGATTAAACTGAAGATGAGAAGAAGAAATTTGAAGAACTCAAATCATAATTCGAGGGTCTTTGTAAATTAATAAAAGATATCCTTGGTGATAAGATAGAGAAAGTTTAATTAGGACAAAGATTGGAATAATCTCCTTGTGTTTTAGTGACTGGTGAATATGGTTGGTCAGCAAATATGGAAAGAATCATGAAAGCATAAGCATTACGAGATCCATCAATGAGTAGTTACATGATGTCTAAGAAGACTTTAGAAATAAATGCTTCTCATCCAATAATGACTGAATTGAAAAAGAAAGCAGATAAAGACAAGAGTGATAAAACAGTTAAAGATCTCATATGGTTATTATATGAGACAGCTCTATTGACATCAGGATTTAGTTTAGATGATCCAGCTCATTTTGCCAGCAGAATTCATAAGATGATTAAATTGGGATTGTCAATTGATGATGCAACAATTGAGGAGGAAGATGAGAAGTTGCCAAGTCTAGAAAAGAAAAGTGAGACAGCCAATACTGAAGCTACCAAATCAAAAATGGAAGAAGTAGATTGATTTACATATATATATAATATATAATTTAATAAATATATACAAATTTATTAATCAATTCATCCAAATAATTTAAGATAGATATTCAGCTATTAATTCTCTATATTAATAAAGTGCTTGCTGATTACACTTAGTTTTCTTTAAGGTTTGATAAATTTAGCAACAAAAGTTTAGTTTGATCATTATCAATAATTGCTCTCTGATTTAGATTTGTGAGAATGATTTATCAAAACTCCAAGGGTCAATTATTTAAATATAATACTGCTGTTGATTGATTGTCAAATTTAATGCAATGCAAGGAATTTTCATTTATGGAAATATTAGTCGTTTTATCAAAGTTTATTGTTATTACTATTTTTTTGTATTGATTAATTTTTATGATTCATCCAAGTCTGATTCTTCATCCTAGCTCTCAGGTTGTTTTACTCGTTCTTATTGGTTTTATTAAAGTTGTTATGACACTTATAGCTGTTTAGCGAGTTGTCTTTTTTCATAATGGATCATAGNGAATATTACCAAAAAATGCATTGAAATGTTCTAAGAACTTTCAGAAAATGCAGAAGATTATAAGAAATTCTATGAGTAGTTCTCCAAAAATATTAAACTGGGTATTCATGAAGATTCTGCTAACAGAACAAAATTAGCTGAATTCCTAAGGTTCCACACGTCCAAGAGTGGAGAAGACTAAATCTCCTTAAAAGATTATATCAGCAAAATGAAGGAGGGATAAAAGGATATTTATTTCATAACAGGGGAATCTAAGGCTTCTGTAGCAGCTTCACCATTTGTTGAAAGCTTGAAAAAGAAAGATTACGAAGTAATTTATATGGTGGATCCTATTGACGAGTATGTTATTTAATAGTTGAAAGAATTCGATGGAAAGAAGTTGAAGAATTGCAGCAAGGAAGGGTTAGAATTAGATTAAACTGAAGATGAGAAGAAGAAATTTGAAGAACTCAAATCATAATTCGAGGGTCTTTGTAAATTAATAAAAGATATCCTTGGTGATAAGATAGAGAAAGTTTAATTAGGACAAAGATTGGAATAATCTCCTTGTGTTTTAGTGACTGGTGAATATGGTTGGTCAGCAAATATGGAAAGAATCATGAAAGCATAAGCATTACGAGATCCATCAATGAGTAGTTACATGATGTCTAAGAAGACTTTAGAAATAAATGCTTCTCATCCAATAATGACTGAATTGAAAAAGAAAGCAGATAAAGACAAGAGTGATAAAACAGTTAAAGATCTCATATGGTTATTATATGAGACAGCTCTATTGACATCAGGATTTAGTTTAGATGATCCAGCTCATTTTGCCAGCAGAATTCATAAGATGATTAAATTGGGATTGTCAATTGATGATGCAACAATTGAGGAGGAAGATGAGAAGTTGCCAAGTCTAGAAAAGAAAAGTGAGACAGCCAATACTGAAGCTACCAAATCAAAAATGGAAGAAGTAGATTGATTTACATATATATATAATATATAATTTAATAAATATATACAAATTTATTAATCAATTCATCCAAATAATTTAAGATAGATATTCAGCTATTAATTCTCTATATTAATAAAGTGCTTGCTGATTACACTTAGTTTTCTTTAAGGTTTGATAAATTTAGCAACAAAAGTTTAGTTTGATCATTATCAATAATTGCTCTCTGATTTAGATTTGTGAGAATGATTTATCAAAACTCCAAGGGTCAATTATTTAAATATAATACTGCTGTTGATTGATTGTCAAATTTAATGCAATGCAAGGAATTTTCATTTATGGAAATATTAGTCGTTTTATCAAAGTTTATTGTTATTACTATTTTTTTGTATTGATTAATTTTTATGATTCATCCAAGTCTGATTCTTCATCCTAGCTCTCAGGTTGTTTTACTCGTTCTTATTGGTTTTATTAAAGTTGTTATGACACTTATAGCTGTTTAGCGAGTTGTCTTTTTTCATAATGGATCATAGCCACATTTGTAATATCTTTAATTAAATCAAACAACATGATGGTTGTTCTAATTATTCTAATCGCATAAACCAGACAATATCTTTAATAGGACTCAGTTGTGTTTATGTAATCAGTTAATGATAACAGATCAATCACTAGTAACATTATCTGATACAAATTAAAGGACGATTTAAGTTTCATAACCTTACGATATAGAGTCGATAATAAAAATGGAATCAGGCAAAATCTGAAAACCTATTGTAAACTCATTACCTACTTTTGTATATCTTCCAAATTCATAATTATAAAGTAGGTTCTTTTCAACCCTATACGCGAACTTCAGCACTCTTCCACTCATTTTTGTCTCTTCTCTTCCTACTTTTATAAATAGACACAATGCAACAGACAATGCAAACTCAATCGTTTAGAATATAAGTCCGAACATTTATTTAATTAATTTTATTATTTATATCATTACACTACTTATAATTAAATTTGATACTCCTTAAGTTTATTTATATATCCAGAACTGGCATAAATTATTCTCAAAGAACTAATAACATTCAAACTAATCTTCTGACTCCACATTACACATACAATTACAAAAGCTGCACTTCTTGATTTATCTATCATGTTATGTATTAATACTTTATCATTCTATTCATTTATAAGTAAATCATAGTTTAAAAATTAAGATTTATTAAATTTTGATATTAATCTTGTAACACGTATATATCAATTAAGTGAATCATATCAGCGAATTTGTGCTTTTAGGTTTTCTTCAATAAATTTATTAGTTTAATAGAAATATTAAAGGATATTCTCCTCTTCATTAACTTCAATATTGATAACTACAAAGATTATTGAAATAAATATCATTAAATTACGAGAATTCATAAATGATTATTTTAACCTTATCATTTAATTGATTCCAACTTGTATTTAATATTGCCTATATGATTTCATCGACGATCTTATGTGCCAGAAAACAAAGTTCGAGATTTGGTCCTATGAATAAGGAATTGATTCAGGTGTATTTTAAAGGAATAACATGTAATTATTAATATAAAAAGATTTAAATAAAAAATCAAATTTCATTGATAAGAAATGGCAGCTAATAAATTTTGGAAAAAGAAGGAAGTAAGGAATTAAATCTAACATAAAGTTATCAAGCTTGGAATAATAAGTAGGAGCAGCTTTGACATAAATTGAAACAACAATCACTGAAGTTAAAAATCTCAAAGTGTCATCTGTTGTTGACTACACTGCTAAAATTAATGCAAAGAAGTAGGTCTATTTGGTATTGATCCCATATCCATGTTTGAGCATTTATAATAGGATTAGGTAAGGTGTTGATTTAATCATAGCTCAAAATTATTACCTGAATTGGAAAAGAGAGTCAAAGCTACAATCTTAGTAGCTGCCAAAAGAACAATTGAAAGCAAATGGGTAAAGAGTCACAGATCTTAAACCAGACCAAACTCAAGAACACTCACATCTGTCTATGAGGGTTTACTTGAAGATTTGATCAGTCCATCAGTCATTCTTGGAAGAAGAACAAGAGTCAGAGTCGATGGCACTAAGTTTTATAGAATGTAAATTACTTCTCAATAACATGTTAAGATTCCTTGACGAAAGCGATTAAAAGGAATTAGAACACAGACTTGATGCAATTAAAGATGTCTACAAAGTACTCACAACCAGAGATTTGGAATTTGAATTCAGAAGAGATGATACATTCTATCAAAAGAGAGGAGCAAAGAAAGTAGCCAAAAAATGATTATGATTATCATTAGTATAGTAAAATACATATTGTATATCCAAACATATATATATATTTCTGTTAATCTTATTATATTATTCATATCTCACTATTACTTTATATCAAATTTTTCTAGTTCACCAATAAATTGATTATAAAAATTAATTTATTATGGAACAGCCCTAGCACTAACTATTGGCAATTCGTATGTTATCAACAAGTACACTCTCTTACCATTATGTTTTTTGCAAATTCCCTAAACAATAATTATCTATTCCATATTACTCTAGCCAATGAAATGCCTTCCCCTACATCTGCATCACCTCTTCTTCCATAAATCAAAGGAGGATGCCATCTATGAACTTCATAATGTTCTCCCAGTAGCACGAATCCAGCTCCTATTGTGTTGTCTCTTACATCATAAGCCTTCAAATAAGGAGCCAACTCTTCTTTTGAAGCTGCGCAGTTTTTATGAGTTATCACATTTAAATCTTCATCAAATATTATTGCTTTGGCCCACTAATTGTTTATTATAGTTAAATTACTTCGTCTNTATCATTAAATTACGAGAATTCATAAATGATTATTTTAACCTTATCATTTAATTGATTCCAACTTGTATTTAATATTGCCTATATGATTTCATCGACGATCTTATGTGCCAGAAAACAAAGTTCGAGATTTGGTCCTATGAATAAGGAATTGATTCAGGTGTATTTTAAAGGAATAACATGTAATTATTAATATAAAAAGATTTAAATAAAAAATCAAATTTCATTGATAAGAAATGGCAGCTAATAAATTTTGGAAAAAGAAGGAAGTAAGGAATTAAATCTAACATAAAGTTATCAAGCTTGGAATAATAAGTAGGAGCAGCTTTGACATAAATTGAAACAACAATCACTGAAGTTAAAAATCTCAAAGTGTCATCTGTTGTTGACTACACTGCTAAAATTAATGCAAAGAAGTAGGTCTATTTGGTATTGATCCCATATCCATGTTTGAGCATTTATAATAGGATTAGGTAAGGTGTTGATTTAATCATAGCTCAAAATTATTACCTGAATTGGAAAAGAGAGTCAAAGCTACAATCTTAGTAGCTGCCAAAAGAACAATTGAAAGCAAATGGGTAAAGAGTCACAGATCTTAAACCAGACCAAACTCAAGAACACTCACATCTGTCTATGAGGGTTTACTTGAAGATTTGATCAGTCCATCAGTCATTCTTGGAAGAAGAACAAGAGTCAGAGTCGATGGCACTAAGTTTTATAGAATGTAAATTACTTCTCAATAACATGTTAAGATTCCTTGACGAAAGCGATTAAAAGGAATTAGAACACAGACTTGATGCAATTAAAGATGTCTACAAAGTACTCACAACCAGAGATTTGGAATTTGAATTCAGAAGAGATGATACATTCTATCAAAAGAGAGGAGCAAAGAAAGTAGCCAAAAAATGATTATGATTATCATTAGTATAGTAAAATACATATTGTATATCCAAACATATATATATATTTCTGTTAATCTTATTATATTATTCATATCTCACTATTACTTTATATCAAATTTTTCTAGTTCACCAATAAATTGATTATAAAAATTAATTTATTATGGAACAGCCCTAGCACTAACTATTGGCAATTCGTATGTTATCAACAAGTACACTCTCTTACCATTATGTTTTTTGCAAATTCCCTAAACAATAATTATCTATTCCATATTACTCTAGCCAATGAAATGCCTTCCCCTACATCTGCATCACCTCTTCTTCCATAAATCAAAGGAGGATGCCATCTATGAACTTCATAATGTTCTCCCAGTAGCACGAATCCAGCTCCTATTGTGTTGTCTCTTACATCATAAGCCTTCAAATAAGGAGCCAACTCTTCTTTTGAAGCTGCGCAGTTTTTATGAGTTATCACATTTAAATCTTCATCAAATATTATTGCTTTGGCCCACTAATTGTTTATTATAGTTAAATTACTTCGTCTTGCTTCTTCAATTCTGCCAACAATTATGCAGCATCTAATCCTTAATCCATAATTAATTTAAAATAAAAATTATATTCATTATATCATCTCAACCTATTTATTCCATCATTTTTGATTATATACAAAATCATTTTATAAGTATCATCCATCAAATTACTTGATCTCATATCATTTTCAATGTAGTAGATTGAAATGATAATTTGAGTTATATGAATTTGAGACCCCATTTTTATAGATTTTTAATAATGCAATTACAAGAGAATAATGTTGTATTTTTAATAGATAAGCTTATTTAATAAGCATCTTGATAGTTTGAAATTATTTATTAGTAAAAATTATAATTATATTTTATCGTAAAACCAAGTAAAAGGAAATAGATGAAAGGACAGTACTATTAAACCAAAAGGAAAATCAACACATCAAGCTAGCTTCTCCGATCAAATTAATTACTATCACTTGCAGAAACTAATGATTAGATATAAAAAAATAAAACTGACTCTTAATTATCAAACTCTCACAAAAAAATATCAAGATCGATAAATAATCTTCCGAAGAAAGACCCAACCTTAGACTTAGCCTTTATGACAGTGACAAAACCAGATTCAAGGTATGATTTTAGCAAGTTTCCTAATTTGGAAAAAAAAACAGATGTTTAAAGAGTGAATTGGTTTACTAAATAAAACAAATAGATAGAATAATAATAAAATTTCTTAGAATTCTTAAATGCTATAAAAACACAATCAACTAAAAATTAGATTAAGCCTAAGGTTATTGTTGAACATAGCAAAATCGATGATAAAAATGAATTAAATTATTGTGACAAGTATTTTGTTATTAAAACCCCAATCAAACCCATTTTAATTAAGCATAAAAATACTAGTAAATGTAATCATATTTATTTAGAAAAGAACTAATAAGTATGAGTTCAACTATGAGTAGAATTAAGAAAAAAGCTCAAAATAGAAACATGAATTTAGAATGTACTATAAAATTTAAATTAAATAGAATTTATTGAAAAAAATAATGAATTAAGAAGACATTGTTAAACCTAATAAGAACATCAGTACACCCAAAATTCTATTTTGGAATAATTACAAATTAAAAACATTCAACATATTAATTTATATTCCTCTGTCAAAAGAGGAGTAAAGAATAACATTTTGCATAATCAATATAAAAGTGAGATTAAAGACCTAATTGAGTTAGATGAGGAATTGACTTCTTAAGATTACGAAATTATGAAAGAATTGTAAAAGAAATCCATTTTTTAAAACCCATTCTCTCCCCCACATCAAAATGAAATTAATCAGTTTAATTCGTAGTCTATTGATGAAAATACAAAAGTCATCGAAAAAAATGAAGATGAATCATTATAGATCATTTAAAAAAGAAGAAATAAAATTAAAAGAGTATTGTTGTAAATCACTTTATTTTTACATTGGATGATGGAACATAAACTAAAATATGAAGATATTATTACTGGAAATGTATTTTAAACTAAACCTTACTAAAGTGAAAAGTCTAAGTTATGTTTTCAAAAAGTAAAAGCAAATGATATTGAAGTTGTCAATTCATTTATAAGACAAAATAAATTTCTAGTTTTTGATTATGATAATTTTAAATTAACAATGCTTCATCATGCAGTTATTAGAGATTATCCTGAAATGGCAATCTTAATTTTATAAAATTATGCTGAAGTCAATAGTAAAGATATTGTAATATTTCCATTTATATTGTAGTAAGGCAGAACTCCATTATTTTATGCAATCAAGGGAAAATGCAATTAATGTGTTTGCATCTTATTATATTTCAAAGCATCTCCCTGGGGAAATGCAAAAAATACCTATGATCAGTATTTAGAATTCTTAGAACCAAAAGTTAGAGACTTATACAAAAAAGCAAAAACAGTAAGAATATAAATATTGTAGATTCATCTTCGTTTGCAAATCCTTAAGGCATCCAAAAGAGAGCATTATTGGTCATAATAAAAATTAATATTTACATATAAATGATTATTCTAATTTTATTTTTGATTGCATTCTCATATGGTCATAACTGGAATTAAAATACTAAAGTTAAATTATTGGATAATGAAGAGCAGTATGATTTATTAAGTAAGAATCAAAACAAAAACGATAGATAAGGATGAAGCAATATTTATTATGTTTTATGCTCCATGGTGTCCTCATTGTATTAAATTGATTCCTACATGGGAAATACTTGCCTAATAAAACAATGCAGCAGCTGTAAATTGCGACCAAAATTCACGACTTTGTTCCAGATTCAAAATCAAAGGATTTCCCTCTTTGATTTACATTCCCCCACAATCTAAATTAGGATATAAATTTTATGGTTTATTTTTTTATTTATTTTAAATAGGCAATAGAATTAATGATGAACTTGACCTCTTTATTAAAGGAGGGTGGCAAAAGGAGAACATTTAGCAAATTGAAATTTCATAAGAATATAGTTTAGTTGATGAATTGATAGATTACCTTAAAGACCCTATGTTGCTTGTATTTCAATTATTAAATTAAGGGAGTCATAGTAGTGATGCTATTTTTAACATTTATGATATATTGCATGAATAAATTGGATTCAGAAAGAGAGGAGGAAGCAAAAAAATAGGAAAAAAAAGCAGATTGATGTTTTTATAAATTTCGTTTATGAAATTCAATTTTTTTCTAAATTATCATTATCTTGTTTACACTTTTATAATAAGTTACTTACTGTTATATCTAAGGATGCTATAAGCTTTTAGTTAATTTCGTTATTTTGATCTGACAATATTTGCAAGATTGCATCTTAAGTTATTCCCTATTACTTTGTTTGTTGATCACAGTATAACCCTTATTCCTCTTATTTATCTTTTTATGGGATATTATTAAACTTTTCAAAGAGGATTCGTTAATTTTCATTAAAAATAATATGCTTCAACTTTTCAACATCCTATAGTCTTTTTATGATATTGAAAATATTTAGTTAGCTGTAAATTTCTTTATGAGCCTACCTGAATTGAAGTATGTTATCATCATCCTAGAATTAAATAATAATTTACTTTAGTCACTATACATCTTAAAGCTTAGAATGCATTTATGTATCCAAATTTCATTTTTTTACTTTTGCGAAATACTGCTTTCTGTAGATATTGAACATATGTTTAAAGAATAGTTTTGTATGATCTACCCTTTCGGATTTATTTATTACAGATATTCTCCTTAATCGATAACGTCTTGTTTGTTACAATTTAATCTTGACAAATTTACACTTATTGTTATTCTAACTGCTTCTGTAACGGAGAGCCTAGCTTATCATTTTTAATTATAGAAGCATCCTTCTATTAACTATTATCATCATAATGTTATTTCTCCTTAAATTCATATAAGGAGTTGATAAGTTCCAGAAGAAGGCTAATTTTATTTATAGGTTTAGAAATAATATAAAAGAGACTAAATAATACTTACCATAAGCCACCAAGCTCAGCTAAAATTTCCTATATCTTTGGATATGTTCTGTAGTCAACATATTCAGTTGTATCAAGTCTAATTATTACATTCATAATCAAGTCACTTTAACTTAAATCCAACATTTCCGTATGTCTGCCATACCTCAAAGTCTTTTCATAATCCAAATATGTTTAAATTAATCCTACATCTGTGATTGTAGTCAAAGGTTCTAAATAAATTGAAATTTCCTTATAGATATTATTTGAAATTGTTGTAAAGATATCTTGTCCTTTTGGTTAATAAGGAGAATTTGGATTTTTTAAATTTGTAGTCTGAGAAGAAATTTGGAAGGAAAAATAATTCTACGTTAAGGCTTACTCAATTTCCTTTTAAGATTTGCAAGGCTAACTTTTTTTATTTTATTCAGTACAAGTATTAAATTACATAATTATGTATTCAAATTTTGGAGCATCAAAAGTTCCTTATATTTATATACTAGGAATTTAATTCCAATCAATACAATAATTAGTTGGTAAATCAATATGGGAAAAGTATTCCTTTAGTTCCTTTTATTTAATCAAATCCTCATTGCAATTGACTAAAGGTAACTCTTACTTCTCATAGACATCTATTTTTTGTCCATTTTTGAGTTAAACATTCTTTTTCACCATGTAAGCATTAACAACATAAATTGATTCATCAATATAGGTGTTGTAGGTCGAATTTTAAAAGGCAAAGGTCATAGTGAAGTTTGAAGGCATCAAACTATATTATTCAGGTTGAGAATGATAAATTTCTGAGCTTAATGATGTTGGATTGCTCCTATCAAATAATGTAACTATCTTTTAATAAAGTAAGTTTGAGAATAAGGCCAACAAGAAGACTGTTAGAATTGACCCAAATAATGTTTAGTGATATTCTTTCTTATCAACTAGTAATTGCAATGGCTATGCGAACAAATCAAACTACTTTATTCCTTTTAAGAAAATCTTGTTCTTTTACATAAATATTCAATTATTTTATGAATATATTAAATAATATTGAAGAGCATCTTAATAAAAATATCATTTAATAATTCAATTAAATATTATTTTTAATAATATCATTAGCGTATTAATTATACAAAACATTAAATCTGTATTAATTATGTAATCAGATATATATTGCATTAAAAGTTGTAATTACCATTATAAGCCTAATTCTTAGCCTATGATTGAATGAAAGGGTTCTTAAAATTATGTGGTATATGTAACTACTTTGAATTTTTAAGTGTTAAAATTTTAGTCATATCTGGATGTTTATAAATTAACTGATTTAAATGGGTTTTAATATTTTATATAATTACAAATCTGAATTTCAGTCTATGGAGAAGAAAATAATAGAATTCCTTACAGAATGTCAAACTAATATTGGAAATTATTAAGATCTAATTTAAATGGAAGAAATTGTTCACTAACTTATTTCAATCGTTTGTACAACTTATTATCATATTTCGAAGACTTTCTTATTGAGTAAGGTTAATAAAGCTTTGAAGAAGAAAAAAATAAATATCAAGCCCTAAATCAAGAGTTTTCTAATCTACAAGCATAGTACACTCAGGCATTATTAGAAATAGAAACACTTAAAACACATCACAATCAAGATATCGAAGAGTTTTCCATAATTGAGGATAGAATGATTTAGAAAGAATATTACCTAGAAAAAGAAAAGGATGAATAACTTAACACTATGAAATCAAGCACAACTGAAATGATGAGATCGTTAAAAATTCAATAATAATAATTAGAATATTTTAAAAGATAAAATGAAGATCAGTAGATGGAGATTAAAGAATTGCGAAAATTATTAATACAACAAAAGTAATAAAAATAGCCGAATACTGAACCTGCTCTTGATCAATTAGAATCTTAAAACCAAACTACAACAAATATTAAGGAACAAAAAGGTAATATTCCATCTTGTGAAACTGTGAAAATAAACGAATAAGATAGTAGCTTAAGTATTGAATTAAATCAGCAATCTAATGTTTAGGAGAATCAATAAAAAGAAAATACTTCTTTAAGTATTCTACGTGTAAACAGCATTAAAGAAACTAATCATCATGTGAAATATGCTCGTTGTCATTCTAAAAATTAGAGTATAAATTGGGTTAAATTGGCAACGATTGCTTAAACTGAATCATCAATATCATCCAAATTAGATAATTAAGAATTACTTAATAAACAACATCAAAGGAAGTTATCAAAATATATGAGTACTGACTGCGAACCTCTATTTTTGAGTAACCGAAATCCATATAAAGATTTTTATACATTAGTATGAAAAAATTATATAACGTAGATTAGTTAATCTGTTAAACTAAACCTTAATTAGACAAAGTATTATGTTATTAATGTAGACTCGCTTTATAATGAACTTTTGGCAGAAGGCGTTCCATTTCATAAATGGTATAAAAGAATTGAAGACTATATTTTAAAAAAAGTGGAATGACTTGCCTTTAAACATTTTTGCATTATTTTATTATTAAAAAAATTCAATCATTTAATTTTCTCTTAGAATTAGAAATTTTGCCTTCTTCAATTACTTCTTCATCAAAAATAGATTAAAATAGTTAATTTTCAAATTATTTAAAATATCCAAAATTCTCTTTTACAGAAACAGCCTAAAATAAATAAATTATTCTTACTAAATCTTGGGATTGTAATACATTAAAAAGGAAATTCTTAACATAAATTTTTAAATTGAATTCTTAATCTACAAAATTATCATCAAACCAAAATTGATACTAATATAGGAAATATAATACTTCTATCCAATAATCTCTCTAATCATCTGGCTCTACTGATTAAATATCTTAGACTAATTATTAAATCTCTTCTTAGGTTGGCACTCTGCATTCATACAATATCATAGTAATAAGTAAAGTTTGATAACTAAATCTAACATTTGGAAAACAACCCAAATGGGCAATCTTATTGATATTCAACTTAAATTATGATAAGAATTTAGTTCTTCTCTTTTGGAAAGATTCATAAATATCTAGAGGAATCCATACAGAGTCACTAAGCGATTTAACTTCCTCATAGAATTGGATAGCCTATCTCCACCTTTCAGATTCAGGAATTAAGTGTTATTACATGTAAACCATCTTAAAGGCCTCTGAAATGGGACTAGGTTCTGGTATTGTAAGTATGGCTGGTTATCTATTTTCAATTTACTGTTTTAGATAATTGATTGATTCAAAACAAAAATCATTTTCACTAAGGATAGTATGTGTATAATTACTTCTTAATGCCACAAATAATCCAATCATCAATTCTTGAATAAATGATATCTTCCATCAATAGCATTTCAGTCATTTTGCTATAAGCTACACTCCTGATGATCTGACCTCTCTTGTATGCAATTTCTTTTTAGATTTTAATAATCAAAGATTCTTCACCTTAAGTAATTTTATCGAGACAATCATTATAATAAGAAATAAGCACTTCTAGTTGAGGAAACTTGTACCCATCAATCAATTAGGATTGAGGTGGTTCAAGAATAAAGTGTTCACTCCATGGTTTTCCTAATAATTATATTTCTGTTAATAAATTGGTTTCTGTTTGCAACAGCATTAGTACATGTTACATAAATTATTAAATTTAGATAGCAACAAATCTATCCTTCTTCAACTTTTTCACAAAATCTAAGGCTTAATTTTTCTTTTAATTTAAAATATCCCATAATTATTCATAGGTTTTTTATAAATGATCTTTTAATTATTACTTTGCGTTTTTTTATTTGGATAGATCATCATTTTCTTAAAGGAATTTGTTATAACTTTATTAAAATTCATGCATTAATTTTAATTTGTTATCAGGACTTTCAAAGAATTCAATAAAGGTTTTTTGAGTTTATAAAAATATTTATTAGCACTTTTTCCTTTAATGACTCATTCTCCTAATGTAGATGGTAGTTTCTCTAATGTAAGTATTTGAAATTTCATCCCATTACTTTAAAATTCCTTTAAGTTAATCTTAATTCAAAAATTCACTCTGAGCATCCTTTTATCGTGATGCTAATTAAGATCTTCCTCTTTCAGTTGATTATTTGGCATCAAGGAGACTCTATTTATCTTACTATAATTATGCCTATTATTCTGGGTTCTATTCTTCCACTTTGCCTAAATCTGAATTTTCTAAACCTTATTATTATTATTAAGATTGTTATTCTTGTTATTGTAATTCTGTCGCCAATATTTCTTCAGCTATTTGATTTAAATACTCAAAATTATGAGTAAGCACTTTGTTAATTAATCCATCAATAGATTTTGCTACTTCAAATCCTTTGCCTGCAATTTTGGCATGATGCAATTATTTGAAGTCTTCCTCGAATCCAAATTATTCACACCATTCTATTAGTCCAGGTAAATTATCATTAAATAATTGAAACTCCTTCTATAATTTTCTAATATTAAATGTAAACTTACTCTTCTGTTTCACTCTCTACTTTTAAGAGCTTATCTAATTTGATTTCTGGAGGAGGTGGATTTTCCTCTAAATTATAGACTATCTCTGTAAGTGGGTCTACTCTTCTATTTTACATCCTTTACACTCTTAATTCAAACGGAGTATCTAGATTAATTATTAAATCAATTCCTGCTTATTGTATTTTATTGGATTCCTCTTGTGTAGGGATGTCCAACAATTCTTGAAACTTCTTCTTCTTTTCTTCAGCTATTTAATTCAACCTTTCTTCATAAGGTATAAAACCAGTCAATTGCTCTTCCAACATCTTAGCCTAATTAACATTTTCTGGAAATCCAATCAAAACCATTCCTTTAGTATAATAAAATTGTTTAGAATTAATGTATTCTTTAATTAGATCTTCTTAAGTAGGTCCTGTATTCTAGGGTGCATCCTTTTTGCCAGGTTTTTTAGAAGCCTTTTTTACCTCCTCAACAACTGGCTATTATTCTTTTTTTAGTTATAATTCTTTTGCCTCTTTGATTTCTTATGCAACTTATAGCGGGGTTCTCTAACCAAATGTCTAATTCACTTTAATAAGTATTCCTTTTAATAATAATTCATCAGGAATCACTGAATCCTTATATTCATTAATTTATAAGCCATATTCTTTTAATTCTGGATTTTCTACAACAGGGACTTCAATCACCTTTTTGGTATCCTTCTTTTTCTTTGGATCCTCAACAGGAGGAAAGGCGAGTTTCAATGATTCTTTAATAATAGATTCTATATCAATAATCTCCAGACCATATTTTTAATTTAAATATTTTGCTGTAGTCTTCCTACCACTGAATTTACCTCCAATCAATGATATTTTAAGTGGCAGATAGTAATTGATACCCTCTTTTAATGGTTGCATCGGATACAATTCATCTGTAATCTCGAATAGAAATTCTGCAAGTGATATATTTGCCATTAATTAACCATCATTTGAAGTTGATTTCCAATCTTTGATTGCATGATAATATTCAACAAAATCTTAGGTAATTGCTGCAGCAATGTTATCATTGAGTGGCTTTACTTATGACAATTCATTTTGCCATTCTTCAATAAATTTATTCCAAACCTTCTTATCTAATGTTAAAGGCTTACCATTTTCTTCGACATTCTCATTCATCTTTAGATAGCATTTATCAGCCAAATCCAAGATGGTCAATATTAATGGTTGCATTTATTAAATATGTTTCATTCTCTTTTACACTTTTCTATTATAATTCTATTCCATGTATTAAACTTAAAGTATTCTCCACTCTTTTTATCTCTGCAGTCTTACTTCTTATTCCCTTGCTTTGGCTTCTTTTCTCAATTATTCAAAAAACATTTCTTTTTATTCTTGCAAGACCTGAGACATCAATATTCTCTCATTAAATTATAATTTTCCTCTCAATTTCTCCTTCAATCTTAGAGCTGCTTCCTAATTAGCTAATTTCCCATACTCTGAAAATTTGTCAACCAATTCATCCAATCTTTTCTTTGCTTCCACTAATTCTTGTTATTTTAATTATTCAACCAACATCTTATTTCTTCGTTTCTGCCTTGCTTTTCTGGCCTCTTCAGTTTTATGTGTCCTTTCCCTTATTTTCATCATAGTTGCAACAGCAGAAAACTTAGCCTTTTCAGGTACAGGTTTTTTGGAAGGATCTTTTTCTATTTCAATTCCTTATCTGATACAAGTTTACAAAAATAAATATATGTTGTTATCCATAGCCTTTTGATCATCCTTTTTCTTTTAATTAACTTCAGCCACCATTCTTCCAGTCATCATCTCATTAAATTTTGTCTCTTTTTCAATCCTATTGTGTTTAACTGTCTCTGTATTCTTCCAGAATTCATAAATCTTTTTGTCTTGTTCTTTAATAAACTCATGATTTGCCCTAATCTTTTCCAATTCATTATCTCTCAATGACAATAACCATTGTCTCTCTTTCTCCTCATCCTTTTATTTTAATTACACTGCTTGTATCTCATGGATGAGTTTCTCGTCTCGAAATCTGTGCAAACTCTCTTCGATAGACTTTAATTTCTTTGGCAATGACTTTATAAACTTCTCTTCATAACTAAAAATTGATATAACAGTTTCATATTTACTTGTTCACCAAGGATTGTACTTATTTTTTGTCTGTTACTTTTAGAGTTTTTGTCAATTCATTCAAAACATCCTTCGTTTCTTTACGAGCAATTGCAAGTAACGAATTTACAGCAATTGGTTTAGAATGTGATTTTATTGCTTTCAAATACTCTTCAATTTATGATTAACCTTTTTCAACCTTTGGTTCAATTCCTACTAAATTTATAATGTGCTTTTTAACTATCTTCATATTCTTTTGAGTTGAATATTCATCAAATTTATTTGTTAAGATTTTCTTAAGAGGATTTCCTGTTTTGTAAAGCACTTCTTAAAAATAAAACCAATTCTGAAATTGTTTTTCAATATCTAGAATTGCAGGTTAAAGTTTGATTTCCTTGTTTAACCATCGTATCAATTCAGGATCTCCATAGAGTGATTTCATTAAATAATTAATAATAATTATATCGAACAATCGATTATTATTTGCTTATTTAAACTAACATTGTTACATTAGAATTTCAAGTATAATTAACATATGTAATAATTATGATAACTCATTAATATGGGAAATCCTCATTGGTATTAGAGGGATCAGTTGTACCAACATCTAAAATCATGCCTTAGTCACACAAGGGGTCGAAATTATCTTTGTAATTTGTTTCCGGCCAATTTTCATCGTCCATTTTCTATTATGGCTTCTGAGATTAAATGAGCGGCTCCTCTTCATTCAAACCCTCAGACTTATTAAAAAGCATATTTAACTAAACTCATAGAGAATTTATAATTACTTGATCAATAGCCTTTGTAATCTTTGGAACAGGAAAATTCAAATAGAATTAGTACTCCTTATACCTCCTCAACTTTCCAATTATGTTTTCAATTAGAGACTTATTAGAACTAAAATAATTCTAAGC